CATACACCGAACTCGGAATAGGGCTCGTATACAAGGTCAGCCTAAGCTATGGCAATCGAAGGGTATGGGAAAGTGTCCTCGACCATAGCGTACATTGGGAATATTTCTGTGTGCGGCAACTTGCCGCCATTGGGGATAAACATCTCACGTTGGAGGTTAAAATCAAGGGAGTCAAGCTTCAGGCGATGGTAGACTCTGGGGCACAAGGGAACTTCATGTCTCCTACTGTTGTGCTCGAGCACTACCTGTCAACCGAAGTAAAGGATAAGGGATACCACCTGGTACTGGCGGATGGCAAGGTCGCCTCCGATGGACTGATCGAGGTCCAGACCGCTCCAGTCCATATGGGCATCGCCGGACACTCCGAAATAATCCAATTCGACGTCGTCAGGATTGGAAGGCACGACATCATCCTGGGGTTGCCATGGATGGAAAAGCATAATCCTGTTGTCGATTGGCAGACAGGAAAACTTGAGTTTAGTCGTTGCCAAGACTGCTGTTATCCACCGGGAACAGAAGCAGTGAGCATTCGAGAGGTTAGCGCCACCTCCAAGGAAGAGCTCGGACACCAAGACAAGGGTCCACTGATGAAGGATATACCATCAGCATACAAGAAGTTTGCGGCACTGTTCAAAGAAGAACGAGGCATCGAGGCCTTGCCGAAACACCAGGACTACGATCATCGGATCGAGTTAGAACCAGGTACCAAACCGATATTCCAACCACTTAGGGAATATTCGGCGACAGACTTGATGACGATCAAGCAATACATCGATGAAAACCTAGCGAAGGGATTCATCCGAGAGTCCAAATCTCCATGGGGGAGTAACGTCTTATTCGCAGAGAAGAAAGACGGTGGACGACGAATGTGCATCGACTACCGTCGATTGAACGATGCCACAAAGAAGGATCGTTATGCACTACCATTGGCCAAGGAGCTGCGGGACAGACTCGTTGGAGCCAAGATCTTCACTCAGCTTGACCTAAGAGGAGCATACAACCTCGTTAGGATGGCTGAGGGTGAAGAAGAGAAAACAGCATTTCGCACCCGTTTCGGTCACTACGAGTACACGGTCATGCCCTTCGGCTTGACTAACGCACCAGCCACATTTCAGCGTCTGATCAACAATGTTTTGCGGCCTTACTTAGACGTAACGTGCATATGCTATTTGGACGACATACTGGTCTACTCCAAATCAGAGGAGCAACATGTGAAGGACGTCACAGCCATTCTCCAGAGGCTGGAGGACGCCTGCCTGTTACTCAAACCAGAGAAGTGCAACTTCCACGTGGACGAGGTTGTCTTTCTAGGCTATGTGGTCACCACCGCAGGATTGGCTATGGATCCCAAAAAGATCAAAGCAATCATCGAGTGGACGGGGCCCACGAATGTCAAGGAAGTACAATCATTCCTCGGGTTTGCCAACTTCTACAGGCGATTCATCAAGGACTACTCGAAAATCGCCGGGCCACTCACGGAGTTGACCCACAAGGACAAGGAATTCCACTGGTCCGACAGCGCACGAAAAGCGTTTGAGGCACTCAAAGCGGCTTTCATCGCGGAACCAGTACTCACTTCCTTCACCCCCGACAAAGAAATACGCATAGAGACAGATTCTTCGGACTACGCTATTGGAGCCGTGCTCAGCCAGCCGGGCGAGGACGGAAGATAGCAACCAGTCGCTTACCATTCGCGGAAACTATCACCAGCAGAACTCAACTACGACATATACGACAAAGAGTTGCTGGCAATTGTGGACGCAGTACGCGAATGGAAGGTCTACCTCGAGGGCGCCGCCCACGAAGTACAGATCCTAACGGACCACAAGAATCTCATTTACTTTACAACGACCAAAGAATTGAACCGACGCCAGGTTCGATGGTATGAAACACTCTCTACCGTTAAACTTCGAATTTCTTATGTCAAGGGAACGGAAAACGCCAGAGCCGACGCTCTGAGCAGGAAACCAGAATATCTCGCAAACAAAACTCACGAATCCCACACCGTACTGCGGAAGGATGGTGATTCGCTAATAGTCAATCACCGACAGCTGGCCTCAACGGGCCAGGTCGCCGAGAAAGTCTGGAGGGGCTATGCCAACGACCCGGTCATAGCCGAACAGAAGAAGCAGCTGGGCGAAGGATTCTCCTTCACCTCAGACGGCACGCTTCTGTACCAAGGACGAATCTATATACCCACTGGGGACAGGATTAAATTCGTCACGCACTGGCATGGGCTGCCCGCTCATGGACACCAGGGGGTAGCTAAGACACTGTCTAGGCTATCCAGGGAATACTACTTCCCAGGTATGAGGAAGGTAGTCAAAGACGTGGTAGCGTCGTGCGACACATGCATCCGGAACAAGGCATCACACCATGCTCCGTATGGGCTCATGAAGTCACCAACAACACCACCTCGCCCATGGAAATCAATCGCTTTGGATTTCGTGGTCGAGCTACCACCCTCGAAAGACCCAGTCACAGGAATCGTATACAACTCGATCTGTGTAATAACGGATAGGTTCACAAAGTACGCGTACATGGTACCAGTACTTGGAACACAGGACGCGCCCATGATGGCGCAGGTATTCCTCAGAACAATCTTCGCAAGCCACGGAATACCAGATGAGATCATCTCAGACAGAGACAAGCTCTTCACCTCGAAGTTCTGGAAAACTCTCATCGCGCTCTTAGGAATGAAGCAGAAAATGTCAACCGCATTCCATCCTCAGACCGATGCACAGACAGAACGAATCAACCAGATAATGGAGACTTATCTTCGGTGTTATGTGAACTACAAGCAGGACGACTGGGTGCAACTACTCCCACTTGCCCAGTTTGCATATAACAGCGCGGATCAAGAGACCATTGGAGTATCGCCGTTCTACGCGAATTATGGGCACAATCCCACGGCATACAACCCACCAATAGCCGGTCAGGGTACCGCGCAAGAAGCCATACTACAGGCAGGTGAGCTTAAACAGCTCCATGAAGAATTGTCAGCCGATATTCTCTTCATCGCGCAGAGATCTGCGATCTACTACAACAGAAAGCGTAGCATGGGACCAACGCTCAAGGAGGGGGATAAAGTCTACTTACTCAGAAAGAATATCGCAACCAAAAGACCAAGTCACAAATTGGATCACAAAAAGCTAGGACCGTTCAGGATTGCCAAAGTCAAGGGACCAGTCAATTATCAACTAGCTCTGCCAAAGACAATGAACATCCACCCAGTATTCCACATATCTCTCCTCGAACCAGCACCGCCAGGAGCACCGCCTGCTCCTGTCACCGAAATACAACCGGTCAATCCGAACGCCGAATACGAAGTAGAGGCTATCCTCGACTGTCAGAACTACCACGGCAAAACACGATATTTGATCAAGTGGAAGGGGTACCCACAGTCAGAAAACACCTGGGAACCCAAGTCTAACCTCCACTGCCCTGGGTTGCTGCGAAGTTTCCATCAACGAAACCCAGGTCTTCCCAGAAGGAGTTCCCAAAGTCAGGCAGCGGTTCATCAACCAGGTGGAACTCGGAGGAGTCGCCGGCGGGCGGCGGTGTAGGTGGCCGAGCGGCAGAAGCTTGCTTCTCCCTCTCCGCTGCTTCCCGCGCCTCCGCCTTCTCCACTCTTTCTTTTGCCTCAGCCTCGTCCAACTCATCCAGAGTTCTCAGACCACGACGAAGCATTTCCCTCCCTCGCTCGCGAAGCTCGGCTTGGCGCTGCTCGAGCTCGCGGACGCGAGCCAGGCCGGCCATGGCCGCCTCGAAGGCCATATCTCTCTCAAACTTCAGGCGATCTTCCTCCATACGAAGACTTTGGAGGTCGTCGATAGAAACCTGAAGAGCATCGCATTTCACGCCGCGACGGACACACTCCCCACACCTCTGGGACTTCTCATTCAGGACCACGCAATTGCGATGGTAGCGAATACAATTGGAACACGGCATGCTGGGCGAGCCGTAGGAGTTGATCGTTTCAGCAAGTGCTATCCTTTGTTTGTATTTGGTGGTTTTGGAGGACATGATGAAAGAAGAAGACGGCCATGGGTCGTCGTCGGTATTTCCTTTGGCATACTTAAGCGTGGGGACCACGCTAGGCAAGAAGGGGGATAGTGTTACGAACGCACTCAGAAGGAGTATCACGTGTGTCTTGGCCCTGAGGCTCGGCAGCATTGCTGCACAGAGAAGCCAAGAACTAGGAACGAAATCACGGGACCATGTGTCACGTGATGGCATGGAGCTTTTGGAACCATAGGGTCCAAGGTTCCTGGAGCCTGGGATCATAGGACCCATAGGGATCCAAGGCTAACGAAGGTTCTATATAAGACTGGCACGTCTGCCATTAGATAGGAGCTTCGTGCTCAACTTCAAATAGTATTCTGATACTTAGTAACTGTCTTCCCGTCTACGTGATACACCTACCTCTCGATCATCAGAGATCAACTGCAGCCTTCTGTATTTACAGCGAGTAAATACCGGACCGTTACAGAGACGACCTTTGTTTTCATATTTTATTAATTAGTATATGAGGCAGTACTCCACGTGACGTCCTATCTTTATAGTACTAGTAGTCACAAATAGTATGATTCTAAGCTACCTCCGGATCGGTCGGCTAAGATTAATAGCCGGAAAACCGGCAGCGGTTAATATATAGAGGCTAGAAATAGACCGATAGTAGTAAATACAGCTTACTCTTCATATTAACTGAAGAGTCGAGATCGCGGCACATAGAGCTTGATAGTTCAATATTTAGATAAGCTAGTTCTCCTTCCTATTCATTAAATGTTAGTTTCAACAACGGCAATTTTCGACTTCCAGTCACCGAGACCAAGTACGAGAAGGAAAGAGAAGTATTAAAGAAATTAATTATCTATATATGTATCAAGTCTAATTGGTTCTCTGTTAAGAATAATGTAAACATGCTTTCACCAAACCATTCCACCTCCCTCAGCCCAACCGCCCGTCCAGACAGATGAGCCCCAGGCAAAAGTCGCCAATTATGCTTTGACAAAGTTGAATCCGTCCAAATAGATCGTGTTGACATGTCCGGCCGTGATAAGTGGGCATTCAACCTTGACTTGGAACTGCACTAGGGCCTGGGCTTTGGCTGTCGTGAACGTGGTGCTAACATAGGTGAAGCCCTTCGCGTTGAGCGATGCCAAGCGAGTACACTTGTTGGTGAAGCCTTCGCAGAGTTGTAGCTTACACACTGGAGGAGTGGGTTGCCCTTTGACCTTGACAGGAGCCACGGCCAGTTGACCGTATCCAGAGATGGTGTATTTAGTCTTGGGGCAGATGGGGATGTCCTGAGTAATCCAAGCACTTTTGCCGTCTTCAACCGTAGTTTCACTATTGCATGTTAGTAGAGAATGAGAGAAATATGGATAGAACTAACAGGTATTTGGTACCGAAGGACAGGACTCCTGTATCAGAGGACTTCTTGATTGTTGGCGGTCCATTCGCTGCTGTGTATGGGGCTGGTCCTTGCTTCCAGGTCGCAGCAAATGTTCCGTTTTCGAAACCACCATTGACAAGAACTGCATTGGAAGTGCAAGTCGCTGTTGGTGATGTCGTAGAAGATGAAGATGTCTTGGAAGAACTTGTCTTGGAAGATGAAGATGTTTTGGAAGACGAGGAGATCGTGGAAGATGAAGATACTGTAGAGCTAGACGAAGTCGTAGAACTGGATAAAGTTGTGGAAGTTGAAAATGTCGTGCTCGTACTGAAAGTTGTCGATGTTGTCGAACTGGTCTCTGAAATAATAGATGAAGATGTCTCCTCTGGTACAGTCGTGGAGCTGGCTGTCGACGATTCAATTGAAGATACAATGGATGAAGAACTCGAACTGGATACTGGGATCTCAGTGGACGATTCAAAGACAGAAGAGCTCGACGAAGTGGGCTCTGGTAAAGTTGTAGACGACGATTCGGGCTCAATGGTTGAGCTAGTAGATGAAGATGACTCTACCGAGGTTGCAAGAATAGTCGAGGAAACCGAGCTGATTTCTGGAAGATCAGAAGAAGGTGCAATAGCTGAGGAAATGGAGGAAGTAGGCTCTGGCACAAGCGTGGACGAGATTTCCAGAATCGTCGAGCTAACAGATGAAGATGATTCAGCTGTTGCGGAGAAGACCGAACTGCTTTCTGATCCAGTTGAGGATTCTGGTACGGATGTGGAAGATGGTTCAAGGACAATTGTCGAGCTAGCGAATGAAGAGGTTTCAATTGGGGTAGTGAAGACAGATGAGAAGATCGAGCTGGGTTCGGGAAGATTAGAAGAAGTTGCAACAGTCGAAGGAATCACAGAGCTTGGTTCCACAGCGACAGAAGAAGTCGAGCTCTCAAGCACCTCGGTGGAACTTGCAAGCGATGGCTCGATTGAAGATGATTCCACAGATACGGCAGTTGAGCTAACAAGGGCCGACGAAAACGTTGATGATGCCCCTGGTTCAATTGTAGAGCTAGCAAGAGCGGAAGACTCAATTGTGGTGACTTCGGAAGCAGTGCTTTCTGGAACAACGGCACTGGAAGTGAAAATGACCTCAGTGCTAGATTCCACAGCAGTAGAAAGGACCAATGAGCTCTCTGGAATGAATGTTGAGCTTGGGACGAAGACTGACTCAGATGCGCTGGGAGTCGAGATGTCCGAGGTAGACACTGATTCTGTGGAAGGAATAGAACTTGCACTAGACTCGACGCTGGATGGCAGCACCGACGATGATAAAACTTCTGTTGAAGAAGCAACGGAGCTAGAGACTACACTCGATTCAGGAACTGAGGACGAGAATATGGTCTCCGATGCGACTTCCGAAGTCTCGACGACAGAGCTACCCACAGAAGGGCTAGGCAGCTCGCTCGAGAACGAAGTCGGTTCTGTGGAAGTTTCGAGGACGGACGTCGGCAAAACCTCAGTTGATGAAGCAATGGCACTCGACTCAACGAGTGAGGACGACAGACCAGTCTCTGATGCAGATTCCGAAGTCTCAGCTGTAGAGCTTCCCACAAAGGTACTAGCCGCCTCGGATGAGAATGAAGTAGGGAAAGCAGAGCTTTCAAAGACTGACGTCGACAAGATGGAACTGAACACCTCACTGCTCGACTCTGCAGAGCTAGCAGCCAATGTCGATTCAGAGCTGGCGAAGGTTGAGACCTCAATGACTGAGGTGACGACCTCAACAGATGTAATGGACGAAGCAACCGAAGTTACGAATGTGGATGGCTCTACGGTAGAGCTGACAATATCCGAGACTGTGGTCGACGCAGCATCTCTAGAGGTCTCAACGAGAGAAGACTCTTGTATTGAGGTTTCGATGACAGAACTCTCAGGGGCGGAACTGGTTGGAATGGTCTCTGTTGACAGCGAAGGTAGAGCGGAAGACTCCGAGACAGCAACCTCGGTCGACGAGGGGGCCTCGGAAGTACTCTCCACAACAGACGAGCTCACAAAGCTTGGTTCGATGCTGGATGCACTACCGAGGACTGAACTTGGAGCAAACGTCTCGAATGAGGCGAAGGAGCTTTCGACAGTGCTGGAAAGAACCTCGGTTGCAGAAGCTTCAACGGATGAAACCAGAGAAGAAGGCTCTGCAACGAATGTGCTGGACACCTCAGTGAGCGAAGGCAATTCCGAGGAGGCGGCGGCAGATGCAGAGATCGAAGAGAAGACCTCAATGGCGCTGGACAAAGAGGAAGATGATTCAGCAAGGGCAGACGAAGACTGCGCTGCCAGACTAGAACTGGACTCGAGCGCCGAAGTCAGAGATGCTAATACAGAGCTGATCTCTGCACTGGAGCTAGCCTCGAATGCTGAAGTGGCAGATGCTAGTGCAGAGCTGAGATCGGCACTCGAGCTTTCTTCGAATGCAGAAGTAGCAGACGCAATGGCGGAACTCAAGACCGAGCTATCACAGATCGTGACAGTAACCGGGTCGGCGAGAGTGAGAGGGACATCCCGCTTTGCAAAGTCATTCGCGTTGCGTTTGACATCATTGGCTCCATAGAAACGATATCGTGCAGCATCGACAGGAGAGAAGGGTATGGTACTGAGTACCAGGAGCTGGATAAATGAAGGGCGGCTCATGATGGTGGGTTAAGCAGAATGAATGATGCTAAAACCAGAAAGAAGTTGTCGAAATGAGGAAGAATTGGGTTGAACCTCATATGGTCAGACGGCATAGCGCTTTTATACCACTCAATGCCTACATGATCCTCATTTGAGGCTCAACACGACCGCGCCAGCCAGAAGCTGAAAGCTGTAAAGGGAAAGACAGCAGGTGCAAGGGAATTGAAACCGCATAGTCTCAAAATGTAGGTGTATCTACGCCTCTGCTGCTGCATACACATACATTTATTATGATATATCAAAATTTGGATAGTCACTAGAGTTTCTGAGCGTTTTGCACAAGATGCACTACTCAGGAGGTTGGGGACATTGGAAGGGGGCGAGAGGGGATTGCTAAATCATAGGAGCATCCAAAGCAAACCGGAGCCCTGTGAACGGGATGAAAAGCAGAAACTCGAAACGTCATGAAGGAGGAGGTGAAGATGCATACTAGGCTCTGATATCTAATGAGTTTCCTTTCATGATACTGAATTGGACAGTTGCGGCAGATCCCGTCAATCCACTTGGTTGTGTTTGGCAACAGTTCGCGTCCACCAAGCAAGGGAGAGAAACTCGCTAATGTTTTTGTGATATTTCACAACACGTCTTTCTCACATCTCAAAAATAATACTGTTGAGACCACCCAATTGGCCATTCGGAATCAGCGCCGGGCTGGTGTGGTGAGTCTTTGAGAGCCATGGACCCGGTTTGCCCAATTTTAGGGTTTCAGGTACGCCATGAGATTGCCATGATATGCGTCCCTATGCAGACTTTTGAGGCTGAGATTGTTTCGCTGTCTAGACTGAAATGATTCAGAATCCATGGTTCAAGGATACTCATTCAATTTGAGCAACAGGTCCACCAATTCAGGAGACGTCTCAGCGGTCTCCGGAGACATTGCGATTGTCTCGAGATGCTTGTACATCGTAGGATCTGATGACGCGACCTTTTTAACCAGCGCTGCCAGGTAGTCCATAGTAGATTTGGTGAGCTCCGTAGTACTCATCATCTCGAGGAATTCCGCAAAGAAATCCATCAGGGTGATATGCATCAACATATCCTCTTCCTTGTTGACCATATCAACCGTAGCAAAGTAGAGTACACCTGGTTGACCAATTTCGTATGATTTCTCAACGTCAGGGAATTGCGAGCGGGTTATAGTCTGGAAGTCGAGGGTGGCGAGTCTTGGTAATACTCTCAACAGTCTTGCTTGCGCTAATGACTTTTGTCTCTCGTTAAGTTGGCCGTCGCTCGTTCCGGCCGTCGAAGAGCTGCATAGGGAGAAGAGAAGTTGATAGATTTCACGGTCTTGGAAAATTCGACGCCACAAGAGTCCCTGACCTGGTGGCATACCGGATGCAAGCTGTAGCCCATTCATCTTTGTATCTATTCCAGCAGAAGATCTACGATCACAGTCTACTTCGAGAAGATCACCTAGAACCTTTGTAGCCTTCTCTGCGACTCCGACGTCCGGTGTGCTGAGCCATGTCTGTAGAAAGTTCTCTACCAAAGCCTTCATGATCGACAGGATTGCGGTATCGCTGGGGCTGCGGGCTGCCTTTTCAATGACTGTTATGGCCAGAATGTTTGCGGATGGAGCGGGAGATCGTAGAGCTTGGATTAAGGCATCTTCAGAGGCCAAGGTGAGCGCCTGAGTAAATTGAATTGGTCGAAGGAGCTTGATGGCGAGGCTGGCGAGAATGGCGGGGTCTTGTTCGTATGTCAACAAGATTTGGGAGAGGTTCGGAAGCAGGCGCGGGATTAGAGGAGGAATATTGTAATCTGCCACGGGTTAGATCGCAGATAAACAAAGGGCAGAAGACCATACCAGTGAGTTGCAGTTCCACCTCGTCGAAAAGCTTCGCGTCTAGAGGGGTTTCTGGCGTGTCGACGACGTGTTGTAGGTGCCTCTCAAGCTCCTCAAGCCCCGTAATAGGGACGTCCTCCATGGCGATGGGTCGAAGACCGAGGATACGAGGACGGAGGTATGCGGACAAGATGTCAGAGTGTTGCAGTACTGCCGCAGCGATCAGTTCGAGATGGAGGCTGCAGATGCCAACGAGGCCGACAAGGCTGAAGTCCAAGATCAGAGTGAGTTGCAGGTCAGATCCACCTTGCTTTCTCCCAATGAGTCAGCCTGGCAGCTCAAGGACCAGGGCGATCAACACGATGCCTTTGTCAACGGCCGGAGTAACTGGCGACCTGTTCCTTTGTACGCTGGCCTCACTGTTCGACCCGATGAAGCTCGAGAGCGGGAATGGATTCCGGTGTTGTTGCCACCCTGCCAGCTCCACTGGTTGCGGCTCGAAGCGGCGGAGGCGGCCGCACAACCACCCCGCCAGCCCGCATACAGGAGCTCGATTTATTTTCTGACGCAGACCGAGAGAACATCGAGAGCAGAGACAACAACAACACCACATTTCAGTTCAACTTTGGAGGAGAGGACCAGAACGCGGAGGAGACCGATACTACCAGTCCCTGTGACACATTCATCTTCACAAGCACATCTGCAGACAGCACAGTTGGTCCCTCGAACAAGCCAGTTCATCCACCTTGAAAGCTCCCTAGCAAGGCGCAGAGAGAGAAAATGGCTGGACGAGGTCGTGGCCGCGGTGGATTCAATCCAGGTCAATTGAAGGGAGCAACATGGGAATATGATGCTGGCGCCGTTCTAGAGACCAAACCTTCAGAACTCTTCCCTGTACGCATCTGGAGACGCGGATGCATTTGATTATTGTTCTAACTTGCGCAGCCTCATCCAAACCTCAAGAAACCAGCCCATCTCACCGAGAAAGAGCGCCGAGAAATCAACAACTTTCGCAACCTCCAAGCCAGAATTCACCGTGGTCCCCTCTATACACAATCCACCAAGCGCAATTCCGATGCTCCCACTAAGATATTCAGCGAGGCGCAGTTTAATGCCCAATACGGCGGGAATGTAAAGGCAGATATGGATCCTTTCACTGGTGTTGAGACCTACTCCATGAGATATGCCCCGAAAAAGAATACTCTGCCCAAGCTCTCCGATGCTTCATTCGGTAAGTGGCTCGTATTAAGGTGCTGGACCATACTTATTTTCTGCAGATAAGACTCTTTTCCCCGAGGAACTCTGGGACACGCTGGAAGGCAAGTCTGGTATCGCGGTCAAGAAACACATCGATCGAGCTATGCAAAATAAAGCGCACATGATGGGTGCCAAAGGGGATGATAGTAAGGATAAAACCAAGATCTTGCTTGAGAAGATTGATGATGCGGTCGAGGGTGTTGATGATGAAAACGATGAAGAGGAGGATGAGGCGGCTGTTGATTCTGAGTTTGATGATGAGGATGGAGGTGACTATGATGCCGAGCAGTATTTCGATGGTGGAGAGGATGGTGATGACGATGATGGAGAGGATGGCGGTCAGGAGTACTGAAAGTGTTGGTAGGGCGATTATGTCTGATTTTTCTTGCGATTTAGCGAGGCGTTGGTGGAAATGGTTCGCCTCTACCTAAGAGTGTATGTCACTGATCGGATCCTTGGGTAATCAAGGTTGGGTATTCATGGATACCATGGAACATACTAAGGCTACATATTTTGTCAAAGCTTTCTGGCTCTGTTGGATGTTATATGGAGTTCATAAACAGAACAAAATTCCTAATACATGTGCATAGGATGTGAAGTTTTGATCTTCCGTAGTTACGGGAAGTTTCCCTATTGCCTTGCTTTCAAACGACTCCTATTCTCATAGCTAATTGTCTTACAGACCTTTCAATGAATCTGTGGAGATCATTTGTTATTTATCGTTCACTCAATGCTTCTACAAGCAATGCTACCGACCGACGATTCCTCAGCAATCCATTGCGAAAGGTTCACGAGTTCTGTTCACCCCCGAATCAGTTTTATCAGAAAGGTTTGAACAAGGCCAGGCAAGCTTTCACAGCAGTCTTGCGCAAATTATAAGTATATGATGTGCCAGTTACCCTGAAGAACGTTTTTTTTTTCTTTTCTTCAGGCTTTTCAAATGCCAAATAGACGTCACCTTTTCCTCCCAACTGCTTAGTTGTGTTCGATTCATGTTTTGCGCATGCTTGTTCTTTTCAGCGCAGCTGCTGCTCTTTGCAAGTCTATTTACAGCTCATATCGACATTCTCTGCCATGGAGAGAGCCATTGACAAGCAAAAACTGATAGCGTCTCCGCCAATCGCGATGCTCCAAAAATATAACCACCGACACGTCAAGTCCGAGCACACTGCACAGGCTCTGATCTGAGCTTAAAGGCTATTTCGACAACCACAAATCATCTTCAGGGCAGTAAAGCTATGTCGCCACATAGCGAGGATATCCTTCTCTTTCAAATTCTTGTCACAAACCCACATTTCTAAATGTCTTCCCGATTCGGTCGTTTTGGTGCAGTTCACATCGTTTGAATCGAACGGAATGTTGCGAGAAACCCCTCTCGTTTTGGCCATCCTTCCGCTAACCTGTCAAACTTCTCCGGCTTTCCCGTTCTAAGCATTGACAAATATGCCATGAGCTTGAGCTGGCATTAGCTTCCCAAACTCGTTCATGAACGATCAGCATGAATGACACCACGAGGCACGGTTACCAAGTTACACGAGGTCCATCCATACATGACTTCTCCAATAAGTAATATATTGCTCACCATTTCCGTTTGTTTTGCTTACCTTTTCCTGTCTGTTCTCCACTCTATCCTCGACGACTCGCTGGGCGAGAACGTCACTTTCTAGGTCGCTATGAGTAATGATACATCACCTATATTACAGACGTCCGGACGTCGTGTACAAATATGTTTGCAGCTGATTGTCATTTTAATACTTTCTCTTATTTCCATACTCGTCGTTCGCCTCACTACAGGCCGCGTTAATATCTCACCCTTCCAAGAATTGCTAATACTTAAATCTGAAGCGCCGCAACAAAGTTACCCCGATGTAGAGCCGCCTCGTCATCAGTTGACCGACACATTGGAGCTTTTACAAAATGTAATCAAGGATATTGAGAATGGTATGTTGTCCGACCCAGCCAAATTCAGAATGTGCTGATCATTCTAGATGCGTATAACCCAGAAGTCCGTAGTCTCCTGGACACAATCGAGACCAAAATTAAACCAAGACAAGACCCTACTTCACCAGCAGCCGTCACAAACAATCTCCTTCAAATCATCGTCGAGGCATCTCGCTACCTTGGCGTCGGCCTCGGAAATGGAACGATCCAAGGCCTCAAAATCAAAGCCGCGAATCTCCAACCCAACACAGCTGTCCTTCCACCTTCTGGCATCAACGCCAAAGCCGAAATGCTAGGAGAAGGCATTACAGCCGAACTGATCGGGTCTCTGAACTTAAATTCTTTCTTCCCAACCACCGACGACCAACGAAATCTCGCGGTCCGCTCCCTCTCACAAGGTCTAGGTAGTGGAGCAGCAGCAGGACTGAACCTCAAACCCATGGACGTCGCCGCATTCGATAAAACAGGCATCAACGGCATCGCAGGTAATCTTGGGCAAGGTCTCACATCCTCTTTTTTCGGTGGTGTCGATTTTCCCAAAGTCCTCGGCGCAGTGATGGGAGGCCTGATGGGACCAGAGGCCAACGTAGCAGCGCTCTCGTTCGCTCAAGGGCTGGGAAGTGGTGCGGCATCTGCTCTGCAACTGACGGATCGTCAAGCGGGAAATGTATCGTTCAGATCAGATGGCTTGAATGGCATAGCGGGGAATCTTGGCCAAGGTTTTACGACGTCGCTGCTGAATGGTGTGAGTCTCAATATGGTCATCTCCCAAGTCACAGGTAGGATTTCTGGCCAGACAGTCTTGAAAGCTGCGCTAGGTCTGGGCAGTGGACTTGGTGATGGGGCAGTGATTGGGCTGGACATCCAACCAGATAGTGCCGTGGCTGCTCCAGAAGCACCTGCAGATCCAGATGTTGCGGTTGTGCTCGAGATGTTTGGGAGGGGTCTGACTAGTTCGTTCCTGGCACATGACACGCTGTCTCAGCTCCTATCGAAGGCTACGGACAATATGTCGTTGGTATCTGGTTCGAAGAGAATTGCTCAAGTATTCACTATTGGGTTGGTTGATGGTGTACAGCAAAGTATCGAAAACGCAGGTGGAATCAGCAGGGTTTTTGGACTAAGTCCCGATCAGATGGTTGGTATGATGCCACTTCCGACATCGAGTACGTACAACGACACTGTCGGCGGCGTGGCTGTTGGGTTGGGAAATGGTCTGGGATTTGAATTTGCGAAAGGTCTTCTCCAGTCTCTGGGCAAGCCTGCTCTGGATTCAAACTCTGTACCCGCAGGTGTAGTGTCGAATTCTTCAACCGCAAGGGCCAAACGATCCCATGCGGTGCGAGCTGACCAAACTCCTATCAAACCCTCAAAATTTAACACCTTGACCACCAGCTCAGTACTCGATCCGTTTCTCCAGATGGGAGTTGACGCTTTATCCTGCGACGGCGTCGGTGGTGTATCATCAATCATCCATGCCTTACGAGGAAGTAAAGCATTCGAAGGAGACAGGTTCCGAAATTTTACTTCTGCTCTAGGTGCCCTTGCAAATCAGACATACACAATTGAGGATTCTGGGAATACTTACACCATCAATGTCGGGAAGCAGCTGCTCACTGTCAATGGAAATAGCCTGAAGAGACATATGGACCTGACGATTGCACATTGTAAGTGCTATCCAAATTGGGCCGCCTCGATAAGCTGACAAGTCAGATGTTTTCGCAGCCATCGTATACGCCCTCGCTATCCCTTTCATCCTCATTCTCAACTCGATTCGCAACCTTGGCACACTGACATGTTCTTCGATCCGCTATCCATTCCTTCTCAAGACCCAGAGATGGCAACTCCTCATAGGTCTCGCAGTCGGTTTCCCAGCTCTTCTCATAACCATTGTCTTGGGTATTCTTGGGGAAGGAAAACGCTCTCATTTCTATTCTGCTCATGCAGTGAGTTCTTACCTATCCTTTGTCCCACTCCACTACAGAGCTAAATCCACAATAAATCTGGCTGGAAGATTGACTGACCAAACCGAAACAGATCCTCGCTCTCCTTCTAACCCTCTCCACTATTGCCACCCTCCCACTGTTCCTCCTCCGCACTCATAACCCTCACCCACGTATTACTCTCGCTCACGCCCTCAACTTGACTCTTCTCTTCGCTCTTACACCCCTCACGATTCTAACCGGTTTTCTCGACCTCTCATCAATCTCCTCTTGTATATTTCAATTCCTGCCCCAAACCCTCTTCGTATTTTCTGGCTTCCTGTTTGCCGCACCGCTGGTTTTTGCCGTGAGTCTGATTGCCGTTGAGAGGGTTTGGAGGGAAGAGGGGAGGAGTTGTGGGAATGGTGAGGGAAGTTGATGGGGATAGAATGGGAGGAGGAGCAGGGATGAAGATGGAGAGACCCTTTCGATTGCTGGGAAGGTTGGATGGGAAGGAACATGATAGTATTTCGAAGCCTGCACCTGGGACTTCGGGAGCTGCTTGGATCTGATACAGATAATAATACCGGTGTCCACCATGGCTTGTAGTCGGCCATGATATAGGGCATCAGTTGAGGTCATGCCTGCGAACTGCAACTGCAGTCTTAACAAAATTCGGGATTCTCTCGCATCGTTGTGCCTATGTTGTGTGAGAGGTGTATGTTAGAAAAGCTGTAAATGAGAAATCCAGATGGGCTAACCCTCACCCTTTCCTCACTGCACTCGCTTGAGTTTGAGAAACACACCAGAACAAATAATTTTTAGTCATCTCCGCTTTCCAAGATTGTGAGGTCAAGTACGCTTTCCAAGTCGCATGTGAAGTATACCAGTCGCGATGCCTGTTGATGAGAAGATCCGAATGGCCTCAGTGGCCAGTCATTTGAGAGGTCAACAAAAAGCGACCAATTGAAGATCGGATAGCGGAAACATCTCACTTGCAAGATTTTGCCGAATTGTCAAGAGAATCCAAGACAGCTTGTACGTGCTGAGAAACTCCAAGCTGCCAAATTTCTCGTCAATGCTTCAATCCGTGTAAGAACTCTCAAGGCGGGGTAGTGCTGCTTGGGAGTAAGATGCTTATCATGTGACATTCAAAACATCACATCAAACCATCATCTAAAGACGCCATTCAGCAGCATCCACCTTCAACGGGGCACAACACTCACGTCAAACGGGGCGCCATTTCCCCTTCAATTTCCTGACCACTATCAACATTCTCGGCTCGCGTCCTGCGGATAACTTCGGCGCAAGACTTCTTGACATCCAACATTCTCTTGGCCACTCGCTTTTCTTACCAGACCTGGAAGGTTAAGTCGCCTCCGTACGAATCGAAGCTCACCTCACCCAACAAGCCACCATCCAGCCTCTCACGTCGTCGGACATTCAGACTGCGGGAGCGAAAAGCCATTGCGGGTGGTGCCAGCCTACACGCCCACACGGTCCCTCCCTTATCATCGAGTGGCGTATCCTTCCCTTCCAACAATCGATTCAAATCCCAGCGCTCGCGATGCATTCGGATTCAATACTCCACTCACACCGGGAATTTGGGATGGGTCGTGTGGGCAAAAAAAGTGGCGATCAAGTCGACTTCCATCGCGCTTGGCGCTTGGCTCGCTTCTTGGCCCGTGATATGGCCGTCCAATCCAGTCCCTGTCAATCTGCCGCTTCTCCCCTTTCTGATATCCGCTTCGGTTTCCAGAAGGCGCAGGATATCTTGGGATTTCTTGGTGTTTGTTCTCATTACCTCGTAGACTGGTACCACCTTCTGCTTTGGTTATCCGGTCTTCCCCAGATTATTCTGGGCAGTGGCGCGGTAGCGTGCATACTGTAGTTGCCGGTCCGAGGTAATCTGTGAGTTTTGGCTGGTCTGAGTTCTGGTGGGCAGGGTTACAGTGGTCTGTCAAGTCTGTCTTTGTTCATCCCAGCAGTCTGAGTTTCCTTATCTGCTGTTATGTCTTGCGGTGTGCAGTGTGCTGTATTCCCAATTCCTTAAATTTCTTACAAGTGTGCTGCAATACAAATAGTCTGCTGAAATGTGGCCAGGAAGTGTGGAAAGGTAGCGAAAGGTGTCATAGACGGAGATGGTGCCGTGTAGTGTCCCAGAATAATACCGTTGATGGAATGGCGAATTCCAGTAGGCGAGGATTAGCGACTGCTGCTGTGGGTCTGACAAGACTCGCCAGGCCTTCTAAGCTCCACGCCTAGGCCTGCGAACGCTCTCCACTCGCGACTCAAGACTCATTAAACAGAGTGCTAAGTACGAGTAAGCTCCGCCAATTTGGGAAGTTGACAAGACAATTCTGTGGACAAGAGGCTCGGCAGAGATAAGAGGTAGGTTAGAGAGGACGCCGAGACGGGCTTGGGATTGTTAGTGATCAAGATGGACGACCGTCGATCTAACCTGCGGGTTCAATGAAACCTTGTCCCCTCACCTGTTATATATTAGTCCACCACCCCCGACAAGTTTTACTGTTGAACACGCGGAATACTCACTCCAGTCGCTATTCACCATGAACGCTGCAAGTGGTCTCGAAACTATTGAGGCGGCCAAGGTCCACCAGCCTCCGGTCGTTGAACCCACCAAGGAGAGCCTCGAGCAGGTCGTTCGCGAAGAGGAATTCGAAATCCCAACCGAGGAGGAGCTGAGAACTCTTCGTCGTGTTTCCGGACAGATCCCATGGTCTGCATATACGATCGCCTTCGTAGAATTGTGTGAACGTTTCTCCTACTATGGAACGACCGCTGTTTGTAAGTGTCAATCACACTTCTGATGTCATGACCTAGCTAACATTCAACAGTCGTCAACTTTATCCAGCAACCTCTCCCGCCCGGAAGTAGCACCGGTGCTGGTAAGGAAGGACAATCTGGTGCCTTGGGTATGGGCCAACGTGCCTCTACTGGCCTGACTACTTTGTGAGTGTTTTGTGTTTGAAAAATTCGGGGCGTGACTGACCAGAAACAGCAACCAGTTTTGGGCCTACGTCATGCCCCTTCTCGGTGCCTACATGGCAGATCAGTACTGGGGTAGATTCAAGACGATTCAAATCGCCTGTGGTATCGCTCTCGTTGGCCACGTTATCCTAATTATCTCTGCTATTCCCCAAGTCATCACCAACCCGGATGGAGCCATTGCTTGTTTCGCTATCGGTATCGTCATTATGGGTATTGGTGTTGGAGGTTTCAAATCCAATATCAGTCCTTTGATTGCTGAGCAATGTACGTCAAGCTTATTCTGAAATTCCTGCAATACTGACTTTCAAAGGTACCGAGAATGTCATGAGAATCAAAACGACGGCTAAGGGCGAGCGAGTCATCATGGACCCCGCTGTTACCACTTCTCGTGTCTTTTTGTACTTCTACCTCATGATCAATGTTGGTTCTTTGACTGGATCCATCGGTATGGTTTATGCTGAAAAGTACATCGGTTTCTGGTTGTCATATTTGCTTCCAACGCTCATGCTGCGTAAGTCTCCCATGATTCTGACGACGAACGAATTCTAACAGCCCCAGTCCTCTGCCCCATGGTCATCTTCCTCTGCAAGAGCAGATACAAGCTCACCCCACCTCAAGGATCGACAATCGCGAAGGCTGCAAAATTGTGGTCGCTCGCCATGAAGCCGAAGTGGTCGATGAACCCTGTCACTCTCCGCAGGAACATCAAGGCTCCTGGATTTTGGGATGTCGCCAAACCGTCGCATCTCGGTGCTAACAAGCCAGCATGGATGACTTTCGACGATGCCTGGGTTGACGAGGTCCGCCGAGGTCTGATCGCCTGTAAGGTGTTCCTCTGGTACCCTCTGTACTGGCTTGCATACGGTCAAATGACCAATAACTTGACTTCCCAAGCGGCTACCATGAAGCTCGGTGGTGTCCCTAACGATATCGTATCCAACTTTAACCCCCTCTTCATTGTCATCCTCATCCCTGTTATGGACAAGGTCGTGTATCCAGCTTGCAGAAAGGCAGGTCTCCATTTCACGCCCATCAAGCGTATCGCCTGCGGCTTCTTCCTCGCATCCATGGCTATGGTCTCTGCAACTGTTACCCAATGGTACATTTACAAGCAGTCCCCTTGCGGCGGGAACAACGCCAACAGCTGCTACTTAGACGAGGCAGAGGAAGTAAAATGGCACTCCAACATCTCCGTCTGGGTACAGCTTCTGCCATACGGACTCATCGGTTTCTCCGAGATCATGGCATCGGTGACCTCGCTTGAGTATGCCTTTACCAAAGCCCCCGTTAACATGCGATCCTCGGTTACAGCCGTCTCGCTCTTCATGAACGCTCTCTCATCCGCTCTCGCTCAAGCACTCGTCGCCTTGGCCGAAGATCCTCTCCTGGTCTGGAACTACGGTGTCGTCGCAGTCGTCGCTTTCATCGGCGGTATCCTTTTCTGGCTCGATAACGCAAAGGTCGACTCCGAGGAGGATCAGATGAACTTGCTTCCTTCTGCGCAGTACAAGGCACGAGAGAATGTTTCTGACCCTGAGAGTGCGGAGGGAACTATGTATGAGAAGAATAGCACTGAGAAGCGACCTAGCGTGTAAGCGTTGGATGTGTTTGACAAGGATAGATGGAGAAGTTGTGTGGTAACTCGCTCTTTCGCCATGATTTAGTTAATGAAAAGTTGGAGAAAAACTCCTTACTCAATTGAGCTTTGTATTTCCCACTTCCTGTGATGTCTCTGAGAACAAGATGACTTCCACATTGAGAAAATAATGGACTTTGTCTTCTCCAGTTCAGGAGCAAAGGGAGAAGCCAAAACATATCACGTGAATAGCGTCATCCAAGCCACTTTTCCCGTCAAGCTCAATCTCACAACTTCTTTCTCTTCTTTCATCCTTGAAATGAGTCAGAATACACTTTAGCTGCATATCTCGCAGTATTATCTTCAACACTCATTGTCGCAACGTTCCACAAAAACCCAAACGATGAGTCAGGCCGAACAGGTTCGGCAACGGATGGCTCAGATCTGATTGATCGACGCGACATTGGTTGAATTGGGGTTCTTGATATCTTCATCTTTTAAACGGCAGCTTGCCACTTTCAATGCCTTATTAAGGTCACTCTTTCTTCTCCTATGTGTATATACATTCGCCAATCATTTTACCACCCTTCAAAGCCAGTTGCTATACCTGTTTAATCGTCAACAAAGCGACCAGCCAATTCCCCTCACTTCCCCCACCTGAATCCGATCATCACATGACCATGACTTCCACTACCGCAGAAGCAGCTACCACTATCCTGGTGTCATGTAAACAGACTCGCTTCCATATCGAGAACCCTGTATATCAAGAGGTGCAATCCCAACCCATCTGTTTAGCCGTGCTGCCAGCTGACGATCTCTAGCTTGACATCGAAGGCCTGAACATAACTGTCACCTCCGCTGGGCCAAAAGGAGCCAAGCCCAAAGGCAAAGCCCGAGCTGATGGTCTCGAAATCCTTGCTAATGCAAGCTTGAAACTAAAGGCTGGTGTACACTATGCATTGATTGGAAGAAATGGAACAGGAAAGTCAAGTGAGTGGACTCAGTTCAAGTTACCTGGAAGAACACAACTAATGCCTCCGCAAGCCATCTTGAAAGCTATTGCCGAGAAACTCATTCCAGGCATTCCCATTCAGACTAGAATTTCAATTCTGCAGCAGACTTCGAATGATGGGTCAGAAGAGGGTGAGGTCACCAATTCGTTGCAGAATATCAGGCTTGAAGGGAACCAGTTATCTGTTCTGGAAGCGGTGATCGATAGGGCGACTTCGAGGAGTGAGATTCAACGAGAGATTGATAGTGAGACACCACAACAACCGTCGAAGGATGATACTTACCATTTCAGTTCTGTCCAAAGCAATCGATACTCCGGAATCTGCTCTCTCTCCTTTACGAGCATTTCGTCGAGTCCAGCATGATCGATTGAAGAAGGAACTTTTTGAGCATGACAAAGATGCTCGCTTACGGAGTGGAACTAGAGGTATGGCGGCTAGGAAGGCTTTGATTGCTTTCGAGAAGAAAGTAGCGGAGTCTGAAGAACGGTAGGATTCATTTTGCTACTCCAAGCAGTATCTCATCAGTTGCAGTGTCAACCAAACAGATGAAGAAATCGACGAGGGCACAGTCAAGGAAGAAACCCATGCAGCAAGCGACCTTGTCGTCGAGCTTCAATCTCAAATCGAACCAGGACGAATCGCAGATATCGAAGTCAAGGCGAGGAGTATCCTCTCTGGTCTTGGATTTCCAAAAAGTAATCTGGAAAAGCCCGTTTCTACGTTGTCTGGAGGATGGAAAATGCGAACAAATCTGGCTAGCGTTCTGCTCCAACCTACCGATATTCTCATCCTCGATGAGCCCACCAATTTCCTCGATCTTCTCGGAATCATCTGGCTTCAAAAGTTCCTTGTCCAGCTTCGTGACTCTGGTCCCAATCCTCCATCGGTAGTTCTGGTTTCCCACGATCGAGACTTCATCAATACCGTCTGCCAAGAACTCATCATCCTTCGTGACCAAGACTTAACTTACTTCCGAGGTGATCTTACAGCATATGATCACTCAGTCCGAGATAAGAAGCTGTATCTCGGCCGCATGAAAGAAGCTCAAGACAAGCAGAAAGCACATATGCAGCAAACGATCCAGCAGAATATCAAGCAAGGAAAAGCAGCTGGCGATGAGAACAAGCTTCGTCAAGCCAAATCCCGGCAGAAGAAACTCGATAATAGAATGGGAATGGAGAAGAACGCAACAGGAGGCCGGTTTAAACTAAATCGAGATTTGGTCGGGTACCACCTCACAGCCAGAGCTGAAATCGACATCCCCGTGGACGAAAGAGGCGTCTCCATCCTCCTCCCACCAGCACCAGACCTCCGCTTCCCAGGCCCATTAGTCTCCCTCGAAAAAGTAACGTTCAGATATCCAATTCTCAAGAAATCTCAACCTCCACCACCAAACATCCTCCAAGAAGTCGACCTCACTATCCATATGGGTGATCGCGTCGGTATCGTCGGCCTCAACGGCTGCGGTAAATCAACTATCATCAAACTCCTCACCGACACCACTAAACCCACCAAAGGAACAGCAACACGACATGCCCGCCTCAGAATGGGATACTACTCCCAACACGCCGTCGAGGAGCTCCAAACTCTCGGCCGGACTACACCTGAACTCACAGCCCTCATTTTGCTCACCAAGGACGTCGAATCCGAACTGGACGAGGGCGAAATCCGCGGCTTGCTAGGGTCACTTGGCCTCCCTGGCCGAACGGCATCAGATGTCCCCCTGACAAAACTTTCAGGCGGCCAGCTCGTGCGCTTAGCACTCGCACGCCTCCTCTGGAAAAGCCCGCAACTTCTCGTCCTCGATGAAATTACCACGCATCTCGATTTCCACACTGTGACTGCGCTTGCTGATGCATTGAGTTCCTGGAATGGAGCTATTCTTGTGGTTAGCCATGATCGGTATTTGATCAGGAGGGTTGTGGAGGGGGAGAAGGATGAAGTGGGGAGTGACGAGGAGGATAGTGAGAGCGAGGATGATGGTGCGGCGGCGAGGAGGACGGTGTTTTTGTTGAAGGGGGGTGCGTTGAAGGTGCTTGAGAGGGGGGTCAGTGCCTTTGAGGAGAGTTTGGAGAAGAGAGTTGAAAAGTTGTTGTCTTCTTGAGCGGGGTGGAGTGTGGATGTCAAGCTCTTTTGAAGTGACTCAGTACCAGAGCATAAAAATGGTGCAGCTTGCTCATATGCTTAGGGACAGAAGCGAGCCTTGACATGAACATCCACGAGCATGGGCAGAATGCCGCTTCATGTTTTCTCACTGTAAGACGACTGCTCCAGAAAGCGAACACACTCTGTAGGCAGGAATGCAGGCCGAGTCTCTGTGGCCACTGGTTGAAGCCGATCATTGACCTCGCAACAACCAATGTATCATCAGCTCAAGTCAATGTCATTCATTGAGCCCAAAATCATGCTCTAGATCATCGTTCATAACTTCCGTTTTGAATCCCTAGTACATACAAACGAAAGAGATTGCATTTCATCTCGTTCCCCAAACGCCTAGCCCATGTACCATCACAAATCCTACATATTCTCCCTGAACATCGACCTCCTCTCCGTCGGACTATCGATACTATCCTGCGTCTTATGTCCCTTCGAGCTATTCCCCACCCCGGTATCAATCGGTCTCGGACTGACTCCTCTCAAACTGGAATTACTCGGCAGCTCTGCCGCATCATCAAACGGGTTCTGTGCAGGAGGCGGCATCGGTTTCCTCCCCATCTCCTCATCATACCGTCTATCCAGCCCCGCCTGACTTCCCCCAATATACGGCTCCGGCTCTCTACTCAGACTCCTCCCTCTGCTTGCCTCTCCATATCCAGCCCCGGCTCCAGGCGCAAGTCCCCCAGCTCCTCGATCATTGTGTAGTCCTAACTCCTGCTCCTCATAATAACCCCCAGGCCCATACGCATCTGCTTCCGTTCCAACCCGCGCATCCCACGCATCATCCGGATCCAGCGGTCCAAACCCGCGATTGCTTGCTCTCCCTCTAACATTACTGCTCAAAGGTTCCTCGTACGCTCCGCCTGCAGACCGGTTGCCGCGATTGCGGAATCCTTTCACTTTGCTATTGACCCAGCCGAGAACGCCTCCTTGGGACGAGCTGGACCCGTAATGCGAGGAGCTGCTGTGGAAAGGGTTATAGGAGGAGAGGGTCGGTTGAGGGAGCCCGAGTCGCCGCGCTCGTAGGTGAGTGTAGATTACCCAGGCGATACAACTGCCGATTAGAACGAAGGCGACGATGATGAAGAAGGCGCCGAGGCCTGAGATGTGTGCCATTGCTGGTCAGTCTGTGGGTGGGTTGATGGGACGTTGGGAGGTGATGTTGGTATGTATGAGAGGTGTTGGCGATTGGTCGCCGTGGATAGTTGTTGACCTTACAGGTTTCGTTGCGTGATATGATTGTTTGTTCGTGCTTGCGGACCTAGGACTTGGTCTCGTGGTGAAGTAAACGTCAAGGTCATCGAGTTCGAGACCTGACGAGGGAGTTGGAACTTGGATGTTGAGGCTGGACTTACCCTGCCTGCCTGCCATGATTACGAGGTCTCCACTTGACGCCATTGAGCCAATAAAGATCCGAGCGATGTGGTGGGCACAATCACGTGAGCAGACCACCACTTTATCTGCTTCACGTTCATCATCTTGGAGTTATCATTAACGTAAGGAGAACGACAAAGCGACAACTTGTCAAATCGTGCCAATTGAGTCAATGTAACCATTTGCATGAATGATGCCGTGGAAATTGCAGAGTTGTATGCTCTAGTGCATCTTCATGCAGCTGCCAGTAGGATCGAATTAAACAGAGCTTGCATGGTCTGATTTTTTGTATCAGGGGTATTTATCTGGGGGGATTTCTACTATGCTCCTACATTGTGGCGATCTCTTCACTCCCATATCTTGCAAGGCGAGGTAGAGTGGCTGAAGTGAGGGAGGAGTTGGCCAGTTGGACTTCCAGCGAATGAGAGCATCAACTACAGTAAACAGTCCATTGGTGGGCATGGATTCCAGTATCCCTTTTATTGGCGAGATGTTTGTTTGTTAAGATAGTGCAGCCGTTTGGACGGAAGATCTGGCTCTCACCAGAAGTTGGAACTGTCCGCAAATGAGTTTTAAACTGGATCAGTGTCTCCTTGAACCGTTATCCGTGTCATTGTCTCCCTTACTTGTGTTGCTTACACCTGCTAGGGTTCATGTTGGGTGACCATATGACCTTGATAGTACGAAGCCTTGCGATACACTGTCATCAGTTCGGATCACGTCTTTGAAAATCTGTTCAGATAGTTGCTGTACTCAAGAGAGACGGTTCAGCAACCTAGATCTTCATATTCCTATCATCAAATTTTCAATCACATTCATTATTCGAAATTTATAACGTTTTTCCCTTTCCACATTTTCAGGGTATCCTGAGAGATTGGTAGGTAGCACAGATCATGCAAATAAATGCATTCCCCCACCTACCCCTCTTATCTTCCCCTACCTTTCCGACCAACAAATGCAAGCAATCGACAACAGATCTAACCTTCCATGCAGGTCACCGTTACCACAAACAGTTCAATAGGCTTCGCAAAGCGATCTGTGCTAACGAAGGTCAACTTGAGCCGACTCGAACCTTAAACGGCTGGAATTATTGGGAGCAATACCAGAGAGTGAACAGTTTAGTCGAGCTGCATCAGTTCGGGCAATATGAGGTTGCTTGTCGATACGGCAAGGCATGCAGGTCCGCGTGCTCAGCACGTTGGCTGGACTGTATCCCTGATCCACAACTGACTTCAATAGGAATGGATTAGAATAGATGCTGAGAAGAGGTAGGATAGACTGGATTGATAAAGCCCTCAGCCTTTGTGGGCCCTCAGCCATTTGTGCACCGGCCTCGTTTGCTCTTGAAGGTCCGTCCAAACTCGATAGAGTATATCGTCATGGGCCTCACACGTACTCAAGTCGCCACTCTCATCGCGATTGAACGCTCCACGGCATCTGTCTCCGTGGTAGCGACTCTCATCTTGATCAGCACGTTCATCTTCATTAAAGAATTTCGAACACTCTCCAATACTCTCATCTTCTACGCTTCATTCGCCAATCTCTTCGCAAATGTAGCCGCTCTCATCGGTGGTTCAGCACTTGGAAATGTCGATGGCGCGCTTTGCCAATTCCAAGGATTCCTGCTCGAGATGTGAGTCGTGCGTGCCGTCTGAGGAAAGAGACTTACTTCATCAGGTTCATGCAATCCGATCCACTCTGGTCTTGTGCTATGGCAGTCAATGTGTACCTTGTCTTTTTCAACAGGTACGATGCAACGAGACTGAAGAAATTATATTTCTACTACGGGATCATATGCTACGGACTTCCTTTCATCCCCGCGATGTTCTGTCTCTTCTACAAAACGAAAAAGAAAGGAAAGATGTATGGAAATGCCACTGTAGGTCGAGCACTCGTATTTCAGGCTGTTCTAACGATCATAGCTCTGGTGCTGGATAGACACCCAATGGGCAGCAGTTCGTATCTATTCGTATTATGCACCAATCTGGCTAGCCATCCTCACAACATTCGTCATATATGTTCGCGTGGGCGTCGAAATATTCCACAAGAGATCCGAGCTGCAGAACGTAGTGAATAATACAAGTTCCTCTACAACAATGGGTATGTCTACCTCCTTTATCTGAAATCCACCTAACAATCAAAGTCTCTTCAGAAAGAGCCAAGAAACCTCCGAATCTCCCTCCATTGGAACCTTTCTCTGGTCTCCGCACTACCGATATCAAAGTAACCAGCGATGCATGCAGTCAATATACACCCGCACAAGTATGTTCGCTCTCTCCAACCCCATCGATCGCAACACGCCACGAAAAGCGTCCAAGTGATCCGGATCTCTACAGAATAAGCATTTCCTCTCCACCACTTCCATCGACAACGTTCTCGCAATTCAGCCGGCTTCCACCTATCCCAGTACACCACACCACTTCGAATATGCCATACCAGATTCCGGATACTATGCATAAACGCCCTTCTTCGACGGACAAGATCAAATGGGCCTATACGCGTTGCGCACTCTTGGTACGTCCTTCCTCTCAATTATCTCCTTAATCTCCACAATCCTGGCGGTTCAAACCAAGATGTACCGAAACAGACATCTCAAAAAACCATATCCTGTTCCTGTCTCTTAACGTTCTTGTTGCCATACCCAACACTAACCTCACACCCTTTAATTCAGTTCGCTATCTCCATCCTCATAACCTGGGTTCCCGCCTCTGTCAACCGCGTCTACGGCCTGCGCTACCCCACTCGCCCCTCTTTCGCACTCAATATCGGCTCAGCAATCGTGCTACCCTTGCAAGGATTCTGGAATACAGTCATCTACTTCTGGACGAGTTGGGGCGTTTGTAAGACTTGGTGGAGGGGTATGAGACAGAGGAGGAGCCGGATGGGAAGGAGGAGGGGGAGGGGAAAGACGAGGGTAAAGGCGAGAGTCATTGATATTGTGCATCTTGGAGGGAGGAGAGTTGGTGATGAGGAGGGGGGGATAGAGATGGAGAGGAGGGGGGAGAGTACGATGGAGTTGAGTGGGAGGAGGAGTTTGGGGAGTATGGGAGACTCGTTTTGAATCTTTGGAATTTGATTCTGCCTGTCATTCGAATAATGATGAGGAATTGGAGAACCTGGAACTGTAGCGGAAATAAATAAATTTATATCTTATTCATTTTACCTTTCCCTATGTCAAAGAAATCTGCCTTCACACAAACACGCTGAACTTATATCCCTTGCTTAGCGTTCCAAGCAGGAGATGGGCAAAGAAACGAAGGTCATCGCTGAAGCTGCTCCCAAGAATCCAAATACCTATCGAGATCTATTTCCGCGCTGGCCCCTTTGCCTGAGGCGTGTCGAATATACACGCAACCCACACAGAAATATCTGGATGGTGCCTCGCCCGCCAATGAATTCCATGTCCCCTTCGCCTTGCTAATGTGAAGATCGAATATGGCAGGTTGAACGAGTTGGTTCATTTCCACTATGGTAGGCAACTCGTGTTATGAGATCCATAACGACTCCAAAGCCGAATCCAAACCCATACTCCTATTCTCAGAATTCCGCACGACGAACAATACTTACTCACCTCACCACTTGGCGAAGAAGCAAGACAACAACGACTGCAGAGAACCGGGCTCAGCACCGATGCATAGCCAGATCCGCTGGGAAGGAGACGATGAAGATCAGCTTAGATACGTGCATAGATTTTAGGTCATGCAGATAATCTCATATTATACAATACTTCATCCTGCTCTACCTGCTCGTAACCTAGCTCAACAAGGTATCATTCTGCAGGCTTAACCTTGTCCCCATCCGTTGCCACTTCTAATACTGGCATAGAAATCGGTCCTCCAGGAGAATTTGGCAGTCTTGCTGTTAAGACCTCTACTCCATCAGCTGTCACTAACAACGTATGCTCTGCGCAAAGTTAGTAGTGAAAGAACAAGTGGCCCAAGTAAACATACCAAACTGAGCCGTCCTCTTTCCATCCTGTGTCACACTAGTCCAGTCATCTGGCCAAGTTTTGTCTCTATATGTGCCTAGTGCAACCATAGGTTCAATAGTAAAGCACATGCCCTCCTTTGCTGCACCTACAGCCTTATTCTTTGCATAATGTGGAATATTTGGCGAGCAGTGGAACAGGCTGTTGATGCCGTGCCCACAGTATGTCCGGATGACACTACACTTTTTCGACTTGCAGTGTTTCTCGATGATGTTTCCATACTCTCGGAAGAGCCCTCCAGGCTTAACAGCCTTGATTGCCTCGTCCAATGCCTCGCGCGAAGCTTCTACCACTCGAACATTGTCTGGATCTGACCGTGCCTTATCACCAATGTAGTATGTCTCGTTCAGATCGCCGTGATATCCACCGTGGTATAATGTAACGTCGATATTTAGAATATCTCCATCCACTAGTACGCGCTGGTCGGGAATGCCGTGGCAGATAACTTCGTTGACGGATGTACAGACGGATTTCGGGAAGTGGCCGTAGTTCAGTGGTGAAGGATATGACTATCGTAGTTAGTAAGCTACTACCTGCCAGGCTTGAGATTCTTACATTTCTCTCCAAACAAGCATTATGCACAATCTCATCGATATAGTCCGTGGTCACACCAGGTACCGCTGCCGCGGCCGCGATATCCAGTACCTCTCTTGCCAGCCTACAAACCTTCCGCATCCCCTCCTGCCCGGCCTTGTCTAAAATCTCAATCTTTGTCCGCCCAGGAAACGTTTGCTCGCTGTGTGGAATTCCATCTTTCCAGTAATCGGGATGTTGAATGCTTTTAGGGACTTTGCGACGCTCGGAGAGAGGGTAGACTGGTCGTAGAGGGCCGGTGTAGGGGAAGGTTGGAAAGGGATCGTAGGTGCCTGTGTCTGGATCGGGTTCAGAGACAACTTTCGGGGTTATGAAATTACTGAGGAAGTTACCCTTGGATTTGTGGAGGACTTTGTGAGTGCTCTGCGATTGGGTTAGCTCTTTTTTTTTCTGGCGAACAGATTGCTATATTGCGAGAAGGCTGAGATGAAACAGTTCAGGGAGGACACATACCCAACTCTTCTTAAAGCAGTCTTGCGAACAGAAGAAGCTGTCTTTGATATTTAGTTTAAGGCACGTAGGACATTGTAAAGTGCCAGCATCATTGTCGCAATCAAGGCCGATACACTTGCGTGTTAGTGCTTCAGAGCCCATATTTGCGATGCAGCTTCAGCAGAGCCTTGGAGGAAGCTTCACAGTGGTAGAAGGATGATTTGTAGGAATGAAGTTATTCCTAAAAGTTGAACGTTGGCGGGGCAAAAGTTAGTAGGGGAATTTTGTCAGCCTCGTAAAGGTAGCGCACGTGCCGGCGGCCGGACCCCTGAAATACCTCCTACTGTAAGTGACCTTTGGAGCGGATTAACTATCTACCGACCCTAGTCGTCACTGTCCGTCCCACTACACGATCGTTCACTGTACTGTGGAGTAAGGCTGAGCTTCCATTTCATCGGCCTCACGACGTCCAAGCCATCTATCTCTACTGGCTCCTCGCCTTGCATTGTATCGCATCACACCCCTTCATTCGTGTTATCGTCGCTCGTAGAAAGAACCACCTAGGACAAAATACAACATAATATAAAGGTAAGAGCAACTGGTAAGTAGCATGCGCCTACCTACTTTCCTTCCTTTCCTAGTACAAAACACGACAAGATAAGACAAGTCATGGACTATCGTCGCGTTTCGATAAGGTCCCTCGAGGAATGCCACACTACACGGGCCGAAATTGCTACTCTATACTGCTTTTCCCTTTAGTTTTGCTACTGTATAATTGCTACAGCTTATCTAGGTACTAACATGTCGAAGAAGGAGCTCACCAGCCTTAACCGAGGAGCCGACGACGACGGACTGGAGAAACTCTTACAAGGCGCACAAGGACTACAACGTGGTGATCGGAGAAGCAGAGCCTCTGCGTCAGGTTCGGGGACGCAGCGATCGCCTGTGTCGAGCGCGAGCGCGAGTGCGAGTCCACAAACACCAGCGAGGGAAATCCAGCGATTATCTTCTGTCAATCAATCGCCGAGCACACCCAGTCGTCCAGCAGGAAGAAGCTCACGAGCATCAACCTCTACTGCGAATCGTTATCAGCAGACACTAAGCCGCTCAGCGAATTCACACTCTCAAGGGCAAGTCTCTAGCCCAAACCATTCCCGGCCATTACCCAGTCAGCCAGCGAGCTCTAGCTCCCACCTACCGGTTCATACGCCGCTCGGTACCTTCCCACACACATCGAACGATTCAGCGGCATATCTTTCAAACAGCTCAACTTCATCAAACACACCCAATCTAACAACCCGGAGCCGGGACAAAACTATGTCAGCACGGCGAGGTGCGGCTCGGAATGGGACACGAGGAGGGTCAGACGATAATGTTATCAATCGGCAAGATATAGCTGAGGAAATTCGAAGGCATGTGAACATTGTTGCGGAGGCCGAAAGGAAAGCCAAGTCCCTCAAAGATAAGATTATCGTTCAAGAGCAACATATGAGAAAGAAGAAAGAAGATGGAATAGGTATGGATGCAGTTGTTGTTGCTACCACAGGATACTGAATCTATAGGCATTTCAATCTCGGATCACCATGAACTAGAAGCTCTGTATCGTGAGTCGGTCAAGATAGCCGAGGAGCAGAAGGTCAGAGGATCAGATGAATCAATACTGACACGACTGGGATTGCTGGCTGATGTACAAAGAAGGGCTGAGCAGGAGGAGGAGAGGGTATTATCAGCACGGAATTCTACTTCTAGAAATTCTGGGATTGATTTTGATGGGCCATCTGATTCTCCAGTTCCATCACCAGCAGATAACCGACATGTTCGTAAGATCGGTGGTTCGAGGACGAGCAGCCAACCTCCTAGAAGCAACACAGATAAGCTGGATGGGACAGCATCTGAAGCCAGTGAACGTGCAAGTAAGCCCAAGATCATGTACTCTTTAAAAGAGGAGGTTGCATTCAAGAGGAAGCTCCCTGGTGGCAAGCCAGAAGACCAGGACTGGATTCAAGGCGAAGTCGTACGAGTCATTGGGGAGGGAAAAAGTCGAAGATACGATGTGAAGGACATTGACCCTGATGCGGTTGAAGGGAACAACATCTACAAGTCCTCCGCATCTCAGATGGTACCTATACCACCAGAGGGTACACCTTTAGGAGATTATGAGCCTGGTAAGCAGGTGCTGGCTCTGTATCCCGCAGCAACGACTTTTTACCGTGCTCAAGTTAAGTCTATGGTTGATGGAGGCACAAGAGTTCTTGTACTGTTCGAGGAAGAAGATGTTGAGAAGTCAATCGCTCGGCGTTTTGTCCTAGACCATAGGGGGTGAAATTACAGAATATTCGACTGCATTAGCGAGTACCCTCACAAAATTGAATTCTGTCATGATGGGCCTTTTGCTGTCCTATCCTTGGCTACTGATTAATAGATTCTGCACAAATTCCCACACCACGTAAGTGGACAATCAGTATCTTTGATAAGCCGTATGCAGATACAATGACGGTGTTGATGATAATTCTGCGTCGGGGAATCTCGGGGGAATCTCGCGAAGTCGCGCTGGAATCACGTGCTTGCCCTTGTGTTGACCATCTTGTTCATTGATCAAAAGATATATAGAGAGCCGCATATCCGCTTCACAAAGGGTAAATTCATCACTTAACCGTCCAAAAAACCCCAAATTTCAAGTTACCTCATCACTTCAATGTTGGCCCACCTGAAAACATTCTGGAAAGTCATTTCAACAGGCTGGGTAGTTGAGTACCCGGAACGTGGCCAGCCGCCGAGGGATTTCTTCGATCGGAAGGACAGGAGGCCTATATATTCAGACTCCTTGCCAAAATATGGGGACATGTGGTCTTATCGTAGACAATGTCAAACGGACGAGGAAGACGGGAGCGAGGAGGGGGATGTCGATGGGAGGCGAGATAAGGCGTATCCTGGACGGGGACAGTGTGTAGAGGAAGAGGTATGGGAGGATGCGGTATTGAGGTGGAGCGATCAGATTAGGTTGAAGGTTGAGAAAGAAAGAAAATGAATGGTGCTATTTTTGAGAACAATTTGGGATGTGTTTCGACACATTTGAAATTTTAGGCACGGTACGCTTGAATGTGTGGGCCAGAAACGTTGTACATGCCGACATTTCATCATGTAAAAAAGGTGTTGAGGGATTCATCTGCATCATTGTAGTATTTGAGTCGCGTGTTGTGACCGGCTTTCCGTTTGCCATGGTCATTTTCGGCATCCTTGGAAGGGTGTACCAGACCCGGCGCCCAGGCCAGAAAACTGCACTGCAGCTCATCCATTCATCACTCTCTGTGAAGGCAGTAAATGCAATTCCATGTTTATACTACAGCACATTGTGTGTATCAAGGACCGAGAAACCAACTTCCGAACTTTCACGTGACCAAAACAAATAACCGAGAGGAAAAGGGGGCAGGTTCGGGACTCGGTAAACCTGCATTGTCCGAACTTGATGTAACAATGGAAGTTGATCAATTGTTTGCCATGTGGTGCAAGTTTGACGTTCTTTCAGAACAAGGAGTGCATGAAGACATGAAGTGTACGAGATTTGATTAATTCTGGAGCATGTAGTCAGCACTAAGCATCTCGCACTTTGCGGACATCATCTCGGGGTCCACACCACCGCGCGATGAGCTATAAAAGTCAACTAAAACCCTGAAAATACTCTCAGATCATCATAACTATTACTGATCTCTTCTAAACGTAAACAGTATGTCTTCTGAACACAACAACGCAGTCGAAGTGGCACAGATCCTCGATTCGTCACTTTCTAGCAGGGCCAGGGTCGCTACTGATGCCTCATCAGCGGATTTCAAAAAATTGTTGATCAGATGGAGCGACGTAAATATTCAAGTGCCGTCTGCAATCATCCAACCTAATTGCGAGGAGGACATCATTCAGATCGTGGGTCAAGAGATCTTCGTCTGATCTTCAAGCTGATGTGAATCAGGTCAAACATGCAGTCAAACACAACATCCCTTTCATCGCGAAAGGCGGTGGCCACAGCAATTGGTCAACAATTGGATCTGGGGGTTGGATCATCGATTTATCACTTCTTCGATCGCTCAATATCAACACCAGCGCTCAGACTGCCACAATCCAGGCAGGTGTTCTCACAAAATCCATCAACGAAGCTGTCACCCACGCCGGATTCATGATTCACACTGCTAATGCGGCAAACGTGGGTCATATTGGCTTCCTACTTGGTGGAGGATCCTCTGTATTGCTGGGTATGCACGGTCTGGCTATTGATGCTTTGATCAGTGCTCGCGTCGTAACTTCCACTGGACGAGTCGTCACTGCCTCAGCAAGTGAAAACGTGGATCTATTCTGGGCACTGAAAGGTGCTGGGCAGTACTTAGGAATCGTGTCGGAAGTCACTGTTAAGATCTTCCCCAAGACAACCGGTATTATTTCCTGGGCTTGTATTTTTGGACCTCATCAGGTGAAGGAAGTCTCAAAAGCTTTGAAAGAGGTGATTGATGCTGGTGATGAGAAATCATTCGGAATGGCCATGATTACCCTTCCACCAGCTCTACCTGGTTCAACAAATGTCAGTGGTGCTACTTGACCTGAAATTCTATGCTAACTGCTGTAGCCTGTAATCGTCGTCAGCATCACCCATTTCCGTTCCGAGGCGGAAGCCGAAAAGATCATGCAGCTCCTAACGAGCATCAATCCTGTGGCGCAAATGAAGAGAGCAATCGAATTCTCCAACCTCACTGACTCAGCTGACAAGATCGATAAGAAAGGAGGATTCAAATCCAATATCTCATGCGGCTTGAAGACATTCGAGCCAGAAGTCCTTCAGAATGCCCTTGCCTCTTGGACTGGACTTGTGGATGGGCATCCTGACGCTGCATCGACTTTCTTCATGTTTATCTGGGCCTCGAAAGAGGGAATGGAGAAATTCGGAGACGAAAGCTCCGCTTACAGCCACAGGGATATTGGAAGCTGGTGGTACGTATCATACACTATCAATGAGAATATCTCGGCTCACGGAATGTTAGTTTCTTATGGCCTTCATCAATTACAGAGCAGTCTTTCGGGGCTGCGGTGCAAGTTTCAGAAGAGTTTGTAGCCTCGATTCAAACTGGCCAGGAAGAGCTAGACAAAGCAATCTTTCCAAATCATTCGCGAGAGAAAAGTGTCGAGCAGAGATATCGTGGCGAGAAGACGAGAAGAAAGCTGGGAGAAGTGAAGAGAATTTGGGATCCAGAGGGGAGATTTACAAGTCAGTTTCTCTAGTCGGAAGAGAGCTGTTCTGAAGGATGTCCTCATCGTATCTCTTGACTCTACTTAATATTTTTGTACATATTTCCAACATAGTTCTAGGCTTTCCCACACGATCACTCCATAGAAAAAGTATCTAGATGGCTTCATTGTATTGCAAAACAGTCACTTACAAAGACGTGACTGCACAATATTTAAGCTAATGAACATGGTAATGACTGTGATACATAACTAATTTCGCAATTGCACGATGCAAGAACTAATAGACAAAGTAAGGACTGTACTGGATCAAAACAAGAACAAACTGATACCGAATAAAATGGGGCAGAGGGACATCCAAAAATTAACGATCAAAGAAACAAGGGAAAGAAAGCAAACATGATCAGCATTATCTTTTGTGTCCTCAAACAGCGGACCCTCTCAGAACCCCCAATAGATAGCCTGGCACTTCCATCCGTCAACCTCGTAAAGCACCGCTTGGGTATCCTTGTACAAATTGAAAGCCACGAACGTGTTGTCCGCGACTCCAACCCGAGTGAAATTTGCTTTGGCTTGAGCATCATTGATGATACTCCAGCGGAAGCGCGTACCGTTGCCGAAAGTTACTTATGCCGAATCAGTATCACAATCTATAAGGTGGAAATGTAGTGATGTACCTGTTCCAGTCTGCTCCCAATTTGTGAAGCTGCCTTTGGTCACATCAACATAGTCATCTGGTATTTGCCCAAAATTCCCTCCATTACGAAGGTTTCTGTAGTAAGCGACGCCGCTTGAAATTTCCTGTCCACGCCTACAGTTGACCAAGTAAATGCCATCTGGGTGCAACCGGACTGGATTTGCAGCAGGTGGTGGTGGAGTTGGCTCTGGTGGAGAGGGGATCGGAGGGATTTGACCTGTTTTTGGTCTCAGTATTGCCTGTGATCACGAATAGTTTCAGGATTAAGTAGACCACTTACTTGGAACTTTGCTGAAGTGCACACGGTTGGCGCCTTCGCGAGTATATCTTCCCGAGAAACACCAGTTGATGAAGCCTCCGTCGCCTTCCAGAGTGAAGGTGCCAGACTCAAAGACATAGATTTCGTAGCCTACTGTTCGCGGCGGGGTAATTGGCAGCTCCTTGTGGTCGTGGTGCTCGTTGACAAGATTGCGACTGTGTTTCGGGTGGACAATCAGAACATTGTAGGCCGGGTAGCGGAGACGGAGCGCTTCCACGGTAGTTTGGGTGAATTTCTCCTGCTTTGCATGTTCTGCATCGTTGATTGCGTTGACACCCTTGATGATGGCACCGATTATTGGCCCAAGGACAGCTCCAAATGCGGGAATTGGGATAGACATATTTGGCAATTTCTTATGGAATGATTATTGATTGAAGTACTGAAACGATGTTGGGATGATAGTGACGAAATGGAAACTGAAGGTGGTTCTTCAGCTCTTTTTATAATGGATACATACATCCATAACGGGGAAACTGCGCGTTGCCAGCTGAACTATTGATGTCTACACAACAGTCATGAAGTGAATCACATGCCCAGTTCTGTGAATAAGATATTCAGTGAGTTACATGGGACCGTTCTCTGAGTCGAGGCAAAGGTGGATCGCTTAGTAGTGAGCACTCAAGGTTCCTGCCATCCAACATTAGATGCTGACTGCCCCGCAAGGCCACCATGTACGGATCAATATTGAATTTCTCTGGGCATGCTGACATACATACCAGAAGCACTGCCTGATGACACTCTGGATCACATCATGTCTCCCGCAATGGTAGCAATGGCCAAGTCCGGAGGCCTAAGCCAACCTTGGCAGAGCTTTTCGACGGGCAAACTACGCCTTGTTATCGGCGAAGTTTTCACGAGTGGAAGCAGAGTATCCTAATCTAATGGCATATGACCCACTGTGGTTTTGTAAGTCCAACGCCCTGTTAATTCCGGGTCCTGAAATGGAAGTCGGTGTTTTTATGCTGAGAAACACAACCTTGGGTCTAATTCTTATCCACCATTCGCTACAGAAACAGTGTCTAGAATCTTAGGGTTCCTCTGACACTTCGATAGTTTAGAATTTCTGTCCTCATGAGGTGCGTTCTAAGATTCGAGGAGAAATTCAGTGTTTTACAGCTCGGTGGCCTCTTCCTCTTCGCGCCAAGTGAGTGTTTGTTGTCGGATACCAGACATTCACAGGCTTTTTGAGGCACTATACTTTTGGTTTATATGATTAAATCCGATCAGCGTTTCGCGTTGCCAAAGATTCTCGACCTTACGCTGACCGCTGATAAGGCAGGCAATGGCGATGTTTACTGCGACTATACGTTCATTATCTCGGTCATTAGTGCTGCAGATATGCCTCTGACTGGCTCACCTGGTTCAACCTTGAGACATGGCACACAGTCACTTGTGATTCATTTTCTAGAGCCGAAAGAGCCCTCATATGCTTCCAAACTGGAGCCACCTCTGGATAAACTGCTATGATATCATTAGAGTGACTTGCGTTTAGAACACTGGGATCTATGAGATCTAGTGTAGGCAATGAAGCCTACGCAACGGCTACGAGACAAAGTGAGTGCGCAGCTGAGCTTTGAGAGAGCAGTGTAGTATCTACAACTGCTGAAACTGAGGAGAAGATATACTTTCAGCTAAGGTAAGCGATGTTTACTATTAAGCGAGGTTGAATATTCCGTACGGATGAGAATGCTTCTCGTGAGGCAAATATACAACTCTTCGCCCAATGGATTGAGAAATGACAGTAATCAAATTGAAATTGACAAGGCTGGGGGCGTGGCGTCTGGTAATTAACTCACCTCGTGCTATTCAAAAATCGCTTTAGACAGAAAAAAATGCGCACGAACGTAGACTTGTATCGGAAGGCTCAGGGGGCTTTTCTTGTCATATAATCTGACTAACTCCACTAAGCTATGCAAGGAACTTTAATCAGGGTAATGACAGAGATGTGCACCCTACAGATTATGAAATGATTTCTATGGCCAGAACAAACGAGCAAGGGGAACGAAACGACTCAAAGATCTGGTCGGAAGATATTGTGATTTAGTTTTCTGTATATAGTGTGAAATGGAAAGTATTTCCTCTGTTGAAGCATACACATAAGCTGATATATTCTATACAAAGGTGGACAGAGGCAAAACCGTGTCACTAAAGACGCTGGGGCAATAGAAAGCTCCAGAGAATCAAGTCTCGTGCTGGTCATATGATCAAGAATATTTCTGCCTCTTCCGACTCTGGTCTTTGATCAAAAATAACAGGCTATTAGTGTCTCTTCGAATCTTTGACTTATCTGAGAATATAAAACTAATCACAATATAGGGTGGAGCCGATGGCTTCCTCAGGTGATAATACTAGCTACTTCGCTCAGGGGAGTAAAAAAATAATGTAAATTCGAACAGCATATATGGTTTGCAGCTGCCATTTTCAGCATACAATGAATTCTACTCATAACAGGAGAATCTCAACAGGAACTGATCCGTAGACTTTGCTTTACTTGGAGCATTATATATACCCTAATCTTAGACAGCTACAACATCCACTAACGGTCTTACCCAGGTAGGAAGTTTCCTACCCTGATATCGAAATCAACATTAATCTCAACACCTGAACTGTTGCTCGAAACAAACTCTACATTGACTATATGCTTGTCACAATCAAACTGGAACACACTCGCCTGCGATACGTTGCTTCCAACTGATCAAACCTTTTCTTACCAGTTTAGTAAAGGTTTGCATGACATATTACAAATCAAATACGCTTAAATGCACAGATCACTTTATAGTTTTTCGGAGATTACTAGCCAAAAATGACTACAGATCAGGGTCTTGAGTACCAAGGCATTCCCAAATAGGGTGAAAATAAATTCGTTTTTCCCCGAGACACGTAAGCTGCAAAATGTGAAAGACAACTCCTCTTGGCGTTTAGAACTAGGAACATCAAGAAAATCGACATCTTAGACAGTGAAGCGTTATGTGCTACCAGAGACCTATTCTCTATTTCCTTCATCGACAATGCCTCGCGGTGTTCCAAAATAAAGTACCCCTTATAGATGACGAAACCACATGAAATTCCCTTTGGGTGTATGAATTTGGAGACATCAAAATGAAACAACTGCTTCGGTAATTCTCCGCGCGACACAGTATCGGAACCGTGCGTGAGTAACACGACAGTCGGGAGCTGCCATCATTGGCTGTTAAGGAATGACAACAGCATTCTTGGTCGCCACAACTTAGTGGATTGGATGGACTGAGAATGCTCAGCCCAGAGAAATCGACGTACTCGTGTCTAAACTTGAGGAAGTCGAATGGCATGTGCAAGTGCGTCGTGGGGGCCCTGGTACGCGCTGCTACACAAACCGGACTCTCGAGCACTGTGAATCAAGGGGGGCATCTCTCACGCACTGTAGACATATGGTCATAGGGCACAGTCAGGATAGCGGGTGATCTAAGAAACAATCCCAATTATAATCCTGTAAAGAAAAGATGCCACACAACATTCGTCCTTCTGTCCTCAACTACGGTACTGCTTTGACCCGTGAGGCTCTTGACAACTCATGCAACCCCTATATGAATACAATTTCGATGAAGGGTCAAACTAGGATAAAAAACCCATTTCCTCTGAGCCCACGACAAGAATGCGCGCATCACGAATAGTATATTTGGTACATTTGCCGCTGATTACTGTCAGCAGCGAAAATTACAAATCGACGTGGCGAAAACTTGCTTCCGTCAGATCTTCTGCAACGAACACAGTATACTGATTCAATTTCAGCTGGTATGCTGTTAGCAGTGCCTTCCATCTCAATTTTTATCTGGTCTTACTTCGACTCGAAATCCACTCTGTCCAAATCGCCTCTCAAGTGTTTGAACCAGCCTCTTCCGATCGATTCTCGCTGTTGGAAGCTTATAAGCTCTGAAATCAGGTTGAGATTCGATTTCGGAGCTTAACGACTCGACTGAGGGATGGGACATGTTCAAGGCAATATTTCCTTTTTGCGAGTATAATGGAAGCAGTGATTGCCGCGTAGAAGGGCTGTCTGTGCTGTGGTGCCGAAGAGAGAAAATGTTCATCAGCACTCACCCAAGGAGATTGTGGGATAGCTGCGATGTAAGTAAGGGCGAAAAACTGCTCAAGGCGCATTTTGTAGGCTATGCACCTCTTGGGCGACCCGGAAGACCCGAAGGGTCGGTTTTAACACTGCATACGCACGAATTGTAAGCGAGAGGCGAGGCTCCCTGGCTGCCAGGCTTCCCGGCAACATACGAGAGGCTGGTGACCAAGGCTGAATTTGCATCTCGTTGGTAAGGAGTCTTGCTGAGCGATTCAGCTATCAAACTTCTGAAGTAGCTCTCTAATATGAATCATTGTGGTTTTGGACCATCATAGTCGACTTTCGTTGTCCTGTGTTGTGATTATTCAAACATTTATCAGATGTGTCACCGATATTTGCATGGAAATAATAAGTCCCTTGTTCTTGTGCTTGATTGCGTACATTCTCAAGATATCTGGTTGAAAGGCTGCAATAAATACCCTGTGTCTGTCATCGCCCGATCGAGGACGAACGCAAACTTGGCATTCAGACAATGGGCACAAAGCCTCTCAGACGCCCCTCCCTTGAGCATTCTTTCCTGCACCAAGTCCAGTACATCAGTTATCATTCCAGAGCACCGTGGGCTCTGCCTCAAGCCAGCAATCCAAGAGCTCACGCTTGGCCTCAATACTGCGTGTTTGCTGTCTCCGGTCCGTTTGATTGTGTAATAAGTATCATCTCCAACGTTGGGGTTAAGAAACTCAAATCTTCTCTTTTGAAAGATTTCCAGCCCTTTTCTGCCTTCCATCAGCCACGTTATGAGTTCCAAGAATATACAGCCCATGCTCCAGATGTCATACATTCTTGAGACTGGTCTGTCTAGCTCGATCTCTGGCGAAGCATAAGTTGGCGACGCATCCGTTGGCCTAGATATCGACCTCGAATCTAGGCCATGGAATTTTCCAAGGCCTAGATCTGTAATCTGCAGATCCATTGAGCCATCTTCGAGGTTCTTCGTACAGAGTATGTTTTCTGGTTTCAGATCACCATGCCTTCCATACTTTTCTTCCGTTACTCGCAGCCGCTTTACGAATGGCTTTTCTTGTGTAACTTCTGGACTCGGCAATGCAGGTTCCAGTGGATGGGTAGGTTGAAAATTGTGGATAACACATGTTGCATCTACCAAGCCTCGCATTTGCTTGATAGCCCAAACTGCCACTGGCTTGTTCCAGTGCGGGGACGGTATCGCTTGCCAATACTCACGAAGGTTGCAATCGGCATATGGAAACATAAGGTGGTCTTTGTTTTTATGGGTGTATGTTGCGAGTAAATTGACCAAGTTGGGGTGCCGACTTGACGTGAGATCACTGAGCATCTCCGACTCTCTCTTGAATAATGTGCGGTCAGGATTGTTGAGGCTTTTTATAGCGATGACTGGATTCTGTTGGTACATTAGACATTGCACAGTAATAGTTATGTAGCAACAAACCACATCATTTGGGCACAGCAACAACTTCTGATGTGTTGGGTGAATCTTTACACCCCGGACCTGGCTGAATCCGCCATATTTGATCTTTCCCTTACTTCCGTCATCATCTTTAATATAAGGAAGAATGATGTTGTATTGGAGATCGTAGTGCTTGATTTTACCGCCAGTGTTTCTGAATACTGGCGCCAATAAGCTCCATTGGAGACTACACAGAGTACGGACTTCGGCTTTGTCCCGTATGCTTCTTTGATTGACGAAAGTCTTGATGGAACAGTAATCGTAGCAGCGACGATCATTACCAATGTGGGTGCATGTTGTATCGTGGGAGCGCCTTCCCAATCTATAGAGGGTGCTGGATGGTTTGCTTTTGTCCAGAAGAATTTTTGAGAATGGGAGATCCAGATCTGTAATACTCTCGTCTAACAGTTCCATTAATATTTGGATTTTGTTTGACATCAGCAAGAGGGCGAAGAGCTTTTTTGCTTTGGAGCATATGGTATGGGACAGGTCATCAAGCCTTGGCCCTGATAGACTTGAATGGATGGCTTCGAGAACCGCTCTCACATGCTCTATATCCACCAAATCGTCGACTTTATTGTTTGGGATGAAGTACGTGTCTGATGATTCGGGCCAGTTGTAAAGCTCTTCCTGTAATGCTTCGGACAATTGGCTGGCAGTGTCATTGACAGACAGAGACAGCGCCTGGGCAGCCATGGTGTCCCTCGACTTGCCGTTCGCTTTCAGGCTTTGCAGGCTAAGATCAACAAAAATAGTTTGTCCAATTGTTCGACGATAAACTTCGACGTAGCCTTGTTGGGGTCGAATGAAATTTCAAAGACCACTTCAGAATTACCAAACAGTGATGGTGCTTGTATGATGACAGAGCTGTGTCAAGCCTCAGTTCAAACCATTGAAATCAGCCCGGAGGTCATGACCATGAGGCCCCGCCCCTTTCTAGGCTGTCAGCTGTACTTATATAAGTCTCCTCGGGCACATCTAGACCTAGATTTCTGACCTGGAGCCTCATCTAAAATCACAGCCTGGTCTCGAGAAGAGGTATATGGAGACTCTAATATCGCTGCACAGCAAGATAAGGAGGGCGTATCATTGTAAGTGGCTTGCATGACATTTGCTGCCGTCCCTTCCATGCAACCCCTACACACCGGTTAAATATCAATGACCCAATCTCGCCCGACTCAAACGAGAAACGCCCTGCTTCTGCCTGCCGCGGTCTTGAAAGGGTGAGACATTCCAGCGCCTTGAAAGCACCCATTACCCGTTGGACGATCATGAGCTGCTCTGGAGCTAAGCAAGCTCGTTTGAATTAAGTCCATCTCTGCGGCTGTGCAGGCAGTCTAGGCGTCTGCTCATAATTGGCAGCGTTTGGCTGCTGTTATGGAACGGCAAAACGAGGCGCCGTAGCCCCCTCGGGCGGATGCCCTGTTCATGCACAGAGTGGTCTTTTCGGTCTTGCTCTCGTAAGTTGTACGATAGCCAAAATCGCCACAGGAAAAAGGTGAATACTGTAAGCGGCAAAGCAACAACAACAAACCACCAAGACTCTGAAATTACCGAGAGTCGACCGTTTTCGTCAACGTGAATCAGCTGGCTGGAGAATATGCTCTAAAGTGCGAGAACAATCAGCCCGGAGAATTAGTACAACGTTTTCGACTTACAGCAACGACTGTGACAGGCAAATATATCAAGGTTATGACGGTGAGTATTTTGACGGCTGTTGACAGTCAGGTTCAGATCAAAGGTGTTCATTGGTAGCTCTTTTACCAGCTGCATCTTGTGTGCTTCTCTCCTAGGAGTGATTGAGCAAGCATTCTCTAAGAGGCAAGGGGTTTACTGACTGTCAGTATTCTCATTTTGCTATTCTCCTCTTTTGACTCCTTGGCCAAGTCGTTAAGAGACTTCTCGTTGTGATTGGCAATCTGAGCATTCTCGTAGTCCAGCAAATCGGAAAGCTGCAATAGTCAGCTAACCTGCACCACATTCCATTCACGGATTCGTACAAGCTGAGCGGTCCCTTGACTCCGTTGGTGAAGAATATCTGCCTTCTTCATGTTAACCTTGATCTCATGCTTTTGCTCCTCAAATTCTTCTATGATGTTATTGCAGATGCACTGAGGGCAGCTGGAACCCAAACAATGGATCTGGCATTGTCTTTGAAGCTTTGTGACTGTATTGTAAAGGGATTCAAAAACAATTTTCAGATCTAGAATCTTGTCTTCCATCACCTTCAACCTCTGACGATCGACAAAGTTGATAGGGAAGTTAGCCAGCGGTGAGAGATTCTCCGTCTCGTTTTGGACTTGGGTAAGAGTAACTCGATCTGACTAAAGTTCTGTTATTGGAAAACCTATTAATCCAGTTCTTAAACACCTACTTGCTGCTTGAGTAACTTCTCCAGGTCTCTTATGTATAGTCTCCAATTCTCATGGAGGTTCGAAATCAAGATGCGATGGAGATCGAATGGGTTGAGCTTCGTTTTCTTGTCATGATGAGACTGAATATTGCGCTCCAAAAGCTTCCTAGAAGTCTCAGGAGGAGAGATGAGAATAACCATGACCCTGGATTTTTCTCTGTCATATTGTTGATATATGGCGGTTTGCCGGATTGACCACGGATCGTAGTCTGGGTTGTCTTCCATGGCTTCCTTTCGGTGATTCAGGACAGCATATCGAAACCCATATGCACATTCTTACGCCATTAGCAGAGTCTGCTAAAGAGAAATGATACACTTACCAAACGAACCTGGCTGCAGGTCGCTCATCAAGACATGTTCTAGTTGCCGAAATCTGAATGGAGCATGGCTGATATCAGACTCCCTGGTTTTGAAGCTGAAAGGAATTATGAAATCCCAAAAGCGCTGAAACACTGAGTAGCTGTGAAGTAGTTGGTCGAAAAGATCACGAGTTATGTACAGTCGACTGTATGAATGCTTCTGGCGTATGCAGAAGATCTGGTATTGGTCTGTTGAAGTCTACTCCCGGTTAGTGTGTGCTTGTGTGCAACATGCCCTCCATCATGAAACTCACGGCCGCCTCGAGCAGGTCGTCTGGATTTGCAATAAACCTTCTTGAAACAGCACGTTCAACGAAACCCGGCTTTCCTGAAAATCGTGCAAAGGTATTGAGCTGTAAATCACATTCGGCCGAATATCGACAAAATGTTCCCGCAAAGTCCACCTCGATTTCTTCAAGGACAGAGGACTCAATCCAGTCAAAATGAGCTTTCTTCTCGACATCCATTGTGTAATTTCTCGAAGATTTTTCTGTTTTGGTGGTCAAGACCAAGGAAGTGATCGTAATGCTTCAAAGAATCGTCACGTGTGGCATCCTGCTTCATGGTGCGAAATCAGCGTACGTACATATCATATTACGAAAGCGCCAAAATCCTCAAAGCACAGGCTTTCCAGACCTTGCTGTGGCCTGCTGTCTCATTGCAGTTGGTATTGGGGTGTGTGACTGCGCAGTTGTCAGAAGATACAAGGCTCAGCCCCGGGCATGCAGCTTGAAGGGCTTTCATGCAGGCTGCTTCGCCACCCGCGAAATGGAGGGTACCCAATATGGCGCTCGCAAACCAGCCTCTGAAATGTGATGCTTGCTAACTTGATCGGGAATCTTGCATCGATTTACCGCCCGGCCAGACTCTGTGCTAATTTGTGATAGAAGTCTTCGCATGAGTAGTGGGAAATGGTTGGATATGCTGCTAAGCCAGTCCCGTCTCCTATACTTTATTGGAAATGAGTCGAACCACGAATGATGTGTTGGACAGCATGCTCAGCATCTGCACCACCACACGTTGAACGACTTACACACCAGCTTACTGATGACCTGCCGAGCTTAAAGTGGGATGGATGTGAGACAGCAGCCAGGCTTTGCCTAATGGTAGCTAGGCGGTCGTGAGGTACCGTGGCAGACGAAACATCCTACCTTTTGAACTTCTCGAGGTTGTGGACGTCAACAGTAAACATCCAGACTCCTAGTTTTGTTTGTGCGGGACACGAACATGCAACAAGTCATCGAGGGTCGTTATGTGGACAGGAAGAAGCTGATCCGACTCATGAAAAGGCTTTTTCCAGATGGCGATTATATCATCAGGGTATGGATATGCTCAGCCACATTTGGATGTCTCAGCACATTTTGCTAAGATCTCGCAGATGCAATTGAATTGCTGGATTTTGACGCTGCCGAGACTTCTTACTGAGGTTTGTTGCAACAACATGTGGAAAACACGGAGTGCTAAATTCTACTATCAATAGGATGAAATTAATGACTGTTATTACGTCTGAGAACATGACTTTTTTGACGAAGAGATTGGAGGAGGGCTGGAGCAGTAGCAAGTGACCAAGGCGATCTCGCTAGAGCCCGTACATCATTTGATGGTTCTGTTTCAACTTTTGAATAGATGGTCAGAGTTCATCGAAAATTATTCATTGGCTGTATGAAAACTTCACAATGAAGCTTTCATAGGCCTTGGTATACATCTATGAACGAGTAAAATGCATCCAGCTCTTGGTATCTTCTAAAAATGACGAACCTTGAGGACAAAACACCCAACTATCAATTACCCATATTTGCGGCCCCGGCGAGCGCCTTGTCTATTTACAATTCCGCGTTCAACAACGATTCTCCTACTCATGTAAGTAACACCATACGTGCTATGCCGAAGAGTACGCTCTCACCTCAATCTGTCGAAAAAGTCATGAGAGAAGTAGGTCTTGAGATGTTCGATAGTCTAGAGCTTGGGATGTCTGTTGACGAACGAGTCTCCAGAACCGCGCTACTCCTGGGAAGTGGTGTTCCAACGGAGGTACTGGGCGGCGGTAACGCCAAAAGACTCGGATTCTGCACGGCCATAGGTTTTGACGGTCGTGGAACAGTAAGATAGCCTGGATCTTCTGTGGCCTTTGACAGCATGCTGGCCAGCTCACGGTTTAGCATTCTGATTCTGATTCGGTTCTTGGGTTCAATCACCAACATTTGCTCTGAAATGAGGTTTAGTAAATCATTCACAAAACTTGAGCACCGTGGCATTTCGTGGAGGCCGTGTATCCACGCTCGGACACTTTCTCGGACAATCGCCATCCGTGGATTGCCAGGACTATCGTCACCCACAATAGTAAAGAACGTATCATCTTTGAAGTTTTCGGGTCCTCGAAGAAGTCGATGTCTCGCAAATTCGTCAAGGGCATCCTGTCCACCGACGAGCCATGTGGCAAACTCGAGAAACATGCAACCAAGACTCCAGATATCGTAGGCGCGAGAGATCTGCGAAAAAAGAACGAGCTCAGGGGGTTCATACGAAGGCGATCCAGTGATGCTCTTTGCAGGACCAGATCTTGTGGCTCGGTTGTGGAAGTCGGTCAAGCCAAAGTCGGCGATGACGAGAATCCCATGTTCGTCGCCCTCCTCCGGGAACCAAAGCATGTTTTCGGCTTTGATATCTCCATGGCGACCAAACTTACGACCCTCTTCTGATTCTGTCTCTTGTGCATATGTATACCGGTATTCGTGGACAACGTGCAGTCCAGATGTGATTGCTCGGCATTGCCTCAAGATCCAAAACACAGTCTTTTCAGAGAATTCGGGCAGGGGCGTCGTCTTCCAATACTCCCGCAAATTCAATTCGGCAAAAGGGAAAATCAGATGGAACATCCCCTTCCACTTATACGTCGCCAGCAGATCGACCAAATGCTGGTGGGGGTATTTTTTGAAAGCCCGAAGCATTGCCACTTCTGATCTGAAACTCTCTTCATTCGTTGAATTCAGTCGTTTGATTGCGTTGTACTTGTAGCGTAATGGTAGAATAGAACCGGACCTCGACACGTGCATGGGTCTTCTTCCTCTTGATCCCTCTCGAGGGAATACTTGCTGGTGAGCGGGATGGATTGCAACCTTCCAAACTGAACCATAACCGCCCTCTATCGGCCCTTTCTCGTTATCAGACTTCCTTCGTTCGTGGTCTTCGATGAAAGGAAGAACGGTATGCTCGCCAAAATCGTAGTGCTGGATATCGTCGCGGAACACAAAGGTGGGTGGGTACATGGAGTGTTGTGTCTGTGCAAAGCGCTGGATGCTGAGCTTTTCCCAGCCAGCCATACATTCAAGCGGCTGATTAGGAGCGTTTTTGCTGCAAAGTTGCAAACGGGTAGATCCATCTCTTGTAGTAGGTGTAGAGAGTCGGACAAAAGGTAAATGACTATCGTCAATGCCTGCATCGAGGAATTCCATAATTCTATTCCCTCCTGAATCCAGAACAAGGACAAGCGTCGCAAAGAGTCTAGGAGCAACAGCAAAGATCTTCTTAGCTTTTTGTTGCAGCCAAAGGTCATCGTGAGGCATATGAAGGCATTCCCCTAGCTCAGTAGCGATTGATTGTGGTGTAACAATTCGCAGGAAATCAACCACAGGTATGAAGAAGCGGAAATCACTACCTGGCTCAAGCTGTGCATGACCAATTTTGTGCGAAGTACTCCTGTTCGTGTCGCTTCGCGGGTATAGCCTAAGTTTTCGGTGGAAACTATTTTAACAGGTCTAAAAAGATCTGACAAGGTGTCGCCGGCGTCTGGATGGTCTCTAATGGAGGCATTTGGACTGGGAATTCTTGTAGATGCTTGTGATGAGATTCTCGGGCGCAGGGTAATGTCATCGACAGTCCCAAGATTCGAAACACTTCCCGAAGAGGAGGGGCTTCGTCGTCTAATAGACTTCGTGCTTCTTGGAAGTATTTCGTCTCGAGAGTTGTTCACTTGATTTCGAGAATGAGACGAGACGGTGATGGCTGGCTGTTTCGTTCAGGCGCTTAGCAGGTGTTCTCGGGGACGCTATTGGTGTGCATATAGACCTACCACAGGTGGGTTGGTACCGCCCTCCTCTCCTGGTTCAGTTAAAGCACCGAAGCAGCACACTAAGAGCCTACAAAGAGGCCTGAGATCAAATCGAGCCATCTGTAACTAATGGGGGCGACGACACGGGCGAAGACACTGCTTTATACAAAATGCGAAGGGGAGCACTCAATAGCTACTTTAAACAATACAAGCAAAAGCTACGATGGGTTAAGCTGTGCTAGGCACGGCTTTCCACCTTCATAGATTGAACAGAAAAAGCCTTGCTCAAGAGCTTCAACTTGCGGTGAGTGAGCTGCGCATTTTCAGAAGCTGCTGCGCAAAGCCAGCACCGCATGTCGGCAAAGGACTACAGAGGTGAAGGCTCTGGCGAACACTCCTGCCAGCCGCAGCTGGTATCTGGCTCTCTCTCCAAACACGGGAGGGGCCATGCAACCAGTGGCTGGCTAGATTTTGCAGGTACTCACATCTACCAGCAGCAAGCTGTTGCTTTGTTGGTACGGGGTTCGTCGTGGTCTGCAGATCTTGCCATCTCTGTACATATGCTCGCTTCTCAGTCTTCTCACCGAAATCCTAGTCGACGATGCTTATCGCCGGATGGCCATACTATGGCGAGACAGCGGCATGAATATCAATGGATGTAAAATTCCTCATGGTAAGTATAATTGTGATTCATGGCAGACTGCATCATGACGCAAGGAGAATCTGGGGCACATGGAACACAAGAGAACTGTCAGAAGGAAAAACAAATGTCAAATCCACGCAAGACCTCCGAAGGGCCTGTCGCGAGCACTGACTGCGATGAACAATCGACCGACAATTGGGTCTGGAACACAGTCTTCTGTTCAAGGCAATGCCAATCAGCCTGATTTCATGGCCACCGTGCTGGAAAAATCCCGGATGACGAGAAAGACTTGCCTCGAAGCACGACTGGTAATTAATTCAAAAACAGACAAGGAAGCAGTGCTATTGTAGAATTCTAATTCAACGACTATGCATGACAAGCATTACTGAGGCGAACCAGGACAATAGACGCATTGCTCTTCAACAAAGCCTGCCATCCATCGCAGCATGTCTTGTAAAATGGACAAAAGCAATTCTTGTGTGGCATCGGATACTTCGTACGGTACCTGTTTTGGTCTAGGGGCAGGTGGCAAATGGTGCCTGCAGCTCGCGCAACAAGCCATGAATGTAAATACGAGGCAGGATCGCGTTCATGTCACACAAGTTGATCGACATGAGGTTCTAGACCTGTGAGCAGCTTCATGCAAGTTCGACATATGCCGAGGGCACACCTACCCATTCGTTATTTTGCATTGTAGTGGTTGTTTACTATTCGAATGCGAAGCGGGGCTTGGTGCTGTGGAGGCGCAAGCGACGCAGGCCAGGTCATTTCATTTGCTGAGCAACTGGAATAGCTCAACAATTTTGATGCCCTTGCATTCAGTTGATGGACACCAAAGCAGAGCCTCAAAAATATCGTCATCATGCTTAAATGGTAAGTCACGTCGGCATGGGCCCTGGTGGTAGTTTGGGATGGCCTGGCATGTGGAAGCTGCAGGTTTAAAGGGTTGAATATATGATTGGAACCGAAATGCAAGCCGACAGTTTTGTGATGATAGTATTGAAAATTGCGAAATCCATCCATGGCTCCAGTAATTAGCCAGATATCAACCAGCCATGAAGCGGCCAACCCCAGGATCGCTCTCCTTTCTCCCCTGACCCTCCTTCGGGGGCTCTTTCCCGGCACCCCCATCTCGCCTAGTCTTCGCACCCTCCTTCAGCTTCTCCCATCGATCACGGTACCGAGCGACCACAATTTTAAGCTTATCGTTCTCCTTGCCAAGTCTCTCAATTTCCTTGCTACCAAGTGCCAAGTGCTGCTCCAGCTCCAGGACTCTTCGCTTCAACCCTTCATCCCCACCACGACTGGATGCGTCCCTAGCAGGGCTCATGTTGCGAGTTAAGCGAATGCTCTCTTGAAGAGCCATGCTGTTCTGTTGCGCTGACATTTCGAATGCATGTAAACGTTTGCTGAGCTTGTCGATACAGTCTTTCAGACTCTTGTTCTCCATGTTCAGTTCCTCGACTTTGTTCTCAACCTCTCTGGTGCTGAGTTTCCGTCCAAAGCTTCGCTTAGAGGTTGTGGGTGATACCGGCATAGGTGTTTCTCTGGCATCTACGAAATCATCTTCCTCGTTCGGATCAGCGAAGAGGTCTGCATTTTCACTGTGCATGGATGCTGCCATTCTTCGTTTCTCCTTTTGCTCATATGACACAATAGCAGCATATGGTATTGTTCCACCAGCTGTAGGAACCACATAGAAGGAGTCGTTGCCGGACTGTCCGTCACGAGCCGATGCTCGAAGTGCCGATCTGGAAATAAACTTGGTGAGATCTGGATCAGAACCCGACCGTTCCTTGCTCTTTGGCCGCTGCTTAACACCCTTTGGAGCTTCGGTAGGAGCTGGAGCCTGCCCTTCTTCGGATATCAAGGGCAAACCTGCAAATGCGAGTGGCGCAGATAGCTTTGACAGGATATTCTCAAAAGTATTGTAGAACCTGGAGAAGCCTTCATCGTTCGAAGAGGATGCTTCTCCCACGGCCGTAGGTATCTCTACTTTCTTAGGACTGACCACAGCTGGCGGCACCCAGCTTGGTTGTGAATGCTCCGGGATGCTAGCCGGAATCTTTGACCGTTTGCCATCTCTACGAGGGAGAGTCTCCAGTCCACCAGCAGCTTGTTGAGTGGAAACACTTGGCGATAGTGGCTGGCGTGTATAGTTCGCACGGATACCACGTGCAGATGCAAGGTTGCTAGCGATCGAAGAGCTCAGATCTCTCGGGGGAAGACGGCGGGGATGTTGTAGACTTGGTGGATTTCGGAGAGCAGAAGCCGATATAGGACCAAGGTCCGACTTGGAAGCACGTAACTCTGAAACGGCCGCAGATGTTGAAAGAGGTTTCTCGGTCACTGCCTGGACTTCTGGCTCTGTAGCAGTTGTTGTCGGTGGGTTTTCGGAGGGGTATCGCAGAAGTTCAGAGAGTCTCTGGTGATGCTGCTCCAAAAGTCTCAGCGTCCTTAAAGCCTCAGCACTCCCAGTTCCAGACGCAGCTTTTGCGAATTCTCCAGCTGCCAGCGCATGTTCGTTGATAGCTACAGTCGTATCGGAACTCTGGGTTGCGACGGAGGCTGCCCGCGCATGGTCGTGGGCCTACACCGTTAGTTAGTGGAGGTGGAGGAGTCAAGGGGTGAGTTGGCATACCAGAATCAATGGCGAGGACTCCATATTGGTGTTAGATGTGCTGGCCAGGGAGCAGGTCGTCTGTCATCGCTATTTTGCTGCTTGTTGTAGTCACAAAGAAGTGAAGCTGTAGATGTCCGTAGTATGACAATCACGAGGCTGTACTGTATGAGGTCGATCTGGAGAAGCGGCCCGGTGGGGCTCCCGTCTGACGTACAGCCAATCACAAGCAGTCCAAAGGCATTGCCCAGGTGGGAAGGCGGAAGGCCAGACAAGGCAGTGTCAAGAGGCCAAGGCATAGGATTTCACAAATGCCATGTCGTAGCTCGCCCTCTCCTCTCTGGAGCAGCATCATAGTCGTCGCCTCTCTTTCCTCTTTTTCCTCTTCTCAAGAACAGACAGTTCCAGCGACTACTTCATAGTGATAGCGACATTGCTTCGCCTCTAGTTTTCTCTGGCATAAACAGTACGTACAAGGCTAACGAGCTGGTTATCCCACTCCAGCAGGTCTAGCTGCGCATCGAATGGTCAGAGGAAAGGCACGGAGAGCAGAACGAACATTTTACGATACGATCGCGGACAATCAGCCTACATGTGATACTTCCACCTTCCACGATTCTGCGAGTCCTTCGATCAATCGATATCAGACGGCGAGATGTCCTTCACGCTCGAGAGATCGGAATCACCACAGAGAAACGGATTGGTCCAATTGTTCTCCAAAACCCGGCGCGACAAGAAGAGCAAAGATTCTGCGAGCAATTCAGTCAAGAGCAGTTATAGCGAAAGTCGAGCTGTCCGGTCGTCCTTGGAGGATACAATTGAGAAGCTGAAAGGGCACGAAGTGACTGAAGAAGATGGCGAACCATCTAGCATCAAGAAGCTTGCAAGAGGCCTGGGATCCACACGCCGGCGGCGGAGAAGAGAAGAGGAACAACAAGCCAGCGAGGAGATAGCTCGAGGGAGAGAAGTTGCGGATCGAGGAACTCTGGGCGACGATGTGGATAACTCGCCCTATGCTGATAACGGTGCGGGCGGAGATGGAAGCAGTTTGATAAGCTATGATTCCGAGACCGAGTCGTAAGTAGCATTTTCTTTCATTACTTGACCTTCTGTTCGTACGCCGTATCCGCGTATCCGTTCGGACGTGGAGATGCGAGTCTTGGAGAGCTGCAGCTCCATTTTTGGATAGCTCCATCGCGAGGCAACCGATTAGCCAGGATGAGGCCAGGCTAGAAATGCGGAACTGTCCTATGCAGGACTTCTCCCCATATCTGCACCTCATAACTACACCATCCCACACAAACAGCTCGCATCTCCCAATCCTCTATTCCGCAATTCGAGGTATATGCTTGCTGCAGCTTATGACTCTTGCTGCAACCTTCTTTTCACACTTCATGCGCTGAGCGTTTCGTTTGCTCTATTCGCCGAGTCGATCCCCGACCCATCATTACGTGCGCCGTACCTATCTACCCTGCATCAATCTGACCCAAGTACCTCATACAGGCCACCCGAAACAAAACCTTCTCTCTCTACACATCCTTCACATATAGGATATTTAACGATATCCTCGCCACTGGTTCAATCCGTTACGCTACCAGATTCGGCGTTGTCGGAGTCTCAGCTGGACGGCACAACACCTCGAGCAGCCACTTTCCCCAAAGTCGAAGCCCTGGCTGCCTCCGCGTCTACCCCGAATCTTGACAGCACTCTACGTGCCCCTACAAACGGATCAGATAGACGATCCCCCTCGCCAGTTGGCAGATTAAAGCAAGCTTTCACGCCGAAGCGGGCTTCGAGTCCAAATACAAGTCCAGAGCGGAAACCAGGAGGGGGAGGGGGAGCTGGCCCTTTGAAGGAGAAGTCTGCGGGGGATAGCAGGCGGGGGAGCGTTGCGTCAAGAATCGGGTCAATATTTCCAGAAAGACAGACCGCGTCACAGCCAGTGTCTTCAACAAGCTCCCCCGAGCGACCACGAACTGGGAAGATCCAAACGCTCGACACGAGTGCTCCACCTAGCACACCCCCACCTGGCGAAAACATAGCTCCCATCATTGTCAATACACCTCCTACTCCTACAGACCCCAGCGCTCCTCGAATCACTGCAGCTCGGGAACGGGGAACTTCAGATCCGATCGTTTCTAATGCCAACGTCGTAGTTTCCCCGACTGGGAACATGATATCGCATCGCCGAATTCGGTCAGGATCAGCTTCATTAGGGCCTAGCAAGCTGTCGAACATCACAACTGCACCTTTGACACCAACGCTCGAGAGTGGTCCAAACACCCCAGGAACAGGATTCTTCTCGTCAGTGTTTTCCGCAGCTCAGAACGCCGCAAATACATTGAGCAATAGCATTGCCAATACATCCGTGGCTCCTGGAAATCGAAGTAAGAGTGGGACACAAGAGATCAAGGAAGTGGAAAGTCCAGTCGTGGAAACATTTGCCGAGAAAACGGATTCAGAAGCCCCTACGGAAGAAAAGGAGCTTGCTGTAAAGACACTGGGTATGGGTGATCTCAGCTTGAGTGCCCTGGGCATATCTGAGAATAGTAGTGGCTCCAATACGCCCTTGGGACTCAAATTCCCTGAGGAGGTGCGCGGCAGATCCGAGTCCCAAGTTGAAGACCGGCCTGCTCTGGCCCCAGTTGCCAATGGCGAGCTTGTAGATATCTCTTCCGTGGCAGCTGTGGATGACCTTCAGCCGCTTATTCGACCTCGGTCTATGTATGAGCCTGGAACTGGAGGAGATCAGACCCCACCAAATGGAAGTGTTTTCGAGGGAAAGACTGGTCTTCAGCGCAGTGGGAGCATTCGTAGCGCCATTGGGAATCGCCGCAAAAGAAACAGCTCAGCAGCGACCGGGACCACTATTGGAGCGGCAATTGCTGCAGCAAACAGCTCTCTCGGGAATCCCACTGCAGGAACGCAAAAAATTACAGGCTTCGCAGTTGCCAGCAAGAAGCGAAATCGAGACTTCCATCAACTTTTCAGGAGCGTGCCTGACGATGACTATCTGATTGAGGACTACAGCTGTGCCTTACAACGAGAGATCCTTGCACATGGACGTCTGTACGTCTCGGAAGGCCATCTCTGCTTTAGCAGTAACATTTTCGGATGGGTGACAACCCTGGTGATGAGTTTTGATGAAATTGTTTCGGTCGAGAAACGAAGCACGGCGCTGTTATTCAAGAACGGATTGATGATATCCACTTTGCATGCAAAGAACATTTTTGCTAGTTTTACAAGTCGAGATTCGACTTATGATCTGATTGTTGGGATCTGGAAGTTGGGACACCCAAGCCTTCGAAGTTCACTGAATGGTGTCAGGATAGAGGAGACCGGTGGTGGAGACAAGACCGAGAAAGATGATGGAAATCCTGCAGCCGGGAGTCAAAGTGGTTCAGATTCCGATAGCGATGATGGAGAAGAAGGGGATGATGTATATGACGAGGATGAGGAAGAAGAAGATGGGATGAGTTTTACCCAAGCTGAAGGGAGTGTTGCAGGTAGTGATGTTGGGGAAAAAGTCGTCAGTCGAAAACCGTCTGCTGCTGTTGTCACGAATGGTGCTCCAGCTGAGAAGAGCAAAGAGGAAGGTCCAACGAGTCCTGGAACTGACTTCCCTGGCCCTGCAACTCACCCACCGACCGAATGTACGGACCAGGAAACTCATTACGCCAAGGTTATTGGTGATGAAATCATCCAAGCTCCGCTAGGAAAGATCTACAGCCTTATGTTTGGACCGGCTTCGGTTACATGGATGCGAAACTGGTTGACAGTCGAGCAAAAGTGCTTAGAGTTGACGATGGAGGACTCATCGAAGAAACCGCTTGGGCTGGACAACAAAGTCCGATACTATTCATACATCAAACCGTTGAATGGTTCCATTGGGCCCAAACAAACCAAATGTGTCTGTACCGAGACTCTGGATTCGTTAGACTTGGAAAAGGCTGTGTCGGTCTCAATTTCTACACAAACTCCTGATGTGCCGAGCGGAAATGTCTTCAGCACCAAGACGAAATATTGTCTGTCATGGGCCGAAGGAAATGCTACAAGAATACAAATGAACTGTGCCATCGAGTGGACTGGCAAAAGCTGGCTGAAAGGTATGTCTGTTGTCCAAGATTTGAGCAATTTCTAATCCGGTCAAGGTCCCATTGAGAAGGGAGCAAACGATGGCCAAGTTCAGTATGCAAAGGATATTATTGCAGCCTTGAAGACCGCTGTATCGTCTCGTCGTGGTACGCTGGTTCCTGCATCAGGCAAGAAGGGTAAGAAAGGACGCAAGGGCCGCGAGTCGAAGAGCATCTCCAAGACAACAGATGGCGCTGCAGATTCCAAACCTACCGCTGATGATTGGGGTATGCTGGAGCCATTACATGCTATCCTGGGCCCTGTCATCAGTATTCTTCAACCACTGCTCACTGGCAACATATTATATGGGCTCTTAGTTGGCCTACTCGTAGCCAGCTGGTTCCGTTTTGGCTTCAAAGGAGGCAGCTCAAACGTCAACCAACCAATGTCATATTACGCCACACCAGACAGGATCGCCGCCTATGAAGAGATCTGGCGGCGAGAGGAGAGCGAACTCTGGGAATGGTTGGAGGATCGAGTTGGGATGGACCGTCTCAGGGATCCGACGCGGATGCCTATGGAATCTCGAGCCATGCAGGATAAGCTGAAGGACGAGAGGATGGAAGATCGCGAGATCGATGACGCTATTCGCGTCACCGAGGAGAAGCTGAAAGTTCTTAAAGCTACGATGGAGAAGAGGAAGGCTGCTAGCGACAAGGGAAAGAGTAAGCTGAAGAAGGAAGAGAAGCCGGTGGATGATATGGGTGCGGGGGCAGGGGAAGGTGCATAGTTCGTTCGGGTTCCTGTTCGTAATTCTCGTTCTTGTTCTTTTTCTTGCTCTTGTAGAGTATATATGATGTGATTGACGGTGTTCTGGGCGCTACTATGCGCTGGTGACTGGGGCTTAGGGTGTGGTTTTGGTTCTGGTTCTGGTTTAGGGAGACACATACGCATAGCGATTCGAAAATACCATTTCCTTAGTTACCTTTTGACTTCTTGTGGTTTGCTTTGTGCTTAACTTTTCAAATTTGAAATCGTCTCGTGGAAGATCCAATCCACGGGAACGGCATTCTGAGTGAAATATCAAAGAATTGCAAGTGAATGGTTGTGGGATGTGTTTGGTAGAGGCAAGCTTATTTTATGGAGAAGAGCAGGTATTGTATTGTATTACTGAGTGGTCGAAGCGAGGCAGGAGGGAGGTAAATAGATGAGTGCTTTCAATCTCGAGATCTTTCCTGCGAATTATGTACATATATGTACAATTCCTTATGGGCTGAATTTCATATACAGCATGGATGGATTTGAATGAGTACAGTGCCTCTGCTGGGTGGGGTGGGGCGGGGAAGAGGAGTTGGGGGGGGGCATGTCATGAGTTTTTTTTTTGTTTTCTTTATCTTTTTACTTGGAAGAGGTTTAGTTGGTTGGTTCTTTGGGTTAAGATGTGTGTGCTGTGCTGTGCTGGGGCTTTAATAATTTAATGCAGAGCAGAGCAGAAGGATGATTATAAAAGGTAAGGAGAGGTAAATTTGGTAATACACGGTTCAATATGGATTTTCTCGGTGAAGGATATGTTGTGGTAGGAGATGCACTAATAAATAGGAGACTCACAGGCTCGCTTCGTTCACTTGAGCTAAGCGAATTTCAGGGGTGAGCTGCGCTGCTGTTGACTTGTGAAGAACTGTACGTACTACGGGTACTACGGAAGGGATATAATATATTGACAACACTCAGCCACACAAACACACACACACAAACTCCGCCATCTAGAAAACCCCGCAAACCCCACCACCTCACAACTTCGCCTTCTCCCCCTCCTTCCCGCCCTTCCCATCCCTCCCCTCCTTCCTCGCCCTATCCTTCAAAACCCTCCTCAGTATCTTCCCACTCGCACTCTTCGGCACCTCATCAACAAACCAGACGCCACCCCTGAGCGCCTTATGCGGCGCAACTTTACTAGCGAGCCAGGAGACGATTTCCTTTTCTGTGGACTGGGGGGGTTTTGCGCCGCTTTCGCCGTCTCTGAGAACGATGCACGCCATGGGGACTTCGCTCTCGCGGACGGGGTCGTGGATCCCGATTACGGCTACGTCGGTGATGTGAGGGTGGCTGCTGAGGATGCCTTCTAGTTCGGCGGGGGCGATTTGGAAGCCTTTGTATCTGTTGGTGTGGGTGGTTAGCATGTGCGGAGATTTTGAGACGAACCCTTCAAAACTCCAATTGTTGAGACTCGGGAACGAAGGGAAACTAACTTGATCAACTCCTTCACGCGATCCGTGATATACATATTTCCCCTCTCATCCTCATACCCGATATCACCCGTCTTGAAGAAACGATCTGTAGTGATGGATGATTTTGTCGCTTCGGCGTTGTTGTGGTAGCCGAGGAAGACGTTGGGGCCTTTGACCCAGATTTCGCCTTCTTTGCCGGGGGGGACTTCGTCGCCTTCTGGGGACATGAATTTGATGGTTTGGTTGGGGAGGGGTGGACCGACGGAGCCAATGCCGTTGTCCCATTGTTTCTGTAGGTTTCGTGAGTTAGTTGATCTATTTGCGTTGTACTTTGGGAGGGAGTTAGGAGAGGGGATAAATGAGATAACAGGAAAGAGAAGAGGAAATGGCAAACCTGAATATGTGTCGCGGGACTGGTCTCACTCAACCCATACGCCTGTTTGACTTCTATACCTAACCTCTTATGGACAGCATGGATGAGTTCTTTTGTCAGCGGTGCAGCGCCAGAAGTCATCATTCGTAAGGAAGAGAGATCATAGTCGTCGACTACTGGGTTTTTTGCGAGGTGGAGGACGACAGGTGGCGCGACGTATGTATATGTGATCTTGTAGTCTTGGATGAGACGGCAGAAGAGCTTGAGATCAAAGGCGGACATGACGATGGTTGTGAAACCCGCGTAGGCGGGGAGATGGACGAGACATTGAAGACCTGTTTGGATGGCTAAGTTAGTATATAGAAGTTCCTTAGAACTACAGCACAACATCCTGTTGACTAGACTGGAGGGAACGGGGATACTCACCATAAATATGATAATACGGCAAAACACTCAACACCCTATCCTTCTTCCAATGCAGAATCGTCCCCTCGGAACTACTCAGCATGAACAAATTACTCACCATATTCGAATGGCTCAACATCACCCCCTTCGGCAACCCCGTCGTCCCAGAAGAATAAGCCAACACTGCAAGATCCTTCTCAGGATCCACCTTCACCCGCTCTTTCACCCCCTTCTCATCAACCAACCTCCTCGCCTCCTCCAACAGCTCCGGAAACCAGCGAATCCCTTCCTTCTCCTTCTCAGGCCTATCCTTTTCCTCCCCAATACACACGATGTTCCTCTTAGGGAGATTGACTTCCCTCGCTGCCTCAAGAGCAACTGGCAAGAGACTTTTCTGCGTGAAGAGGAACTTGGCGCCGGAGTCGTGGAGATGATGGACCAGTTCGCGGACGGTGTAGGCTGGGTTGGCGGGGGAGACGACGCCGCCTGCGTAGTGGGTGGACCAGGTTATGGCGGGGATGTCGATGCAGTTTTGGGCGAAGAGGGCGAGGACTTGGCCTTTGCTGAGGGAGAGGGTGGGGTGGGTTTGGAGGAGGGTGCCGAGGGCGAGAGTGGTGGAGCGGACGCTGGAGTAGGTGTAGGAGCGGGAGGTGAGGGGGTTGAGGTAGAGGACTGTTGTTGTTAGCCGTGTTGGAAGAAGAGTAGAGAAGTAAGTGAGAAACTTAAAAAACGGAAAAAAGAGGGAATGAGATGGCGAGTAACTGATTGATGCCAACAAAATCAGAGAAAACAGAGAGGAACACAAGTCCTCTGCCATGAGCATTGGCATACACTTATCAAGACCTCGCTGGCACATACGTCCTTGCCTTTCTCTGCGCCACAAAAAACGTAGAGATCCTCAATAAACTGCAGAAGAATAACTATATTTCCCGGCCTCAAGAAGGGAATTCCGAGAGAGGAAAGAAAGGCCCACATCCTCGCAGCGAGCAGCTCTCTTCTCATTCCAATCTCCCTGTCCCCTCCCTCTCAAAGTCGCAAAATCAACAATAATAACAACAACAACAAAAAAAGTGAAAGTAAAAGAAAGTTCATTCTCTCCGCCCCGCCCTCCCCTCCCCTCCCCTCCCGTGTCTCATCACTCATCCCTCATATCTTCATTTTTGTCTTTATATTTTCAACTCACTGACCTTGGTCATCCGGAAATTCCCTCTCCCCAACCCCCCTCTCAAATAACGCACTCCAAACATCCTTCTTCGGAATCTCAATCGTCGGGATCTGCGTGCGACCCATTTTGACTGGGGTTTGTCGACTTAGTCAATCCCAATTCCAAGTCCAATCCCGAATCAAATTGCAATTCCAATTTCAAGTCTAATTATTGCTTCCACAGTTGCAAATAACAAACAACACTATTATCGGAATTCCAGATACAATTAAGGCGTAGATATGGCTATTCGGTGGAGTTCTGGAGGAGGAGGATTGTTGAGAGGGTGGCTGGGTGGGTGACGTTCAAACTGAGTGTGCGGGTGAGTAGGTAGGTGATTAAGGTATAGGTATAGGTATAGGTATGTAGGTGAGCGGCGTTCGGGAATTCCGCAGGCTTCTGCAAAAGAGAGGAGAAGAGAAGGGAAGAGATGAATGTCTCCCGCGATCTGTATCTCTGTATCTCTGCTCCCTCGGTCTCGGGTTTATAGCAATCCGTAGGTAAGGTAAGGTACCTTAGCAAATAAGGTCCGCTCCCGACTGCACTCCACTCCAGTCCCGTCCTGTTCCTATTCCTATTCCAACAGTACCTAGGTATCCCTTTTCCTTCACCAGCCAGCTGATACTCGATTCTTTCGTGGACTTCCACCTATTCAACTGTATGGATGGCAGAGTAAAATTGAATTGGAAAAGTGAAAGAAAAGAAAAGAAAAGGAGAAGGTAAAAGAGAGAGAGAAAGATCTCATGATGTCAGTAAAATACCTCCCCATCGATGGAAGAAGGGAAAAGAGGGAGAGCTGAAGAAGCTAAAAAGGAGCTAAGTTCACCTACCCGGCCCCTTGGGAGTTGGAGATCCGTGGGTTTGGCTTGTTTAGGTGGGGTCTAGATGCAGATGCGGAGAGAAGGAGACGAGAATGCGGGGATGAAAGGATGGTGGGGATGAGTGCCAAGACGGACGCGGTCCGCGCGCGGGGGCGAGGCACGTGGAATTTCTTCATTCTTCATTGAATATAGGTAAAGTTTGGGAGGAAGGTGAGAAAGTGTGTTGTGTATATGTGGTATATTTATTTGTATGTGAAGCTGTAAAGGCTTCCTTTTCCTATCGGAGCATTGGGTATATATAAAATCAAGATCTTCCGGCCAAACCAGCCGAACCCAACCCAACCAAACTCAAGCAAATCCTATGGTATGTGCGGAACACCCGACATATCGTCTCTCCCCAATTCCTGAGCCTGAACTGTGATTACCACGTCTGCAATCCCACAGTTACAACTAAAACTACCTTGCCCCTCTCAAGTGTATCACAGATCTAAAAATCTCCCCGCCAAATCCACCAATATGAATGATGTAGACGAGATCAAATCCGGTCCCTATGCGCCATGTGGTGCGCCATGCTAACCCAGATCAAGGGAGGAAAGGAAAATATGGCCAATATGTGGCAGTATGGTAATATTGAAATAGAAAAAGTAATTGGTATGAGAAATCGACTGGTGTCGTGTCGTCGCGAGACAGTCGCTGTATTTCGATTTGTATCGAATCGGTATCTTGGTGCCTGGTATATGGTATATCATGTCGTCGTAAATCGTGCTCTCCCTTTCAAGTACCGTGTACTCACTCCGTCACAGCTTCCAGCCCATCATCCTGTTTGGTTTCCAAGCTCGGCCATTCGACTTCCGGCATTGGAGCGAACTTGACGTTCCTCGTTAGCTCCAGCTTCTTCCTCTCGACTTCCTCGATGAGAACCCATCGTCTCGTCAATCGCTTTCGCCTGTCATCGAAAGCGTTGAGGAACGCTTCTTCGTCGGCAACAAACCCGCTATCGAGAGCTTCAAGATCTTCATCTTGCTTCTTGGCGAGCTTCTCCAGCTCTTCTTGCTGTCGAACGAGGAGTTGTTCCATTTGCTTGGCTTGCTTGTCGCGCATAACGTTGACTTTGCTCTGATGCAGGCGATCCATATCATCTCGAACGTTGTACTGTTGTCCCAGTTCTCGCAAGTCGCGCTCGGTGACCACTCGTGCTGGATTCGTCCCGTTTGCATGCAGGCCAAGCCCGTCGCAATACGCCTCCATATGTCTCAGTCGAATCTGCACGCTCCTCTCCTGCTGCTTCAGACTGGCCCTGAGTTCCATCTCTGCGGCTACCTGTCGATCCTCGAGGTGTGTCGCGGTTCGAATATGGCGTTCCTTCATCTTGCTCAACAGCTCGTCATATCGCTCGAGAATATCGATCTTCCCTTGTCCATGACGAGTCCACATGATCCACTTCATCTTCCGTTCAAAAGCCGAAAATCGGTCTCGTTCGTTGATCTGTCGAGCTCGAAGAGCGTTCAACTCTTCGCATTCTGCCGTGCGCTTTTCTGCTTCAAGTCTCTCAGCAGTCGCCAATTCCTCCGCTGCTTCTTTCGCTGCCTTCTCAGCCTCCTCTTCCGCAATCCGAGCTTCCTCTTCAGCCCTCCTCCTTTCCAATTCCTCTTCTCCATTGCAATAATTTGGGCATCCAACAACCGGATCCCAAACAGCTCCGCAAATGTAGCAAAATTGAGCTTTGCATCGACAAGTGATGTGACTACATCCTTGCGTCAATTCAACCAGATTCCTACATTTGTAACATCTCCTCCAACCAGACTTCTCTCCCATTTGAAGCACAGCATCCAGTTCCCAATCTGCAGGACAATCTTGGCCAAAAGCGTGAGCAGCGCGCTTACATATCGAGCAAGCTCTCGTCCTGCAATTCCGACAGATGACTTCGAACGGGTGTTTTGGGTCGATCTTATTTCGCTTAGGGATGAACTCGCCACATGCATGATTGGGACAGAAAATCCTAGATTCCCACGGTGTACTAAATTGCAAGACACTCTTCATGAACAGTTGCTGGTCCTCCTTGGTCAATACCGTCTTGATCACCGCACTCGGTATGGCTTGCGTGCAACATCGAGGGGGCATCTTCGATTCGTCGCTAGCAGCTTGGGTGATCAGAACATGGAGGCATGCATCGCAGTAGTTGTGGCCACAGGGAAGGGTGTGCAGGGCCTTGCTCTTCTTAAAATCGTCGCGACAACATATACAAGAACTGTGATGTCAATAACCAGCCATACATGATACGAGCAGTACTTACTTTAGAGAATCCTGGGAGGATCTCGTTCGCCGTAGCTTGAACTTGTTCTTGAATCCATTCTTGATACTGACATAAGATTTCCTTGTTGAGACGGAGAACAGCGAGGGAGCAGGTTCTGGCGGTATGGGCGGAGGGAGCAGTGGTTTCGTGCTCCCATGCTGTATCAGGTATTTCTCGTACTCCGTGAAAGACAAACTCCTCCTGGCAGACATCCTCTTCCGCGCTTGCTGCGGGGTCTGCGTAGAACTATCCAATTGTTCATTCGAGGATCTAGAGGTCATCCCCGTAGAAGCGCTGCCATGCGATCCCGTGGAGGCAGTCCTGCGATGCGACTGCACCGTGTTCGCGGAACCGCACAGAGAGTCGTGAGTCGCATGTTGGGCGTCGTTCGGCGTTGAGGGTCTCGAGATGGCGACACCCAGGCTTTCGGCCTCTTTCGCAAGGCTCTCGTCGAGCTGAGCTTCCGTCTGCTGGCCTTCCAGCTGTAACACGGCCACGGCGTAGTCTCGCTCATTGTATTCGCAGGGCAGCGTGTCGTCGGTATGTTGCATGTCGGCCAGCGAGCGCTTTCGCGTGATGGGGCTCATTGCGAGTCGAGGCGTAGGACGAGACCGTGGACGAGGTCGACATCGAACGAGGAGATATCTGGGATGGGAGGCGTGGTGTGGGATGGGATGGGGAGGCGGATATCACCACGCGGGGTCCATCAACGAGCGTCCAGACCAGGGCCAGGATGAGGCAGGCGATATAGATGAATAGAGGGGTCGTCTGCTGCTCTATGCTTTTCCTCTGCTATGCTGGCGTTGACTCAGCAGTGATGGAGCGACATGGTGCTGTTGTCGAAGGGGAGGGAGTTGAGAGTGAAGTTTGCCCTTGGCTTAGCTTGGGATGGACTGATAGTATTGTAACCTTAGGTAGGCAATAATGGAAGTGAGGAGGGAGAGGGAGTGCAGGTGAGGGCGAGTGAGAGTGAGAGTGAGGTCCAGCGAGGTCCAGCGAGGTCCAGCTATCCTAGCGGTGCGTTTTTGGCGGTCGCTTGCCGCTGGAGAGGGGGCTGGACGGCGCAGTGGTTGGCAGCTGGCCCCTAACTAACCGACCCGACTGCCCCTATGAAGGCGCCAGACCATCCAGATCAGCCCTCACTTTGCCCCATTAGCCTCATATTCCGCTGCCCGCTGCACTTTCAAAAAAAGGATGCATCAGATCGACAATGTGTATTGATCACACAGATCACAGGAGGAGCTCTGCGCAGGGTCTTTTTGACAGAGCGCATTGATATGTTTTCTTCTACCATTATGACATGACGTTGAAGATGCCTCGATAGAGTTGTCCTTTTATTTACTTTTGATATCTCCCTGGTACTTAACACCTCTCCCATCCAGAACACTCTGGAAGTCGATATACTTTTTGCTGTGCCGTGTTTGTACATCTCCGGATATTCAAGATTTGAGCTTGATCACCCCCAATTTTCCACCGGTTTCCAGCCCCCCATCATCTCCCGAGTGTCCCCCCAGTGCTGATCTAGGAGATTTTTGTCGTTTCCTACTTGCCCTACCCTTCCTCCCGCCCTCGCCGACAGGCACCTAATATCGACGTCAGAAATCTACTCCCATTCTATATTGGACTATTCGTTCTGTCGTGCTTTCTTTTGCAACCCGAGGTTCAGGTCGGCGTGTGATGGCATAATTGGATTTATGTTTTCTTTGTTAGACTTTAAAATGTCCGAGCTGCCGCATGGCAGGCATGCGATGGGTCTGCATCCATCTGATGAGAGCCACACGGGGAGAAAGAATGGTGTCTCTCAACAAGCCTTCCCGGATGAGCAATCTGCTCGACGGCTGCTTGCATGATGAGGATCGGAAGTCTAGGCCCAGTGTGCAGAGGACCCTTGCCGTGACTATGAGGTGAGGTGTCATATGTGTTTGCCTCATTTGTTTAAGGGGTCCATTGTCTATCAAACTTTAACCTGACTTGAATACACTGGTCGAGCAATGGATTGTTTGTTTGAAGGAGTTCTTTGGAAACACGAGGAGAAAAGAAGTATGATCTGTGTTGTCCAACAGCTATGATGAGGAAGCGGTGTAGTGGCTTTCCTCCTTTAGCGCTTGGCCCCCTATTCTAGAAGGCCAAGGGGGCTGGGGAAGACGAACTCTGACGACGTGCTCGGGCCGTCGATGATGCGTTTTTGAGATGAAGATGCTCTGTCCGCGTTTTGAACCTCGGTCTCGTTCCCGTGCTGGTGGTCTGTGAGATCGGGTAGCAAGCTTCCAGAGAATTCTTGAGACGTTTCTTGTTTGGATCAAGTGGTTTTGGTTATCGGATGAGTGTTATTTTGGCTGTGTCTTTTTCTATTGTTTATACTTTAGCTCGGCCCGACTACGCGTAGAGTTTCGGCAGGTTTGGTTTTCGGATTCTGTTTTGTTTTGTTTTGTTTCTGGTACGATATCAAAACGTCCATTTGCCTTCTATGCAAGGGGCTATATGCAGGAGCATCTGAGAAAAGTCGGAGAATATCTTCCGGCTTTGGAGAGTCAGGTTTTGTTGTCTGTGCTGGCTTGTTGGTAGCTCGGGCTTTTTTCACATTGATCCACGTGATACCATATGCTTGACTCGGCCTTTGGTCGATATTGACTGACAATATCCAAGTTGGTGATCTCAAAGTCACTATATTTTTTATCGTCTCGTTTTGAAGCTCCGTTATCAGTGTAGCGTTTGCTGGCTTCGCAGTTGACATTCATTGTGTCTCTTTTCTGGAGACTCGGAACCCATATCGTCAAATCAAGTAGATGTGGTTGCCTGGACTTACCTCTACCAACGATTCTCAAACTCCTCAAGCCTCCTCATGTCAGGTATCTTAATGCTACTGTCATATGTTCTTATATTGTCAATCCCGCTGCTACTGTCTCCAACACATGTGAATTTAATGGCGCACACCTCGATTTCTCGTTCTCTATAATCGATTTCATGACTTCGAAGTTCTCCAGTTGGCAGTCGACCTGATCTGGGGTAAACTCACACGATACTCTAGGTGTCCGAGGAATCCGACAAAATCGCTCCATCATTAGGATCGCCAGGGTGGCTCGAGCGGTGTTTGAACGAAGCCGTTTGGAAATTGCGTTCCGCAGATGCGGCTGATTTTATATGATTTTTGAACTCACCATGGGTAAGACTCAACTAATATACTTTTAAATAGAATTTTCGATGTCACTGAAAATCTTGTAAAAGTCGGTGAATATTTCAGAAGAGGTTCTCTGGATAATGACATGCTAGTGAGGTGGTGTTTTTATACAGCCTTCCATTTGGCTCTACGGGTTAGTCGATTCTTCAATATAAAAGTCCCGGATGTAGGATCACTCAGCTGTAAATCAAGACCTGAAAGTGCTTGCTTCTCGGTGTTTATGTGCGAAACCTTGTTTCTTACCTACTTACATCTCATTTGCCACGATCCGACCCGTTGTGTCACTGTGCGGGCCAAAGTACCAAGGGATAATATCATTCAAGGAGACAGACGTTGCAGTGACCGAGGACTGGATATCCTATTGTCATCTTACGAAGTGCTGTTGCTGTTTGATTTAGAATTTCCTGCTTTCTCACTTTTTAACACGCATTTAGTTGTCATTTAGAGATTCACTATCGTTCTTGCATTTGCTTTGTCGCCCAACTTCTTGGTTTCCCATCGCCCCACAACGAGCAGCCGGCTCGCTTCGGAAAGTAAATAAACGGGACCCAGCCGGGACAGCTCCCAAGGCCATGAATGCGAATGTCTACGGCATTTCTTTCAAGGTTTAACTATGGATCAACATCTGTGTTTCGAACCTCGTTTGGTGTCTGCATATTATTGGTTCGGTCGTCTTTTCTTGAACAGAATCTTTTTCTAATATACACCTTGCATGAATTTGAATTTTTGGGTATTAGCACTTTTGGAATCAATGCTGGCTTATGAAGTGAATCGGGACTTAATAGTCCCTCTGAGTTATTTCACAATATACTACCTGTTCTCGAGGATATATAAACAAGTCTCTGCCCCAAGCTGGCAATTTCCTCAATCACCACCCATATCCGTACAAAATGCGCAAATATGTTCTGTGCTGGAAGTAAAGAGATGGCTGCATCGCTAAGCTTTCGTCAAAGTCTTTCTTTCGATTTGGGATGGGGTGAGAGAGGTCCTTGACGAGTGAAATGCAAGTCAACGAAGTTGGTACGGCAAGATGTGCCTTACGCTGCCATTTCCAATGTTGCTGTCGTGGTTCTCGCTGTCACCAGGGAGGAAAAGCCTATTAAATTCAGCAAAATATGTTTGTATGGTCATTGGTCATTGGTCATTGATGTGTCACTTGTGTCTGAGGGTGGGGGGGGCGAGTCTGTGGAGAAGTGTGAGTCTGGGGAAGAGTTGATACACGGGAATGAATCGAACAATTTGATGTGATGCCTTGTGATCGGTGAGTTGTGGTTCCTTTACTCAGATCAGTGAGACCAAACTGTCATTTTAAAAGGCTATAAGAATTTAAGTGGCCAGTGAATCAGTCAGCCAGGGTGTCTCAAAGTCTCAATCCCGCTGCATCACAAGCAGAAGTAGGAGCCTAGGAGGGGGGAGGGGGGTCACGAAGTGGTAAATTGAGAGAGAATCTGTAATTTGTGGGTCATCTTTCTCGTAGCTGGTAGATCACAGACCAAGATCGCGAGTTGAAATCAAGTCAGACTGAGCTTGAGAAACTCCATTGAGTTTGGTCTGAGGTGCACGTCGACAGGTCTTCCATGATGTCGAGATTATCAATTGGTACGTGGAATGAAATGATGTTTTTGCGTCAGTCGTCACAGGTCCTTCTGATTGGATGATTGATTAATTGATTGTAAACGGTCTGGATGATAGCCGTGGCTGTCGAGTACCGTGTGATTGTCTGTCAGTGAAGCGATCTGCGGAGCTAGGAAGCGAAAACTTATGAGAATTGCTGGTAGTCCAAACACGACCGATTGGCATTGCGTTGGCAAATCTCTGGCTACCATATACCGACTGCTGTACCGCTCGAAGAGAAAGTCCTTCCACATTTGACAATGTTGCTCGTACCGCACAGCAACTGAACTCCACCTCCTTTCTTACAGCGCATACAGTGTGCCAAAGTCTACACGCCAAGGTGCTGAGAAAGCTTATGTAGTGTCCAAGCACAGACGTAAATGGCTATTAGATGGTGAGTAAGATTCCCAGGATGGTCCTACAACTGTGGGTAGAAATTTGGTGGAGATGAAGCCGGACATGGAATTTCGGGTTCGGAGAAGATGAATCGCGCTCACAAGCAAGGAGAGTAGCCGGGGAATTGAAAACAAAAAAAGAACAATAACAATGTACATCGGGAAGATTGTCTGAAAGAGATCGATGTGGAAATAGTACCGGATGCGCGATTCTATATCGTGGCTAGGACACTTGATCTTGTTTTGATAATGAAAGCACGGATGGATGAACACCACCTGCCACCAGAGGATCCTTGCCTGGGCAGGATTGGTCTGGTTTGGCAGTGACGCCATTCCTTCGTCGGTCTGAAAACTTCGACCAGATATAATCCCATGCCGCATGCCGACGACTTTCATCTTCGAAAACTTCGTGGCTCCTCCAAAAGATGCCAGAATATGCCCCTCAATTTTAAATGCCTCGGTCATGCCAGCAATTGTATGCACTTGAGACTAGGGCGAGTACGCGTGAGGGCTGGAGAAGAGGTATTCGCAGGGAAGATCGATTGGAATCGATATTCTGCAGCTATGAGAGTAAAGCGAGCGAGAATGGGATAGAATCGGGCACTGGGTCAACAGTGCGAGCTGGTGATAATTGGCAATTTACCAGCTCTCGCCACAGTGGCAAGCCATTGTTATTCCCGCACCGCAGCAAAGATGGCACGGTAGCCGAGCTCGCAGATACGGCAACACAGTCGTTGGATTATGGACCTTGGCATCTCGAGCAGAGACCAACATTTATATGCTGTCATCTCAATGAAAGTGTCATCGGTCGAATCTCATCCAGGCGTGCCTCGGTACAATGCTCGTATTCGTACTCGGAAAGACACAAACCCCGAGTTTCATTATTTGGCTGAGCAAGCGACCACATCAACACTTCCCATCAATACAAAATAATTGAACATCAGGGCTGAATCATGCTGCAACAGCTTGCTGTCGGCACTCAATCCCGTGGAGTGGCGTCGTTGCCAGAATAAGCAAACAAACATAGCATCGCATTTACAAATCCAGCATGGGATTTGAGAAGTGCACTGGACCGGCGACTCCTCCGTCACGACTTCACGTCCAATGCATACCTTGTCTTCCTTTGCAACTGTGGCGCTTTTATGTGGAACACAGCGTTGGGAACAGTGAGACGTGATCCACCACGCCGGACCTCATTGTCCTGGCGAAGCAGAGGTGTCGCAGCGTCTCGTCGGGACGACATACCTCTTAAGAATCGCATTGTAGCAGACCTCGACATGGCGATGCAGACAGGCGATTGTCCAAAAACCTCGGTTGCCGTTTTCTCCGCAACAAAGTGTTGCGACCCAGATCACGGAGATTCCTCCTTGGAAGAAGCCGTCAAGTCAAGGGTTGCTCCTGGAGTCTTGAGTCCTGCGCCTGAGGGCTATATTTCATTCGCTCCTGCTGTCCCGGACTTGTATTCCGGACTGGTAGGAGCGAATAAATATCCACAGACCCAGACGAGAGGAGATCCCTCCGTCCATCATCAAGAGCTGCCCCATCCGAGAATTGTTTCTGGGCTGAACTAAAGTGCTAAGGTAAGCTTTCCATGACTTCTTCAATTCTTTCTTGACAACCTTTGCTCTTATCCTCATTTTTCTCCAGCGGTTCTCCCATTTTCAGCCTTTTTCCGGAATGGAATCACATCTTGATCGATCCAACTCCTCCTCACTATTGTGCCCGATTGCACGGAATGCCAATCCGTACTTATCGTGCAGCGCACACCGCAGAATTGACCCAGCCCTACACATCTGTGGTGACAATGTCGTAGGCCGTCTTGAGCACATCGGGTCCTTATTCCTGGCTCAATTGTCTTCCCACAAACACTTTCAAAACCTTGTTCCATTACAAGCTTTCGCTGCATAGTTCTTACTGAGCTAGCTCGGCCAGGTGCAGTTACCGCGGTTCAATCCTGGCCTCACTTCCATCTTCTCGTTGCATCCATGCCGCCTAGACAGGAGAAACGTGGACGCGGTCGCGGCAAACGACCAAGGGACGATGAGGAGCCAAAATCACCACATTCTACGGGGTTCTCTGCCATCAACAGTCCTCCAATTGCATCTACTTCACAGGCAGGATTTGGTCAGCAATTGCCAATTGTACAGCGAAGCTCTAGCCATGTCCCTCCAAGTTCTGACCAATCTTCGCAGCAATCGACCCAAGCACCACCTGGCAAGGTAGCCATTCCAGCCTTGAAGAATCCTCGCATCACCGAGTCGTCCAAAGCACTGAAGAAAGGACGGAATCCACACGCATGCGATTTCTGCCGGAAAGCGAAAGCCGGTTGCACCGGAGGAAATCCATGCACTCGATGTTTGAATGCACACGTCCCGTGTGTCTATGGCGACGGGAAACGAGACAAGGACAAAAAGTCATTTTAAGCCTTCCAATACGCACGAGACTAGCTAACGAGCTCCAGGAGGATGACAAAATTGAGTAAAGAGTCAGTCTCTCTGTCCCGACACAATGAAGATGTAGCAGAAGCCCTTCGCCGCATCCGGCTGGACATCAATCTGTCTACTGAGGATATCATGACGGCGATAGATGGAGTCCTTCTAATGGTGAGTACAAGTCACGGGAGGCAGTCGACCATGCTGACCCAAGGAGGCACCTCATCCGACAACGCCAGACGAAGAAAATCACCCTACAACAAGTCGAGATTCTTCCGACGCCGACGAAGAAGAGCCAATAAGCGGCAACGAAGACGTTGATATGGAAATAGGCTCAACCGGGTCACTTGATGTGACCAACGTGAATACAGATCGGGATGATACACGTGCTACAGGCCACTTGGGTAAGTCGTCATCGGTAGCATGGGCAAAGCGAACTGCAGAGGCCTGCCTACCGGAAATTGAACCAGGAAACGCTAGCAGCAAACCCCCAAAGGGCTTGGGAGTATCTTCCTACCATACGGAGGACGGCGATTTGGAGGATTTCGATCTCAGCGACATTGATTGTTTTGTTTGGCCAGACCGTAAATTAGCAGATGCTTTGGTCTCATCATACTTCGAAACAGTCCACAAGTCTCTCCCTCTTGTCGATAAATTTAACTTCATGTCGAAGTACGAGCAATTTGATCGCAATGCACCGACTATTTCCCCTGAGGATATTATCTGGCTGGGAACGCTGAATACGATTTTTGCCATCAGTGCTGTCTATGCACACTTGACCAAAAGTCCACATCGAGACCACTATTGCGACCATCTTGTTTTCATCACCAGGGCGAAGATACTATGTCTAGGTCAAGGATTTCTCTATGAGGATGCCAGGGTATCAACCACTACAGGTCTTGGGTTGTTATGTCTTTACTTCATAGCAACTAGCAGGCTTAATAGGTGAGGTGTTGGCCAAGCTCTGAAGCCAACTTACTAATGGTATAGGGCTTGGGCGATCAGTGGACTCGCGATTCGACATGCGGTGACCCTTGGATTGCATATACGGATTGAAGCTGGTGATCTTTCCGATTATGATAACGAGAATCGTGTTCGTCTTTGGTGGTCATTGTATTCGCTCGAATGCCTCTTGAACGAACTTACAGGCCGTCCGAGCTGCATCTCGGACCAGGATATCAGCACCCCTCTGCCACTAAACATTGACGAAGAAGAATTTCGACCAGGGAAGTCATTCTATGGCCGAGCGGAGGACACCCGCCATGCTTCAGGGCCTCCAAGCCGACGTAGCTCAAGGAGCTCCAAGGATGGTATACGTAAGCTCGCCTCTATTCAATGCATTTGGCAACTAACATATTACAGGACGGCCTTCTGCAACGTACCAAATGCCTCATGGGATTGGTGTACCCTTACCAGCCAATAACCCTGCCCTAACACTACCGGAAACAACGTCAACCTATTTCATTTACCGAACGCAGCTATCGATCATCTCACATGAGATTGTGACCCAAGTATATTGTGCTGCAACAATAAAAGAGAGCTGGGTAGAAGTTCAAAATACCATCAAAAGAATCGATGCTCGCCTCAAAGCGTGGCGAGACAACCTACCGGCCGACTTCACACTTGATTTTGACCGATACGTTGAACCAGACTGGGACGATCCTCATGCTCTTCCTAGAATGGGACTCGCGATGCTTTATAATAGCTCCCGTATGATCCTCTTTCGACCGTGCCTCTGCAAATTCGAAGGTCGAATATCAACCCAGTCGGAGAAGTCCATGGATTTCAACAGACAAGGGGTAGAGATGTGCATCCATTCAGCTCGCACCATGATCAATCTCATTGGATGGACGGCTCGTGATGTTGCGAAAGTCTATGCTGTTACTCCTTGGTGGCACACTCTTCACTATCTGTGCGAGGCCTTGTCAGTTCTCATGCTGGAGTTGGCATATCAGGCACAGCATCTCCCTGCTGAAGCAGGGTACATTCTAGACGACGCCAAGAAAGGAATCCGCTGGCTGATAATGATGTCCGAAGAATCAATTTCGGCCCGCAAAGCATGGGAGATATTCGACACCTTGATTCGACTGGTGGCTCCAAGGATCAACTGGAGCGTCTTCGATTTACCAACCACGGCACCAACTCCGCTTGGATTCAAGTGGAGAAAATGGAGAGCGGTCTCAGGTAATGCACTCATTTCTGAGCAACAGATGCCTCGAACCGAATCGTTACAACACTTCGCGGAGCTCGACCCGGAACTGGATCCTAGGACCAGCACACAAGTCCAGACTTCAGCAGCGCCCTGGCCAGCTCACACATTCGGGTACCAGCCGTCGGCAACTTACGCCCCTTCAATATACGGCCAAGAACTCATCAGCAACCAGCTAGATCAAGAGCGTGCCGTTCAAATGTTTGGAAGCATCGGGGCTCTGCATGGCCATTACGATGAGCCGTGGAATCACATGTTTGGTGCTAGCGTTCCGGGTGCGATGTCTCTTTCTCACGGTAGTGGGATTATGATGCCGCCTCCGCCGCCGCCGTCTGATGGTACGATGGGGGAGCAGCAGGGTGGTGAGAATACTTTTGGGGCGGGGCAGTTTGGTGGAGGGCAGTATGGGCATCAGCCTTTTGAAGGGATGGGTGGTAATGGGGGCAGGGGAGGGGGATATCTTTGATGCGAGGGATCGTTGTCTTCCTGGTGTCGGAGTATCGGATCTTTTCTGACTTCTTGAATGGGAAAAGAATGGTTATTGTGGTGAGCGAGCACTTCTTGTTGTATGTGAAAAGTAAGGTCGGGAATGTTTTTGTGGGAAGACGTTGATGTTATGAGACACTACATGACTTATGAGGTATGAGAAACGACCAGCTCTATAGCTTGTGTTAGCAGGGTAGAGGCGGGCGATGATACCAAATTTCGATATTGATGCTGATGTTGATTTGAGTATGTGTGGGTTAATTAGTTAGCTGTTAGGTTATTGGACATGGTGGAATGGAGGAATGGAGGAATAAATGGATGGAGGGAAGGAAGGAGAGAGGAACAGAATGAGACTGAAAATGAGAATGAAAATGAAAATAATTTGAGCTTGCAAGGACGAGTGTAGAAAGTGTTGAAGTCGCAATCAGCAGCAATTTGGTAGAGTCAACTGAAGAGAAAGAGTGCCGTCTGCTGGTTATATGAGTAAGCAAGTAAGCAGGTAGGTAGGTAGATACATAGGTCAGGTTGGGATGTCAGGTTAGGATCGAAGAATTTTCAGTTTCCTTGAGATGTATGCAGTAAGTAAGTAATACATGGTCTGCTTCTAGAGAGGTGGGTAGGTAGGTAGGTAGGTAGGTAGGTAGGTAGGTAGGTGGTGGGTGTTTCCAATAAGACGAGACGAGGTTCGTTCGATCGTGAGAACCTGGGACTAGGCTAGGAGGGATATAAGGTTATTACTTCCATACTTGAGGTGTGTGTGTATTGGAGACAAGAAAATGCTTTTTCTATGGGAGAGGACCGGGACTAAGAATAGGTAAGGTGATTTGTTTGAGGTTGGTTGGAGAGATGGGAGGAGTGGTAGAAGGAGGAATGGACGGAGGGAGAGAAGGAGGAAAAGAAGGAAAGGGATCGCTCGTCTAAATTTTGGTAGGGCCAGGCCAGGTTGGTGGTGTGTAATATCGTGTTTGTTTACTTCTTACTATTTACTGTTTACATTTATGTGCAGAGTTCTCTGTCTCTGCTTCTGGATTTCCTTCTGCTTATAGGTACTCTTTCAACGCTGTTCTAGTTGGGCTGTTTAAAATTGATATTGAGAAAGTAGAAAGATAGATAGATGGATAAAGAGGGGATAGCTGGTTTTGGAACTTTGTTAATTATTAGAGAGTCTAAGTATTGTGTTCTATCAAGTATATGTAATGCGGTTTTTACATCTTGTCATGCTGCACTACCTGCAACCTTCTCATCCAACAACCTCGCCATCTCAGCCTCCTCATCTTCTTCCCCGCCTACTCCATTTCCATTCCCATTTCTCAGTTTACCAGTTCCAAGCACACCCAACACATCAGCCCTAGTAATCATCCCCTTCCCCTTCCCACTCCCCCACCTCCCCTCCTCCCTCCTAACAACCCCCTCACAACTCCCCAACGCCACAACCAAAAACCCCAACTCCTCCCTCTCAACATCAAACACCTCCCACCACTCCACATCCGGTAACCTCAACCCCACTTCCCTGGCCGCTAGGTATATCGCAGCGGTTGCTAGGGCGCAGGGTTGGTGAGTGAGGTAGAGGAGTTGTGGGGAGAGGAGCGCGGTGTTGAGGTGTGCGATTGTACGTTGGGCGACGCGGGTGCCGAGGGGGAGTGAGAGAGGGGGGCTTTTTGAAGAGGAGGTGGAGGTGGTGGTGTTGTGAGCAGGTGAGAAGACGTCTAGTGTTTGGAGGTAGGTGATAGCTAAGGGGTGAGGAAGCGCGACGTGGGTGTTGAAGGAGAGGGCGTTGAGGATTTGGCCTTCGAGGTGGAGCAGGTGGTTGCGTTGGGTGATGTAGGTGGATTCGGAGAGGTAGTAGGTTGTTGGGTCTGGGGCTGGGGGGCTGTCTTTCTGTTTTTCGGGAGAGGAAGATGAGGAGGAGGAGAGATATTCTAGCCCGATTGGAGATGCTAGGAAGGCGTAGACATTCGTTATACTCCGCAGCGAGCGCGGTGAGGAGGATATTTTCGCTGTGAGGTAGAGTGTTGCTGCTGAGATGTCCTGTTTATTCAGATCCTCTGTTAGCACAATTTCCCCCTCCATTATTGTAACTTCAATATAAAATATCCAACTCGCTTCAATACGTACAGCAAACTCCCACCCCCTCTCCCCCATCCCCATCCCCATCATCCCATCCTCAACCCAATACCGGAACAACAACACATTCGCCTGCGCCGTAATATCCTGCGGTAAGCGCAACAGTATCCCAGCTGCTTGCGTCAGACGCGCCGTGTAGAAGCGGATGCTATCTTGGAGTTCGGGGGGGAGGGACGAGTTGCTGGAGAGTTGGGAGGGCGTTGCGAGAGGGTTGAGGAGGTGAGGGGCGGACATTGTTTGTCGCTGGTGAGGGGGACGGTGGTGATGGTGGTAAGGGCGGAGATTGGGAGTTATGGGAGGATTCGGGTGAGATTAGGGTGGGATTGAAGATTGGTGGAGGCGATTGGATTCCAATTGGTGAGGTGAGGTGCGTGGTTGTGAGGGATCTGGAAAAGGGCGATTGGGGTGTTGTTGATTTGGATTTGAATCGAGGAGCGTGGGAATTTTGTGAGCTGCCTTTGGCGCAAGGCTGCAAGGGTTTGCCGATATTCCTCAGCCTCGTCCGTTCGACATCGCAGCGAAGGACCAGGCAAAGAGAATCACGCCAATTTTGGATTTGTTAGAAACAATTTTTTGAATTCTTGAATATTTACAATCTAGCTTCTCCAAAGGTACAATCCTAGGATGTAGCATTAAAATGAAAAGTCAAAGTCTGGGGAGCTACCTAGGAAGCAAGCGTCGCGTTCCTTACGGCCACTCGCTATCTAGTTCAGGAAAGGAAATAATGTAGTTGCTGCGACAAAGTAGTTTATCGCAGCAAAGTAATCAAGCAGTTGAGTGTTCTCAGGTAGCTAACACTTGAGTTTGACACTCATGGTCCGCCAACCTGTCACTTACTCACAGGTGCCAATGGAGTGGACCGCACGAATGAGCAACTACTAGCACGTAAGCGGAACGATATCAAAGGCAAAGAAATTTCTTTTAATGTTGCTTTTGCAATCCATTCCAAATTTCGACTATATCACTTCTCGCTGCTAGAAAGAACCATCGCCAAGCAGTAAAGACAGCTCAAAAAAATCATCCCAACGAACGCCAATCCCAATTACACACCCCTGCCCTCCCCTCCCTACCCAATCTCCATTCACCCATCTAAGCAGCAGCAGCCTGTCTGCCCAACGAAGCTTGAGCAAGGTTCTCAGCTGGTTGAGCAGGAGCCACACCGACACGTTCCTTAGCCAGGATATCGACCAGCAGAGGCGAAGGACGGTTATCCTTTCCTGCACTGGCGGGGTATACAGCTTGGTTGTTCTTGTAGCGCTGAACGTTCTCGATGTACATGTCGAAGAGGTAGGAGGAGTCCATTGGGCCGCCCTTGGCTTCGGGATGGAATTGGGTGGAGAAGATGGGGCGGGTTTTGTGGATCATGCCTGGAAGTAATGTTAGTAAGATAAGGTAGAGAAGGGGGAACTGAGGACATACCTTCGTTGGAGCCATCGTTCAAGTTGACGAAATACTCCTTGTATTCGGAGGGCAGAGTGGTGGTGTCAACAGCATAACCGTGATTCTGACTGGTAATGTGGCATTGGCCGGTTGTCAAATCCAAAGCAGGGATGTTGTGAGCACGGTTTCCGTACTTGAGCTTGATGGTGCGAGCACCGGCTGCAAGAGCAAGAAGTTGGTGGCCGAGACAGATACCCATGACTGGAACTTGAGAAGTCTCCATCAGACGAGCCAAGTGGTAAACAGTCTCTTGGCAATGGGTTGGGTCACCAGGACCGTTGGAGATGAAAACACCGTCGAAGTGATGAGCGACCTTGTGAATAGGGAAGTCGTATGGGAAAACCGTAACGCTCGCACCACGACCCACCAAGCTTCTCAAGATGTTCTCTTTAACACCACAATCGATGACAGCGACGTGCATATCTCCATTGTGGGAGCTGACATGGAATGGAGCTTTGGTGCTGACTCTCTTTACCAAGTTGATCTGCTCGGGGTCGACGAAAGCCTCGTCCTGATCGGCATCGTATTCCTCTCCGATGGTAATTCTAGCCAGCGAAGATCCAACTTCTCGCAAGTGAGTGACGATGGCACGGGTATCGACACCAGAGATGGCAGGGACGCCTTCACGGGCACACCACTCGCTGAGACTCTCGACAGCAGTCCAATGGCTGTACTTCTCGGCATAGTCTGCCACGACGACACCAACACACTGGATGTTTGGGGACTCGAAGTATTTGAGGAGGCCGTGATCGTCTCTAGCTGAGGAGGGGACACCGTAGTTACCGATAAGAGGTTGGGTGAAGACGAGGATCTGTCCACGGTAAGAGGGATCGGTCATCGACTCGGGGTATCCAACGAGGGATGTCGTAAAGACAGCTTCACCGGAAATGTTGGATTTGGCACCGAAGGATTTGCCGTGGAAGACAGGTCCGTCCTAGTATTGAAAGTCAGCTAAAAGTTCTCCCCACTCTGCCAATGGCATCTCACCCTGATTGTGAAGGTTGCTCGATCGTGCGAGATAGGTGTAGCCTTAGCACGGCTTGCTGGCATAGCACGACCAGCACTTCCCTCGACTGTAGCCATGAATCGAGCTTGTTGAGCCAACTTGGCGATTCCACCCGCCGGCTTGAAAGCCGCGGGTCTGAGGACGCGTCCAAACATTGTAGTTTGTTTTTTTCGTAAAAGAGGTAGGCGGTAGGAGGGTGGGTGAAAGCTTTTCAGTTCACTGAAGCTTTCCAGATGTGATCTACATTTTTGGGGTTAGTGGGCGGTGAGCGATTTTCGGAGGGGGTGGATTTGGAGGCGGACCTGAGATATAATCCTGCAGAGGGTTAGCAGATAGTCATGATGCTGCAGAGAGTATAGAAGTAGAATAGAATGAGGCAATTGGAAAGAAGATTGTGTAGATAGTATGCTGTGTGCTTCGTTGTGTCATAACGGGAGATCCCCGTTTACAAAGATAAGAGCACACGCCATGAGTCAAGGGGAAAGGCAATCAATTGAACAGCACTGGAGCGTACCTGGGACGTGAAAACTGACGGGCGCCCACTCATACGCGCAACACTTCTTCTGTAATGGATGGGTTGAAGGAGAAGACGATGTTTTGTTCAGCTGTGGTGTTGTAAGGGAGGGGATGGATGCAGAGTGCAAAGTCTGGTCTGGTGGGAGTGGATCGTGGTGTTATGGAGGAGAAAGTTTTGGCGTGCAGCAGCGCAGTGATGTTTGCGGGACGAGGAGTCAATCAGAGAGGCCGAATTGGCGATTGCTGAAAGGGCTGTGATTGGTTGGAGCTCTCGGGTGTGGGAATAGAGATAGCCTCAATTGGCCGACTACGCAGAAAAATATGAAAGAAAAAAACTAAAATGACGTGCAAAAAGGCACAACCGAAGAGATAAGGTCACTGCTGGGTGTATTTAGTATTTATGCTAACCACTTCTGAATAAGCGGGACAAGAGGCCGCAAAAAAAGATTAAGCGAAGCAGAACCCCTCGGTTTGCATCACCTTAGAGCCCTGTAAAGCGTTGAATGGCCACCTGAGGACCTGAAATGATGTTTCCTTCGATACTGCATTTTTGCAGGAAACATACAACACTAATGTGGGCCGGGGTGTAAATTAGCAGTCAATTGGTATGGGGAGCATCCGTGAGGTACAGCAGAGTTTTATTACCTTGTTGTAAGAAACTTTGCGGACGACATGCAGCTTGAGAATTCTGCGTGCCTGGCTGACCAAAGGGCAAAGTGACGACGAGGCACGTGGGGATTGAACATGATGAGGCGAATCCAACCCCGGAGCTGGATCGGCGGGGTAATAATGGAGGGACGATAGAAGAGATGGGTCTGGACACTTGAACAAATCCTCGAGTACTGTCGTACTGACTGATTGTCCACCTCAACCTCGGGCCTGTAACACCACAATCATAATCACATCAAAGACTATATAGGTACCAGTACAGAGGGACAGACATGTGCACAAATCGCAGTCTATGCCCAATCATACTATCCGAGAATCTAGACTAAGTAACGAGCCATCATTGTGTGTAGCACAGGCAACTACTCGTCTCGCTTACCTAGCTACCCGCAGTCAAAATAAAGTTTGGCCCAATTCCAACTCAAACAAGAGGTCCGACATCAATTGAAGACAACTAGCTAGCTTCCATCCCGTCCAACCTCATCTGCCGAAAGACAAAGACAAATCAGAGCCAAGGGTTGAAACACTGCTCTGTGAGTGTGTTATTCCTCGAATCAGACAATCTCTATCTGTACATATGGAAATGTATATATGATTGGACCTGAACCTTTTACACCACATACGCCCTTGGCATTGTGTGCATGTATGTATATCTGCCGAAGAGAGATAGATGGGTGATCAGATACCTACTGTATGAAGAACCATTTTCGTTCCTCGAATCATCCCGAACTGTAGTAATTTACAGGCATTAGATCCTCATGAGAGTTAAGCGTATACTATCCACCAAAGTTGAAAGCAAGTAACCTTACGTATAAAATCAAACAGGTCCTCTCCTCGTCCGCACTGCGAAAAGTACTGTATTACCAGTTCAACTAAACTATTTTGATGATGAAGTTTTTAGAATATGTTCACATCGACAGCAGTATAAGCCGCAAAACAGAAATTTTTTTCTCTTTCCCGGATATTCAGATATTCATCAGATAAACCTTTTTAACCCCAACCCCTCCAATACCACCTCATCTCATCCGATCCTACAGTACGACCTCCCCCCCCACTGACTCAAAACCAGGTATCTGGAACATCTATCGGATCCGATTTTGCAAATCCCCCGGAATTTCTAGAGTCCAGACACCGGGATACGTCTTACTGTAAATAACTGCATGCACATCATATATGCTTATACTAAGTATGCTATGCTATGGTATACTTCTGACACTAAGCTCCTCCTTTGTTCCAATCCCTTGTCTCTCGTATCTTTCTTGTCAACCTTGTGATACAAATTACATGTCGTGTGCACGTCTCAAGAGCTTCTCCGACGGGAAGGAAAGTAGGAGTTGATGTGTTATTGGAGATGAAATTGGATATTGTGTTTGAGATGTTGACATGGCTGGTGATAGGGTAAGGTAGGAGGTCTATCAGGGGACGGAGATGCTTCCGTTTTCTGCTGTATGCATGATCGGAATGGAGGAGGGATCGGATCGGGGAGGAAGGATGGAGGAAGGAGGACGTTTGAAATGAGGATGCTTGTTTGGAGTGAGGATGCTTGATCATGAGTATCATGTCGCGTGAGTTCTCCTCCTAGGGACAGCGGATGATTTCTGTCCTACGACTACAGTCTGGATGGAAATGATGAGGACAGCAAAGGACCCCAGTTTTTGACGACCGACGAAATGGGATCCTCATAAGTCGTTATGCAATATGCCGGTAAATCTAGAACATTCCTGGCCCAACACCTTGACGGGCCCTGCATGTGGGAAGAAATTTCAATACACAGCACTCTCTGGAGCTTCACTCTTTGATTTTTTGCAAACTGATATGGAACTTTCTATTCCTATTCAAATTCAAACGTGCTCAAATGGTATTGTACTGTAACCCACAGACCAGAGTCTCATCCCCTGCCTCAGCAGTTCCTTCCTTTCTTCATACCTTAAAGTACAGGACATGCCATAATAATCATTACAAGCCAACGTCGAGCGTGGCTATATACATACGTGTGCTGCAAAAGGACTTCCTCCCTCCCATGCCAGCGATCTTCATAACCCAGTGTACCACTCGTGATGCGCCCCATGTGCCGAAAAAGCAAGGTATCCACGCGGCGCGCGCTCATTTGCACATGTAGACATGCATCCGTACACTTCCTCCTTCTCTTTCGTATTGGAAGACTGGATGCTGTTCACTCACATCCTCAAACTCCTCGAACTCCCACTCTCACTCTTCCTCCCGCTCCCCACAGCCGTGACCGTCGTCCTCGTCTCGTACTCCTTCCCACTCCCATCGTACATTCCTGTCCGCATCCCCATATCCACATTCCCGCCCCCCGCATTCCTCCCACTCTTCGACTTGCCAATCCCCATCCCCATCCCCATCCCCATCCCCATCATCCCCATCCCACCGGCTCCAGACACGGTAGTTACACTCCTCCCCGGCTGATCCATCACACTTCCCCGGTCGACCGTCACATCCCTACTCTCCCAAATCTCCAACGGGACCGCATTCCCCCTGCCCCCCGCACTACCGTTCGCATCGCCCCTCCCAACAATATATTCCTCACTCTCCGTCCTCCCCAACCTCGTCCCCCCATCATTCTTACTACTACTCTCCCACCAATTCCCGCCGCCGCCCCCGCTCTTCCCCGAATTCTCGCTCCTATCGATCCTACTCCCCAGCACCGACGCCTGGACCTTCGATGTCGTGCCCATGCGCGAGCCGCCCACGCCAGTGTACGTCGTTGCTATGGGTGCGGATTTGGAGCGCGAGCGCGAGCGTCCGCCCGAGGAGATGCCGTTGAAGGCGCGGAGCTTGAAGAGCCGGCGCATGAGGGACCAGCACATGGGCATGTTGGCCACGTAGACGGCGGTGGAGGCTTCGCGGATGTACCAGAAGGTCCACATTGGGGAGAAGGGTTGCGCGAAGGAGTAGTATTTGTTGAGGACGGCGCAGAGGATCTGAGGAGACGAGGGTTAGCGTTGACGTCTTTTCTGTGTATGATTTTGGTTTTGGATCTGGTAGAGAGGAGGAGGGCGAACATACGACGAAGACTCCGAGACTGAAGAGTACACAGAGGATGAGCTTGCTGTTTCTTGTTAGCTCTTGTTGCTTGGGCTAAAAAGTGAATTCTGCTGCGTCTGGAAAGCAAGGCGCATGGGGTAGAAACATAAAGTAAGATAGGATGGTGCTCGGGCTCGACGCTTTGGATTGGATTCGAATAGAAGTGAATGATAGACGACATACTTTGCTTTGGGCAGTTGCGAGGCAATGAGCAGGGGAAGGGGAATGCACAGCATCATGACATCAGATGTAATGTTGAAGACGGCGTTAGTAATCAGGTGGTGAATAGCAGCAGAGCATTGAACTGTGAAGTGGACGTTAATACTCGTAACTCTTTCAAACTCCAGACGAGCGGAAGTGACGTACCATTCTCAACAGGAACTTTCCAATACCCACTGAACGGACGGCACCAAACCCCCAGGTAGAGTATTTCCATAACAATGAGCGTAATTACAACATATGCGCCGACAATCTTGACGGCGAGTTGTTGCTTGAGGCCAAAGGTCAACTTGTTATACAGTAGTAGCAGACAGATCTTGCAGCCCCATTGTGTCATAATCATGGACTGTTCGACAACAAGCACGAGTTTCGATCCTCGGATCCGTGACTGGATGGATTCGGGCGTGAGTGTAATTACATCTTCAGGCAACATAAGATTCGTATCTAGATGGGCGACGATATTCATGGTAGCAACGAGCACTGTGTAGAATGCCTGTATTGGCGATTAGCACGGTGTCTTCGTCTCTGATCCCAGGTTTCAAACTCACAAATACCCAGATCATAACATAGTCTTCGGGTTGGAAGTTCTTGATACTGCCTAACTGAAGATATCTCGAAATGCTGCGTCCAGATCAGTGATGTTCCACTTTGAAGAGGGAGATCAAGTCTTACTATCTGGTGATGACAATCAAGCACGCGAATGCGTACCAAGTCCAAGATTCAGCCAGTAGAGACAAAGCCATCTTGATATCTCAAACAGGTTGAACCGACGCAGTCGTCCCAGTCCGAATTCCCTCAAGAGCAAGATACCCCACACCTAGCGAGACATATACAGGATGTCAAGCAACACCCACAATCTAAAGAGCGTAAACCAGTCTGTGGACCAAGGCCAGATCAGACGAAACGACAATCTTTTAGACCTGGTAGATTGGTAGAGAGATCGATCGCTGAACGTAAAACCCACGAAGAGCAAAACTGAAGCCAGAACAGAACACACACACCAAAAAAAAGTGCGGAGATGTTATCAAACATATACTTTACCGACAATACATGCTAGCCCCAGGCCGGCGTGCCCTGGGAATGCCTGCTAACCCAGCCCAAGACAAGCGTCCGCGCACGACCAGACGGGGTCCTTGAGTCCTTGACCCGACTCATCGCACGTCGCACATCGCTGCCACGCTATCGCGAACTGGTTACTGATCCTCCGATACAGGGACGGAAATCCAGGATGATGGACTTCGAGTGTCTGAATCAGTGGGGACGTTGGATACAGTATGAGCATGGATTCCCATGTCTCGATAACAGGCGAGCACGCAACCCCTTCATCACATGCATACGGACCAGGTGGACCAGGTCGAACCATGTGTCGCCGGGGATGTACTCGTACTGTAATCGCCCCCAAGCCCCCCAAGAAGCAAATAAATAGCTGGCGTCTTAACTTATCCCCCACAGAAAATCCCCTAAACTTAACGCTTAGCTGACCCGCCTGCCTACTGCCCGCCTAACTTAAGGTAGCCAGCCAACAGGAGAAAATGGAAATTCTTCCAGGCCCCTTCCACTCCCTGAACACTTTCTTCTAGAAGGCTGTGGTGGACGGACAGACGGCACGGCATCAAGGGGCGCTGAAGGCCTGCCTGCCTGCCTGCCTGCCTGCCTGCCTGCCTGCCTACCGACCTTCCTGAAGCTGCTGTCAGCCAGCAGTGGCACCCAATGGCTGTTGGAAATGGCCCTGCAAATGCAGAAATAAATGTACCGAGTATCTGCCGTCATGCTGTTCCAGCACGGTCTGGATGAATGATTCGTTCAATGGGCTGTCCCTGACAAAACGGGAGAGTTTCAATCCGGCGCTGAAATGTGTGGTGTGAGGGTGTGGTTGGCAGCTTTAGTTTCTGGGCGCTGACAAAGATGCCCTTCTACTTCTACTTCTACTTCTAGCGAACGTTGGCACTCCTTCGTTGCTGTACAGTAGTACTGTAGCAGCGAGTGATAATCCCCCGTCCCAAGCCCACCTCCAGTCGTCTCTAGGATTAGGCCTGAATAATAGTTGCCCCGCTGAACAACATGAGTCCGACGAGGGGCAATCCTGTGCATGCATGCATCATAAACGGCAGGGGATCAGACCCTATCAAACACATCTTGTTCCTGTTCCTGTCTCCATTATTATTGTTATTCCCAAAATCAGATCCACATCGGATTAACATGTACGAGCCCTGAAGAGGGCATAACCGCCATTTCAGGAGCCAGCTGAACGCTTTGGTCTGGCAAATGAATGTTCCGGCGCCATCCAATCCGCTCGTATAATAGCTGCTTGTTTGCTTGCTTGCTTGCTTGCTTGCTTGATCTCAATTCCGAAAGTACCAGCTGTGAGTTTATTTTGGCTTGCGGTGCTTCTTGCCTGAGTTGGTCTACTTTCATTTTCATGAGGAAGGAAATAGTGCCGGCGAGAAGAACCGCATACGGCTGGTTGATTGCCCCTCCACAGCGGGCAGAGAGAGGCGTTCTTAGTTTCAACGTCCACCCAGCCGTCCAGCAAGGCATTATTGCACATTATTAGTCGTTCACAACTCAGACAACATATCATTATTGCCTCCCAAGCCAAAAGGGAACCATCCGACATAGGGGAAAGGCTTTCGCCTCATCACCAAGCTTAAAGGAACAACGTCAACGTCGTAGTCGGGACGGGCTGCTCAAGACGGGAACGGGACCGAGGTAGGCACTTCAATCGGCTCTTCTCCCACCAGCTTCTGGTTTGAGTCAAGTGGCTGTGGTATTTGCATTTGCCCGGCCATCCATCTGATTCTGCAGGTCCAGTTTCATAGCCTCCTTCTCTACTTCATGCCGGCCGTCCGTCTCTATTTTGATATCATTCGGCTGACTGACATCTCAAGAAACCTTCCATTATTTCGGTTGTTCTCAGTGCATGTCCCTGCGTCCCGACTTCACAACCCAGACGTTATTGCATCCTGGAGAGTGTGATGTGTGATGAGGAAATGACTGTGTGGGTCGGATGATTTGCCCTGGACCCTCCCCCTCCTCATTCGTACGGAGTAGTTGAAGGAGGGAGGGAGGGTCCATCGACTCCATACAACAATAATAATGCAAGAAAAGGGGGGGGGGGGGGGGGGGGGGGGGAGAACAAAGTCGGAGCGTGCCTGCCTCGCTTCGTGATACTGAATAGAGTTTGCTCGCTGGTCAGGTCATGCTTGTGTAAGTTGTACTGGGTATCGTCCCCCCTGCCACATCACGACTCATGTCAAAAACGACACATTCGGATCACCTGAGAGCATTCGGTACCGGCACAACCTCAACATTCGTCCCTGACCCGAAATTCCACGGAACTCTAAAGATCCCTCCGGGGAAAGATCCACGCGACGGGAAATCAAGTGTCATCAACTACACGAGGACCACCATCCCAGAGAAAAGACAATTCGCTTGCTTCTCTCTCATGCATCCCAAAGAGACGTTTTGGAGGATTTTCTGGGCGGCGCAGGAATATCAATCATCATCGTCCACAAAAGATTCGACTCATTCTTCGAATCTCGCACGAACGGATCGATCATCAAACGATCCGTATTCGTACGTTTACTCGCATGAGAGACGACTGACTGTGCGGCGAGAGCGAGATCCCTCCCTTGTGAAAGTCTAGGTAGGTTTGTGAATCCGGTTTATACAGTATAATTCACCTTGACATGAAATGTCGTCCAAACATTTCATCCGAGCATAATAAACCTCATATCTATCTCGATCTGTAGCATGTTGATGTGGTCTCGCTATCGACCAGGCGGCCTCGCAGATATTGGTGGTGCTTTCTGAACTCTGGGTTTGTTTGTCCAACAAGGTACTCGATATTGAAGTTAATAAGCGATGGCGATGTGCGGATGGTGGGTGAGTTTCTTGTCATGCTTTATTGAACCCTTTGAGGAGTTGGAAGTTGCCAAGTCGATTCTATCTTACAGCATCCATAAGGCGATGCAAGTTCTCTATCAGTCGAAAGTACCAGCATGCGAGCTCGGTATCGCTTAGTTTGCGGTGTTGACCACGCCATTGGTCGTCAAAAGGCTTCCTTGAATAGTGCCAAACATATTCATCACCAAGTAAATGGCGAAGTTAATACAATTAAATGCCAGGATCATCTTTTGTTTTCCTTGATTTCAAGCTGTCTTTCCCCTACCTGTTTCAAATTTCTGGCTCAGTCGCTTCGAGTACAGTCTTTTGTTTTGTTTTGTTGTTTTCTCGTCTTGTAATTGTATTACTGGTTGCTGTAGCGAAGGTCTGCAATCGTTCCGTACGACCATGGCCATCACTAACAGAGATACCAATCTCTTGCTCAGTAGCGACTCAGCAGCAATACAGCTTCCTAGACGAGCCACAAATCCCCCATTCCATCAGTCTAACACCAAACCGTCGTCATGCTCTGTTTCTCTCAACCTGGCCTCAGAGTCTCTGGCTCCAAACCTCGATAAACAGCTGGGGAAGTCTGCTTTCATGATACAGGGTTCTTCACCATTTTGAGCACGGCATGGATAATTCTCTTTTGGCTCGCCTTCTTCGAATCGCACTGCGGTTCCTGGAATCCAGCAAATTTGTGTCTGGGAGGCCTTCGACGGTATCGGTAAATAAGATCATTAAGAGCTGTACGAGCATTCATGATAGAGCCATGGCCTGTTCCACGTTTCTCACCCTCCAACCCCCCTTCTGGAGTGTTTCGCCTGATCATCAGTCACAAAACTTTAAGCTAAGCATGTTTAGGCTTGTCATATCTTACCAACCCCGAGTCTGTAGACCGATATTGGGAATGGAAGACACTTGTCGTAGACAATAAAGAACGAGGACGAAGAAGAAGTTGGATAGGAGGACGGAATGGCGGAATGCCTTGCCGTACTTTCTTATAGGCAGAAGGGAAGAGGACAAAGATGAACCTTACGCACACCAATATCCACAAGACACAGACCGTATCACCGAGCTACTCGGTTAAATCCTGAAATGATAGCTGCGTGGTGTTTGGCAATTGAGGTATCCTGCTGTGGTAAGAGTTCTTCTTGATTGATTGGAAATATCTAATACAGGTACAGTATGCTGCTTTGCAGGCTGTCTACGAGTTTGGTATTGTATTCCTTAGACGAGAAATACTGGATCCGTGACTTGACCACCGCTCCTATTCTTCAGTCATTCTCCAGCCCCTTTTAGGTCAGGTCAAGTTTTTGTTTCTTGTCCTTTGTCTGGCTTGACCCTCTCTCATTACTTGGGTATCTCACCACCACAGGGAGGCAAGGTTGAAGAGGGAGCAGGTTTTGACAAGAAAGTGATTCAAGCTAAGTCGTTTTTGGAATGTATGGATCAAACAGTCCGTCAGTCACTTGCAAAAACCGGCTTCCCTTTTCCTAGCAATCGCAAAGATTCTCCGCTTCTTCCGTTTAAAGTGTAATATATAGAGAATGTTCCCATCTGTGCGAGCTTCCTACTTACTGTATCTTCGGCCGAGTCTGAGCTTCGATGAAGCTGAAGCACGTGTTCTGCCGAGATGGACAGGTCTTTACCTATCTAGCTTTGGCCAGGTGGCGCGACGCATCTCGGGTCCATTTCTGCTTTATATCGCTTCCTGATAGCTCGCTTCAGCCGATAGATACTCTTTCCTCGTCACAGGGCGGCGTGTCTCCTCCTCTGTCTTCCTCCACACCCTCCGTTCCTCCGTTCGCTCTAACCTTCTCATCATCTGTTATCGTGAGCTCCTCGTCCAGCGTTCTCTATGACGATATTTCCACGTTATTGGTGCAGGCTTTACACCCTCTGAGAGCTCAGACTTGTCTGCCTCTCCGCCTCAGCTAGTGATGTGCACAATTTCTTAGGATCAATGATTATCCCTTCTACTGCCGAAAACACAATTTTCCATGGCACAACGCTGAAGCGAGGCCCCTAAGGCTGCCTGGACGACAACAAAGCATTTAAAATTTCAGTATTCTTCGCTCGCTTAATTACAGGGTCTCGCTACAGGTGTGTTTGATACAGCAGTTGAGGGGATAAAACAATCAGGAAACCAGTGGATAGTAGGAGGAGTAGGAGATTTGGTAGATGGTGAAAGTGCGTTGGGGCTTTGATGGGAAAGTGAAGTAAATTGCTGGACTTGTAAACAAGAAGTATAGCTCAAATTTGAAGTGGGACTATAACTTTTTGAGTAACAGAAAGTTTTTCATCTGCACTCTGAGACGTTTTGACATGGTAGGTTATTCGCTTATATGTTATGGCGAGTAAACAAGAGAAGGTGGATCACGGATACTTTCCTTCGGGATAAACAGTAAACGAGTGTTCAATGTCACGAATCTATTGAGCAACTCAATACACTTCCTTTCCTTTCAACGAGGTTGGGTGAATTATTGCACGCCATATTTAGGAAGCAGGAATCAATGATCATATTGGTTGTACGGGATGCTTTCAAGGGTCTGGGCCATTGCTGTGCAGAGAGCCTTCGCTTGATGGCCGACGGCAGCCAACCACCGCGGTGATTTACAGCCACGCTGGTTGGTTATCAACAAGCCACCAAAATCAGCTGAAGCCACACGGCGTTTCTCAAGGCGGAACGAAATCTTGATGACAGCTCTCTTGTCTGAATTCTAGATCAAAAGGAGGGATGCACGAATAAATGCACGAGCTAAGTAGGCTCCGCCCTCCCTCAGCCTCAGCCTCGACTTCTACCTGACTCTCCCCGCATTCTTGAGGTTTATCCTCCTGCACTTTTGATTGAATCTCACAACCACCGCACTGAGTAATTATCTCAAGTCTTCATTTATGTTGCATCTGTGATTCGTGTCGTCAAGTGCTGTAGTCTGCTTGATACTTCCACCTTAGCAACAACCGGCGAAAAGCTGGAGCCTCGTCAATCATGTCGTTTGGATTTGGCGTCGGCGACTTCGTAGCCATTTCAAGAATTACGATAACGCTCTACCGCTCATTCAAGAATGCGTTCGAGGAGTTCGAAGAAGTCGGCCGACAGCTGGAATCGCTTCAGATCGTGATCGCCGATCTTCGCGATCAAGCAGACGATGAACAGTCGTTACTAAATCGAAATGGAGCCCAGAGAAAGGGCGAATTCCTCGTCATCCACGATAATCTGATGCAGACCATGTCTGAACTCGGAGATCTACACAAGCGCGCGCAACAGATGGGGCGGAGGAGTTGGACGAGGTTTCGCCTGGGTCAACAGGATTTATCTGCGCTGAGAGGCAGGCTCACCATTCATATCGCCGCCTTGACGGCTTTCGCTGGGAGTCTGACGATGTCTGCCGTTAGTCGATTGGAGCCTATGATTCAGAGAATATACGACATCTTGAATGAGAGAGCGAGACAAGGCGCGCTGACCGCGTCTTCAGTGCTGGACGCAGTTACGACCGAGCAGGAGGGTATGGATCAATTGATCAATCTCGAGCTGAGAAGCGAAGGTATTCCCCAGGAATTTATCGACGACAATCGTGGAGCTATTACCTCGATTGCCTGGAGCGTTGTAGAGGCGAACAGCTTGTTTGACGATAATGCAACGCTGGTTGATTTTGAACGTATAGAGCCCGACGTTAGTAGCGACCAAATGGAGGAGCTCAACATCAGGAGTGACCAAATAGAGGAGCCCAGCCTCAATAGCAACGATCGGATTGTCTATGGCAACATCAGAACATTCACATCTGATGAAGCAAAAACACGGATCAAGATTATGAATCATACTGGTTTCGACGTCAAGACCATCAAGCCTTCAGACTCGAAGTCAAGCACAGATAAAACAGAGAAAGCGGTCATCTGGGCAGCAAGCTATGCTCATTCTATCGAACCACTGCAGTTGTTGCTCGCATGTGGTGCCGACCCATCCACACCTGGAACAGCAGATCCAGCAATAATCGTGGCCGCCAAAGCCCAACTTTGGGACTGTAAGTGTTAGCTCCTAGCAGTATGCTTCCTCCGATCAGGTGAAGGCGAAGTCGAGAAGTTTTCTGCTCGCGAGATCTTGCTACTCCTGAACCTTCTCCTGAACCTTGGCCGAAGAAGCAATACTGACTACGAGATTATGTTACTTAGGGGTGAGACTTTTGATACATCATGGAGCCCAGCTTCACCAACAACTCTTTCATATCGCTGCCATATTTGATAGCGCCGAGCTCGTTTCAGAATTGATTTCACGTGGCTACAACGTAAACACAACTGAAAACGTATCCAATCTATGCAAGACTCTAGGAGCACAGTTAGCGATACACGAGATATTTCACCCGGCGATCTGGACAGCACTGCACACTGCAGCACATTTTGGATGTTTGAGAACAACAGCTGTTCTCCTCGACCGTGGTGCAGACTGTAATGCTTTCGCAAAGGAAGGCGGGACGGATTGCAACGGTTGGGATGATTTCTTTTCCTTGGGTGATACAGGCCGAACACCTCTGTTCGCAGCATTAACGCACCAAACGAGGTCAGCCGAAGTGGTACGCATACTTCTCGAGCGAGGGGCTCACGTCAATGGGCTTTGTAATGAACACACTCCCCCAACCTCGATCTTCACTCACAAGACAGCGTTGTGGGTCGCCGTGGACAGGAGTTTTCCGAGAGCAGTCAGGCTGCTCATCCAACATGGTGTGGCATTCCACGATACGATAGCCAGAGTACTCTTACGACACACGATAACAAAAAGAGACTCTGGTGTTTGCAAGGCACTGCTTGAGATGTCAGTTGATCACGGCATTCCAACTCTCGGATCAGACGTCTTACATGAGCTTATCTCTGGGTACTTGAATTCGATTTCGACTTCGTCTGGAACCAGACGAGTCGAGTTGCGCACGGCAATTAGGTGGCTTTACAAGGCAGGTGCAAGACTAGACGTCTCGGCCCGCCGAAGTCTTCACGGAAAAGACGGCCTGAGTATGCTAGACAATAGCGAATGGTCAAATTTTCCGATGACAAAAGAAGAGAGGGCACATCTACTTCCAGGCTTGCCACCCAGACTCTGTCTGCTTCCGGAAAAGTTCCCTGGGTCTGTCAATGACCCCTCGAGCCAAATTACCGAAGCAGAGAGGGGACATCTACTTTCAGGCGCCCCTCCTTCGAACAGGGCCCGAAGGATTATCACCAAATCTAGGACCGAGACGATTGAAGGACAAAGATATGATCCACCTACAATGGTACCGCCTCAATCCTTGCTGGGCTGGTGGTGGCACCTTACCATAGTAATCGCGGTGATACTTTTACTCACTTCTTCTTACTCGTTCTTACTCATTCCAATATTACTTGTTGTATTGGGCACTACGTTGCGGTGATACTTTTACTCATAATTAAACGAACAGTATTAGAGAATGTAAATAATCATAGCTGGACATATGTGCAGATGAATGGAAAGTATTCATATATTCGTTACTGACACACCAATCTCGAACATGATTACTTATTAAAGCGACACTCACTGTTCTGTTCATCTTGACTTCTACCGGGAGAACAGTGAGTGTTGCTTTAATAAGTAATCATGTTCGAGATTGGTAAATGTGACACAAAAAAGGACGACTTCATGATACGAACACTGCTAAGACGGACTTATATCCCCTCTCGGAGTTGAAGTTCTCCTGCTCTTGAGTTATTGGGCCACACGGTATCCTGATATTAAAAGCCAAGAAGTAGCGTATCCTCACACCAAAGACTACGCAAACACCAGCCAAGACATAATCTGTGTAAGTCAAAAGAGCGAATCAGTCCTTGCCTTAGCCCCCGCGACAGGCATATCACTCAAGCCCGAATATATACTAATGCCTCTACGAATGCAGAAACTTCAAGGTTTTGGTTGATCTGTCGCCCGTCGATGTGCGAATTGTTGGGTGAAAGTTGCTGAAACATGGTAGACTGAATTTGATGAAGAGAGGATTGACGTGATGTCGAATGTTGAAAAATTGATTGCAGTTCAGGAGTCGTCTCTTGCGAGGGACTGGTGGTGATATATTGTGGCCTGGATGGCGAGGCCACAATCTGGACCGAGGATGATGAGACGCGTCGACGAGAATTGTTCAGGCTGTGCCCGATTCCGTGAACGCAAACAAGGAGCCTCGACTGCGACTTCGCTCTCCAACAACCCAAAACCTACGCTCCTTCAACAATGCGCATTTGCTCGACGAGCTTCGCAAGACTATCATGACCGACTACAGCAAACTAAAGGTCGCCGACCTCAAAGCTGAGCTCAAAAAACGCGGCCTGCCGCAAACAGGACTCAAAAATGCCCTCATTGACCGACTGATTGCTGCTGAGGCTGCGGAAGATGGCTCTGAAAGTGAGGCCACAGTACAGGCTCTGGATACACACTCTGCTGCTGCAACTTCCCCGGATACGGTATCTCCAGTCGTCCCGACGTCATCTGCTGATGCTCTTCCTGAAGCATCTCTCCCATCGGCCTCAGACACTGTAGAGACGCCAGCAGAGAGCGCAAACACAGAACAGATCACCCAAGAGCCCCCAACGACAGAAACGCAACCGGATCTGCCTGCTTCGCAGCCAACCACCACGATTGAGTCGTCGCAGCCACCCGAAACCAAGGACAGCCATCAGTCTGCTCTGCCTTCCGTTGAGCCTGGCGAAGCAAACGAAGACCGCCAGAAGCGCAAACGAAGGTCTCAAAGCCCCATTCCTTCAGCAGCGGATTCTGCAAGAAAGCGATTCCGACCCAATGAGGACGATGCGAATGATGCCGCGACAATACATAGCGATGGCGGATTGGTTGAACAGCATGGTGTAGATGCTGCGGAGATGGATGCTGCAGCGGTAGAGAATGCCGGCGTAGGAGAACGTTGCAATGACACAGTAGCGGATACCAAGATGAATGATGTTCGCGGTGAAGGTGAAGGTCAAACAGTCAGTGAATATCATGATCAGAAGGCAGACGAGGACATACGAGAAGCTGGAGGCGAAGCAGAGCAAACAGAAGTGGAAGGCACATCCCACGAGACCTCAACCTCACGACCAGACTCCAGATTCAAAAAACTCTTCCCCGAAACCTCAGCACAAACATCAACAGCAGCCATGGGCGACATCCGCGAATCCGAAGAGTTCGAGCCAGAGCGCAATATCTCTCCAGCTATCCACCCAGCTACGCCCGCGCTCTACATTCGCGATTTCATGCGACCTCTCAATCCTGCACAACTGCAAGCACATCTCGCACACCTCGCAGCGCCCCCAGGTCACGATGACGATCCTGATGTGATCCTCAAATTCTTCATCGATCCCATTCGCACCCATGCGTTTGTCTCTTTCACCAAAGTCTCCGCCGCAGCCCGAGTCCGCTCTGCCCTCCACGACCGCATCTGGCCCGATGAGAAGACGCGCAAGCCGCTTTGGGTGGATTTCGTGCCAGCAGAGAAGGTAGAGGAGTGGATTGAGCTAGAGCAGGATAATAAGACCGGTGGACGCAGTGGCAAGAAATGGGAGGTCAGCTACAACATCGATGAAGACCGACATGTCACTGCTTCTTTGCACGAAGCTGGTGCTATCCTTGGATCAAGCCAATCGATCCGCGCTCCATCTATCACGTCGTCCTCGCCTCAAAATGCACAGTCGACCCGCAACATGAACATCCCAACCGGACCTCACCTGATTCGCGGCCAAGCTGCGGTGGTTACAGCCAATACAGAACGATTGAGTGCACTCTTCAACTGTACGACCGCTAAGCCAGCCTTGTACTGGCAACCTGTATCAAAGGAGCGAGTTGACAGGAGACTTGATCGTATCGATGGAGCTTTGTCAAAGGACGCCATTGCAGGTCGTACGATCCAAGGAGACATCCATCGCTATACTTTCGAGGAGGGCGATATCCTCGTTGACCGTGGACCAGAGATCTTCCCAGGCATTCGGCCCCCACCAGGATTCCGAGGACCAAGCGGATTCCCTCCTCGTGGCGGCGGATTTGGGTCCAGAGGAGGTTATGGAGGTCAGTCGTATCGTGGTGGTGGCCAGGGGCTTTCTTCCGGACGAGGATACGATTCTTACAGAGGAGGCCCATCAGGTGGCAGAGATGGTGGAAGTCGAGCAGGAGGAAGAGATCGAGATTACGATCGCGATGACAGGAGAGACCGGAGATCGTCACGGGACTACGGCAGTTCCAGGCGTTATTGAACATCTCAGAATGGCTTCACAGAATATTTGCATTTCAGGGAGTTCGCGGTTGATTTCTGCAATATTTGCAGATGGAGTGAGCAAGCTGTCTCGTTAGGTGTAGGAGTACCAAAACTTTAGAGGGATAATATGGTTGCGATACCCATAGAGATCTGGCTTCTCTACAGCATTGAGCTGGTACTTGAAATAAAAGAAAAAGCTTTCTTTCACCTTTCTGTCCTGGCTTCACATGAGATCAAAGAGCTGCATATGTTTGAGTGACTATCCTTTCTGTGCGGGTGAATGGGATGCTTCTACCTGTGCTGTGTCTTCGCTTAGTCACTTCGGTGTAACTTCAAACAAAGCATCTATATTCATTATAGTAAAGCATCAAAATGAAGATGAATGAATGAGCAATCATTGTAGCGTCCTTGTTGACTTCAATGTGGGTCGGCTCGCTCGCTTATGTGTTACTAGCGCGGGTTTCCAACAATTGTAAACAATACCACACAATCATGTCCACTCATCATAATGTGTCTGTCAATCACCAAAATCCGTTTAATTGTCGAGGAAGTTAGTTTGTAACATAAAGACTATTATCAGAAGTTATTCGGAAAATGGTGGCGGATAGACTGGGTATTGGATGAAATGGGTGCTAAGGATGAAACAATATGTTTTGAAATACAAATTGTAGATTTGGAATGTCACGAAATACTCTAGGTACTTTCAAAATAGTGAAACATGGCTATTGAATATCCTTATAGTCTTAAATGAAGTGCTGGACCAGTCGGCGCGTCCAGGATACAGTGAGTTCCAGATTGTTGAAAATGGTGATAAAAAGCCGTCATTGAATGTCATGAGCCGAAATAGTGACTTTCAAAACGCATTTAAACCTTCTAGAGCAGCCTATATCCATTTAAGCGAAACAAAGCTGAGAAACAAGGCTACAAACCTATCTACCCGACGCGCTAGTCTTTCTCGAGGTATGACACCCTACCCTTGCGATCTCCCTCCTCCCTCCTCCCATAAACCTCGAAAGTCCTCACCCTCCCCTATGACATACGACACCAACAAAATGTCTCCACCTGCACCCCCTCAACGCTACCCAGAGCGGTCCTCCTCCCTCTCCGCAATCGACTTCCCCCACGGTCCACCCAACTCACCTTCCACCAACGTCCTTGTCCCAGACGAGGACATCCCCGCACTCGCACTCACCAAAAGCATCACCAGCAGCAGCGAAGAAGAAGAGATTCCCCGCACTCGCACTCACCAAAAGCATCACCAGCAGCAGCGAAGAAGAAGAGATGGAGGATAAGAATCATTTTATTATTGATGCGCTTCAGAGATCGCTTTCGAAATCTGAGATTAGGGAGCCGTTGGTGCAGGAGTTCACTTTCGAAGCGATTGATCGGAGTGTGAGTTTGAGTTTGGGTGTTGATGCGGTGGATGGACAGGTTCTACCTGCTGCGCTGGAGATTGTGAAAATTGGTGGTAGAGAGGATGAGAAGAATGAGGTTGATCAACGCCATGTTTTGCAGTGCGAGCATGGCACCGCTGTCAATCTCAAGGAGGAGGATACTGGTGAGGACAAACTCATAGGTGACGATCTACACTACAAAGATAAAGCTTCCAAGAAAGAAGTGACGGCTTCTGAGGCGTGTTCTTGCAGTCCGAGTCCAATCGAGACGGTACCATCAGCTATTATTCGCCCAGCCACGCCGATGATCCCTTTAGCCTTCGGCCGCAAGAACAAGGATATCAACGAACCAGGCACTGAGTCTCCCAACAATCTGGAAACCCCTCACGCTTCACCACTTCGAATTAACACTACCGAACAACCAGTCACCATCCCCATCGCAGAGAACTACAAAGAGAACAAGCTCAGCCCAGCTCAACTCGTCCCCAAGAAGAAGACTTTTGTAGTCGCTATCTCAGGTTGCACTTCTGCTGGAAAGTCGGTATTGGCTAAGATCCTCAGTGAGATCTTTGATTCTCCGTCGGTTCTTCCAAGCAATGGCGACGGTGGAAAAATCAAGCCAACGATTACGATTGCTCAGGATGATTTCTTCCACCCAAAGGGTTTGCAGCCGTTTGTGAGCTTCATGTCGACGCAAGGGGATGCGCCGTTTATGGAGAAATCGATTCATCATGACGAGTTTGGGATGTAGTGAGTCTTCTCGAATTCTTTCTCCTCTTCCTGTCCTCGAGTTCTTTAACCCTTGTCTACATGACGCCAATATTGTTCTTAAAATACCTGAGCAACTATGCTGACTTCATTCTCCCCATAGTTTCATCACCTCATCCGGTACTAGACCCTCCCATCCACCCGACACTCTCCTCGAATGCCTCACCGGCACTTCCCACACCCAACGCATCGACTCCTTCGACTCCAACAGCAGCGACGCCTCTTGCCTCCACGAAGGTGGTCATCGCCATCTCTACCGAGTGACCGGTCCCAAGCCTGACTGCAACCAAGCTCTCGATTTCGTCAGCCTAGTCGAAGCCATCACCAGAATCCAGACAACCGGCCAGCTGCCCAAGTACAAGATGCGCTTCCCGTGCGAGGAGGACATGGACCAGTATTCCAACTTGATTACTAAGATGAAGGAAAAGGTCGCGGGATGGGTTAAAGAACAGGCTGTTCTTAACGCGGAGGCTAGGTTTGGTGGTGCGGTTGTTAGAGGTCCGATTGAGAGTGATGGGAAGAAACTCGTCAATGCTGATGCGCACGGAACAGGCAAGGCAACTCTACGACCACAATTCGTCTTTGTTGAAGGATTCCTCCTACTCGCCGATCCTTCCGAGGCCAGATCTAGCACCACCCGACGCATAAGCAATGCTGCTGCTTACAACATCGCAAGCGAGAAAGCCAAGATCGCCAAATACGTCAAGCAGTTGGAGGAACTCTCTACAGAACTCACTGCCAAGTATAATATCGACGAGACTATTGAGGGCGAGCGGGATGTCATCGAGGCGCAGTTCTGGGCTACGAATTTGAAGGCTAAGGAGTATCTCCAGGGATTGTTTGATGTTAAGTTGTTTCTCAACACGAGCAAGGGCGAGTCGAAGCGACGACGTTTCCAGAGATATATTTATAGGGATGGGCCTGAGGGTGAAAGGTTGCCGGGACAGATGTGGAAGAGTGAGGGGTTCTATGAGGAGGTTGTGTGGAAGGCCTTTGAGGAGAATTATGAATGGTTGTTGGAGGGCGATGGCAAGACTAATATTTCTGTTCAGGCAGAGAAGGGAAATGAGAGCTTGGGTTTGTCTACCAAGAAGGGTGTGTTCATGGAGCCGGTTCAGGATGCGTGTGTTGAGGATGTTGTCGAATGGGCTGTTGAGGTAATGCTTGCTGAGACGGGTCGACTTGAGGCTGAAGCTAGGATTGCTGGAGGTGGATGCAGCACTGACGACTAAGTTGTTTTTTTGAGAGTAATTGGGTTTGAATGGTGACATTGGTGGTGAAGGTAGGGAGATACCCGATCTGAAATAGGTCCTGGGGTCGAATGTACATTCGAATGTCCTCCATTTGGATTGAGGACATTAAAGTACTAGTACCTAATAGGCATAATGGAAGACCTGCTTTAGATCTGTTTGATCCAGCCCAATGTGACAAGCCGGTATCGTGGAGTTGCATATCCAAGGAAAATCAAGTACCCGGATACCGAAAGTTGTGGCCAAATATAAGTTTTGAATCTCCTAAGAATAGATAACGACATGGAGAGAAGACTGAAACGATAACGATAAATGAGCCTAGGCACGAGTGCTTGAGGTGCTCGGAGAATACTGCCCGAAGTTCTCATTCAGACTTGCGACTTTGTTTGCTACCCTCTAAGATCCGCATAATCCATGTATAAAGGATCCAGTTGAAAGCCTGCCGATTGGGTAGCAGATCCTTAGGCATACACGAGATACATGAACAAGGAAGCCCACTAGATGCTCTGCAATCAAGCCAGGGAAGTACTCTGCTGAACGTGCTCCAACCTTCACTGCCGTCATTGCTAGTAGAACAGTTAGATACATGGAAGATGGAATCGATTTAGGAAGAAGGACATACTTCAGTATGGTGACCTTCTGTATCAAACACATTCGCTCAGGAAGAATTGTGAGAGAGAGCTTCAGCACATCTTCCAATGCGCGGAAATAGAACTTATTGGACCTGTAGAGAAACTCAATAGTCTCGCTGTAACTAATTCGGACGCGTTAGTCACGTCCAGTGTTGAGATCTCACACTTTGATGCGGATGAGGGGCAAGGCATCTGGCGAAAGAACACTTACACTCTTCTACAGCATGTTGGTAATGCTAGTAAGAGCCTCTTTTCCTCCAAATCAACGCTCATACGATCTTGTAAGACACTACACAAACAGACAGGAGTAGAAGTTGGCGGGAGTGTCGGTGATGGCGGTCTCGAAGTTCTGTTCGATGGAAACCGGTCTCCGTTCAGACTCAATGCATCTTCTTGGACTTGGCGGTGGCCCATTATACTTCGAGATATGACACCAGGCCTAGCGCTTTGGAAGTGAATTTGAATGTGGCAGCCGCCGAGAACATATTCGTAAATCTGTTGCCGAATTTCGAGGGGCAGTTTGAAAAGCGGTGACTGCTCTTGAATGGCGGTACATGTCTTTTGGATGGTCCAAGGATTATCTCTAGAGGCATTGGCTACTGCTGTGGGAGATATCGAATCTTCCTTGGACCGATCGGCTTCCTCACGCCCAATCGTCAAGGATCGTGTCAGTCTTGGGCCTAAGACCTGAGGTATGCTGTCAATCTCGGATTGCGTGGCCACCTTCTTTCCGACCTGGGGACTCTCATATCTATGGTAGGCATCGACCAAAGTACTTGGTAGACGAAAAGGGGTGCAGAGACAGAAGCCGGGAATGCAGGCGGCACTTTCCCTTGAAGATTGAGACGATGCCCAGGAGCGCCGATGTCGCCTTCTCATGATCGTTCTTGTATGGCCGTTAGATGTTACGACTTTTTTCCATGGCTTGGATGGAGTTCGATGGTATCCTTGTGGTGGTTCATCCAGTTTCTGGTGTTGTATTTGAGTTCGAAGGTTACCAGCACTCAGCCTAGATTTGCCAAGCCAGCGCCACTCATTTCAAGTGCCAGGGTTCAAGGACCCACCTGAAGACAACCAAACTGAAAGCTCTGTAAATCACAAGAATTGATATAAAAGAGTCTAAGTGACTCAAGAATAAATTCTTGTGGCCGAAGGTCAGTACTTACCTGCCTAGGTAGTGCTGTTGACCCAAAACCTCACCCGCGACACGTGATGGTGTTGACAAAGGGCTCGCTTGCTAGGATCTTGTTTTTTCTCAAGGTCCACGGCTGAGTACAGCTCAACGATCAGAAGCCAGAAAATGGTTATATTGAAGGCGACTAGGGCATGTTCTTATCCCAATTTTACAGGAAGCCAGCGTTCTTGAAATATGGCGGATCCCATCGAGGTGGAAGATCGCATCCGTCCATATCTCTTTCTCGTGCCCGACATACCGCCTTTTTCAACGCTGCTGTGGCACCGAGCATGCAGTTGGTAATGTCGTGTTTTTATGATCTCTAAATCATTCCGCGGTCATACTAGAATTCTATGATTACGCTGTGTGCGGCAACTCGTTGTAATCGGTGGAAATCTCAAGCTCCTAGGAGGGATTGGTCTGTAACGTCTCAGATATTCCCTTACGTCCATATTTCAGAGTTGCGTCCTGTTGTATCTCAATTGACTGACTTCATCCAGGTTGTTGAATTACTGCCCCTCGAGATCCGGTTTCTCGTTTGTCCAAAGGCTTTCCGATCTTATTCTGCCTACTATTGACCGAAGCGATTGAGTAGTTGCACGGCCAGTGTTAAACACTTAAATCGTGCAAGCGGAAATCCCGAAGGTTTTGGAAAGCGAAAGAGAAGGTTGTCGTAGTGTCGTCAAAAGGCTGGAAGCGGGGGATGTCGAAGCGAGGGTAAACAAGGAGCAGATGGAAGCAATGACCTTTCCATTCGGCGCTTCGCATGCATGTCGAAATGATTTCAGAGGGTACGGCGGCGCTACAAGACTGTACGAGATACGAGGTACGAGGAACGGTTAAGCTGGAAATCAGGTCAAGCTTGGTCGAATTTTTGGCTTGATTGATTGCCTGCAGAGAGACCCTGACGATCCAATATGCAATAATAAACAATTGACACGTAAAGTAAGTATCCATCTCGGCAGTCATACTTCTGCGCCGTTCCGGCAGTCGAGCGAAAAGATGTTGTTGCATATAGATGTAGCCACGTCGCAACCACTGATTAATTTCACATGCAAATATTCCACCCTGTACAGACTCTGTGCTAGCTCTATGGTTTGAAAATTGCGGAGCGTTGAGAGTTTTAGTTCATTTGACTTTGACGCAGCTCGTGTTGATGGAAGCGGAAAGATGTCCTGCACGGTGAAAGTGACATGCATCGCGAAGACTAGCGCCAGAGTGCTTGACAGGGGATGCCGAACAGCATGCCCAAACCAGCGAATTTCCAACCGACCGTACCCCTAGGAAAGGTCATCCATATTCCTGTCCTGTCCATAGATATTGATGGACTCGGATCCTACTGTCGTGAAGATTGAGGAAAGGGAAGCCTCCCCTTATAAGGACCAAACTGCTCCGACCTAGTTGAGCTCCGCTGCAGTGGACTGAGCACCATTTTATACCAGGAACTGAATGCCATCTAATAGTTTTACAATTCATTTACCTCCACATCTGTTGTCTCATTGGTCCTCGAACAACTCTGAACGGTGCAGCGGCCACAAACCCCCAATCGGTCTCGTCATCCCAAGGGATCACAAGATCAAAAGTCCTCAAACCATGAATACCCATCATTTCTCTACACATCCTCCTCCTTCTAGCCCTGGTGACATGGAAGTTGTGCGGCTTCAATACCACTTTGACATCCATCAGCCCAGGCATCCTAGCGATGACTTCCCATGTTTCGCGCCAAGCCATGAGCTCTTCGTCGTCTTGCTTCGGGATAGTGTTATTGCGATTGAATATACTGAACATGCGTTCCCAGTCTATCATTATGCTTTGAACGGCATTGAGACGGTGCGGGAGGATGGTTCGCGCAAAATGACGAATGTCACCAGGATCGTAGAAATGGAAGACATTCTTGGAATATAATATGTTGATGGCCTCGGAGTAGCTACGAAACCCGTCAGTAAAATCCCGAGTAATGAAAGGTAAAGAAACAAACATCTGTCGGCAGGTCATGAGCAATGGCAACAGCCCGCCATCAGTCACTAAGTCCAGTAATCCATCACGGTCTAGATGCCACACTTTCGTTTTGTACGACAACCATCCTTCCACACATCTCCGAGCTTGTTCATCACACACTTCTTCCCCGTCTTGTATCCTACATCTCCAATGGCCCAGCCTTCTGTCTTTCCGCAGTATATGAACCAACCTTCTATCTCCACCCGCGAGTATTTCCTCATATATCATCGCCCTGATCTCGATTGGTAACTTGGCAAGGAAGGTTGAGCTTGATTGTTCGTGTGTTCGTTGCCGGGACCTCCGAAGATTGAATGGCATGCTTCTCGATTCCATGGGCCGCAATGGATGCGTAAGAGCTCGTTTGCGCGTCTTGGGCAACGCAACAGGAGCATCCAGCAAGGACTCTCCGCCAATGATGCCCCTCCTCGCAAGTTCGTGAACATCTGGAATCCGTCGAAAGCGCGAGGACCAATGTCGATCGTATAGGTTCAAGAACCAGACTGCTGGCTTCTCGAAGAAGACGCGCCGCAGAAGGCTCCAGATGTATGCCACGAATTCTTCCAGACTGCTCCATCGATACCAACCGGCTTGCATACGCATCCTCATCCGTATGTTACGCATTTCGACTGACTGACAGATAGGAAAACAAAGGAAAAGGAAAAAGGAGTGAGATGAATACCTACAATACGCGGCATTGCCGGCTGGCGGCCCTTTGCTGTACACATGCTTTCGATAGCTGCTGCGTCTGTTCGGGATATTGTGATTATCCAGTCGAGCCAGTGAGGTTGTTGATTCCTTGGCCCTCGGGATGGCGCAGCGCCAATTCAGGCTGATCGAGCCGATTAAGCCGCAACGCTAGGTAAGGTTACTGACGAGCGACAACACCAAAACAGTCTCCGGGGTATATCCTCAATAGATAAGGATACAAAGTACCTTTCTGCTCTTCTAGTGGGGCAGAACTTCATTTTTCAAAATCCCAGTGTAGTGAAGAATTGAGTCGTCGCTAATCTCCTCGAAGGATCCAGTTTGCGGAGATTTAATGTAGATTACAGGGAATAGACCTTGTAGCCGCACCATTTTCCACCTCTCGGATTCGTTGATATCCAAATATCTGACCCGTCGAAGTCTAATAAGCATCGAGAATGTATCATGTTTATTGTAGTTCCGCCTCTCATCTCACGAGCCCATCTGCAAATTTGTGTTGGTCATAAGGTCTAGATGTTCCGTTTTGTTGTTTTCTTTCTTTCTCTCTCTCCCACCACCGCCATTCTTTTCAGCGTACATACATCTCTCCCAGAAGCTTCAGTCTTCATTACAGTCTTTACTTTCACTTCTCTGCAAGTACAGCTTCCACAATGCGTTTCACAAGCACAATCGCTGCTTCGGCAGTCCTTGCTCTGGCCCATGGTGCCACTGTGAGCAAAAGAGCCCTCTCTGGAGAGGCAACATTCTATGGCGGAAACGTTGCTGGTGGAACATGTTCGTTCTCAACTTATACTCTTCCTGCTGGTGTCTTTGGTACGGCTCTCTCAGACTCGAACTGGGACAATGCAGGAAACTGCGGTGCATGTGTCTCTGTCACTGGTCCCAATGGAAATGCTGTGACAGCTATGATCGTGGATCAATGCCCTGGATGTGGAACAAACCATCTGGATCTGTTTCCCGATGCCTTTGCAGCTCTCGCCAATCCATCGAAGGGTGTCATCCCTGTTACTTGGGATTTTGTTGACTGCCCCATTACCTCGCCTCTCGCAGTTCACAACAAGGAAGGCGTGTCTGCATTCTGGTTCAGCATGCAAGTTGTCAATGCCAACAAGGAAATCTCCAAACTCGATGTCAGTACAGATGGAGGAAGCACCTGGAAGTCAACCACGAGACAAGATTACAACTTCTTCGAGAACTCAAGCGGTTTTGGCACAACCACTGTTGATGTCAAGGTTACCAGTGTAGATGGAGATGTCGTCACCATCAAGGGCGTAAATGTCGTTCCAGGAGCATCAACCACTGCTGCAAGCAACTTTGGATCTTCATCTGATGTTGTTCCGAGCAAGGCTGCGGTGGTTGTGCCAACAACTTCCTCCTCAGAAGCTGCCCCCGCTGCCACTCAAGTCCTAGCCTCTACATCCCTGCCCGCCGCAGTCTTCAACGAGGTCAGCTACGCAGCATCGTCTACCTCGGACCACTCCACAACGACTCTGTCATCCACCACAACTTTGACTCGTACACGAACAGTCTCCAAGTCCACATCTACCACAGCACCAGTGATTTCGACCCCTTCGTCTTCAACCTCGGTCTATGTCCCAACCACTACCTACCTCCCATCCAACACATCTTCCTCTCTTGTTGCTGGAGCTGCGAGTTCCAGCGTCTCGCTCAGCGTTATTTCTATCACAACTTGTATCCCTACTGTTTTGTACAGTGTGGAGCCAGTACCTACTAGCACACCCGCTGCCATCTCAACTGGAACCATCTACCCAGTGCAGAATACCAGGTAAGCTTCCCCTATCTCCAATCCAGAGTACACCAGACTAACAAAGTACAGCGTGCCATTCGCAACAGCCACCCCACCACCCTTCACTGGAACCGCATCATCCACTCGCAGCTCCACCATCGTCGCCATCTTCGCTGGTGTTTTGGCATGCTTCATGATCTAAACATGTCAAAATTTGTTGACTTCTCGCTTCCTGACGAGACTTTTCTCTGGGGATAGGGAGATTGGTGTACTTACTTCTTTCTTCATGAAACGATAGGGTTTGATTCGGTATAGGTGGTTTGGCGTTGTATCTGGGGTACAACTCTTAAGAGGAACCTTTTGTTTATTGTATAAACTTATTTTTTCGAGCCAGGCTCGTATCTGAGCTCTTACTGGGGACTAGCTCGCCCGTATGGCTATATAATAGCCATAGAGAATTTCCGACAAGTTCGGATTCTAGCGTTTTTCGTCTGAGCTTGGTCGTGTCACTGACAAGTCTATGTTCATTGAAGCATCATATCTACAAACTCACACTCTCAACTCTTTAACCCTAACGGATAAACATCTAGCAGGAAATCCCACTCGGCAGGTTCAAACACGCAGTCGACTTCTTCCCTCCCGTAACCTTCACACCCTCCCACACCCAATCCGTACAACTTCCAACCCCACACTCCACCAAAATCGGCGTAGCACCACTATCCACCGTCCCCTTAACATTCTTCAATTGGAAATTCTTGATCGGCACACCATTCGTCGGCTTATGCTTCGTCCCACCATACGACTGATCAACAATAATCCCATAAGACGTCCCACCATTGAAGACGATGTTCCGGTAATAAATATCCGACACGCTAGCTACAGCCCCAGAAACGGTCTTGATTCGGATAGACTGCTGCTGTTTCTCTAACACAGTATTCTCAAACGTGATATTCCGAACCACCGAGCCGTTTGCAACGGATCCAATTGAGAGGCCGTGGCCGCCTGAGCAAAACCCGTTGGTCCAGTAGATGTTAGTCCCGCTATTGACGTTCATGCAGTCGTCTTGATTCCAGACCTTGACTCCGTTGAAATAGACCTGGTCTGCGTTGTTGATGTTGAAACCGTCGGTGTTGTGACCGCCTGTTGCGTAGTTTCCGGCGGAATCGTCGACGACGACGTCTTTGATGGTGAGTCTTGTGACGTGGTTTAGGCTGAAGGAGTTCTTGGGGGCGTTTTTGATGGTGATGCCTTGGATGAGAGAGTCGGTTAGGTTGTTTGCCCTGAAGAATTTGGGTTTGATTTTTCCGCCGTTTCCGCCGAGACCGTCCCACCTAGAAGATTGAGGGTTAGTGATTGTATTTTGGTTTATTTACATTGGAGTCATCTCAAGCAAGCAGGGGTTTTCAGAGACGAATAGGTCTTGGAAGCTTTATGCCACACCAATAGCAGTGTAGTAGAATACAGACTTACCAGAGAGCTCCTTGTCCATCGAGCACTGACCCAGGGTCTCCTTTGATAGTGATCCTGACATGTTGTTAATTAACCGAAGTATGTCTTGGCACCAATATCTTACTTGTTTCCACTAATCGACACCAATGAACCCTCCCATTCCTTGTATCCCCACGTCGTCGTCCCTTGAAACACGACCTATATCAAACATTAGACTCCATCCACATGCCATACTCCTGGGTAGACCACATTACTTACGGTAGTCCCATCGTTGAGGTTTTCGAGATTTAGTGTGACTCCGGATGGAACAGTGAGAGAGGAAAGTACAATGGTAGCACATGAGGTTTTAGAGGCTGAAGCTAGAGAATATCCATTCGGGCCACTGAAAGTACATGATGTAGAGTTCTTAGCAACGGCATTTTTCAAGCTCGGTGGTGGCGTTGGTTGGGGTCCAGGAATCGCTACGGGGTTGGCGACGACACCAACTGTAGTGACCAAAAGCGCTGTGACAAAAGTGAAAGAGGAGAACATTTTAGCCTGCCTGTGAGAATAATATAAAACAAACAAGTTAAACAGTTTGAAGGAAAGTCGAGAATGGAGGTACTCCGCACTCCTTTATATCTCAACTAGTGCTGGCAGTCTATTGGTGGATGATCTTGGCATCCACGGGATCGCTTAACTCGCTACTTTCGCACTGGTTTAACTTCAAGTTCAATTTATTCGCCGCCAGTGACTGTCAAGGAAAATCCATGGTGAATTTAATTGCCAAATGAGGGGGATGTAAGACAATTATTGGGCATGTATTTTGGCCCTCGAGGCGAAGACGCAGGCTTCGTTTACAGGAACACCGAGGGGAAACACCGACAGGAGAGATACATACTTTTCAGATCGTCTAAAGTGCTACTTCATTGTTCGTACATGAAGATTATAGTGGCCGGCTTTTGCAGAATGTCCTCAAGACACATGTGAATTAAGAAGCAAGCAACATAAGAATCTATCGGAGCTTCGCTTCGTTCTTGAAGTGATTTCTTTCTTGGCCACACATTGAGTGGCGATGTTATTTAATTCAGAACTCTCCTCCATAGACCAATGTGTATATATCAATCTCAATTCACACAACCTGCTCAGCTCTCAAAGCCCTCTTCCCCTCAATATCTCTCGGCTCAAAATCCAACCCATCCAAACCAACCGCCGCAACCTCAGGCGCGTAATGCTTAGCCACCCAATGCGAAAACATATCCATCCCAGCACAAGCCCCCCCAGCTGTCCAAAACTGCCCATCCTCAACCCACTGTTCCTTCACCCAGTTAACCTGCGGTCTCATCTGCCTAGCCATCTCCAACGCCTGATGATTAGTCGTCGCTTTCCTCCCATCCAGCACTCCCGACGATGAGATCGCCAGCCCACCAGTACAAGTCGTAAACACACCCTTCCCAGATTCAACATGCTTGCGGATAAATTCGGCAAACTTTTCGTCCAGCTTGAAAGTCAATGGGTCAGGGCCGCCAATTAAGAGGTAGTCGAGAGGCGGACAGGCGTCTACCGTGGTGGTTGGGACGAGATTGATGTTGGCGCTCATGAGGACCGGATCCATGGTGGTGTTGATGTGGTGGAATTGGATGTCGATGGCTTTCTCGGGGAGGCCTGCCATGCCTGGGAAACCGGCTGCGGCGTAGTGCTCGATGAGGGTTTTGGAGGAGGTGGAGAGGAGGTCGATGGGGCCGGCGACGTCGAGCATTTGGTAGGGGATCATGAGGATGCCGAATTGGATGGGTGCCATTTTGTAAGTTGGTGGGTATTGGTGTGGAAGTTGTTTACTTTTTGCGCAGTGAGTAGAGAGTGGGATTTTTTTGCGAGGATTAAGAATTGAGGACCGATTGGAAGCAAAGTGAGTTGGATTGTTGCTGTTTTCTCCATTGGATCGGACATGGCTTCCTTCTTATAACTATCTTCCAAGGAATTTTGAAACATAAAGTCGGTGGAATCTTGCATTTGGAAAAGAGTGTTGCGCGTCCAACTAAGGTAGGCGGATGTACACGTCGGATGTATCAAAAAGGACTCGCCTATTTAAGCGAGCAGGCCTAATCTTTCTCCATTACGGATATTCACATCATTGGACATCCGGGCGCAAAGCGCAACATTAAAATCGACGCAAATGTCTATTGTATGACAAGAATAAGAACATTTGTTTCGAGCGTGCTAATTTGCGTTAGAAAATGGTGCTTTGTATCTGATTCGCAGCTCACAAGCCATTATGTGGATATCCGCCAGTCATCCTTGGTGATAGACTTTACCCCTCAAGAAAAGATATATCTACAACTAGAGTCCACAACCAACTTGAATATCCGGAGTGGTTATCTGTAAGGGAACTTATTTGACTTTGTGGCCACGTTGATATCCGAGTAAGAATCTTTGAAAGATGGAAGTGCGTTGCAGACGATGCAGGGCTGAAAGTGCGGCGCAATTCTACCTGCGCGTATCTGATTCCTTGGTAAGATAAAGCATCTCGTTTGCCAATAGGTTTATTCTACTACAGTCCTACTCATGGAGTCCAAGTATATAACGAAACATACATAACAGTCTCCAGATTCATCAATTTTCTCGGCGACAAAATGATCACCCATCAGTACCTGTCAATCCATTGCCTTCTGCTTATTGATTTGACAGAAAGACTTAGAGTAGCTAAGTCTGCGTATCGGACATGATCAAATAAGCTTGAGATACGTGAACTGTACGTTTCACTGGTACTGTACCAGGGTCGGGATATGAGCGCTACAGACAGTTTAACCGGTCAGCAAACGTAGCGGGAAACCTAGATTTCTGATGGACCAATGAATTCACCTTCCTCGGGAGCGAATGCGACTCATTTGCAGGCCACTAAGTAACAGGAGTATTAGTTGGGGCTATTCAACAACAATATCGCGCCATGAATTGTATACTTAGATTGGAAGGTTACTTCTTGCATATATGAAGAATAGAGCGGAACACTGACCCTGTGCATCACGCCGATATCTTCTTGGATCTCTTTGGATGCTTCGCACTCTTGCAGGCTCATAATGCCTCTCAATTCGTCACTTCCTACAAGTTGGAGACTGTTACCCAGAGCTAATGCCTTACCGCTCATGCAATCTACTGGTAGCTAATCGCTGGTGTCAACCGGCGAAAAACATTTCCGTTCAATGATTCAAGTATAAATACCCATCACTTTTCCAGCTTCATTCGCCATCCCCATCCTAGATAATTCTCGCTACTCAAGAAAACTCCAAGGTTTCAGCAGTTTAGTTCCCGTATCGTCAATCATAATGTCTGTCAAAGGTGCCATCGTTCTCTCACTGGGTCTTTTGGCCAGCTTGGTTTCAGCAGCACCCACGGTGGCCACGGCTAGCACGTACGACACAAATCTTCTCTGGTTTCTCGAGAATGTAGACCCAAATGAAGTGGAAATCACCCCAGGTCCCGGCCTCTCGCAAGCTGGTAAGTACAATCTTGGTGTTTTCCCTCGCACAATGAGATACTTCAGCCTGGTACCTTCGCTTTCGAACAGCCACGACTCAAAATCAGCCACGACTCAAAATTTCAATTAGACGTTGACTCAAAAGTCAGACACTAACATCAATATAGTGAACATCTCTAGCCACGATCTTTTCGATATTGATTGGCGAGCAAAGAGTCAGTAATAATTCGAGAACCCTTATTACATGAATTTCGAAAGCTGACAACCACATCAGACGGCCTCCCTGATCCTCGTACCTCATCACCTGTGGCACGTTCTCTGTTCGAGAAGAGAGTAAATCTCCAATGCTGGTACGACAACTCGCGTGGAAACATGCAAGGAGCATACAGCAACCATGACTACCTCATGGCGATTGGTAATCAGGGCGTTCAATGCAATGTCTATGGGCAATGGGTTCTGCAGAACTTTTACAGCGCTACGGCTTATGGTGTGAGGACCACAGCCGATGGTCTGGCGAATACAGGCAGCTCTGCTTCTAGCAATTGTGCGGATGTGGCCAGAGGTCTGGAGCCGATCATGGAAAGTTGCCATCCTTCTTGCTTCAGTAGGTGGTCTCCTAAACATTGCGCCCCTCATAATCTTCCCTCATAATGGTCAGTGCTGGTGGTATGTTACTCAGACCAGAACACATTTGATTGTCTTTTTTTCGGATTTACTACTTTTGATAATGCTGACTTGTAATCCCTCCGTAGCGACCCGCTGCACTCTTCATGGCATGAACGCTGCGTATGGAAACGGAAACATGAATGTATATGTTCAGGGAAACACTGGGGCTTAAGCTTCCCAGAGTGCTAATTGCAGAGCTCCTTGGGTTCTTGGTAATCTTAGGTATCGGGGGTAACAAACCTCCACTTCTTTGGCGTAACGGTTGACTTTATTGTCAAGAGGGGTTCGTCTATACAAAGAAATCATTTCAGGATTCTTTTGGCTATCTCCAGCTTGAAATAGAGTTTTGAAACATTCATTCTGTTTTCAACGTATGTTGTGATAATGATTAAGGCGGGACAGAGTTCACCCAGAAAGTTTCTCTAAGTGAACGAGGAACTTTTTGAGACCTGAAATATGAGACCAAATCAATGAAATCAAACTCTCCCAATCTTCGATACTGTATGCTCGACTGTGGTTGACCTTACTACGGCTGAGTCCCATGAGAGAAAATGGAGAGAATTTGACCAGGATATTCGCTTCACGACCTAATGTCTATTGACATTCACTTTTTGCTTTGCACGCAAAGCCAAGTCGAGGAAAGAATTTCAACCCACCAAGTTCCACAAACGGCAAACTTTGCCCAAGATAACATCCATTTATCCTTATTTGGGACCTTGCATTGCCCACTTGGTGGAGACATTTTACAAGTACCAAGGTACTTTAAGCAACCGACTGGGGTGCACACGTGACTTGCTGGTTCATCTCAGATGAGCTACTGCAGTGCGATTAAAGCGTCTTTCGTGCGCGCGTAGAAGTATATATAATGTCTATAATCCAATCACGTTCAACGAGAATCAAAATGAAACAGCTCGATAATAATCAAGAATTTCATAGTCAAGTTGCGACTCGGTTTCCGGAATCCCACTTCGGTACCACTCCCGATCCTAACCCCGCATCAAACTCCACGCCAATGCGACACTACCGTGGCTCCCGTTCATCAACAGCCACAGCCTCGGGTTTGGACAGCCGAAACTCTTGAGCACTACTTCTTCTCCAACATCATCGACATGTGTTGTCAAACCTCGAAATCGCATTTTAGACCGTGGACGAGAAGATGCCTTTCCAATCACTCCTTCCAGACATCGATATACCCAAGATGGACTTGTTGACGTATATATTTCCAGAAGGAAGTTCGCCCTCGACTGAACCATTATGGCGTGATACTAAGGATCCCGACAATTCGTTGTCACCAGCTCAAGCGCTACAATGGATAAAGAGGTTGGGTGTTGGGTTGGGAAATGCGGGGGTGAAGAAGGGAGAGGTTGTGATGATTTTCACTCCTAATCACATCTTTGTTCCTGCTGCGTATCTTGGTATTTCTGGGAATGGATATGCTTTCAGTGGAGCAAACCCAATCTACACTGTACCTGGTAGGTCATCCCAAACCACTCGCTAAATTCCGTGGGCTCACTCAACTCGAAGAAATGGTGCACCAAATCAAGAATACTGAAGCTCGAATCCTGTTTGCGTATCCAGGTCTTCTCAAAACAGCTATACAAGCTGCCAAAGAAGCGGGACTTCCAAAAAGCAGGATATTCCAATTTTCTGACAAGCCAAACAAAACCGTAGACGGAATCAGGGATTGGAGAGAAATGCTAGGATCGGACGAAGAAGCCAAAAGATATTCTTGGCCAAGACTCTCGCCTGAAGAGGCGACGACGACAGTGGCCACAATCAACTACTCCTCTGGAACCACGGGGCTTCCCAAGGGAGTATGTGTCAGTCATTACAACATCATTTCGAATATCGAGCAAACCCTAGTCATGAAATATATCAACCAACCATTCACTCGCGAGACTGCACCACCTGAGCGATGGCTCGGATTTCTGCCTCTCTACCACGCCTACGGGCAATTATGGACGATCATGATGGCGGTGAAACTCCAGGTCCCGGTTTACGTTATGACTCAATTTGTGTACGAGGATTATCTCAGAGCCATCCAAGACTTCAAGCTCACTCAGCTGCATGTCGCGCCTCCTATCCTTGTCATGCTGAGTAAACGGCCTGAATCAAAAAAGTACGATCTTAGTAGTGCAAAAAACGTGCTATGTGGCGCTGCACCGCTATCAAAAGAGCTTCAGGCAGAGGTCTCGACCAGGTTCAAGATGCAGATCAATCAGGGCTGGGGAATGACTGAAGTGACTACTGGTGCGATTATGGTTCCGTTTGCGATCAATGATATTACTGGGAGTGTCGGCCAGTTGCTTTCCAATACCGAGTGTATGCTGATCGATGATGATGGGAAGGAGGTTGGTGTTGGAGAGCGAGGCGAGCTCTGTATCAGGGGGCCTCAGGTGTGCTTAAGGTACTGGAGGAATGAGGAAGCTACTACCGACTCGATTACTCCTGATCGGTGGCTGAAGACGGGTGATGTCGCGGTTTGTGACAAGAAGGGTTATTTTTGGATCGTGGATCGGAAGAAGGTAAACTCACCACTCTGACCTACAAGAATGAGTCGTCGCTAACAAAATTTAGGAACTCATCAAAGTGAACAGCCTACAAGTCTCACCAGCCGAGCTTGAAGCTGCACTCCTCGAACACGAAGCCGTTGCCGATGCAGCAGTTGTAGGCATCAATCTGCACGATGAAGAGTGGCCTCGTGCATACGTCGCGATCCAGGATTCCGCAAAGGGAAAAGTGAAGCCTGAAGATATCCAAGAATGGATCAAGCCGAGAGTTGCCAAGCACAAGTACCTGGCTGGAGGTGTGACATTTGTAGATGAGGTGCCAAAATTGGCGAGTGGCAAGATTCAGAGAAAGGTCATGAGGGAGTGGGCGAAGCGAGATGCGGAGATTTTACAGAAGGAGATTAAGGCGAGGTTCTGATGTGGATGAAGAGAGGGCATTAGTACGCCAAACTCATTATTCATATAATGTAAAAGAATTTTTTCAACTGTTCTTCTTCCTGTGATTCAACTTTATTTGAAGGCTCCAGCTTCGGGTCGCGGGGAATGGGCTGTTGTCATTCACGCCCGCAACGCCCGGCCTCGCTTAAGAAGAGACTCGGAGAGTCACTCTCGAACTTGGCATTGGCATATCTACTTGAAGGAACTACAATCACACCTGAGTGATCGAACAACTGTGAGTAAAAGTGCCTAAAACACAGTTAGTCATATCTCTCCCTTTGAAAAGTGTTGGTGATCACAACAATGATTCACGACCCTGCGCTGAAGCCTACGCGAAGGCAACAGCCAAGCCATGAACAATGACCCCAAAAGCCACCGTCCCAATCCATGAATCATCTCTGACTCACAATCATTCTCCCAGTCATTAACCGCCATCATCCTCAAGTATAAATACCTCCTTTCCCCTCCATCGAAACCTTTTTCTCTTTCCTCCCCATCCTAGTGCAAGGGCTTTACGCATCGCAGTGAGGATGTAATCCGAGCGTGTGTTTTTGCTGATTGAAAACTATAATCATGACCTGCTTCTACTGGGTTTTGTACCCGGTAGAGAATTTTTGGAACATACCTTCTCATAATGAATGAGATTTTTTGAGTGATTCTCGTTGCGCTTTTCTTCCGAGGGCGAGGCGTGAGGCGTGAGGAAGATCTGTTAAGGCACCTAGGGAATGTGGGGAGAATGGCAACCGTAGGCAAGGGAGAGACAGCATGTAAGATTAAACGCATACTATATTTCTATTCTAAGTTCGGGGACAGGCCAAGCAGTTCCAGGAGAGATTGTGTGTACTTCATCTTAGCGCACTGGAAATCATCGCATGATCTTTCCCGAGTTTTGCTCATATGTATAACAGAAATACTCCCAGCAAACTTTTACTACAAAAGAATATTCATATTGTAGACCAGATTAACAAATATAACACTACAGGATACCCAGATAATTTGGCGCCACGCATTAACCCTTTGGAGCTATAATCAATCCCAAAACAACTATGCCTTCTTCTTTCCCTTCACCGCAATCCCAGTCTTCATAGTTCCTATTCCTATAGGGCAATTTCTCTTATTCTTTTTCAATGCTGCCTGCTCTTTTGTCGCTGAGGCCTTCTTGAGGGCTTTCTTTTGCTTCGAAGCCTCCTGCTGTCGAAGAGCCGCTTGCTTCTTCAAAGCCTTACTTTCTCTCAATATCTCCTGCTCTTTCGAAGCCGCCTGTTTCTTCAGAGTCTTTAGCTCCTTTGTAGCCGCCTGTTCATTCAATGCCGTCTGCTTCTTCAGTTCTTTCCTTGCTTTGGCAGCTGCCTGTTTATTCATTTCTGCCTCTTTTCTCATCGCTTTCCTAGCTTTTGCAGCCGCCTGTTCTTTCAATTCCGTCTGCTTCTTCAGTCCTTTGCTTGCCTCTGCTGCAGCCTGCTTTTGTAATGCCATCTCTTTTCTCAGCGCTTTTCTTTCCTTTGTAGCCGCCTGCTTTCGTAAGGTCGCCTGCTTCTTCGCTTCTTTCCTTGCCTTTGCAGCTGCCTGCTCTTGTAAAGTCGCCTCCTTTCTCAAGGCTTTTTTTGCCTTTGCAGCCGCATGTTGCTTCAGCGCCTCCTGCTTTTTCCGAGCTTTCTCGACTTTCAACATTGTCTGTTCCTCCAATACCGCCTGCGCTTTCGACAGAAGCGCAGTCTTCACAGATTCAGTCCTTTCAGCGGAAGCGATTGCTCCATCTTGCACGGCAGAATTTGAAGCATCCCTGCTCCTCGCATTTTCCGCGAACCCCTTCATAGACCTCCAACGCTGTACCTTCTGAACTACCGTTCCATACTTTTCAATCCAGGCACTCGTCTCATCAACTGGCCATACCTGGTAGCGGAAATTCTCGGCTCCTTTCACCGTTGGATGTACCATTTCAATCTGCAAGACAGTACCACCTTCTTTTTCCCCCTTCAAAATCGGCTCCTCTACCACCTGGTAGGTCGTTCCCCCCGAAGGATGGAACATTGCCGGAGGTGGAGGCGTCAATACTGTTACCCTTTCACCTTCTAAAATAAGCTGTGCGAAAATAGCCGAAGCTCCTTTCATATATTTGCTCCAGCCCTTGCTCGATTTCTGACTTTTCAGGCATAGTGGATCTTCAGCAATCATCAGAGGTCCCATTGCCATAGTCAACGTTGCCATCTCATGGTCTTTTGCCCATGCCTGAGCACATTCGTAGGGAATGCCACTCCACATAACCTGATTGTTCCGAATCCATGTGCTGTTGAATTGCTCCCGGATTTGGAGCTCCTCATCGACTGTTAAGTATTGGGAAAAGGCTGCCATAGCATTTGGTGTAGACCATCCGGTACTCCTACAAAGGTTTTCATAATCATCACTTTCATTGCTCCCTAATGTACGAGCGAAGACAGAGATGTCATCGTGGTACCACTTCATATATACATTGAGTTACCCCGCTCGATTATCACGTGCTTCACCTCTTTCCGTTGATGCGACGGGTTGACCTGCGTGACAACCTTCATGAACTTGCACACCCCGGCCACCCCAATGCTTCTGCTTCTCTCACAAGAACTGTCTTCTAAATCTTGGAGTGGGTCCTAGGCTCGATATGTTCCAAGCAGAACGGATTGGCCGTAACCGAGCTCTGTTGCTGTGATATCCTAAACGAACCAATGATGTGGAGGTAGAGAGGCAGGTTGAAATGTTGCACAGGTTAGAGTGTCGACAGGGTCCAGGATAAGTTCTACCACAAGACCTCCATTTTCTCACGAATACGTTTTCTAAGCGCAAATTCGCCGAATCGAGGAAGCCGCGAGTAAGTCAGAATGCCTTTTCTCGACACCAGCTCAAATGTCACACCCTCGGTCTTGATCCTAGCCCACTCAGGGATGATCATATTCTCCACACTTTGTTCTTCCAAGTGGATGACAGCAGCTGCTCCCTTAGCGACAAAAGCACTATGCCATCTCCCTTCTCGTTTCGGGGACTCTCGCAGCAAGCTCACAGCCTTCCATCGTATTGCGCTATCCCGACACTTGGTGGCTACAACCCAAAGAAAGCCGACGACGCCTGTATCAAATGTGAAGACGGGTCGATGAGAGTCAGGTCTCTTTTGTTCAATCAGAATCTCCTCTGACAGTTCAATTATTTCTTGGAAGATAGGTGTGAAGTTATCGTACTGGAGTTCGTCATCGAATTGAGCACATGTGAGCGCGATGAGGTTGATGTGATGCTTCCCTTGGAGAAATGCAGCCTCTGCGCGGGATTGCGTGTCATTCGATGAACGGGACTCGTTGAAGAGGGGTTGGAAGCATGTGTACCACTGAAGAAGCAGCTCGAGCTCGTACTCCGGGTATCGATGTCGACTGCGAGCTCTGGAGAATACCAAATCGACTTGCAGGGCCTCTTCTTCCAGGTCGTCTTCACTGTCTGTACTTGGAGTATGTGAGGTGGTTCTCGTCCGAAATTCTTCTCCGAGTTCAGAAGTCCTTCTTTGGACCAGCCCCATGGATTGAGAAATACTTTTCGCTGTCCAATTCCAGGCTCGCCGAGCTTCTTTGCATGATCTGAAAGGTTCTTTTGGAGCGCTCTCCCAGCTATCTCTGGTCGTATACTGGACATCGAATAGTGATTCGAGTGCAAAAGGTTTCACAGTACGGTCCAACCTCATAAATATGTCGCCCAAACCCTCTTCAAAGTTCTCCATTTGGCCAGTGATGTGACTCTCCTGCGGTTTATTTCTCCGCTCATTGATCAAATCCAGGCCAGATGTAGCGTGTATGAGTGCGGAAGCATGATTTCCTTCGAATAGCTCAAAACATACAACCAGGATGCAGCAAATGAGTGTGGTCCGTAAATCGTACTGGCCCCTCTCCAGATCTCTCCTCATCTGACCGATTGCACATCCGTATTTTTGCAATGCAAATTGATGGCGGTCGGCGTCCTTGAGCTTTTTTCCTGTCAGGTCGAAACACACTTGGTCCTTTTCTGGTCGGCTACTGTCCAAAGTACAACTTAGAGCGCCGATCGCAACAACAGCATTCCGGATGGCACCTTGATGCTCGCAGGCCTGTAATACAATTCGATCCCACAGATCCGAAGTTTCGCTACCCACAAACTGAAACATGCTTCGTTCATAGAATATCTGGAAGCTGAGATACTCTTGCTGATTCTCGAAGTGGTAGGTTGAAAGAGTCCGCTCAGGGGACAGAGACTGGGAAGTGACTTTCGGCACCAGATCTTTGAAAGTTCGAGGAACCAGACCTCTTGGTTCAACCGGCATGGGCTTGGGCTTCGCATATCCATCGCATACAAAGCCCATCCTCACACATCTCAGACATGCTGGCTTAGTCTCATCGCACTTCAAGTGACGAGTTCTGTAATTATGTTACGCAAGTTTCCGGAGAATTCCTGTCAGGATCGAGTCACTCACCTGCAAGTACGACATCCCGTCCTTACCTTCGGCTTCCATATTTTCACTCTCTGTTCATCTGATATTTTTCTGGGCATTCTACCATTGGCATAAGAACTCCCAGCAGCACTCTGTTGAGGTTAAAATTTGAAGTCAGATCAATACGTAGAAAAGATTCCCTTTCTTCGAGGATGGGTCAGCATTTAACATTGATATATGAAATACCTAGAGTTCTTGGCATCTGCTTACCGTCTTGGACTTGCAACCAGAGAATAAATCACGTCAGCATACATGAAGATGCACTCTGATCTCGGCGAATGGCTGTTGTGCCCCGTCCACAGCTAAAAATCGATGCGCAGCTTTGAACTACTGCTTACGTCGAAAGGAAACCGAGAGCGGTGAATGTTACCCGAATCTCGAAGCTTAAAATTTCCTCCGAGCCATGATGGCCAGGATGATGCACAATGGCTCATTTGAATTGTCAGTCAGCAAGAGAGAAAGTGGCTTAGAGAAGTGACGAGGCCAACGGCACGTGATGTGAGATTTGCCTTGCTTGACCGGGTCATCCGGGAACGCGAATCGAGAAGTCAGATTGTTCCGCTTCATCAGTCATCCACCTCAATACTCACTCCCTATCTCTCTTGAGGTTGACACTACCTGTCCTTTGCAGTTTGTTGGTTTTTTCCTCTCTATCAGGCAATGTTGTCTTTGGGCTCGCTAAAACCACCGATGCTCGGGTGCGGGGTAGATCTCAAGCACATCACTCTAGACTCGACTTATGCCATTGAGTGACTCCAAATGTTGGTAGTGTGATCCTGCTCTCCCTTTGAAACACCATTTCATCGGTTATGATGCATTGTCAAGGTCCTGAGCGCCGACTCGGTCAGGACCATTCAATTTCTTCAGTCAAAGATCGTCAACTGAAGGTCAAGGTTGCATGCGGTGCCACGTCGAATGTTGGAATTCTGTTGGAACCCAACACATTCATAAACCTGCGACGTCCAGCAGCCATGACTGAAGCAACGAGTGCTGTGATTCTATTTTCTCTTCTTCGTGTTCGATGTTGCTTTTCTGGGGTTGTGGCCACATCTCGCGATCCTTCTTCCTGAAATCGGTCTTCACAACATGAAGAGCGACGTAACTTCAAGATACCCTGACAGGAGTCTCTGTATGTATGTCCAGATCTGGATTTTTGAACGATTTGAAACGAGTACAGCCTTCGGTTCCGGTTCTTTGAGTCTTTCTTCAGTTCGGTGTTGGTCTGCTCTCTTCGACCTTTCATGATACCGATCGTCAACTGCATCGGTTGAAGTGAACTTTGCTATTTGAAGGTGCTGAAACCCCTCAAAATAAACCATTCCAACATCCTGAAGGGCCTACGGTCCGATCATTCCATACTGACTGTGTGTCTCCAACGCTGTCCTTCGATCTCAGAAAAGTGCTGCTGTGGCATATATATATTTGAGATATCCAGGTATTGGGTATCCTTTGGTGAGCACAAATCTCTTTCTAATGCTCACAATGACCTGGCTTCATTTACTCATACTAGTCAGTGTCCTCGCACTCAATTGTGGAGCAGCTTCAACTGGTCTGTTCGTGACTTCCTCATCGCAGATTTCCGCCACTTCCGTCCTCAGCACCAGTTATTGTTTGCGGCGACGAGCGTTGCAACCTGGAGTTCCGTGTGAAGATTCCCAATCCGAAACATCTACAATGTCACCGACCCAGACCAACTCCGATCAAATATCCACTGGCTCGGATTCTACGTACACCTTGACCTCGTCACAGAACTCAGCGTCTCTCACAACGCCAACTGCCAGTTCTCGTTCTGATTCTGTTCAGCCCAGCACATCTTCAACGTCAAACTCGAACGTTGGAGTTCCAGGTGTTACGATCAGTCCATCAGATCTTTCATTGTCAAGGTCTACGACCTTTGATCTTGCCCCAATTGAATCGATTGCTTCCTCACTCTCCCATGACCCCATGGGAACTCCAGCCGTAACACCTGCTTCGACTCCAGCAACAACAACACCCTCAGCCAGCACCACCTCAGAACCACCTTGGATACCTACTCGAACGTCCGGCACCGTCACCGTTGAGACAGTCACATACAGTTTCAACTTCCTCGTTGAACCCCCTCCAAGACCAGAAAAAGACGGGAAGTCCTCATCAGAACAAGTGCACATAGACTTCCTAGCCGCTGTGCCAAAGCTCTTGAGCGCTGCATCCATATTCGACGGCCTTGGTTCCGCGTTCAAAACTTTCTCATCAGCTGTGCACGCACCTAATGCGTCAGATAAGTCCGTTTCCACAGCTGGATCTGGCTTACTACATCTATTCCACATTGGATTCTCTGGTAAGTACTTTCCATCACCTCCAAACCGGACATCAAGGCTTACAAATCTATCTTAGCCGCCGCAGACATTGGCGGTACTCTCGGAGCTATCGGGCTGTCGGAAATCGACAAGAGTGGCAAGCTTTTGAATCGCTTCAAGCAAACATCCCTTGGCATCTTTGACGTTGGCGAGACTATCAAGAAAATAGAGCCTTTGCTGGGATCAAATCTCAATTTGGCGAATGGAAATAAGCTCTTGGATTTGTCTGATGATATTACGAAGGGTATCGGTATTGGTGAGGGTCTGAAAGATCTCGCTGAGTTGGCAAACGAGGTATCGGATACCGAACCAAAAACTGATGTGACCACGACCCCCGAGTCAACGGACGTCCAGTCCACTCCTGAACCGACTACACAGACAACGCCAACGTCTAGCCAATCGTCCTCTAGGTCGTCGAGTAGCTCAAGCTCATCAAGCAGCGCGGCAGAGACATTAAAGCCATATACGATATCCACCAAGCCAGGAACATCTCTTGCAACGTTCGACGCCTTCGTCAGAAGTCTTCCCGATGGTGGTCAAGGAATGAGAGTCGAGCGTCCAAGCATCACTTTCCAAGCATATGGAACTGACATTACCGACTCTCTTGCCGCGTCTATACGTTTGAATCCCATCATACGAGCGGTCGTGTATGATCCATTCATCGAGGATGACCTAGATGACTATAGCGTACTGCCAAAGATAATTGAGAAAAGAGTGGACCCTTATCCAATGTTGAATCTGGCACAACAGCCCATCAGTCCAGCTCACCTCAATCTCATCTCCCAAGGGCCCAGGAACGTTGCAGCCAGACGCAACCAACCTCCTCCTTTGATACCCGACTACCTCATGTCGCCAACCGGTGGACAAGGAGTTACGATCTTTGTTATTGACACAGGCATCGACCCTGCCCACCCAGTAATAATCGCCCCCGTTGATAACGTTCTCAAGTAGCTAACAGCAATGCAGGATTTCTTGCACTCATACACTCAAGGCGAACACTACATCGTCTCAAACTCCAAACTCCGCCTACCAGAACTGATGGCGAATCCTGATCGTAGCAGCAGTGCCACACAGGCCCTTGTCCCATATGTGCCAGACCCGGACAATGTTATGAGCGACTCAAGGGACCATGGGAATTGCGTGTCTTCCTTAGCTACTGGGAGAGTCTACGGGGTTGCCAAGAGAGCGAGACTCTTCCCTGTGAAGTACAAGAACAGCAAGGGGGCGGCGACGGATTTGGCAATTCAGGATGCCTTCTACGAAGTGATTGACATAGTTCGCAACAGGAACAATGGACTGAGTGGGCCACCACCAATTCCAGGTATGATACTTAAGTATTCGCTAATGATGGGAGATGATACTGATAGTGAGGTAGGCTGGGCTGTTTTGAGTTTCTCTCAAGGTTGGCCAATAATATCCCATGTGAGATTTCGAGCCGACCACTGAATTCAACTAGGCTTCGGTCATCTGACTGGCGAGGCGTTTGAAGAGCGTCGGAGATTGATGACCAGGCTTCTCAACGAGTGCTGGAAGGAAGACAGTAAGTACTCTTTCGTATGTGGTGATAGACCCGTTGATTTTTGATGACCCACAGTCTCTTATCTCCTCACACTCCCGTTTCACTTCTTTAAATCCTCTATTCTTCAGCTCATCATATTGATACATTGCCAGTCGTCACCGTCATTGCAGCCGGAAATGAAGGCGAAGATCCTTCTTTCGACCTCAGCCAAGACATCCCAGCCTGCATCGGAGAAGTCACCAACCCCCTCATAACAGTCGGCACATGCAACATAGACGGGAAAAGAACAGCAGAGACAAACCAAGATCGCGGTCGTGGTGGCTCAATAACAACAAGTGCAATGGGCGACGATGCGGTCCGGTGCGTGGCCCGGGGTGTATCTGGCTCGCAAACACGGCACGGCACATCCGTCGCAGCACCGCAAGTCGCTGGCCTCGCAGCTTATTTCCTGTCATTGCCGCGTTCGGAGCTTCCTGAAGCAATACACTACGATACCCAGATTCCAGAGACGCAGAATAGGGCTCTGTTCCTTGGGCCGTCTTTGACAGGGGGAAAGTTCATTGGACCTGATCTCCATATTAAGGGCGCCGTGGCGCAGGCTGTGAAGGATTATATTGGGAGGATGTCGTATAAGCGGATTCCGACCGAAACTGATGCGGTGAAAGTTACATATAATGGAGTTGAGGAGGGGCTTTGCTCTGTTGTTTGGCCGAATGCGTCGTTCAAGCGTAAGCGAGAGGGAGTTGTTGAGCTAGCAGAAGGCGATCTGGTGCCTGTTGTTGTCTCGGGGGTGATGCAATCCACTGCTAATTATCCCATGGTAGGTTTGCTCAAATACGCTCCTATGTGTTGTTCCTTGCTAACTTCTCGTCAGCCATCGTCGTGCCCACGACCTTCGTCCGCCAGTTCATCTTCATCAGTCGCTTCATCCGCTTCGGACGCCTCCTCTCCAACCTCATCCTCTCCCCCATCATCTCCCACATCCTCAACCTCCTCTTCCACAGTTCTCGACCTATCAACCTCCTCCACAGTCTCACCCACAATATCACCAACGCCCTCACCACCACCACAACCATCAACCTCCCTCCCACCCCCAACACCAATCATCCCCCCTCCAGCCGACGTCGCATCGCCAACTCCCCTGAAACCCACCAAAACACCTATGATATTGCAGACTATTGATTTTGGGCCTCTGCTCCCGAAAACTACTTTCTCGACGACAACGAAGAGGGAGTGCAAGCCTTACTTCAACAATGGACTCCAAGCTCCGCCGCTTTGTTGGGGATAGTGATGATTATGATGATGTGATAGGAGAGGAGGGGAGAGGATGGCTAAGGGAGCAAGAAAGCTGGGATGGGTGGATAGTTGGTGGAATGTTGGGAGAGTATGGATCTGGCTTTTGGGTCCTTGTCTGGCTTTTGGGTTTTATTGAATTTTCCTTCGTAGGGGGCCAGGTTCGAGTAGTGAGTCTCTCTGTCGCTTACAGCTTTTGGTGCTTTCCTCTTCTCGAAAATTCCCAGTCATTTTCCTTACATAGTGGATTTCGTATGATCCTACTTGGCAGCTACACACTTGTCCGATTTGATACTTTCACGGATACATGTCACCAACTTGAAATCTCCTGTCGTTCCTGGGAGTGATTAGCAGATATGGCACATTAGATGGCAGGCGATACTATTGAAAACTGAAATAGGGTATCATTCTGTTCTCAAGCAGGTCCCTTTGCCCTCGCCATCGGGCCCCAGTTCTCTCTCGGGTTGAGCTGATACCTAACCAGTTTCTTCTTGTCCTTCTCAGCACCCAGTTTCTCATCAAAAACAACCTTGATCTTCTCTTCCACAATTTCATCCTTGGCCCCATCCTTATTCCCCTCAGCGGCCTCCCCATTTCCATCTCCATTTTTCACTGGCTCTTTCTCCTTCTCCTTACCCATCCCCATAATCGCCCATCCAGGCGTCTTCTCCCTCAACTTGCCCTCTCTAATCGGTTCCTTCTGTCTCGTCCACTCCCTCATAACCTCCCAGATGACCTCCCACGGCGCATCTGTCTTGATACTACCAGGCTTCGTATGGCTCCTCGTAACCTGGTATCCTAGCCCTCTAAGCGCGCCACGGATGGCGTTCTCGATCGGCGTGACGCAGTGGATGACTTTAGAGAGGACAGACGGGATGAACAGGAAAGGGGCAGGGTCTAGGACCGCTGGGTCGTATTTTCCTGTTTTGGAAGAGAGGGTTGGAGAATTGGGGTCTGCAGAGATGGGGTCGACGAAAATGCATTCTTCGAGGGCGAGGGTTAGCATGCCTTCGATTCTGGTTGTGGTTTGGTAGGTGTCTTTTGAGACAGATGGGAGGTCGTCGAGGATCCGCTTGATGAAGTCGGGGTCGTGGATCGGTCCTGCGTACATAGGTCCTGCAATGTGTGTTCGCGAGCCACAGTGTTTACAGTTCTCGCTGGCGCTAGGTCCTTGCCCGTAGACGTGTTTCCAGTAATGGCCGCCTTTCTTGCCTGGCTTGCCGGGCATTAGTTTGTTCTTCCCGACTGTTTGGATTGTCCATGCTCCGCAGCCAGAGTCGCAGTTGTATACTATCATTGTTTTGCCGGCAAGGAATTTCACGTCGGCAGGCGACTTGTGGATTCGGACAAAAACACGGGCGTAGAAATCAATTGAAAGGGAGAGGAGCGGTTCCATGGCCATGCCATATCGTGCTGCGGATGTTGCGATGGCGTTGAGGATGAGGCGCAAACCACCTTCATGTGATTGTGGACCTTTGATTGTTGTTCCGCCATAGAGAGAGTATGCTTTCTCGGGATAACCGTTTGATGCCCAAACTCCCGCATCTGTGCAAGTCACACAGAGCAGTCCACCATCATCTCGCACAGCTTGTACTGCCGCATCCAGGAATGGAGCAGCGGTTCCGTATGGATCCAGATCAATGACATTGTATTTCTTACTTGGCTGCGGCCGTCCTTTCTCATCCTTGCAATCCTCCCCAACCAAGCTATACATGTGTGTCATAGCATTGCTGGTCACTGCGTCGATTTTGTGCTTGAGCCCGTTATGCTCGATGTTCATTTTGATAGTTTTGGTTGCTTCTGGAAGTAGATCATTCGCGGTGATGGATGTCGTGAAGGGTATTTCTTGGGCATAGCGAAGAGCTCGCAGACCGGTTGCTGAGAGAGCGTCGAGTATTTTAAATGTGAATTTGCTAGGTGCTTCGGGTATATCGTCATTCTTCGAGGTTGGTTTAGTAGAGGTGGAATCTGGTACAGCTGGAGGAGCATCTACAGAAGCATTGATTTCTGTCTCAACAGGGGGAGCATCTGCATCTTTCATAACACTGTCTCCATTTATTGCCTTCTCCATGGTATTGTCGCCATTCTCTGCTGATGTGCCGTCGGCAGGTGCTGCATCCCCCTCCAACTTCCCCGCCTTCCTCGGAGCATCACTTAGCCCCTCCTCCTCCCTCTTTCTTTTCTTCTCTTTGTTCTTTGCCGAAATCTTCAACTTGTGTCTCTCTACCGATTTCTGCTTCTTCTCCAGGAGCTGCTCTCCATACGCCTTGATAGCTAGAACACTCAAATCTCGATTGAACTGCTGGATCGGGTTGTAGAAAACCGATTGAGGGGCATTTTCGCCTTTGGGCGTTGCTTGCGGTACGGCGGGAGCTGAAGCTGGTACGAGGATATGTGCTAATCCTTCTTTGACGGTCGTATATTCTTTTCCTTCATGGATGAGGTGCTGCCCAGCTTCGGGTGGGGCAGAGAGGTCCGGAAGTGCAGACGCCATTCTTGCAGTTGCTGAAAGTTGGCGGACCTGGTTGATGGTTATCTTTGGGAAGCTTGGCATGGCATTCCTCCGCCCGATTCTCCAAGTTGTCTTCCAAAGGGCTTGCATGCGCGGTGACGAGATGGTAGGATTGACGTGGTGAGTGACTTCGACTGACAGAAAAAAACCGAGAGATCGTGGCAGAAAATGGCGGTGTCTGGATTGGGTTAGAGAGACCAGAGCGAGCTAGTCCTTCTCAAGCTTTCCATATTGAGATCAACAACACCAATTGATACAAGCATTCTCAATACTTTGGGCTTCAACTTCCGATAACTCTTCGCATTTAGACCAGCACCCACGCCTGGTTCGTTAGTCACATCCACAATGACAACTGAGAATCCCAAGCTCCTGTCTTATTACATGCGGTTCATGTTATAATCATTCCCCTCGAATCAAGTTGGATTCCATTTGCGACACTTCACAGATGAAAGTTTCTCACACCATACGACAACATGTCATTCCTCTGTTTCTGTCCGTCTGCTCTAGTAACACATGGCCATTTTTTGCTTCGCCTCCCACCTTTTTTTGGGTTGGTCACGGGAACGGAATGGTCGAAGTCTAGGTACCAAGTCAGCTCCATAAACTTTATTTGGATCATTATTATGGACCGGAAGCCCCCCCCCCCCCCCAATTTTTGTCCTTAACCGATCCTTTGTGGGGGTTCTCGACATTCAAGCTTTGTATCAAGATCGTTCAGTGTACGTTTTGCACTGGCTACACCTGCGCCAACTTCGCAGAATTATTCTGGTGAGAAACCAAAATTTACAACTCTGGTCAGAGATTAGTGGTCTCATTTTTTACAAGTCGAACACTGTTTCGTTTAGGAGAATTTCATGGGCCAGGCTCATCCCGTCACCTCTTTATTCGATACTCCCCATGCATCGGGCCAAGCATTACTTGGCAAATGCTTTTGGTCAACCAACGGCCCACTAAAGCCAAGATGATATAAAACTCTCTCACTTTACAGTTTCCACTTCGTCAAAATCTGGACTGTTGCTCCTGACGTGCCGCTCGGATACACCGCGGAACTGCTGGCGGTCTAAATCACCGCCTCTCGCCGGTCGCTTTAGATTTGAAAATTCTTTACAAGTTGAGGCGACTTTTGTGGTTGAGTTTAGGTAAGAGGCGATGTGCCCCAAGAAAAATAGTGCAAAGATGGGCGGCGATCTCACGGCTGCGCTACCGGTTGGTGGCTGCGAAAGAATACGACTTTGGTGCGCTTGAGAAGTTGACAGCGCCCTACGCCTCTGAAGGGCTTAACTTCAGCAGCCATCATGATCCCTCGAACGACTAGTTTCTGTTTCCTCGTGGCACCGTTACATCCGTACTTCGAGTACACGCAGCACATTGCAGCACATGCAGACACGGAGACAACGCTGCAAGATCGTCGTCGATTACTTCCGTATGTTGCCCATTCGGCGATTCGAGGAGGGGTTTGATATTATGATAATGCGATGCAGATCAGTTACCGGTTAATCATCAGGATTGATGGCTGTTCGGACAGTCATCTGCACCGAGGTATTATACCATCTGAAAGAGCTTTCTGTCGGATTTTCGCTTCCGCATCGACTTCCCCAGACTCTCAAAGCTTCTCACCAATCCTTACGTCAAAAGAAAGATCTCACATCATCCAATGCTCCCAGTGTCCGATTTCAAATGCACGTGAGTCTCATGCACCAGGTCGCATGTCCAGTCCAGCCCTGTCCATCCCAGCTGAGCCGGCCGAGCCTATTGGTCCTCGCCGGACATTGCCGAGTCCTTGCCCTCGAAAACTGGGCCACGAGAGACATCTGAAGACACTTGGCGCATATTCTCCCAATTCCACACATGCTTGTGTGCCCCTCCGAAGGATGTCGACAATCGAATGAAAACCCGGAGATGCCGTCAGAAAGAAGAAATAACGCGGGGCTACCCTTGAAGCTTTTCTTAGACAATCCCTCCAGCTCTCCGCACCATCGTGCAGCGGCCCCTGCAGCGAGTAGCCCCATTCGTTCGCAGCGCCGGGATTGCCTCGGCCAAGGGAGCCGTCTCTCCCTATTGCTCCCCTCCAGGCTCTAGCATCTGAATTTTCTGATGCCGCCAGCGACCAACGGTCTGTCTGCCATGCGAAGGGGCTGCTGACGGTGAGGCGCACTTTAAACTTCGGCCATCAGATGGGCTTCAAGCGATCCACAGCTTCTCTGTGGTGATTACCATGTCTATATCAAGATTGACTCTTTGAGGCGAATTCCTAGCCTGCCTCAGCTGCCTCTGCCTCTGGGTGCATGTGGTGAGTGCCTGCGGTAGTCCATTTTCATTTGTGTGTACCCACAATTGCCACCCTGAGAGTAATACGGGAACACTCATTCGAAGAAAGGAAGGCAAGCAGGGAACGCAAAAGACCTCAGCCAGTCACTGCTGCCCTCCCTTCCTTTTACTTTCGGGATCACATGTGTCGCGGAGGTGTTTCCACATTCGTCTTGCCTCTCCTCTGCGTGGTGCAGAATGTGCAGCGGTGGAAGGGCGGCGGTGGGCATGGTGCCCACTTCCTTCTTCTTTAGCTAGAGTGCAGCCGCCTCAGAGACCAAGCAGCACCCATGTCATGACCGAGATCCGTTTGTTTGTCTCCAGGGTCCCCGATCCCCAGGTTTCTTCATAACTGGTTGAAGGTCCACCTGCTCCATTGCTCCAGCTTTCGCTGTCGTTTCCCAAATTTTCAATTCTCTGTATTTCCCTCGTCGTCAACTGACGTAGGATTTCTTGTACCATCTTTTTGTACTATCTTCGCTGCAGCAGTATTTATTAGGTCTGCATCCTCCTCCTCGCGCGATCTTCGACTTTCCTGTCCTGCGTTTGCATCTGCACATCTGCACATACCACATACAAACGAAACGGCCAAATAAGCTTCAAAATGTCTGCCCCATTGGCCCACGATTCGTCTACGGACAAGACCCAGGGCGAAACCTATGGACAACGAGAATATACAGAAAAGCGCACTTTCGGCCAGAAAGCAAAGAGACATTGTGCTAGATTTTGGTGGGCGCATCTGATCGCATTCTGTCTGATTTTCTTGACGGTCGCGCTACTCGTGTAAGTATCCAATCCAAGCCACACATCATCGTTTCCAGATCGACATCATTAACAAACGTTTCAGGGTCTACGTTGGCATGCCACGGATCGCACAACATCAAGTCGATGATTCAAGTCTTGAATTTAGAGAAGCGTATTTCCTCAATCCTACAGCAGACACAGTTGAGATTACTCAAAAGGCCATTCTACATAACCCAAGCACTTTCACGCCCACTCTCGACCCATTCCCAGCGGACCTGTTTCTGGTCACCAATGGAATTTATTCCTCAGTCTCGATGTTGACTCTGCCTATGCCCGGAATCCATGCCAAGAAGGCTACCAACACCAGTATCGACAACCAAGTTGTCAAGGTCAACAGCTTGGATGCGCTCGGAGATTATGCTGTTGGGGTTATGACGCAGGAGAATATCACCACTGCTTTGGTCGGAAGGACGAAGTTGCATCTCGGCAAGCTTCCTGTCCAGAAGATCAAGTTCAATTCTACTTCCACCTACAAGAGTATGATATCACCGCTTGGCATTTTCGAATTATCAAACTAATGATTATAGCTCTCAACTCGTTGAAGGGTTTCAACACCACTGATGTTCTCATCAACCCTCTGGCTACCCCCGGCACCCCCAACTTGAAAGGAAATGCATTCATTCCCAACCCATCTCTGTTGACCATCGAAATGGTAAGCTCTCTGCCCTATTCCACACATCATTTTTTCCGCACGTAATACTAACTACCGCTCCAGGGCAACGTTACACTCTCCCTTTCCGTCCCCGTTAAAGGGGTCGACACCATCGTCGGCAACGCCACAATCCTCAACTTCAAGATCGTCCCCGGCAGCAACAGCCTCCCTATGACCGGCACCATCGACAACAGTAAAGTTCTCCCTGCTCTCGTTAACGGCAAAGTGAACATGACTATCATCGGAGAGACCTCTATTCGCAACGGCGAGCATTTGACCTACTATGTAAGTTCTTTTATTCTACGTTCAGCGTTCTGGATTGTCCCATCCACGAGTTTGCAACAGCGACCCGTTACTAACACCTAATCAGGAAAAAGCACTTAAATCCAACGTCCTCGTCCTTGAGATGAACGTACAGCAAATCCTCGCCGATAGCGCTGCCTCCTTGAGAGCAGCCTCGAACTCGACATCTTCAGCTACCTCATCCGCATCCACAGCTTCACCCACCGTTTCATAAGACTAGCTAGCTAGCTAGCATCGTGCGGACTGCTATTTGGTTTGAAAATATTGAAATATTGGTTCGAGTAACTTAATTGCGCTGGCGTTTGGTAAATCGGTGGACTGACTGACTGACTGACTGGGGTGGAGTGATTGCTTTGCAGTTTGATCTATTGATACACACCTACAGCGAGGATGAAGTACAGGGATAGAATTATGGTATGGGCCGTGTGGTATGGCTGGACCTGAGTGAGCGAGCGAGCTAGCTAAGATAAGAAAGAGTATGATGAATAAATATAGAAGAAATAATATTTGGATTGAGATTGAGATTGGAAGCCCTTGCGTTATTTCTGGGCGGGCTGTTCTATTTTTCCTAATTTTTTTTTTTTGGAAGTCGTGTTGTGACTTTTTTTGTGACGTTATGATGTGGTTTGGTTTTGGGGGGCTTAAGGTTTGCTAGGCTAAGGTACACTGGCTGGGTTGTGGCGTGTGGGTTCGGGCGAAGCCGTCGTCGTCGGTTCATGTTAGTAGGCTGGCTGGATGGCTGGATGGGTCTTTATGTGTATGGGTACGCCGTTGTGGAGGTTTCCCTCTGGTGAGTAATGGCGCAGGTGCACTTGCAAGTATAGTAGATTTATCTATCATAGCCTTTGGAGCTACAGAGCGCACTTACAGCTTAGTATCTCCGCTTTTTTTTTTGTTTTCTTTCCTTTGCTTCCCTTATCGAGGTTCTAGAATTTTCTTCCAAACATGGAAATTTGTAGTCTACTATATGGAAAACAGAGAATTGTGGTGCAGTAAATCGCTTAGTTCAGTGGATGTTTTTAAGCTTCGATTTCTCAGATCTTCTAATCGTGTCATCATTGTTCTGAACACAATGTGCTTCAGTGATACTGTTTCATTTTTTTGCATCGAAGTTGGAGAAGCTGAATGAGACTCAGCTTTCAAGCGTCGAAGCGATCTGGTGACATTTACAGGTATCATTCTAACCTGGAACAAATGAAACTTCGCATAATTTCTTGCATTCCCACACCCATTCAGGATTTCCTACTCGTTGTGGGAGAAACTGAAATGAACAGAGTGAGCAGATCAGCCAATCAAGAATAAGTTACACAGCTGGGCGTAAACTATGCTCGAAAAGGAAATTCGGTGAAGATATATCTCCCGTGATGTGGGCAGCCAATGATCGTGCGTCCTGCAAGCCAGTCCAGCCTCACCACCTCATCACAGATGTGAAGATTCTGACCTCGGCAACTCGTCTCGACGAGGCGAGGGTGAGAGGCGGGTTCTGAGTATAAGTATCTGGTTTCTGCCCGGATAAGCCTTCAGGCCTGACCAACTGCGTTCATCGTTTATCCACCTCAATATCTCCGTCTCGCGCTGTATCTTGTCGCAATCGTCACAATGCCCCGAGACGTCTCGAATGCCGTGCAGACTGCACCTAATCAACGCTTCCATACCTTCCGAGTATCCAAGAGCACGAGTTCATCAGGAGCCCGGAAGCGAGCAAAGTTCGATCCGAAACGACGAGAGGAAGTCAAGGCTGTGAGACATAAGCGGAGTTGTCTGCGGTGTGCACTTCTCAAGATCAAGGTAAGTCTTTGCCACTGGCTGGATATCTCGTTTTTTTTTATGCCGCTGCTGACTTGCGAAGTGCTCTGACGATGATCTCTGTACTACGTGTGAGCAGTTGGTTTTTGTGAACCAGAGTCATGAGAGAAAGACGTTGTCGTTTTCTGGATGCATCAGAACTAGGCTCAAGGAGGTCAGCGTGTTTGAAGTATGTACGTGACCGTGGAAAGACCAATAGTCCAGGATTATGGCAATTAACATTATCCAGGTTTCTCGTCACCACAAGATGGATGCAACCTTGATGATACAGCTCTAGATCCAACTCTCGCCGCCATCTCTCTCGAGTTTGGAGCTCATGTGACCTGGGATCTCGAGGCACTAGTCGGCGATATCGTCGAATGGCTGAGCAATCCAACGGAGTCGCAGACAAGCAAAGTGGGAACGTTATCTTCTCCTCAATTTCTGAATCTTGTTCGCAATTCGGTTGAAGACAAAGGTGCAAGCCAATTCCAACGGATGATGTACGCCACATCTCGTGCCTACACACGCTATAATGGGCCCCTTCTCACAGCTCAAGAACTGTCCAAACACGGATCAGTAGCTGGACATCACTTTCTCACATATCTGGACGAGAAGCTGAAGCCAACTTACTTGGCGAAGTCCACGGTGAACCAGCTGCAGATTCTATTCCTGTGGGTCTTCGGAACGATTCTTGCTGTGGGATATGCTGGACTGGAATGCGCCACATCAGAAGTCCGTCAGACTTTCTCCCTGATGCAGAATCACCTGTGTCAGATACTCGCTCACTATCTGATATACATTGGTTCTCATCTCGGTCTTTCTCTCAAATCGAGTATGGATCGATTCATACTCGAGACTGCTTTAATGAGGTGGCATGGAGAGGGACGTTACGAGTGGAAGCCATCGGTTACTCATGAGGTGTGTGACTTTTCAGCCGAAAGCCTGCAACGGGAGTGTCATGATGTCGCTACGCGGCCCCTCCCTGCCTGCAGTGCAATTGTCTCCAAAATCCGCGAGTTTCGCCATTTCGATTCCTGCCCCCGATGTACTACACACTGGCCAAAATCTCATACGGACACCGAAGAACAATTTCCGGCAAACAGTGAGAGGGATGCATTGTTTGATCTGGATGACTGGTTGCAATTTGACAATCCGGACATCAACTGGTCGTCAACTGACACTTCTTCTTTGGAGCCAAGTGATTTACCTTCCGGAAGCGATACATCCTGGTATGAAAACCCATGGCCAGACGGTGATTCACAGCTATACCAAGCCCCAATATGCAGCCCAGGTGAAAGGCCACTCCATGTGCAGGACGAGAGTGGCCAGCTCGAGCAGAAGTCCGAATACAGACCCCCGGAGTGTGATAATATGTTAAGGCCTGCTTGCCTTTACGTATCAGGCAGAAAGAAGCCACGCTCGCCTCGACCTAAAGCCAGTGTGGTAAGCTCTACTTAGTGTCTACTAGAATGAAGTCTCACTAATGACTGTTTAGGGCTGCATGAGGTGTAAAATATCTCTCAGTCATGCTGGCAACAGTAGGGCCTGCAAGAAATGTGTTCGTTGGAATGAACAGCCCAGGGCAGTGGTTGAGGACCAATATCTGCTTATTTGATTGCATTCTTTTGTTACACAGCGGCATCTATGATATTGTGGTTGAGTTTGGCTCTTGATGAGGACGTCCCTCTTCTCATTCCCCGGTATTGAACTAACATGCTTTGGAAGGGGGTGATTCTGATATATAGATGGGGTCCATTTTTAAGCTTTCCCTGTAAGATCAATGACTATCCTTCTAGTCATATCATTCTATGTTGGAATGAGTGAAAGCATGGGATCTATTTTGGACTGGCATGTCTGTTCCCATTTAGATTCAATGTGATCCAATATACTAAATACACCGCTCTTGCAGATGGACATGAATCCGCGCTCAGAACCTACTCTGAATTCAAATGTCGTTCCTCCTTGCAAGCACTTCGGAGATGATTAGATGGAGTGATCCTGGAGTTGAGAGGACTGGGGAACGAGGGAAGGAAGTTGAGGCTGCGGGTCAATATAATGGTTTGGCGAGAAGGTGGTGGTGATGTGGGTTGACATACATCCACAAAATATGGTTGTAGGGTAAAGCTGAGGCTCTTGTATTTCTAAGATACAAGTAAGTTTAGTCCATTACAACTCAACAGAAGGCTGCCCTCGATGAGATAGAGGTGATGGACTCTCAGGTGGAAATTGAAGAGTTTAGGAAGTGAAGTGATTCTAGCAAGTGGCACTGTATCCCAGACATTCTTAGGACGACCCACATGCTGAACAGTACTATTTCATGTGAGTACTTAGAATTTAGGTTTATTATTTACAAAACAAAAGTCTGATCCACGTAAGGTTGCATTGGACGAACGGACCAAATACAGTTCCTCATTCGTCACCCGATTATGATTGGATGGCTAAACGAGCCGCTAGAGCCCACAGGGCTTGGTTGGTAAATTCCACGTGATCGGCAGTATTTCGCTGAACCTTGACACTCCTTAGAATCCCATACTTTTCTCAATTGGCGCTTGACACTAACGAATCTCGCATACGCAAAGCTGTCACTGAGCTCTCGAAAATACTTGGAGTAAAAGTGCAAAAAGATGGAACCCTATCGCCTTTGGCACGAACCTGAAGTCATCATCTATGGCAACCTCGTCACACCTGGAACCTGCTCGTCTGCAGAGGCATACGATTTGGGTAATCGAAAATGGTATCAGCTGAATGTTAACTCAGAGGTGGACGACGATGAGTGGATGTCACGTATCGTCGAAGAGCACATTTCAAAGTACTACCAGTCTCACGGCAAGATCCCACCTTTCAATGTCATAAATGTGACTTCAGATGGCACATTCATCACCTACGAAACACAACCAGACGATGATGTTGCTCGGCCCATCACAAAGAAACTCCGCTACGACCCCAATGACTCGCGCTTCATAGCCATATCTGATTCTGGTGAGCTGACCGACAAGTCGTACCTTGGTCGTGGCGTTGATCGTTGTATGTGGAAGAATAGGGAATGTGTTTTCAAACGTATTGAGTTTAATGTTGATATTCAAGCTATCGACAGAGAAATAAAAGTCAGGGAACAATTGATGGCGGTCATGGACAAAACCTCTTCGATGGATCAGGAGGACCTGATGCAACAAAACTACCATGTCGTCCCGATTCTAGCTGTCGTTCTACACCAAGAGAGTGACAACGAGGTCAAGGGAATCCTGATGCCGTTCCTTGGACCTAGTCTCTCATCGATATTCGAACCCGAGCAAGGTTCAGCTAAGTCGCCAATCCAACCGAAGGACATTGCAATCACAATGGCACAAATACGAGATCTGGTCCTTGGTGTTCGCGAGATGTCTTCGGCTGCCATCATGCATGGTGATATCAACGAACGCAACACGTTACTCGTTTCAGCATCTCGAAAACCGGGCCGTCTGATGCTTTGTGATCTTGGATCGGTTGCGCCCGACTACCAAAGCGATGCAGTTGCCCTTGGGGAACTCCTGCTCTGGCTCATTGGGCATGCCCCACTGGAGGGAGCGGGGCCTGATAGTCTCGAGGCAGCGGCGAATAGTTTAAAGCTGACGGAGAATTTCGACGAGGCTCTGCAGCTCCTGGGCTGTAATGAATAAGGAGAGAAATGCATTAGATTTATGAAGATACAGCGAGTAAGTGATGCCACCTGTTTGATAGTATACAGCATGCTTGAACTCAAGATCTCCTATGTGAGGGCTGGGACAGATAGAGCTACAGGGGGCCGGAGCTCAGCTTTTCAATGCCACACTAGATCTCGGATTCCCTAATTTTAAAGATCACGCCCTTGAGATCGAAATGGATACGTACCACCCGCGACGAGAACGGCAACCGCCCCTGTATCTGTAGAAAGTGATCTTTCTATTAAAACACTTGCGTCGGAGCCTATCAATCCATACCGCGAAACGAGGCAGGATAAGAGCGGTGAGTTGCGAAACATGCCTGCGTAGGTGATAGATATATAGACTAAATAACGTATCTCACGCCTGGCAGTAATGGCGGTGTCCCGTAATCAGAAGCGATCAGGAGGTTTGTGAGTATTGCTGGTGAGGACTTCCCGTTGGAGTATGTCTCCTTAACGAAGCTCACGAGACCTTTCGGTACGTGCTTCGAATGAGGATTGGGACATCGATCTCTGCTCTCCTGATCTGATCAACGAATTATCTACTGGCAATGACAGGGACTCGAAACCTGCTTGACGAATGAAGAAGATACTTCTACGGATGGCTTTCACATTGGTCGTGCGGATCGTGGCATGGAATGAAATTTTACCATACCTCTTGTTGACACAATGTCACAATATCCTCGGCTTTCACCCCGCCCCATGTTCCTTTCCTACAATCTAGTGATAAGCGCGAAGATGAATGATACGTTTGGATATTCTATGGTATCGCAGAAACAAGTTCATGTAACGTAAAGAATAAATGAAAAAAATGCTGAAGATACTTTGTTGACTTCCAAAAGCATGCATTTGCTTAAAGCCTCTCGGCTAAGTCTCCTTCACCCCCAGCGACAAATCACAACAGACCTGGATTTGGAGAAATCCAGATATCTCTTGAGGTAGCAACGAATAACAAGAATGATTTCCTCTTAGCAGCAACAGCGAATCCTCCTAAAGTCTTGAGTTACGCCAACCACTTTGCAAACCACTCCAAAGCTTGGCCCTTCGCCCCCTCCGCACTCTTCCTCTGCTCCTCATCCTTCCAATCCCCTCTGATCGCAAACCCATGCTTCGCCCCCTCGTAAACCACAACGTCACTCACATTCTTCCTCTCCTCTCCTCTTTGTCCCTCACCCCTCATCTTCCCCTCCAACACACCCTGAATCTCCCTAACATGCTCAATCCCAATCCCCAAATCCACATCCCCAATCGCCATGCTGAACGGAACAGCAATCTTCTCCCAATCACTCGGAAACGCCATCGAACTCGGGTGCGCCACGAACGCTGCATCGATCAATCTTCGGCCGTCTTTCCCGTCCTGTTTCTGGCTTAACAGAATCGTGTATTTCCCACCCCAGCAGAACCCAGCACTGCCGATTTTCAGTCCAGCCATCTCAGGGATAGGCGTCTCGCGGAGAGAGCTGTGGAAGGATAGTAGACGGGGCATAATGACGGATTCTTTGTTGCGGATTAGGAAGGGGATGGCTTGAGAGGCTACCTGGAGTGCCCAGAGGGGTTTCTTGAAGAGTGTTGTGAAGATTGAGGGGGAGGGGGAGAGGAGGGAGTCCATGGTTTGCATTGTCCAGGAGGGTGGAGCTGTGCCTATATTATGTGTTAGTTTGAATACCTTCAGAAGTGTGGGAATGAGATGTATCATGAAGAGCGAAGAAGAGGGAGGGAAAGGGGGGAATTAGAACACAAACCATCCATGAAATCCGGCAACAACACCAGAAACCCCTCCCTCGCATAGCTATCAGCGAGTAATCTGCAGTTACTAACTTCCCAACCAAAGAGATCCGGAAGCATCACAATAACTCCTTTGGCTTTGTTCTCTCCCTCCTCGGCATCTACACCACTTGCCGTTGCCAAAGCAGCATTCGAAGCCTTGAAATCCGATGGACGAGCAACGTACGTATCCCGACCAAAGATTTTTTCCACTGTCCCGATTGCAGTGTCTGTTTTTACAGAGCCGGTTAAACAGGCGGAACAGGTTATTCCTGAGGTGGACATGGTGGTTGTTGTTTACGCTCGTGTACTTTGCCGACTTCTCAGGACTATGTCTCGTTGTGTTGCTGGTTCTGACACTGGGCGTGGATCGGAGTTTGGTATGAAGTTTCTGCACTCGTGTGGAAGATGAAGTATAGAGAGACTGAAGATATAATTGCCGATTGATAGACTGTGGGGCAGTACAAACCGGTGAGAAAGTACGAGATATGGAGTGTCGCGAGGAGGTGGGAACGTGATATCGGGCGACGCTGATCGAGCTCGTAACCGTATGTAGGCGACTGACACCCCTCAAAGACTTTCGACTACCAGACGAGCGTGATTGTGCCAGTTCTTCAAAGCCAAAACTCTTTGAAAGTCTCCAATCGTCAAATATCAACCTCGCATAAAATGCCTAGACAACAACAATGAATATCCCTGACTCAACCAGGAATCTCGAAACGCGTTTCGACGACAGAACATGCGAATACTTATATTATCTCACTCATATACGCAACTCCAAAGTAATAAATAAACTGCACAAACCAGCAGTACGGGATCGGAACCCTCTCCCAAATTCCATCCGACATCTCCACCCAACCCCCAACCTAAAATCCGTAATCCCCGAGCAGACGGATCCGACTACCCGAGGTGTCAACGTCAACCTCAACCTCAACGTCAACCTCACTCCAGACTCATCTCCCCATGTCCCAAGATACACTCCACGTCCTATCACCAACAAATGCTTTAACTCAGTTTAACTTGTTAAAGTTTACACGGGTAAACTCTCCGTGCATACATTATTTACAGTAAGATGCCGTACCCGGAAAGCGAAAGCTTGCTTGATCGGACAAAGGGACGGACGTAAAGGCTTGTTTTGACTTCCTTCCTTCCTTGCATGCGCATGAGAATCTCAGTTCCAGTTCTTCAACTCCATAACACAGGAATCGATTAGATGAATTCATTGGTACCGGCTGGCTGCCATAATTTTGCGTGTGTAGCCTCTGCAGTAGAAGTTTCTCTAAAGCAGTACTAGAGGAGTCCCAAGGCTGGGCCATGCAGGATTCTTTTTGTTTACTTCGTTTACAAAGGTGCTCGTTCTGGGTGCCGTCGTAACGGCTGGGTTGGTTCGCTTCACGTGAAGCTTGAAGGCTGAAGTGCAGTAACGAGTGGATTGACGATTGAGAAGAAATGAGGTGGTATCTTTGTTTGTTGCGTAGTGCTCCTGGGGGCGGGCTGGATGCACAGCGGAGGAAAGAAAGAAAGAAAGAAATAAAGAGGAGCAGAATACGAAACAAAGATTCTATCTATACATACACATGTCCTTGCATTTCTGCTCTTAGCTTTCGGAATCAGAAATGAATCTTTACCATTTCCATGGCTTGACCACTCTCTTAGATCCACGATCTCTCCATCGTCTCCCAATCACTCCCTTCCTCACACCTACACCTACCACTTATCCCAATTATCTTCATCCATCTTCGCCTTCGCCCCTCCTCCCACTCCCGCTCCCCCAGCACCCGCACCGCTCTTCTTCACAGCCCCCGTCCCAATCGCACTACTCCCCGCACCGCCCGACTGTCTCGCCGCCCCCGCCTCCGCAAAGCTATCCCAAAAGTCCTTCTTACTCTCATCCAACGGCATAGATCTATATGCCCCTCCACCACCGCCGCTGCCTGCAGACCCACCATTGCCCTCGACGAAACGGTTGAAGCCTTCTGCTGCGCTCTTGGCGCCTGTTTGTGCGCCCTTCGCGACGTTGGCGGCTGCGATGCGCGCTTGTGCTGCGAGGTCGCTTTCTGCTACCTGTGAAAGCGGGGAGTGTTCGTCAGCCAGTGTCTCGTATCGTCGAGTGTGGTTCTCGGCTCTTATGCCTGTAATGGATATGCCAGATGTATAGAATATCCATAGCATCATAAAAGAAGACATCATTCCAGTCCATTCCTCGTCCTGGTCCGAATTCGAGACCGAGAATCCGATCTCTCGGTCGGGAGATAAGCAGGGGTAGGTACCTTCAAAGCCGTAGGCTGGATATAACCCTCATTGACCGTCTTCGCCGTCTTCCCCACCGTGGTGGTAAACCAGCCAAACCCCTTCGTCAACGCTGCTACAGGATCCCTCTGCAGATCATCTAAACCAGGTAGTTTCGGCTCGTTGTTCGGTCGTTCGATGGGCGTGCTTCCAAAGCCGGCGTACTTGCCTCCTTGTGAGGGAGGGAGATCTGCAGGGCGACTTGCGTTGGCGGCGCCTAGACCGGCGAAGTACTTGTCGTCGACTTTGGCTTTGCCGCCATGAGCTGGGTTGGAGAGGGAGGGAGAGGATGTGCGACCCATTGGTGTTTGGCTGCGGGAGGTGGAGGAGGGAGTGGCGGTTGAGGATGGTGCTGGTTTGGTGCCTGGGACGTATTCTCTGCCTTCGACTTTGGCGGATAAGCGTTCTTTCCATTCTTCTCCTACTTCTCCTGAGTACCGTTCTGCGATCGTTGCATCATCCCAACTGTGGTGTTGTCAGTCGAGCCCAAATCCATTGCCCACTCAACAGTCGCCGCGCCAATACCACAAGTGTGCCTCCTCCATGAGTATATACTGCCATCTCCTGCCTCTTCTTGCAATGACCCTATCCAACCTGTATCCAAAGAGAACCCCTACTCACCTAATTCCCGCCATCTTATTCGCATCCGCATTCTCAAAGAACTCCCTCCACGGCTTATTCCCTCCCAACCGCATCCTCTCAATCTCCATAGCCTTAAACGCATCCATCGTAATACTTCGCACGAAACTGATATGGACGCCCAATCCGCGGTGCACACCCGCGCAACTGAGGCAGATGAAGACGCCGAACTTGGGAGAGGCCCATTGTGGGGATGGCGCTCCGCAGTCCGCGCATCGATCGTTGCCGTTGACTTTTTGTATTTCAAGGAGCTGGAGAGAAGATCAGTATATTGTGAGGGGAGAAAAATGTGCTTGAGGGGAGAGAAGGCAGACCTTGGATCGAGTCTCTGGGTCTACCTCCCACATGGCTTTGCTGGCCATGCTGCAGATGACCGTGCGAATCGAGTCGCGCACTCCAAGATTAGAAGTTCAATTAAGTCAATACTTCTAGAAGAGAATGCGCGGACAATAGGGAAAGAAAAATAGTCGGTCAAGAAGAAGGGTGTTGTGAGTTGGCCAGATTCTTGGTGGGGAAATATTGGCGGCAATACAAAGGGGTTTCTGGCTGTGCTCTGGTTTGGAGCTAGCGTTGCAGCCCAATGACGATGGACGCGGCTGGACTTCAGTAAGGCTACGTTTCTGGTTGTTTGGTATGCAAGTCAAAGGTCACACGACAACAAGAGGATTGTGTCTCAGTTCGTGGAAGCAGAAGCAAGGGGAAACAATATTGCATCATAGTCACTTCACAAGTATATCATCTTGAGCAGGTCTTCAAGGTGCCAGTTTCTTATTGATATCGTCAAATGAATAACTTTTCCATCCCCTACCTTTCTCGAGAGCACATCGAGAAGAAAAATCTAGTGTACAGCCCTGAGAATGCCAGAGAAATGGTAATAAGACATGGTTTTTGAAGAAGGTCATCAAGAACCAGCATCCTACTCGAATGAAATCCGCTTGACGTAGTGAGTCCTAGGACCACAATTCGAAAACCGAAATTCCATCGTGTAGGGCTGTGTTCCACTCAAAAGGAAAGTCATAGCAGTCGAACTGGCCCAGTGAAATCAAAGGACCAAGCTCTCCATCAACCAGGTGCTCCAAAAAGCAAAGTATGCAGCTGTGTATTGTCTGTGGAATGTAGCACCTCTCAATCGTACAAAGTATTACATCTGCTTAAGCAGCAGTGGTGGTCTCAGCGGCGCCGTTGGTACCCTCGGTGGCAGCCTCGGCAGCTGGAGCATTAACATCATCATCGGTCTTGTCTGGGCTGTCGATGGCGACCTTGACGGCGATCTCACGACCCTCGATCTCCTTGGCGTTCATCTCAGCAACGGCCTTCTGTTGCATCTCCTCAGAGGCGAGAGTAACGAAACCGAATCCACGTCCCTTGCGGGGCTCGTTGCGGGCCTGGAGCTTCTTGACCATGAAGCGGGGGATGGGGCGAAGGGCGATCTTGGCGGAGGAGGGCTCATAAGCAGCGAAGAGTTCCTTGAGCTAGAAATGTGTTAGATAGTGGATCAGGGAGCAGATTTATAGAACGTACCTTCTCCTCAGAGAGATCATAGGGGAGGTTAGCAACCATGACCTTGTTCTTGGATGGGATTCCGTCAGCTGGTGGGCCACGCTCACGTCTCTCGCGGGGAACGCGAGGAGCCTTCTCAGCCTTCTCCTTGGTGTCTTTAGCCTCCTTGTCCTTGGTCTCGGTGTTGGTCGTCTCGGTTAAGGGAAGAACCTCGCTGGCTGGGAGTTCAGCACCGTCCTCACCTCGGGACTGTTGGTTTTGTTAGCTGGGCTCCGATACTTAGAAGCTTTGCAAACTTACAGCACCACGGTTACGTCCACCACGGCCGCCACGTCCACGGCCTCGGCCACGTCCTCGTCCAGCTTGTCTACGGCGGCCTTCACCTCCTGAAGCACCCTCACCACCGCTGGCAGCACCCTCACCCTTCTCGGCATTTGGCTCGGGCTTGCGGGCAAGTTGAACAGAGACCTTGCGCTCAAGAATCTCCTTTCCAGAGAGCTCAGCGATGGCACGCTCAGCCTCACTTGGTGTGGAGAGATCGACGAAGGCGTATCCAACCGGGCGGTCGGTACGTGGGTTCTTAGGGATAGAGGTGGATTCACTGAAGAAAAGATATGTCAGCAACTGTAGCGAACACGTAGGCATGTAGATCAAACGCGCCCACAATGCATCTTGCTGGAGCTAAACTCGTAGAAAATATGCAGGCGCGACTTGCCACCGTGCCTGCCTGATCTGTCCAGAAGATCGAGCAGGACAAAGGGGCAAAGCGGAGCAGACAGAACTGCACGACTCTGATGAAAACTCGGAGTATCTTACATTAGGTATCCCTTGAAGAAAGCTTGCAACTCCCCCTCGGTCGTCGCGTATGCGAGGTTACCGATATAGAGTCTGCGACCCTCTGCTGCGCTGGCCAAGACTGCATCGCTGGTAGCAGACTTGTCCTTGTCGCCAGTGGTTGTGGCGTCGGCAGGCTTATCGGAAATTGAGGTGTTGCCAAGAGCGGCAGTAACGTCGTTGACGGCGTCAGAAACTTTCTCCACGATAGTAGACATGGTGATTGCGGTGGGTGTGGGATTGACCGAAGAACTGAACTGGTGATTGAGGTGTTGTGGATTGTCGACGTTCGCTGAGTGTGGATTGACTCTTGAACAAATGGGGGAGTTGAAGTAGGGTAGCTAGGTGCCCTAGAAGTCTTGTTTGGAGATTGCTTGGGGGGTTGGAGTTTGATGAACTGTGATCGGATCTTGTTGTGATGTAGTCGAGGAAAGGAAGGGAAAGGGAGGAAGGGAAGCTGCGCGTGCGAAATATATCATTCCTAGCAGCGACACCCTTTTTTGTTTAGCGAGATGGGCGAGGCCGCAAGAGGTCTAGCGGCAACGGGTCGAGGCAGGCATAATGGGGGCATTTCACCCTGTGGGCCGGAACGACTCAAGTCAATTGGCGGGCGCGGACATTGCTGGGAGCAGTGATAGGGATGTGATAGGGAGAGGAGGCGTGAATTGATGGGGAAAATGGGGCTCTTTCAGGCAATAATGAAGCTATTTTCACTAAATATAACATTACCGTGCAGAGAGTGCTGACTGATTTAAAGGGGCAGTAATTTGTAATCATGCTGATTGGTATTGTTTCCTACTTAGATACCTACGTAGTGGTTGATAGACGTGTCTGGGTTTTCTTCTAATACATACAATCCACCTGATTCACGGTACTGTGGAAAAAATATTCAGGTAGCAACTTTACGGTGCACATGTGGTGTGCTTCGGCCTAGGTTCAGGTGTAGCATTCCCTCACCAGCACCCGTCAAAGAGTCATCCAGGAAATGCATCTTGTCCTGTGGAGCCTTGAAGCCCTGGAAAGGGGGGTTAGCCTGCGACAATGTCTGAGACGCTGATTCGTCATTGACTCATTGGGTCTGGCTGCCCTCCAAGTCTTCCAGAAGTCTGGTATTGGAGTCACTCACCGGACAAGGCTGGATCTTCGGATATCCGCATGTTTGTTCTTGCAGCTGGGAAAGTATTTTCCAAAGTGCCGGATTGTTTGTTACTGAGTTCTAACTTAACAAATCCATTATTCCACCACCGCTAATTGACAACCCAGCCGAGCCAAGTCCTGTTCCGAGTTCCACAGCAGAAGCTTCGAGTCTAGACCAAGATAACACCCCATTATCGTGACGAGGCTGCACTTTGGCCTCGTCACAGATCCGTGGGTGAGATTAAAGGGGCAACGTTTTCACAGAAATGCCCCCCTTTGACAGTACCTGAAGCTCAAAATTCACCGTACAACAAACATGAAGTTCAACAACAAACCCCACGACTTGTTTCCAGCAATTATATGTATATCTCGGAGTGAGGCTGTAGCTTGAATAGATTCCAGGATCAAGGTCCACAGAGCTTCGGTGTTGTCCTGCTGCTGCCCATACAAACAGAATGCACCTTGAATTGTGAATCAGCTGAGCGAGGCGTATTTTAGTCACTCGGTGAGCATAGTTCCATCTGTTTGTGTTACTTTGAATGCTTCAAATCCAATCCGCTACATTGGAAAGACTACTGTACAAATTAGTAAGTCGCAGTCAAGATTCTGTTGAAGCTCAGCAGTGTAGTGCCCTATCTCCCAGGAACCTTGGCGAATTTTGGTGCAGTCCCGTGATCTTGAGTGAGGCGCGAGTGGAACTCTCAAATTGTGTATGAAGGAAACGGTATCAAAGCATCTATTTTGAAGCATTTAAAATGCAAAAATAATGATTAAAAGCTATTCCCTTCCTAAAATGCACTGAAACTCCGCCATAGTCAATGACTCCAACCAATCCACATCCGATCCTGGCGTTCTCGCTTCCCCATCACCAAAACTTCTCGACGAATCGCCACTAACAATCTCCTCCTCACCAAAACACAACAATGAGCGAAACAATTAACGGCCAACCCCACGATAGATACGCACTCATTCTCTATGGCTCAGAGACAGGGAACAGCCACGATGTGGCTCAGCGCTTGGGCCAGATTACAGAGAGATTACACTTCAAGACAATCGTAACCGAGATGGACGATTTCGCGGAGGTGGTGGAGAAGCGGATGAAGTCTGGGGAAGTGGTACGGTACCAGGAGTTGTGTCTTAGATTGACGATTCATACTTATAAGGACGATAGAAGAAAATCCCGACTTTGAAAGCCGACGTCTTGCGCAAGGCATCACTACTGGTTCTCGTGACTTCGACGACAGGACAAGGCGAATTTCCAAAGAACTCGAGGAGGTTATGGACGAGTCTTCTGAAGAAGAATTTATCGCCTATATGTTTAGAAGGATTGCGGTTTACGACTTTTGGGCTTGGAGATAGCTCGTATGCAAAGTATGACAACTAGGGACTATTCAAGGCCATGTGACTAATATCTCCAGGTTCAATCGAGCAGCTCGATTACTTCATGTGCGACTCCAAGGCTTAGGCGCCAAAGAGCTCTTTCCTCGAGGTGAGGCTGATGATCAGCATCAAGATGGGTAGGTCGATTTTACCATTGACGTCGTACGATGATGGTCATTGAGTTTGCTTCAAATCTGTTGGGCGGCCTCGGCCGATTGCTGAAGCAAAGCCGTTAGATCAACACTTCTTTGGAGGCCTTTCACTGACGTACTCAGGTTCGATGGGGCATACCTTCCATGGGCTGCCGAATTTCAATCTCACATCCAAATTGCGTATCCATTACCGGAAGGAGTTGACCCAATACCTCCAGATGTGCTCCTTCCTTTCAAGTGGACACACCAAATCGCAGGACCAGAAACATCTAATCCAGAAGTAAATGACCAAAGTCCCCTTGCTAAAAGTCTTACACAGCGGCCGCCACCGCCAGAAGCCGACGGAGATATGAAGCATCACCCACCAGAAGATCGAACACCAGATGTACCCATTGCTCAGCTCAAAGAGCCTTTCCCACCCAGGGACCTGACCGCCGATCCCATACTGGAGAACTTACGTTTACCTCCCATTCCAAATTCATGTATAGCATTTGTTCAATCGAACAAGCGTCTCACCCCGAAATCCCATTGGCAAGATGTCCGAGAGATCACATTCTTCGTTCCAGGAACCATCCACTACAATCCTGGCGACACCATGACTATCTTCCCCCAGAACTTCCCCGAGGATGTACAAGCGCTGATAGACCTTATGGATTGGAACGATGTTGCAGATGTACCACTGAAGTTCCGAGTCGAAGGCTGCGCTGCATTCTTCGACAAGTTTCTTGTTCCGCCTGTTCCAAAAGACTGCTGGATGATACCCAACTCCACCTTGCGGGACCTCCTCACACTCAACCTCGACATCACAGCTATCCCACAACGAAACGTCCTAGATATATTAGCACACTACACCGATGATCCTACGCACAAAGAACGTCTACTTGAGTTCTCAAATCCAGCTTACACCGACGAATTCTTCGATTACGCCACCCGCCCACGACGAGGCATTCTCGAAGTACTGCAGGATTTCCGATCCGTGAAGCTCCCTTTCAATATCGTCACAACAGTGTTTCCCGTGATACGTGGCAGACAATACAGCATAGCCAGCGGAGGGATTCAGAAAGTCTGCCAAAGAGACTACACGAAAGTTCAACTCCTCGTCGCAGTCGTCAACTATAAAACCGTCCTATCCAAAGTCCGACGCGGCCTCTGTACTCGATTCCTAGCGGCTCTTCCACCCAACGCCAATCTCATGGTCCGTTTCGGCTTCGAATACAAATTCTACGAGCACCTCGAAGACAAGCCCGAACGACCTGTCATCCTTGTCGCTCCCGGCACAGGCCTCGCGCCCTGCCGCTCTCTCATCTGGGAGCGTCGCGAACTGGCTTTCAAAGACATCAAATTCGGCCGTCACTATCTCTTCTTTGGTGGTCGCAATCAGGATGCTGATTACTTCTACAAAGACGAGTGGAAGAATGCAAACCTTCAAGTCGATGTCTTCCCTGCCTTTTCTCGGGATGATCCTACGGGAAAGAAGGTCTACGTCCAGGATAAGATTCGTGAGGAGGGAGACCTTGTCTTTAGATTACTGAAGGTTAGGGCGTATGTTTTTGTTTGTGGAAGTTCGGGGAGTATGCCGAAGGCTGTTAGGGAGGCTTTCATAGATGTTATCGAGGAGAGGCAAGGGACGGGTAAGAGGGAAGATGCAGAGAGGATTATTGCACTAATGGAGAAGAGCGGTATGTACAGACAAGAGACTTGGTAGTCAGAGATGACTTGGCGTTGTTAACGGCGTGGGTTGAAATTATGAGAGAAGCGGAATAACAGGATATACATATTTACAAGCAGCAATCTTACTGACCTGCTGCACTTTGCCTTGAGGCATAAGCAGTTCGCAGGTCCGTAATAGATCTGTTTCGAGGCTCTAGATACCGAAACGCTGCTCTAGAATGAAAACAGCTAGGCATGTCAGAACGAGATGTGTGGAAACTAACTCCTCCCGGAGACAATCTCCGTAAGGCGGACGGACCAAGGAAAATCCGGTATTAATTCTCCACCTACAAGAGCACTTTTCAAAATATCAATAATCCCGTACTTCCTCAAATCCATCCCCAAACCCGGCCGCTACCTCCCGTCAAACCCGTCACATCATTGAACCTAATCCGTAATCGATCTCACCTTAAGAAGTGAGCAACTCGAATCTTCCATTTCAGAACCCGCTGTCAAAAACTCTCCTTACGTCTTCAGCCCAGTCCCAGCAAAGCCAAGCACAAACACACACACACCCTTCCAGAAAACTACCATATTTAGAACCCTGTCCCCGTTCTGAAACTCGCCTTCGTCTGAACTGGCAGGTGTCAGAAACGCCCGCCGGCCGACACCAGCTCAGCCCAGCCGTCCTTCTCTAGGATTCATGCATGATTCAGGAGAGACGCTACTACTACTGTAGAAAGACCGACAGACAGACAGACGAGTTGACGACGGCCCGAAAATAATGCAACAACGGCAACATCCTGACATGCCTCGCATGTCTAGTACTGTACCTGTACTTACCTCCGAGCCGCTGGGTAGAGGGGGGGGTTGGTGGTAGTGTGGGTCTCTGGGGGGGGGCTACGCCGACGATTAGAGGGTGGACGGTGTAGGGTGGAGTAGAGTGGATTTATTTATCCTCACAGGGGGGTATGGTTGGGAAAGAAAGGGTGACGAGGAAGTCGGTTAAGCGAGCGATCTCAAATGCAACCGTCGTTTCAAACCCGCTGGAGATTTTCCCTCTTTATCTGCTTGATCGGCTGCCAAGCTCTGTGATGTGCGCACGACACAACACAACACAACACAACAACACGCCATCGCGAAATCGAAGAATCGAAAAATCGAAAAATCGGGAGTTCGGGATCGGGATGTGTGGGCCTTCATACAGTATCATGGATTGATATGGAAGGGAGGACATGTCAGATAAGTGTACCTGGACCTGGTAGATCTGCTGCATAGACGGGTACTGGTGGCAGGACAGGATGTGCTTGTCCTGTCTTGTCCTATTTTGTTTTCCCCCTTCTTTACTTGAATTACGCGTCTCATATCTTCTAGTTCACGATTATCTGTAGTGCTGTTCTGGTTCTGGGTATCCTAGCAATGCTAAACCCACGCAAATTTAGGCCGCTGAGCTGAAGAATCGCAGCAGTGACGATATCTTGCCTTCAGGGTCGTGGCGCCATAGCCAGCATCGTCCTTCCTCTCCAGGACATTCTCACACCCAACTACTCCCCTCCCACATCCCGAGACTGATTACATACCAGTAACTAAGCATGCTTCAGGTATCTTTGCCGGAACTTCGTAGATTATCATTATTTTTCCCTTGGTCCTGTTCTAATATTATCTAAAGTAGTGGCGTTTGAAGACTCGCCCAGTGACTAGTCTCCTCGCATGGCATCCGTGTTCGCACATCCCCCACTACCTACCTAACCCACCCACCCACTCGTCCCATAAACTCACCGATCGACCCAAGCTGTCAGAGAGTACATATGCAAGTCATCCCATCCCACTCTCCACTCCGTTTGCCTGTTCTCCGTTTCGAAAAGTCAGAATTTGCGATTTAGGTCCTTCTGGAAGACTTTCGGGTTTGAGTTGTCTGGATTCTGTTTGTGTTTTTTTGAGGTTTGGTTTACCGGCGCACAGGTGGCGTTTGACGTTCGAGATGGGATACATTGATCGAGGCAATGGACCGAGTCTGGTCGCATGTACGGTTGTACCGTTTGTTTTGACTTGGGCGTTCTCCTCTGTGAGGATATATGTCCGGAGGTTTGTGTTGAAAATATGGAAGATTGAGGATTGGTTATTTCTCGCTAGTCAGGTGAGATTATCCCCTGGCACGACCATCGGAATTGGGAAGCAAGAGTATAACTGATGTATTCCATGTAGGCGTCCTTCTCGATTTTGACGATGTGTGCTTTTATTGCTACGATTTATGGAAATGGACAACACTTGAAAACAGTCTCGCAGAAAGACTTGCCAATAGTCATGAAAGTAAGAAAACCTCACAGAAATTCTCAAATAGTGTCAAACTAATTTTTTCCAAAAGTACTGGTACTCCTCAGAACTAATTTACGTCGTCACCTCCCTCCTCATCCGCCTCTCAATCGGCTTCTTCCTCCTCCGAATCTGCACTCTAAAAGCACATATCTGGACTATTCGAGCAGCAATGTGCACCATGATCTTCGTCTCCATAATGTACTTCGGATTTATGGTCTTCCAGTGCAAACCTGTATCCTATTTCTGGCATCGCTTCACCGATGGTGTGGGAAAGTGCTTCACGCCTACACTCGTCACTAATCTCACGATTGTTTTCTCTGTCTTCGTGGCTGTTACGGATCTTATATTCGGTATCCTGCCTATCTTTGTGATCTGGGATTTGAACATGAATCGTAAGACGAAGATGATCGTAGGAGGCTTGTTGACACTGGGTATTCTGTAAGCTCGCTTCCACCATCTCCTCCTCCCTCATTTCCCATGAATTAAAACTCGGACCCTGACTAACAAAACCCCAGCGCCGGCCTCTCCGTCATAATCCGCATAATCTACATCAACAGCCTCGGCAACCCCGAAGAAGACTTCACATTCCTCACCTTCCAAGTCGCCATCTGGTCCATCATCGAGCCCGCCATCGGCATAATCTGCATGGCTATAACCACCTACCGCCCACTCTTCAAATCCCTTGCCGACAAAATATCCCAAGCCTCACGCTCTCACACCACAACGACTCATCCCCACAATAACACTATCATGACCAACCCCAATCTCAACACCAAATCAAAATCCAAACTCAAAACAAGGAAGTTGTCAATCCACTTACATAGCAAACCACTGCAGTCGAGAAGCAGGAGTAGGAGCGGGTATACGACGAATGAGAGTTCGGAGCATTTACATGCGTTTGAGGATATGTTGGAGATGGAGGGTTTCCAGAGACAGCCTAGTGTGACGGGTGGGAGGGGGAAGGGGAGTGGGAGAGGGAAGAAGGATGATGATGAGTGGGATGAAGAGGATATTACGAAGAACGGGATTATTATGAGTACGACTGTGGAGATACATCGATCGCCGAAAGACGATGATGATGTTGTTTGATGAAATTTTAATGCATTGATTATTTTTGAACGCTTGAGCTTGTTTTTTTTTTTTTTTTTTTTTTTTTTTTTGTTTATACCCAACTCCATTTGTTGATTGCTTCTACCTCGCATTTCGTCGTCTAGACTTCTTCTAGTGCAGCACTCCAGCGCTTGATTCTGAGGTCTTCACATCACGTTCGCCTTGAACACCCCCTCATACATGGAAACAACAAGCAGCCAGGACTTGAGAATTCGAGACTTCGCGAGGAGCTTTGGAAGCAGAATCGCGACTCACGTCTAAGACACAGCGAGGAAATCCCCCGAAACTGCAGAGGGTATCCAGCGGAGAATTCAGGGAAACTTGTTTGATAGCCTTCCGGATAGCGATGAGAGCTATAGCTTGCTTGTTGCGGATTACTACAGGTGAGATGACAGGAGATGAGATAAATATTACAAGTACTACGGCCAAGACACAATCAAGTGATTGGTGTGGTTGAGCTGTTGGAGGCGTCGCTAGACTTGGCGAATGAAAACATGTTTAGCGAGCACAGCTCGCTGAATCTTGTCGTTCACACCTGAATGTCGTACTGCTCCACCGAACAAATTTTGAAAATAGTAGGAGAAAGTATATTGTTGTTCCCATGTATCTCAAGATAAGATCATGTGTCATTCATCTCCGAATATCCTGGTGAAGAAAGCTTTTATCAGTGGATATAATGACGGCGGGGCTTTAGACACTGGTCATTCTGCCATACACAGCACATTAATAACAAAATGGTAGGGGAAACAAGAATGGGATAGACTCAGCCAGGTTTTCCTTTCAGGTGTGGTAAAATCAAGCTAACAATAACGAAAATTAACGCTACCATATTTCCAAAGAACTTGCTAACTGCATTTCTTTCCTCTCCTTCCAGATCCCCAAGATCTTGCACGAGAAAGTCTCAAGTCGATCCTGGAGCAGTAGTTCTTACCCGAGATACAAAAGGACTGCGGTTACCGAATTCTAAATAAGCTCCTGCGAGCAAAAGATCCTGTTTAGTTCGAATCGTGGCGGACATATCAAATAAAATATGTGTGCAAGGAATCGGCTATTGCCTATCATTCTAAAAATTGCTTGCCTTCTTGCTCAACACGTCGGCTAGCCTCCTCCTCTCAAGCCCATTCCAACATCACAGCATCCCACATGAACCCACCCCACCTCGACCCCTTCATCACCCTAAACACAACCTCATTCCCCTCTCCACCACCCTTCAACACCCCCTCCGGCACCCCAAACTCAAAGTAATGCCACTCCCCAGCCGTCGTCCCGCTCCGATACATCGCAGGATCGTTCGGTATATCTTTACTCAACATACTCCCCACACCCACACCATTGACACTTATCTGACTATCCACACCTCTCGAGTAGCCCGCGAGACTGACGGATAGTACAGCCGCTGGCAATGTGATTGAATTCGCAGCCCCTCCTCCTCCAACCCTAGGAAGAGTGAACTTCACAGTCCAAGCCCCAAGAGAAGATTGCGCATAACACCACTCCTCCACCCTCGACCTCCCAATCGTGAACGTGAAGTTCGCAGCACACTTATCACTCAACCCATGCTGCCTCTCCGCCCCGCCAAACCCAAACCCCAAAGCCTTCCTATCCATCTCTCCAATCCTCCAGATCTCCTCTCTTCCCTGCGTCTTCCACACCATCTCTCCCAGACTCGTCTCCTTCCCAGCCGTAATAACAACATCGTTCTTCACAAACACGGTACTCACACCACCTATCGGGGCGCCATTCGACCAGGCGGAGAGGGCGTAGGATCCAGATCGGATGTTGGGGATGGAGAAGGTGCCGGAGGGGGAGGTGAATGTGGTGTAGTAGTTTTTGGAGCCTTGGTCGAGGGTCGAGAGGTTGGAATGGTTGTCGCCGAGGAAGATGGCTGCGTTCGAGGCGGGAGAGCCGGTTGAGAGGTGGAGGGTGCCGGAGAGGGAGCCGCGGGATTGGTAGGAGGGGGAGGTGGTGAACCAGGGGTAGGGCCAGGTGGAGGATTCGACAGTGGTGCGGTGGGTGGCGTCGGGGATGGAACCGTCGTTCTTCAAAGAAAGAAAGGTGTGTTAGCTAGTTTGGTTTTGAGGGACTTGTGATGTTTGAGGAGGATGTGGGATTTTGAGGGAGAAAAGAGAGTTGAGTGGAGTGAGGAAGGGCAGGAGACAAGAGACAAGAGAATATGTGGATGAAAGTCATACCAAATACCACAGCCAAGGCCCCCACGTCTTCCCCACCTCAAAAACATCATTACTACTCGCCTGAAAGTGCGTCCCATGTAACATATTCAGCAATACCACCTCTCCCGTCCTACTCTCCCTATGCAATAACAATTCCTGCTTCAGCTGATCGCCATTATACTCATCTTTCCCAGGCGTGATGAACCAGCTTCCAAAACCAGGGCCGTACACCCCGTGGAAATTGGTGGAGATGTCGTTAGATTGGGAGTGAGAGGTGGGCCGTATAAAAGACGACCAGTCGTATTTGGTTATGTAGGATCCGGATGGGAGCTGCCAGGTTTCGTCTCCTACTTTTGTGCCAGTGGCGATTTCGGCGAGGGTGGGAAGTGCACCTTGAGATTTGGAAGTCAACAATCAATTTTTTTTTACTTGAAATTGAGAAGGATCTAAGGAAAAATGGATCAAATACCTTCCTTCACAGCCGTCTTCCCATTCACAAAAGTCGTATTATCAAGCCTGAACAACGTCCTAAATTCGCCAAGCGTCGGTAGAGCTTTATTGACGAAATACTGATACGCGCCCGCCAAATCCGGAAAGATAACCCAGTGGAAATCTCCAAGCGGAGACTCGAAGACTACATCTAGGAATTGTTCGTTCTGAGAGAATATTTTTGCGGATGTCCAGTCGAGAGACGATCCGCCGCCTGGGAAGGGTTGAGGTAAGTCATGTGCTCGGCTCGCTTATTTTTGGGAAGGGGAAGGGGAATGGAGATAAGAGGAGGGAAGGGTGAACGTACTGTGGCTCACATAATGTCCTGCTGCGTTTCCGACGAGATCTCTTCCTTTGTAGTAGAGTTTTGTGCCGTATCTGGTTCCGACTGTGATGTTCCAGATATCGTTTCCTAGCACGTGTTGATTTTCACTGAGAGATGTGAAAATTTCACTGAGAGATGTGAAAAAGGGGCCAGCAGCCGAAGCGAGGCGGAGAATACCCAGGAGGAAGAGGAAGAGCAACATTATTCACGGTAAGGCGAAAACCAAGAATAAGACGGGATGAAAATCGACTTTTGGAACGATGGATGCATGGCTGTTGAATAATATATTGTATCTTATTATGGCCTGTAATAACGAAGAAATTATGGGGAAAGCTTAATTGGATTGCAGTGGAGAGGTGGATGTTCGGTATAGATTGCGGGTTGTTGTCTGGAGAAGGTGCCAAGATCTTCCGGAGGGGTAGACATTGTTCGGTGGGATGTGTGCCGGGGGATGACGAGGCGGAAGATTTGCATTTGCGGCTGATTGACATTGTGTGAGTACTAGGTATGGAAGGTGATGATTTGATGTGAAGAATGATTGTTTGTGACTGGACGAAGACGTGCTGTTTGTATGCTTTCGCGGGGCAGAAATGTGTTGTTTCCAAGGGATGCGCTAGTTTCTGTGGTGTTGGGGTCTCTCATATCTCCACTCGCTTCCTCGTGTCCACTCTCAGATCTTGGTTAAGGTAGAAAGAAAGGAGGGTGAACTCTCATTTGCGTTTTATCTCCCCGCTTCACAAAGCAAATAATGACCGTAATTTAAGCTTTCCATGTGGAACTGAGGTCCGAGTGTCTTTGGCGGGAAGATGCTATTGTATTGTAATTAAATTAAGTACTCTCGTATTTTATACTTAAGAGCGTTTCGCCTTGTTAGCTGTCATTATTCCCGCTCTTATCAGTATATATGAGAGTTTCTACTCGTCTCGCGTCAGTTGTCCCTGCCCTCTTGTGTGTCTAGTCGATAGCCATCAAAGTGTTTGCTCCTACAAAGCGCCTTCTCTGGACGTCGTAATGGTCTAGGCTTCATTGACCGTCATTGCTTACATCAAAAGTCTTCAAATTTTGCTTTCTATGACGAAATCGAAGTCTAGATCACCCAGTCTTTCGATGACCACGCCAGCAAGGCAAGGAGAGAACGGGAAAGGGTCGCCCTCTCATGTGATTGAAGATCACGTGAATCATTATACGGACTTGCTTCGGAGTTCATCGTGGATGACCGCCTAGATATCTAGAACATTCCGTGGCAAGCAAGAAAAAGATAGCCATTTGGAATTGCCATCGGCCCTCCACATCTCCCCAAAAGTCCGAGTTCCCCCGTTGGCTAAGCTATATTTGTGCTTCGGTAGATGATAAGGTGGGGTGAGCACGCCACATCCACATCGATGATGAGCATGAAGGGCAGTTGATTCCGAGCTCCCCCATAGACTTCTACCACGTTTGAGGAGCTCGCCATGACCAATTATACCTCGGCCGCCTGTTTCAGAGCTTGTGATTCGCCACTTTGATAGGTAATCCCTAAACGCCTAGACGCCCAAGGTGCGGTCTGTGGGGCATGCTGACATAATGGATGAAGGATGAGGGGCATTTAAAAGTGCGGGGTAACTCACCTCACCGAGGAGTACTTTCTATCCCACTTGCCGGACTCTCTCACCTCTTTCTCTCTCCTTTCCTACGGTTGTTCTTCGATTCTTCAGAACTACACCAATTTGTCTCTCCAAGCAACATCTCGAGATACTAGATACCCCTCGATTGAAACTTTACATCTTCGATTTGACATCGATCTAATACAACAACAACGACAACATCATGGCTGAATGTCCGATCAAGAAGTCCAACATTGGTATGGGCGGTACCAAGAACCGCGACTGGTGGCCAAATGAGTTGAAGCTCAACATCCTCCGCCAGCACACGTCTGCCACCAATCCTTTGAACAAGGACTTCGACTACCCAACTGCCTTCAAGAGCTTGGACTATGAGGGATTGAAGAAGGACTTGACTGCGTTGATGACCGATTCCCAGGACTGGTGGCCTGCGGACTTCGGACACTATGGTGGTCTGTTCATCCGAATGGCCTGGCACAGTGCTGGCACATACCGTCTTTTCGATGGCCGCGGTGGCGGTGGACAAGGTACGTGATACAAGATGCTTGGTGTACTTTCTACGAACCATTGAGCATCTGCGACATCAATTCGCCTCCTGCAGAATACTCGGGCTAACAAGAGATAGGTCAACAACGATTTGCTCCTCTCAACAGCTGGCCCGATAACGTCTCTCTCGATAAAGCTCGCCGACTCCTCTGGCCAATTAAGCAGAAGTACGGCAACAAGATCTCCTGGGCTGATCTGTACCTCCTTACCGGAAACGTGGCAATCGAGTCTATGGGCTTGAAGACATTCGGTTTCGCTGGTGGACGTGCTGATACTTGGGAGGCTGACGAGGCCGTATACTGGGGTGGCGAGTCCACATGGTTGGGGAACGATATTCGTTACGCAAACGGTAACGAGGGAATGAAGGGAGATGGTGTCATCGATGGTGACGAGTCTCAGAAGGAGCACAAGGATATCCACTCTCGCGATCTTGAGAAGCCGCTGGCGGCAGCACACATGGGTTTGATCTATGTCAACCCTGAGGGCCCTGACGGAGTTCCGGACCCAGTTGCTTCTGCCAGAGATATCCGCACAACTTTCGGTCGCATGGCCATGAATGATGAGGAGACTGTTGCTCTTATTGCCGGCGGTCACTCATTTGGTAAGACACATGGAGCTGGTCCAGCTGATAGCGTTGGCAAGGAGCCAGAAGCTGCCGATATCTCCTCCCAGGGATTCGGCTGGGACAACAAGTACAAGTCTGGAAAAGGCCCAGATACCATCACCTCCGGTCTTGAGGTTACCTGGACTTCGACCCCAACTAAGTGGAGCAACAAGTACCTCGAGTACCTCTTCAAGTACGAGTGGGAGCTCACCAAGAGTCCAGCTGGTGCGAACCAATGGGTGGCGAAGGATGCTCCAGAAATTATCCCACACGCATACGACCCAAACAAGAAGCAAAAGCCAACCATGTTGACCAGTGATCTCGCTCTCCGATTTGATCCCGAATATGAGAAGATCGCTCGTCGCTTTGCTGCCGACCAGAACGCTCTTGGTGATGCCTTCACTCGTGCTTGGTTCAAGCTTCTCCACCGTGATATGGGACCAAGATCTCGCTGGCTCGGCCCCGAAATTCCTTCCGAGGTCTCGATCTGGGAGGACCCAGTTCCAACTGTCAATCACCCATTGATCGACGAGAAGGATGTTGCTGCTCTCAAGAAGGAGATCCTCGGATCTGGTATTGATGGTACCAAGCTGATTTCTACTGCCTGGGCATCCGCATCCACTTTCCGTGGTGGTGACAAGCGTGGAGGTGCCAATGGTGCCCGCATTCGTCTTGCTCCTCAGAAGGACTGGAAGGTCAACAACCCGTCCCAGCTCAAGGAGGTTCTTGGCGCACTCGAGAACGTCCAGAAGAAATTCAACGGCGCTGCATCTGGTGGAAAGAAGGTTTCCTTGGCCGATCTCATCGTCCTTGGTGGTGTTGCCGCCCTCGAAAAGGCATCTGGTGCTGCCGTTCCTTTCACACCCGGCCGTACCGACGCCTCGGCGGAACAAACCGATGCCGAATCTTTCGAGCATTTGGAGCCAATTGCTGATGGATTCCGCAACTATGGCAAGTCAGACAGCCGTGTCACTACCGAGAAGTACCTCGTCGACCGAGCTCACCTCCTCACTCTTACCGCCCCAGAACTCACCGTCTTGGTCGGTGGTCTCCGTGCCCTGAACGCCAACTACGATGGCTCCTCCAAGGGTGTCTTGACCAAGCGTCCAGGTCAACTCACCAACGACTTCTTCGTCAATCTCCTCGACATGAACACCGCCTGGAAGACCATTGATACCGACAACTTCGAGGGTGTCGACCGCAAGACCGGCGCCAAGAAGTGGACTGGTACTCGTGCTGATCTGGTCTTCGGCTCTCACGCTGAGTTGCGCGCCATCTCGGAGGTGTATGCCAGCTCGGATGCGCAGGAGAAGTTTGTGAAGGATTTCATCGCTGCGTGGGATAAGGTTATGAACCTGGATCGCTTCGATTTGACTGCTTCAAAGGATAGAGCGAGACTTTAAGCTTGTTTGTTGATTGATCAATGAATTTGGAGGCAAATTGATATTGTACTCTTCCAGCTATAGCTTTGATAGTTAACGAAGTTCTTACTTTTGCTTGTTATACTTTCTTGTGGATTTGTACTTGCGCCGTGTGATATGTCTCGCTGAAGACGACCCTCCAGAAGGCCACAAGGGTGTCAATTGTCAATTTCCAGAAGCGTACTTACCAAACTTTTGTACTGAATTATCCAAAAATCTCGTCTCATGATGATTATTGAAGTACAAAGTACCAAAACACTTTTCTCTCTCGGATCCTCTCTACCGATAGTCTCCTCTCCCTTCCCAACCACATTACCTCCTGACTCGCCTCCGCATCCATCAATCAATCCACAAAGATGAACCCTACTCGACCCCATTGCCCAACCCTCGCCAAGCCGGACAAAAATTTCCCCATTTTCGCTCATTCATTATCCCAGCTCGCCGAGACTTTGACAACCCCACATTGAAGTCCACACAAACCACTCCCGTCTTTCTCATCTCAAAGAGTCAAAGTAGATTTAGATTAAACCTTCCATCTTAGACTTGGCCCCTGCAAGGGCCCTGCAAGGGAGATATCCTTGTGAGAGCTGTCAGTTTTCATCTTCGTGATAATGGAGCCCGAGTTATTACCCTGCGGTGAACAGCGCGGGGTAGAGGCGGAGCCCCCGCAATATCGGTAGAGTGAAGGCCGGAGATGAGGAATAGTGGATAGGAGAGAGGGGTGTGCCTTGTTGATCCCCTGAAATCCCCTGAAGAAAAAGCCATGTGGTGTTCGGATGAACAGGGGAGGGGCCAGGTGGGTATGCATGCCAATTTTCAAGTTTGGTACTCCTCCCTAGGTAAAAGTACAGTGTTGTCCGGGGAAACTCTATTGTGGGATTAGCGGCTGAGAGGGATGAGAGGTGGTTTTGTAGATTAAAGATTGGGGGATCTGCTCTTTTTTTCATTTTGTCTTTGGTTATTTTCCATTTACTCTCTGTGTACTGTTCGTTCCGTACAAATTGAGCAAGTCAAAGGGTATTGCGAGAACATCTTCAACATGTTTTCCCACTACCCTTCTTTAAGCGGACTGCAAGTCGCCAGCTTTCTTCCACTTCTCATCTCCGGAGCGAGTGCCCTGCTGAACGCCACTGAGACTACCACTCAGCTCACGCTCGCCAATGATCGCCTGTCTGCAACAGTCAACAAAGCAGGCGGGTACATCTCGACCCTCACACTCGACGGCCAAGATCTACTCGGTCCCAAATCAGGAAGTACAGGCATAGGACCCTACCTAGACTGCTACTGCACGCCCTCCGGATTCTACACACCAGGCAACATCGCACCAAAATACAAACTCATCAAAGGTGTCGACTCAACCAACACCCCCTATGGTGGCGTCGTAATGAGCGAAATCTATCCTCCCACCGGCCAACTAATGGAACAATACTGGTTCCTCCGTGAAGGCGAGACAGGCCTACACACATTCAGCCGCCTCGCCTACTACAACAGCAGCACACCCTTCCTGCGCAACCTGCAAGAAATGCGCGTTCTATTCCGGCCCAACACTCCCCTATGGACACACCTCCTCACCAACGAGAAGACATTCGCTCCCTTACCATCCAAGACCGCAGTATCCAAACAAGTCGTCGTGCAAGACGCAACGTGGTACCTGGGCAACACGCCGGAGGATCCGTATGTGCAGCAGATGGCGGATTATTTCACGAAATATACGTTTCAGGATGCGTGGAGGGATCATGATGTCCATGGGATGTATGCGGATGGGAGTCAGAGTGCGGATGGGAGAGCGTATGGGAGTTGGTTGGTGATGAATACGAAGGATACGTATTTTGGGGGGCCGGTGCATAGTGATTTGACGGTGGATGGGATTGTGTATAATTATCTGGGTAAGTGTTTCGGTCGTGTGCTTAGCTTCTTAGAATTGGGATTTTTGGATTGGACTGACGTCTCGCTAGTTTCGAATCATCATGGTGAAGGAACACCGAATATCACAGATGGATTTGATCGTACTTTCGGACCTGTAAGTCCCTCTTGAATCCCAGATTTTCTTAAGAATCTGACAACTAACGAATCCCTAGCAATACTACCACTTCAACAGCGGTCCCTCCGGAACCACCATGGAAACCCTCCGCAAAGAAGCCCTCCAATTCTACTCCCCCACCTGGAACACCCCCTTCTACGACAGCATCGCCCCCTTCGTACCCAACTACGTCCCCTCCACGCTCCGCACAACCTGGAAAGCACACGTCGACCTCCCCCCCAACGCCAAGAACCCCATCGCAATCCTCTCCCAAAACGGCGTCTACTTCCAAGACAACGCCCTCGACCCAACCGCCTACCAATACTGGGCCGACATCGACCCCTCCACCGGCAACGTCGAGATCCCCTCTGTCAAAGCAGGGACTTACCGCATGACTCTGTACGCAGAGGGGATTTTCGGACAGTATGTTAAAGATGATGTTAAAGTCATCGCGGGGGAGGTACACACCACGCACGCACGCTGGAGGGAAGACTCTGCCGGGACGGAAATCTGGCGGATCGGCACGCCGGACCTCTCAGCGGGGGAATTCAAGCACGGGTACGCGCCCTACGACTCTAAACCCTTACACCCAGAACAATACCGGATCTACTGGGCGATCTACGATTTCGTGTCTGAATTCCCCGATGGGTTGACATACACTATAGGCGAGAGTGACCCGGCAGAGGATTTCAACTATGTGCATTGGAGCGTGTTTGGGGGGTATGCGAATAGTGTGCGGACGGAACAGGTCGAGAGGAATGTGAATAATTGGACGTTGGTGTGGGATATGGAGAGGGGGGCGTTTGAGAGGAAGAGGAGGGCTACTTTTACGGTGCAGTTGGCGGGGGCGAAGACTGCGGCGGGGAATACGGATGTTTTTAATGCGAGTGAACCGCATGCGAATTTGAGGTATACTGTGAGTGTCAATGGGAGGGAGTTGGAGCCGTGGGTTATTCCGTGAGTTTGCACTTTTTTTTTCGTTCTCTGTTTGTCTTTCTTTGCCCCTGTCATTCTAGAATTCTTCTAGGGTCTTTTTCTTCTACCGTTTCTGGTGATGCTAATTCCATACCCAGGTATTACCACTCCTCCTCCTGCGCCGTCCGCTCCGCCGTAAGCTGCTACAACATCGCCAACAAATTCACCTTCGACCCGAAATACTTCGTCGAAGGCAAGAACGAGATAGTGCTAAGTCTGCCTTTTAATGCGACGGATTATGAGAGTGCGGTTCTGCCGAGGAGTGTCTATGTTCAGTATGATGCGTTGAGGTTGGAGGTTGTGTAGGAGTGGGGGAAGCAGAGGGGAAAAGGTGTATATATGAAAAGGAGTACACATGTACATGTGAATTGGATTTGGGAGAGGTATATATAGGCTTGTATATGAATTGATGAGGATATGAATAGATATCTTGTATGAAATATAAGCGAAATGGGCACATGATATATATATATAATCCTCGTGCGTGATTCCGTTGCTGTGATCTCATTTTAAGTGCGAAATCATATCGCCGTCTCAGCTCAGCTCTGTTACATTTCACTGCTTCTCCGTCCCCAGAGACCTCGAAGTCACTGATTCTTATGCGCCTTTGAAAGCAATCAAGACATCAACTCTTCGAAACCTGCCACCGTGAGGGCGGCGGCTTAGCTTAAGTAGCTACCTGTACCTACCGGGGAAGTTTAGCGTATAACTGTTTTTCAAGCGAGAATTCAAGTCAACAAACAAAACAACCCCGCACTCCCACTCGTTTCGGCAGTAGCCCAGCAGCATTGAACTAGACCACTATCTTCCAGCCAAATTCAAAGTACAGCGAACGCGATTTCGTTCGTGAGTTGGTACATCGTACCCGCTATCAGTCCCGCGTTCCTGGGTAAAGCATTATGTCAATCAAAACATGATTTTAGTGAAAGGATGTGCATTTCTTTGGAGTAGTGAAGTAGAGAGTGTAGAAGTTCTGCATGTACTAAATTTTCGGACTCACAAGTCTTCTATCTGGGAACTCCTTGATTAAGAGACTGCAGATTGTGATGTAACTGCCAGAAGTGGCTGTTTGGCTATTCAAGAACCACGAAGCCACACCTTTCAAGAATACTGCCCAAGAAGCGAGGGAAAGTTTTGATATGCAGAATCGACAGACAATCTGATATAACTTTATTGGCACTTTCTATTTGAAAGCAAACATAAAATTAAAGAGGGGCAGGGATTTGATTTACGGCTTAGAGCTTCGAGAGTCTTTAAAAATAAGATAGACTTGTGATAGGTTTGCTAACTATGAGAGAGCTTCATAGTGAGGGAATTTACAAGACACAGGGAGCAAGAGGGGCTTCTTACACTCCCCATTGTTGGTTCGAAGTAAAAGAAGAGAAGGTCACATGATGGTCAACACTCGGTTTGAATCAAAGCTCTCTCAAAAAAATATAGTGCGGTGAGATTCGCAGCCAAGTAGATTGAAAATATGAACTCCAATACAAATGAACGCGTAAGCAAGCAGAATAAACTCAGAAACATCAGAAGTTGTTTTCCAATAGCCTACTCCCCACGTGACGCCACAGGCTGATGTCTCAGGGGCAATGTTTCACTTTCCCAGCTCACGGCATTCGCTAAAGATTGATCGCCAAGGAGGCGTTTCATTTCCAGCCATCTCATAAAGTATGTTAAGTTGCCCCTTTTCCTTTCATGCCCGCGTTGACCGGACGAACTGCCTTCATTCCAATTTTTCATTATTTGCGCATTTATTGCTTTCTCCATATATTGTATCTCAAGTCCAAGCAAACATGGTAAGCGATCCCATGTTTACTTGACCTTCGTTCGTCTCGTGATGCCAGTTGGTTGGGGTTGGGGTTGCGACTCAGTACTGACGAGGGCGGTGCTGGAAGTCGGGTAGATATCTTTCGGAAGAGGAGATCGCGATTTTGAAGCATGAGTTTGACCAATATGTAAGTTCGTCCGAAGTATTCTCTCCCTCGGACATCCTGACTGATGGAATAGGATGCCGATCAAGGAGGCAACATCACAGTCGAGGAGTTCGGTCGCGTGATGAAAGCATCAGGCCAAAATCCAACTGCCGAAGAACTCGAACAGATCATCAGAGAAGTCGATCTCGATGGCGATGGAACGATTAATTTCGATGGTACGTCTCCTTTCTCTCAATTTTGCCTTCCGAGGCTTATCCGACCATGTAGAATTCATCGCAATGATGACTGGTCGCTCTAGAGCTCCACCCATTGAAGTGTCTGCTCCTGAAAAGGGAACCAGTGCTGCGAAAGAGGAGGACAGTGAAGCAGAGCTCAAAGCTGCCTGGGCACCGTTCGATCCGTCGTTCAAGGGCTCGATTACGGCTGCGCAGTTTCGTCAGCTGATGGCGGGGTTGGGTGGGAATGTGACGGATGTTGAGGTGGATGAGATTATGAATTCTGTGGATGGTGAGGATAAGATCAGCTGTAAGTTCTCCTCCTGCTGGAAAGTGATTTGTGAAGGGAAACTGATTGACAGAAGATCGGGAATTTATGGAGTTTGCGAAGAGGAGACAGGTGGATGATATTGTGGATGGGTATTAAGGATTAACACGCGCCAGAGAAAAGCATACATACTTCATTTAACTATGTCTCCAGAAAACCTCCCCAGGAACGTCCTGTTCTGTGACTTTGGGGTGCCTGTCATTGTCTCCTAAGCACTAACCCCTAGATCCACTGCTTCAACTTGAAGTCATATACGTTGCCAGTGTAGCCTTCAGGAACACGGCCTCCAAGTTCGTTATCCCAAATATGTCGGATACACTTCCAATCTTTTAGATGATCTCCAACTAGAAAACAGTTATACGGGAGTCGAAAATCCTTGCCAGGTATCAAGTTGACGTTGTCCTCCTCAATCCAGCACCCTGGCGTCTTTCGCCTCTTGAACACTGAATTTACCTCCGTGATTAAATCATCAATTGTTCTCCATTCGACACCAATTTCATTTTCCAGCTGGTAGCAAATCTCCATAAGTAGCGGCTCGTCCAGACCCATAAATTCTCCTTGTCGGATAGCCTCAATGAACTCTTTTCGGTTTTCGTCCCGACTTCGATATTCAATTTCTCCGTTCATCAATTCTGTCGTTGCCACAAGTAACTGTTCTTCAAATGAATCCACGATTTCAGCAGTACTCCAGCCAACCTTTTTTAGTGATTCAGCCAACAATGTCTCTAGACCGAGACGTTCGGCGTATTCTATACATGACATTGGTCTCTCCATGTAGATTGCTTCTTCAATATACCAGTCCTCGCGCAGACCGAAACTCTTAATAAAGGAAAGACTACGTGGGTCGATCCCAGAATCCAACAAAAGAACCAATCGAGATTGTACGCATCTGTGAAGCTCCTCTTCCCTCGTTGCTGCGGCAATAGCAAACAGCAAGTGTAGAGGATTTGCATTCGATGTCCCAAGATTGAAAACATATGGCTGATACTTAGCACCTTTAGTTATGGCAGACTCAATGGTGATTCCATCCGGATCACTGAGCATATGCAAGTCTGTCTCCCAGTATATCGAGGTGTTCGTGTCTCCAGCGCTGATACTTGTATCTACCCACCATGTATTCTGTGCAGCCAATGCTTGGTAAAGAGAGGTTTTGGACATTTCAATGGATAAGAATGACTTCACGCCGGCGATCGGGTCTTGAGAACTGTGCGCAAGGATAAGTCTGCATGCCTCTGCCATTGCAGTAATCTGGGCTTTCCGAAATGAGCAGGCAGCTACTTCAAAAAGATTAATTAGGCCTTTCGGTCCACCAATATCTCCATTAAGACAATGTATCAGATATTTGAGCAAATGGATTGCATCTTGAGAGTAGTGCTGCCGACTTTCAGAGTGTGCCACTTCCTTAAGCACCACATCGACAAGACTGGAATCATAATAGTCGTTGAAATCCAAAGGCGAGGCAAGTCCGGCGTCAAAGAGTCTCTTCACTTCTGGCAAATTAAAGTCTCTACAAGCTCTCATAATAGGAGCATCATTTGGAACGAAATTGTATGTTCTGAATGTCTTGGAGAGGCTCCCACCGTACACCATGCCGGCGTTGCCAGAATGGAAAGTCATGCCTCCTCTCCAGAACGGTATCTTCACTCGAACGTTATATGTAGTGAAACATTGAGAATTGGTGGATTTGAATCGAGATATGTCACGGAGTGGAGTTCCTTTTTTGGACTTCGGTATCCGCTGAACTTGTTTTGTCTGGATGTCAATGTCGAAAAGAGGGGTCCTAAATGATGTTCGGCAGATTGTTTCATCATGGCGGATCATGGAGTAGTATGCAGAATACAGGGAGTCGTTGATGTCTTCCGAAGATTTCTCCCCGCAGTTTTGGGCTATCTCTCGTAATGGCTGGCGATGTGATGTTGTGGGTTGATTTTTATGCAATTCTTCTTGGTGTCGTTTCATGCCTCGCATAACTGCCGATTCTAACATAGATTCGAGTGCAGATAGCTCTGACTGAGCATTGGGTTGACGTTCTAGGATATGGATTGCTGGCATGAGGGTTTTGATGTTGGTGTTGATTTGCTGGACTTCGGTTGAAAGAGTGGTGAGTGTTTGATCCGTGGTTCCTGTCCAGGTCGAGATTTGACTCGTTTGAGTTTCCATTGTGCTCAGTGTCGTTTTGAATTGATCTGATGAAAGCTGTAGAGTTTCGAGAGACTGGTGTGTTTTGATGAGGGCATCGAGATGACCTTGTTGTAGTTGTCTGTAGCTGTCAGCAGCAGGCTCTTGTCTTTGCCGTACTTTTGTATAACGCCGGCTATCCATTTTCTTTTGAACAAGCTGTGAAGAGTAAACAAAAACGAACTGCTTACATCATAATCTTGGTTTCAATGCCGAAAACCAATGACTTGGCTCGTTCCACGCCAACCAAATACCCCTCCACGCTTTTTTTCCTGGTCGCGCTGCCGACTCGTTCCCACCAATGGCCTTTTCCGGGTCCAAACCTCTTAATATCTTTCTCGATCTTTGTTTTAAGTATCTCGATCATATTCGCATACCTTTTCAACCCCTTCCTCTCCTCTTCAAGGTTGATAACCACTCCATCAGTTTGGCACTTCACGAGCAATGTGTCTGTTTTCATTGCAGCAGAAGCGAGGAGCTCGAGCTCCGAAGCGAGAGAACGAATTTCTTCTGGAGCATCCCTCGCATCTTCCAGGAATCCTTTGATGAATAAGATGCTCTTCCCAATTTGACCGGTGATACCAACAAGTCCGGCTATACTTGCGGCAAGTCCTACTACTTCAGCCATCCTTGTAGCTGGAGCGCCCAATTCTGTTCGAGATAGACGAAAAGTTGACAGAAATAATGCGCACAATACAAGGACTATTCAGACCAAATGTCGTGAAGAATTTTTTTTAGTAAGGCTGGGAATGAAGAGGGGGGAGAATGTCCAGAGTTTGGAGACGTGGTTGAGAGGCAAGTTTATCGCCGAGGAGGGAGGCTGCATGGAGGCGCAGCAGTCCAGGGCTGCATCTCAGGCCTCTCGACGCTTTAAGCCCACTCCATTGGCTTCATCATATGCAGTGCAACACACACACACACATACACACAAATCCAGGCCCTGAAACAGCTGCCGCCTTGTCTTCGCATAACTTCACAATTATCACTCAGCGGTCAACCTCCAATTTCTAACGACTAAGTGTTCTTGAAATAAATTAGAGGTTTTCAGACTTTGGCGTTCATGAATCTTCATACTTCTACAAATCGATTTCGCATGTCCCTGTCAGCCAGTGAAGCCATCGACATTATGGGGGAAGCTTTGAGGACGATTTGAGACATGATTTTCACGGCTTCCGCAGAGGAGGCGAGAGAAATGAAAAATACTCACTCGGCTAGGCTATGGAACTCCACAAAACTCCTTCAGTTCATCGTCTCTTTACGGAAATTACTTGTTGAAATCACCAAATGGAGTTGGATCCGAAAAGATCAGACTGAGCCGACCATATCATCAAGCTATAATCTCTGAGTACAGAGATCATGACACCGAGATGGCATCTGCAGACATGGAGATCCAATAAATCGCCTTGTTTTATACCCTGGGACTAAAATCAACCAGTCCATGTTCACTCAAATTATTGCTTTGCTGACAAAGACACTAGTTGATTTTGCAAGGCTTTGTGGCATCGGCAAGGCTTTGTGGCATGGAATTTCTTCTTGATTTTGTGTAATAGGTCAAACGAAACTCTTATCTTCTATGACCAACGTCGCCTGGCTAGTTTTCTAAGTGCATTTAGTGCCTTGGATCCATGTTTATTACATTTTTTTTCAATACTCATCAAAATCATTCCCGATCTCCAAAGCAAGCTTATATTCGCCCTCAGTTTCAACTTTAGACAATTTTCTCCAAACAACGCCCAAAATTCAACGTAGTATCTCCCTCAGAACGGGATCTAAGCTTTGCCAGAACTCACTAAATGCACGTCGTGAAGCCGCACTTGTCTTTGCGCCCCCTTTTGACCATTCACTTTTCCCTCACTCCATCCCCAATCCCTAGGAAGTAAATGCAAATTGTTATCTACCGCTGTGTTGGACCGCCTCGGTTTCGGAAGTTGTGATTGTGACGACTGTATCCGTAATCTGTTTGAAAATTGGGGCGAGAGAGCAGCTGCGGTATTTCTCGACCAGTAACGTCGATGCCTCTTCATCTTCATTCTTGCTTGCATTCTCCCCCTTGCCATCTCCCAATGCCGTAGAATTTGAAGCATCCTGCGGTTTTCTACCCGTCTCAATCATCATCCCGAATTCCGGATCAACAGGAACTCTCCCTAAAAACCGCACTCCAAACTCCTCAGCCATCACCTGACCACCTTTCGCACTAAATAGATCGGTACACTCCTCGCAGCGTGGACACACAAAACCACTCATATTCTCAACAACTCCCAGAACTTTCAAGTTTGTCTTTTTGCAGAAATTGAGCTCTTTACGCACATCCGCGGTTGCCACGGCTTGTGGCGTCGTCACAAGTACAGCACCAGCCAGTTGGCTCAAACACGTTTGCTGTAGAGTCTCAACTAGTGAAATATGCTCATCGCTAGTCCCCGGAGGCGTGTCAATAAGCAGGTAGTCAAGTTCGCCCCACTGGATGTCTGATAACAGCTGGCGCACCATGGCGGTCTTCTTTGGGCCGCGCCAGACGACAGCGTCGCCTCGATCTTGAAGCAGGAACCCCAAGGACATGACATGTAGCGAGCCGATTTTGTGTCCACTCTCGATCTCAAAGCCAGGATGGACGGTGATTGGGAGCCAGCCGCCGGGAGCTTGGGTGACTCTGGCGTCTTCAAGGGCAAACATGCGTGGAATGGATGGGCCTGTTAGGTCGATGTCGAGAACTCCGACGGAGTGGCCTGCCAGTGAGAGTGAGAGTGCAAGTTGCGTGGTCACGGATGATTTGCCTACGCCGTCTTTGCCGGATAAGATCTATTCAGTTATTGGTTAGGAATAAGAGTAATCAAGTTATTGAGTATTCAAGGGGGGGTTACCGACTGGTACTATATGACTGATCTTCGAGAGAGAAATAGCTGATAAGAAGGAGCTTTGTGTTTTGTGAATTTTATTGTTGTTGTTCCAGATAATAGGTGGAAGTCGAGATGGGAATATGTTGTTATGTTTTGACGAAGGCGAAACAAAACGGACGCCTGCAATATGTTACACCGCCTTTCGGTTCTGCCACACAGGAGTATTGTTGTACATCAATTACTTTTTTGTGTAGTAAAATTCAAAGACTCACCATATGAGTTACTCAATAGATTATGAAAGCCTTTACAAGGCAGTATACTGATTATACATGTGACTTTTCGTCCTACTACCTACTGTTTCAGCATGAGCCGTTACCTGACCCATAACTCAGCTTTCCCCATTAGAGTAGGAGCCATTTTAGTACTCATTAAGCGGGAGCGGGACTTGTCTCTACAACGGCGTAAATGGATATCTAAGTAGTTCTCATCCATGTCGGATTCATACAAAAGAAGCTTTTCGCATCCATTCCCTCTCTATATAACACAGCCTCGGTCCCCGTCCCAGACCTCGTATCATTGAGCGCGGTCTTACCATCGCTTGATGCAGACAGATCCGGTTGAGGAGCCATGGTATGGCATTGTCAAAGGGCAAAGAGCGATGAAGAAGATTGCATTTGAACAGGCATTCAGATTGCAGAAGTAGAGATGTCATCTTAGATTCGACAAAATATTCCTTTCATGTACAGTACGAGCTCATGGACCATTCTGTTGGACACGGAATAACTTTCTGCCCCGATTGATTGATTGTCTTCAGACTATGCCGCCACCGACGGTAAAGGCATTTATATACAGTACAGTACATTACAGTACAGCGAATATTAGATATAATTAGACCTCCGTCTGCTTAAATGTATTTCGTAGCTTCCACTAGGATTGGGTATACATGCACGAAAGGAAAGTGCTGCGATGTCCGAGTCAAGCTGTACATTACTTCTTCCCTCTCTTTCCCCTCCTTCTTCCCCTATAATAATGATTGCGTCTGAAATCTCGGGCCTTCAGCTCACACATGGAGACATCGACTCAACGACGTTTTCATCTGGTAGCAAACCATCGACCGCTGTTTGTCGATATTTAATGACCGCACTTCTCGAAAACACACATCACGTTGCATCGTATCACCCAACTGAGCTCGTACTCTTCCACTCAGATCAACGAAACGAAGCCGTAGGAGCCACATCATCAGGCCCATCATCCCACGCACCCATCGCATAAGGATTCCCTGTTCATCTCATTAGCCACACCCCTTTCTACACCCTTTGCACACCCTCTCTCCCACCTCAACACACCCCTCTCATACACCTCTGAACCCCCAATCAAAGAAAATTCAAAACTTACACTCCTGACCCGGATAACTCGTAGCACTCATACTCGTCTCATGATCCTCCAACTCCGCCGGCCCATCCTGCTGTCCAATAGCACCGGTATGCTGCCGCGAACTATGGTAGTAGATCTTTTCTTCCGGGTGTTTGGTCCCTGCACCTCCTCTTCCAATACCAGCTCCAACACCACCATTCGCATTTCCATTTGCATTTCCATTCCCGAGGTTTTGATATCGTTCCCTAGAAATTTCGCGCGGGATATTGAGGTGGGAATTCTCTTTACCAATGGGTTGGCCATTTGCGTTGGGGTTGGGATGGGCATGTCCATCGGATTCCACAAACCCCCTACCATCACCACCACCAGATCCTCCTCTCGGTGAGCGCGGCGAAGCACTATATAAATCCTCCATACTCGCCCTCTGCGGTACATCGACATCCGTCCTCCTTATGCCCTCACCAGCTCTCTCCCTCCCACCCTCCTCATCCATCGGACTCGGCGGCGTCGGGCTCGGACTGACACTTCTTCCCCCACTCCCACCACCAATACCACCGCGCATACCGACATCTTGATCATGATGGCCCGGAACGTTCAACCCCCCCTGTTGGCCAGCGGCGTGGCCCGCCCCACCATTCTGGCTCTCTCCGCTCCGAGGACGAGGAGCCGAGATACCTGAGATGGCGGAGACGGCTGTGCGGCGGGTATTGGATCTATCCAGGTCGCTGTCATTGTTGTCTAGCACTGAGGCATGTCCATCACCTCTCCAACTCAAATTCCGGTCTTGAGACTGGTGTAATAGTTGAGGGGGAGCCAGCTCATCACCCAGTCCGCCCGGCCACTTCGGTGGCGGCGGCGGCGGGAAATCCACAGCTGATGGGTTCACAGGGCTGAATACCGTGTCTTCTGGTAGGGGATACCCGGCTGGGGATTCGGGGTGCCGGAGAGTGGGTTGTTGGAGGCGCTGGATAACTTCGTGTTGTGGAGGGCGGGAGGTGGATGTTTGGCGTTGTTGCGGTTGCTGTTGGTGGTGCTGAGAGCGAGATGGCGTTTCGACTTCGACGTCATCGTCGTCTTCGATTTCGCCGCCGGGGAGAGAGATCTGGTAGGGTCGCTGTTGGTCGATTAGTGGTTTGGGTGGGGAGCGAGCGAGGATGTCTTCGTGGCTTATGCGGCGGTGGGAGGTGGTGTAGTCGCGGTAGGTTTCGAGAGCGCCGAGGTGAGGTTGGGGTTGGGATAGCGAGGTTCGAGAGTCTGGTTGGTGTTGACGTGGTTGCTCTGTATACTGTGGGACGTATTCTTGTTGTTGGTCGTGTCCGTGTGGAGATTGGTTGGCACTCTGGTATGAATGTCTTGATCCTTGAGACTGGGCTGGTGGTGGACTTTGGTACTGTTGGGGTTGCATGTACCGTGGGTCAACTTGCTGCTGTGCTTGTTGTTGTTGATAGCGACTCAGACCTCTGGGATCATATTCTGTCGGCACAGCCATAGCGCCTTGTCCTCTAACCAACGAGTATCCACCAGGGATAGGCACACTATCATACTGCGGCTCTCGGCTAGTTCTACGTCCTCGATCCTGATGAAGCAAGCTTGGGTCCTGAAACGGTATCTCTCTCGTCTGAGATCTATTCTGAACTTGTTGGTGCTGCTGGGATTGAAATTGATGGGGAGATGGACTCTCCCTTGTCCGACTGTAACTAGTTCGGGCATGCACTTGCCCTTGACCCTCCTGTTGAAGATCTGTATAAGTCTGCGCCAACAAGGGCTGAGGCCCAACCTGCGGCGCACTCCCCTGCGATCTCGAATCCTCGCTGCCCTTCTCCTTCTGATACGATTTCCTCCCCATAAATCCATTCAGTAATCCCGCTGCTGACGGCCGTCGAGATTTCTCTTTCTCTTGAGGCGGCGCAACGCTTGACGAAAGCTTGGTAAGTACACCTCTTCTAGACTGCGATTCGGCACGTAATTGTGCTTTATCTGGAGTCTGGTACTTGTTGGGCGTACGTTGCTGTGGGTCGGGTTGCGGGGACTCAATGGGTTGGCGTTCATCATAAGATAATTCCCTTGTAGCTTGGGGTCGTTGTTGAGAGACTGACTTCGCAGGACTAGGTTTTCCAAAGAGTCCACCAAGAGCAGAGAATCGGTTCTTCTCTTTCTTTTTGGCGGGAGAATCCATCGTGCCGGTAGTAGATTGTCTGATCAACTTTTTAGGTGCTGCCTTAGGCTCTGATGAATTACTACCGAAGAACGATCGTTTCACTGGGGACGGCTGCGGAGTTATCAGCAGATCAGTGCGAGATCCTGCATGGTGAGCAATGACACTCTCGCGACTCTTGGGCGGACTCTGTCCTGAGTATGAGTTGCGGCTCAAGTGCCCGAAAAAGCTAGCTCGGCGCCTCTTCTGCTCTTGACCATCTTCGGACATCACGCTGGATTCGGCATACTCGCCTCGAGAATCAAGTCCACGTTCTGGAGAAAGACGATCTGGATCTCTGGATACCGAGTTCCGTCGCTCTCTCGAAGATCCGCGGGAGAGTCTCCCACCAATGTCTCTCAAGAAGCCCGAGTTCCTACGAGAAGGATTGGTTGGTGGTGGTTCTGGCGGACCGACACCAGGTAATTGGTACTCATTTGTTTGTTGTCTCGGCAAGAAGGCTTGAGTTCGAGAGATAGGAGCTTGGTAGTAGTGAGCTGGGAGATCCACCTCCCTTGGGCTTTCCACAACAGGTTGCTGTCCGCCAGGCTTGAATAGGTCAGGGTATCTCTGGGCAGAAGATGGGGGCTGCTCGAAAGGCTTTGACTGCTGAGGTGATGTCCAACCGCCCTTTTCAGAGAACTGGCTATCCTGGCGTTGCATGTAGCTACTCGATCCAGAATATCCCCTTGGCGGTGGTTGAGTATCCCATGAATTCGTACGAGCTGCTGAGAAACCTGTCTCTTTACCGTAGGATTCCGATGAGTAAGAGGGTTGAGATGGCTTAGTCACAACTCTAGGTCGATTCGGTCGCCATTCTACTTGTGATTCTTTGAACTCAGGACGCTGTAGTATATTATCTGCTCGAGGTGGAGTGAACATAGCTTTAGGATCTTGTGGTGGAGAGGTCTGGGCTGGAGGTCCCTGGAAAGATTGCCTTTGTGAAGACTTCTGCGGGATGCCGAAATCTTCCTTCTCGGGGTCTCTTGATGGTGGAGGCAACGACATGTGCCGTTGAGGGTCCGATCCGTAAGTCGAGCTTCCTTCTCCAACGTTTTCAGTAGAATGACCAATCTCCTCAGGCTCTCGAGTGAAGCTTAGTGGTAGAGAAGGCTGGCGTTGGTGTCCTGTTGCATGAGGTGGAGTTCGTTGGAAGGATAGAGGCCGGGATCCTGGCTCATTTGAATTTTTCCTCGCATGAGATGGTGTTCGAGGCGCTACATCAGTGAGATTTACCCCTCGAATGGTCTCTGGAGGACCATGAGCTTGAGAGTCGACTTGAAAGCCCGGTGGTGGGAATGAAGCTTGCCGTTGGTTCTGTGAATTTGGCACGCCCGTTTGAGCATTGAGAGGAGTCTCTGGCATTGGGTTTCGTGTATCCACCAGCTGAGTAGCTTGCGAAGACCCATGGACATTCGCGTCAATTGCAAAACCTGGTGGTGGGAAGGAACTCTGTCGTTGCTTGCCAGACGCGCCTGGCAATGGTGGATGGATCAGATTAGGAGGAAGCTCATCATGAACGGCCCAAGTGTTCGTATCATCTCGAGGACTAAGCTCCTCTGGCTCTGCAGCGAAAACTGGTTCATTATTTGAATGCTGACCGCCCGCAAGGCCTTTCAGTGGCGTTGGATCTGTAACAAACCCAGGTGGTGGAAAAGAAGCTTGTCTCTGTTTCCCAGATGATGGAGGTAGAGGTGGATGTACCTGGTTCTGTGGTCCCTCATCCCGCACGCCCCATGTATTGGTATCGTCTGGAGGGCTCAAACCAGTAGATTCAGCAGAGAAACTTCCTTGTCTCTGAGATGGCACAGGCTCGGCCTGAGCTTGATGGAAAGAAAGGGGACGCTGATTCTCGCTTTGGCCATCGTGCCGGTTGTTTCTCTGACTAGCAATACCAGTAACCACAGCCGCCCCAACAGCCGCTCCTGCCAACCCACGGGAATGATCGCCTTTCAGCTCCTGGCCAGGCTGTTCCACAGATCTTGGAGACTCAACAACATCCACTCTCGGTGAACTCGCTTCCTCCTTATCATCAATAGCAAACCTCTGCTTAGGCTGTCTCGAACCAAAGCCAATCCCAAACGTAGAAGTCCGTCGAATAGGCGGTAAGAAAGATGATGAACCGCTCTGTTTCTCAGGCTGTGCTTGTGCTTCCGCAGCCTTTTGCGGCGAAGGCGTGCGCTGAGAAGCAGGTACGGTGACTGCTGCAGCGATGGGAGCAGGAGGTGTTACGGACCTCCGTATAAGTTGGGAAGATTGTGTTGTATTCGATAGTGGTGGACTTGAGAAAGGAGAGGTTATTGGCTTTGGTGACGATCCTGGAGGAGTGTCGTAACTGAAACTGCCTCTTGGGCGATTCAGGATACTTGTCGTTGGTCCGCCCTCTACACTCTGTGTAGAACCCGCCTCCACTCTTGCTTGAACTGGGAACTGCGGCGAAAGCTCCTGGCTGAAACTTCCTCTTGGCCGGTCTAGAATACTGGCCACAGGTTTATCTTGGCTTTGTTGTCCAGCTGGCTCAATATTCGATGCTGGCATTGAGCCAGAAGGGAGACCGACAGCATTCGCTTCCTGTTCAGGCTTCACGATCACCCAGTCATCATTGACATCCTCCGAATCCTCACGTGCATCAAAGAACTGCGCATCCGAACTATTGGACCGATCACTCTTCGCCAAATTATCAGCCGGCACAGATAACCCATCTGCATTACCATCCGGATCGGACGAGAGCCGAGGTTTCGGTCTCTCCTCGTAGTGAAAGCCATCTTCCTCAGCAATGGGCGTGGCATTGAATGGGTCCCAACTAGGTTGATTCTTACCAATTGGAGCCGGAACACCAAGGGTATCTCTCGTCTCCGATTGGGAAACATCTTGAGTTTGGTGATTAGCTGGGGAATGTGAGGCGATTGGATGCGTGGTTAAGGTTTCCTCCCTCGATGGCTCGGGATGTTCGGATGGGAGCGCTCCACTCATAACACCACCCAGAGAATAACCGGTCGCGACAGCCGGGAGTTGCGGCGGGGCGGGTGGCTCCCCTGAAGGAATGGTATTTGTTCTTGAGCGGCCAAGAATAGAACTGGGGGTGCTTTCTCGTGAGTTCCGGGACATGGCATCTGGTCGGCCTGAGGATCTGGAAATGGAGAGTGGGAGGCCCCAAGAAGAGCGGCGGTCTGCTTTAGGCTTGGGGGGTGGTGGACTTGTCTGTATGGGTAACAAATCTTAGTAAAGGGTTCATTCAGTGAGGGCAAAATACATCATGGGTGGGTGTGGCAAAGGAGATTGGGACACAAAAGGCTGCAATTTCCCCTAGACGTACACACCTGCTAAGCAGGATGACTTTGGTGGTTGAGAAAGAAGTGAACGTCCGTCCCGCCGCACCGCGCTGAATTAGTCATGAGAGTAAGGACAAAAGCAAAGTCGTAAATCAATAGTAAAACGCCCAATCGCCCATGTGCGGTTCGGCTACAAAGGAGATGCATCAATCTACCTTGTCGCCGCCACCGGCAGCTCGAAGCTTGTTCTTGCCCTTTGCAAGTAATCCCTTCCCGGCCTTGCCTGCCTTACCACCAAATATACCAGCAGTATGAAGTAGTTCCTTTCCTTTAGCCTGAACCTGATGTGTAGTAATTTTACTACCAGCGGATGAAAAGCCTTGCTGCGAACCGGATGGCATACTAGGCGCAGGTCGTGGGCCACCACTGACTGGCGTCGACGGTGCTGGTGGAGAGCTAGCATTCAGATATTGCTGATAGTATGGCTGCTGTAGAGGTGCTGCCTGGCCACTTGCTGCTGCCTTAGTAAATTTGCCTCGCGCTGAGCCACTGGGCATGCTGCTTCTTGAATTCCCCCAAGATCCTGTCACACCACCGTGCTCATCAGGAAACTGCCCTTGCAACTTCGAAATCCAGTCATTCAGACCAGAATCCATAGTCGCAAAACGATATCTTGTCTCGTCAAATGTCTTGATTCGTTCCTGAGGCGACTTCATAGCGACGATTTCTCGGAATGCGAGGAGTCTACCCGGCGGTGGTGCCGGAAACGGATGTACAGACGATGTGACAGGCGAGACCGTACTGGGAGGAGCTGGTGAATGCTGATAAGCTTCTGGAGAAGTTGGAAACTGGTGTTGTGGAGATCTGGATGGATGCTCATCCTCGGGTGGTGTTGGAGAAACGGGGTTGGAGGAGACCCGGGGATCTTTCTCCTCAGCTAACGATAGCCGACGAGATTTTTCCTCCGGCTTGTCTGAGTAGGTCACTGCTGCAGCGCCTCCAATCAATGCAGCTCCGCCAGCTATGAGAGCAGCGTCTCTGGTACCGTGGTGGTCCTCAACTGGATCATTAATTGTTTTTGGCTCTGGTGACTGAGGGGCCACTTCTTTCTCTTCCTGAACGGGTACAACAGAACCGGGCAATTCACTGGCAGCGGGGCCAATGGCCGAAGTTTCCGTAGCGAGGTATCCTTGGTCACGATTCAGGCCAGCATTCACGTCTTCTGTGCTCTGCTCCCATGAAAATCGACTCTGGAGTGCAGGTCGAGGAGGCTGCAAAGACTCATCAGGCCGACGAGGGCTCAGCGGAGCTGGGACTGGGGACTCAAGGCCAGGATTATTTGAGCCTTCGTTGGCCGAAATAGCATCAGATACATCCTTGTGCACGCCTGGAATAGCGGGGACCTCTTGGTCTTGACCTGTCGTCGCCCAGTAGTTGTCATACTCGCTTGGAAGGTAAGAACTTTCACGATTTGGATTACTGAGACTGCTCTCGTCCGCTCGATCAGACTGGGCACTATTGGTATGTGCAGTTGCATTCGAAGGCGAGGGGGTCAGACTCTTGACAATTTCTTGTCGAAGCTTGTCATTCTCTTCGTCATCATCCACGGAATCGGTGCTCAAAGTAGGAATGACTTGTGGTCTGGTTGGTGATTGTGACACCTCTTCAGTGCCAGGACCAGCTGCAGAGCTCTCCACCACTGGCGTCGCTGATCTTGGGAAGTAATCTGAACTCCGGCCATCGACGTCACCAGTTGGTGTATCTTTTGGTGGTGGTGGGGGAGGAGTTGACTGAGTAGACACAGGTCTATCCACAACGTCTGGACGTAACTGTGTCTCCGCTGGAGCTTGCTCGAGCTTCGGCAGCCCCTCCAGGATTTGGGGTGCAATGGTGTTTCCACTTGTTAAGGCTGGAGAGCCTAGAGCAGGAGGGCTGCCTAAAGCTCTTGAGCTCTCATCTAGCGGAGTCTGAGATGGGCTATTATGATCATGTCTTCCAAGAGCAGCACCGCCCAGGGCAGCTCCAGCAATAGTTGCACCCAGAGCACTTCCGGGCAAAGATCGCTTGGTAGTTGTTGGAGTCAAATCATAATCATCGTCATCTTGCGTTGGTGCCACTCCTGTCGGCTCCTGCGTTGGTGCCACTTCATTGACAGGAGTCTCAACCGCTGGCTGGGTGGGAGTTTCGCTCCGCGCTGTCGTCGCATATGATGTCCATCCTCCTGGGAGTGAAGGGCGGAAACTATGTTCACGCTCTGCAAATGGACGTGGAGGATGAAGTGGCTCCTCACTCGCAGGCGAAGCAACGTCGAGAGGTGTATCGTCTACAATAGCGTGTTGACTTCCAGGAACAACTTGGGACGTAGCTAAATCAGGTGTTGGAGCAGGACTGTTACCGGGGCTAGGTGCACTAATATCTCGACGATGACCCGGTTTGAATCCAGGAGCTTGTGGCGCTGCAAAGTCACCCCCACGGACACCGAATTTTCCTGCCGTCTCAGGAGAATCAGGCTCGGCTGTTTCCATGATAGCAGGTGTTGGTGTGTCTCGGTTTCGAGCTTCTGCGGGAACGGCCGAGCTAGATACTCTGCTCATGATAGGACTTATCCCGCCAGTGCCAGTACTTTCACTATCAGTACGATTCACTCCACTTCCGCTTCTTGAGGCGGGCGTATCAGGGAGTGAATGATCGTCGGTCGTATCGAAAGCCTGGTTGACGACAGACTTAAAACCAAACGAGGGCTGTTCTCTTAGCTTCAAATCCTGCTCTGGGGAGGAGAGCGTTGCAGTTGTAGTCGTTGTTTCAGGCTCTTTGCGTATAGCTTCCATATCATGAGATGAAAACATGTCTAAGCCAAAACCAGACACTCTGGTGAGGTCTGGTAGTTTAGGGCTAGTTGATTGTCGACGTGCTTCTTCAACAACTAGACTACGACTTTCAGTTTCTTGCCTTTGCTGTGGATTATGATCGTTGACGTTGAAGCCCTCGAAGCCATATTCGCTTTTCCTCTCCTTGACAGGTTCCAGCATGGGCATTAAACGTCGGTTAGAGTCAGACGTCTCGTCGGTCTCAAAACTTGCTCTCCGCCTGGCAGCGCCGATCTCTGGACCGCCTTTGGCATATGGCCCCGAAGGAGATTCTGATCTATCACTGGATTTAGATCCCATAAGAGAGTCCATACTTGGCCTACCAGCAGATTCGATTGACTGTCTCCGTTCTTCTTCGGCTCGCCGGTAAATATCTGCAGGTCTGATAAACGGAAGGGCCTTGGATGGACTGATGGGTGACTTCGCACCTATTCCTGGGGAGGCCGGCCTTGCTCCAATCCACGGCTTAGGGGTAGTATCCAGGGCACCCCCACTCATAATCTCGTCCAAAGGAGGACTACTAACCTGGCTTAAGCTGCTTTTACGAGCTGGAAATCTCTGGTTAGGGGTCGCCTCTGTCGCACTTTGAGGTGCTGGAGAAGCGCGAGTAGTGAGTGGAGGGGGAACTGCAGAAGGCGAGAAATCCCGTCGAGCCTGAAAATCGCTCGATGCCGAAGGTGTTCGTATGTCAGAAATAGGAGATGTGATAGAGCTTCCCCCTGTATTGACCCTTCCTGGTCCGGGTATCATTATATCGGGATGTGGAGATTCGACGACGGGCGAGATACCAGGTTTTCGAAGACCAACAGGAGGCTGAGCAGGTTGTTGAGTACTGATGGAAAGTGCTGGAGGACCACTCGCATTCCGAGGCGTTGCTACACCTGTTATTTGGGAGAACCTTGTAGCTGGGGCATTGGATGCTGGAGGAGGTTGAGCTGCGCTGCTTGAAAAAGCACGCCTCTCGTCATCGGCATCGAAGGAATTCGCTCGTGGTCTAGAGTTGCTCGCTCCTGGCAATGCTGGGAGTTCGCCATATTTCTTGCTGCCGTCTCCAACTGGTGATTCCACTTTCGAAGCACTTGCTAGCCCTTGCCCTTGCTGTCGCAATCCGGTCGGTTTAGAGATCGGAGGGGGAGGCGGGTCGTAATCATCATCGTCGCCCCAGTCATCTCCGCCATAATCTACAGGTTTTGCCTCTGTCCATTTCTTCGTCTTCTGTCGGTTGACATTCGTCTGGTAAGAGATGGCAGATTGTGGGCTCCTGGTAGACTGTTAGCAATCGATGACGTGAAGCATGGATCCATCTTCAGTCTCCTCACATTGGGGAATCCTTGTCGAAGGTGTTTGGGAAAGGACGCGCCATGGTGGGCAATCTACAGCGACTCGGACCTCACGACAGCCCTATCGCCGTAACCATAAGAGCATTGATGCTGCGGAGGCTTCGGTAGGGAGGAGGGGCGGAGAAGAGAGGGTTGCGAGGTGAGGATTGCGCGTGGTGTTGACGATCCTTCTCGGGAATGAGAGAAACTTGGATATCGCGGTTCAGCTAAGACCAGGCTGGGCTGGGCTTGGATGGACGGATTGTTGAAATTATGCAGCGCCCGCAGCTATTAATGAGATCCTGGAGTGAAACAAAAGTAAAGGTAAAAGGAGCAAAATGAGGTTGTAGATACGAACGGTCTGTTGGAAAAGACCGAAGAATTTGAATGATGATGCGGTCGCCCCCAGTCTCCGCCTTGTCTTTCCATTTCCCTGCCTCTTCGCATCCACATCCACATCCAGTTCCACCAAAACCGTGAAGTGACAAGTTCCCAGCGATCCTTGGCCAGCACCCCTGCCCAATTTCCCTGCAGATTCCCCACTCAAGCATCATTTTACGCTCAGCCACGCTCATCTATTGTCAAATCAGTGCCACTTGGTCACCAGCCACACTCTACTACCAATCAGGGGAATGCTCGGGCCAAGTCTGTGCGACAATTCCAATTTTAGCTAAGAGCTACATTGTGGCCTGAATACTGTCTTCTAGCCTGAGGCCTCAACAAAGTTTCCAAATCCTTCGAGAACACCTGCAGCCATGGTTGGCTGACTGGACGGCGCTGTGAACTGACGATAGGAGAACAAACGAAACACCATCTGTCCTATCGCGGCTCCACGCCTCGACAGCCCTCAACCTCCACGTCTACCTTCTCCATTCCCGACTTCTCTTCATTTCAGCTATTCAATACTACAACTCCTAATTAGAGGTCATCTCGCACACTCCTTGATTCCCTTGACTGTTTGAATCCCGACCCAACAATTTACAACGCCTGTGACTTTTCCCCCGAACCTTCGGCAGGGCAGACGACACAACACAAAGCAAGGAGGCGTGAGCCAGTACTGCGCATCCGGCGTAAATCTATTTCTCGTATCGCCAACTCGTCCTCATTCCATACCACCGTCCAGTCCTACGGTCCTGTGTTCGACATTCGCGATGGCCGTCTCTTCCATTCAAGACCGGACGAACGAGTTCAGGTCGGTTCTGGCACAAGCACAAAAGCGACAGGCATCTTCGAAAGTTGGGGCACAGAGACAGTCTCTTCTCACAGATTCGCAAAAGGCGGCTGCGAATGGTAATGCGGATGGCAAACCCAGGAGGTCCGAGTTCGCGCGGAGAGCGGCAGAGATTGGGAGAGGCATATCCACGACCATGGGCAAATTAGAAAAGCTGGCGCAGTGTATGTTTTCTGCAAAAGACGTGGTTCAAGTTCCAAGCTAATACGTTACAGTGGCCAAGCGGAAAACATTATTTGACGACCGACCCATAGAGATCAACGAGTTAACATCCATCATCAAACAAGACCTCTCCTCTCTAAACCAGCAAATCGGCTCCTTACAAACCCTCACCCGATCACAGCACCCCAAAGCCGACCAGGAAGGCGAGCACAACAAGAACGTGGTATTCCTACTCCAAGGCAAACTCACAGATGTATCCGTCAATTTCAAAGATGTGCTGGAGGTCCGGACGAAGAATATCCAAGCCTCGCGAGCACGAACTGAGAATTTCGTCTCATCAGTATCCGCAAATGTCGCGCCAGCTATATCACAATCCGCATCTCCATTATACAGTACACCGGCTAGAGGGTCTCCCGCGCCGGGGGCAGGGCAGGACTTATTATCTTTGAATCCAGTGGGGGATCAGCAGTTACTTATGATGGAAGAGGCGCAACCTCAGAATACATATATCCAGCAGAGAGGAGAAGCAATCGAGGCCATTGAACGGACGATCAGTGAACTTGGCGGTATTTTTGGGCAGTTAGCATCTATGGTTTCGGAACAGAGCGAGATGATCCAGAGAATTGACGCTAATACCGAGGATGTGGTGGATAATGTGCAGGGTGCGCAGAGGGAGCTGCTGAAGTACTGGTCGAGGGTATCGGGCAATCGCTGGCTGGTTGCCAAGATGTTTGGCGTGCTGATGATTTTCTTTTTGTGAGTTGGACTCCATTTCATTTCCTCTATTACTTTTACAAACACGAACAATGCTGATTTTCAACAGACTCTGGGTTCTTATCGCAGGATAGAGCCATGTATCCAGCCATGGCTTGCTTTCGCATACATGCACGCTTACCACCACCCATGCGGTCTATTTTCTTTCTTTCTCTGTACAATTACTGTAGACAGGACACGGCGCATAGAATGAATATACCTTTAATCTGCAGCCTTGGAGCTGTTCTCACCAAGAAGACACCCCAACCTCCACAGTTCTCAAATCAACCTTGAATGAGAAGCACTCTGTTGGCACCAAGTGGTCTTTTGAAGGAGTGCAATTGTCAAGTCCGTTGCGATTGCATTCGCCTTGCCTTTCTTAATGTATTGCTCATCAATGCCTAAAAAGCCTTGCAAATTGTGTTATCAGATCGTTCAGAACTAAGTAGTTTATATGCTCTTAGAGCTGTCCCTTCTTTCTTAGGATAATTATATTTTGGTGTGGCAATACACGTGGGAAGGAACCACCTTGCTCAAAGCACGCTAATGCAAGTGCCGGCTACATCAGCTCCTACCAACATTCAGTGTAACCCAATGCACAAGGATTTGTTTTCTTCCCCTTACATTTCACTCCTCAAAATAAGGCCCATCATTTAACACGACATCCACATACTTTTCAGCACATCCGCGTTCATTATTCAGGTCATACCATACAACTACAAGCAGCGAACACAATGTCAAAGACCATGTCGAAGAGTGCACTGCTCGGGCAAGCCCTCACGAGTCGCGTCATTATATCCTTGTCACGTTCTTTGGTTGATTGGTAGGTGTATACCAGTGCTTGTATGCTGGTCTTCCCAATAATGATCACCAGCGTTAAATGAAGTCCTCCAGCTTGGAAGAGCGGGGGCTATCTGCAGACGAAGCCGCAAAACATGGGGGCGACAATGTAAGCACAATATATGCACGTAGTCAAGAAGACCCGGCTGGCCAACCAGAGACGAGCTATGTCGGTCGATCAGCTTCACGACAAGGACTCGATGGTGCCTAATCCTCCTTATAATAAGGAGATCCTCTCTTTCAGCCAGAAAAGCTTTGCTCTGCCTTAGAAGAGCTCGAAGCTTCATATCGAATGAGATGGCTTCTGCAACAAATGGCTCGATAACTACTCAGCAGCATCCACCTCAAGAGACCTTAGAGTCCCAGGTGGCTCCAGAAGTCAGGCCCACAATCAATTGGCGGGATCGACTTCGCCGGGCTTTTACTTTCAGCCTCCATGAACCGGAACCCGACGTACTCGAACAATGGCTACTCGACCAGCTGCTCCGTGGCGAGGTGGACCCCGATCAGCGAGGATTCCGCGGGCTACTCGACCAACTGTTACATGGCCAGGTAGACCACGATCAGCGAGAGTTCCTCCGGATTTATAGGAGATTGAAGCAGTCGCCTGGAGCAGACATTGTAGAAAGCCTCACGCATTACCATGTCTTCTGTACACATGCATTGCCAGGCGTCAGCCAAGACAGTTATGACAGTACTGCCACGCACAGCATTGAAAACTCCACTATCACGGTCTCCCATGCTTTTGACGAATTCTGCTCTAAAATCCGACTTTACTCAGATGCATCACTCCGAATCTGGTCGGTGTCCTTCAAGCTTGTTTGGAAAATGTAGCTGACAGTGTTCCCCCGTTATCACAGTGTGCTATCGATGAAGTTGCCTAGCTCGCTTCATTCTGTACTCTTCAGTTTCGGAGACAAAATGATTCCCAACACTGAAAACTTGAACGCGTTGTACGACATACCTTCTCGGTCAATCCTTTCTCTCATACAGAAAGAATGGGATCCTGAGAAGACTTGGATCAAGCACTCGTTTGCTCGGAAGATATCTCCTTCTCCACAACCACGAGTACTACTGTCAAAAGGTTTGTGTTTGTATCAGTATCTTCATCCAATATTTAACTGGCTAATGTAGTCCAAAGTGAAACCCTCGTGTCGTTTCTCATTATTCAATGAGAACCGCGAAAGCAGCACTGTCGAGTTTAACTTAGTGTCAAATGCTCCCTCATATCATAGCGACCTGTACGAATATATCTGGCAACGACAGACTCAACGTCCGCCAATCGAACGTGTGGTATTCTCTACTAGCCCATTCGATTCCGTTGGATCTAGGAGTGTTTTCATTAGTATTGATTCGGACAAGGAGGCTCTCCATGGTGAGCGTTGTGCCGAAATCCTTCGTGCATTTTCAGAGCATTTCGCAGCAGTACTACCAGTACCCGCCGGCGATCAAGCTCCGTGTAGTATCGAGAGCGCCTACTTGGGTGCTCTCTTTGCTGTGCTCCTGATACTCGCGGAAACCACCAATGATTTCATTAATTGCGTTGATCAAAACATTTCCACTCTGGTAAGATTAGAACACTCGGGCAGCAATGACTTGCTAATAAAGGACAGTGTTATCGCGGAAGAAGTCACCCCTCGGGAAGTAAGTTGCACTACATTTCGCACCTTCAAGATAACCACAAAGTCGCTGTGTGCAGTATTCACGATGCACTCGATTTACTGGCCGAAATCCAGGGCCCTGTCGAGAGGTGCGACGAGATGAATGAGCTTCGCATAGGACTTCCGCAGATCAAGCGGGACTTAGAATACCTGAGAGACAATTTGGTTATTGTCGAAGCTCAGATAATTGCATTGCAAACGATGGTAAGACATCAGATTCTACTACCGGGTCCTAGACTAATTTGATCAAGATGAGAGAAAAAATCGAGCTTCGACAAATCAGGCGGACATATATCCTCACTGTCCTCGCGGCTGTCTATCTCCCATTCGCATTCATGACAGTAAGCTGTTTCTCCACTACGCAAATTATGGGCATGACTAACCGAAATTCTTGTCCTTCTATGGCATGAATCTCAGCGACCCTCTTTGGCCAACGAAGAAGAACGCGACAGAAACGGCTTCACCAAGCATTTCAGCTCGGGGTATAGCCCCAATTTCTGGTAACTCATCGCTTTTATCCACGGAACAAACTGGTGTCATCGTAACAGCCATTCGGACCTCGGGATCTCATCTTTGGACCTTAAAATCATATTGGTACGTCACGATCCCTGTGACTGTCGCCACCATCATCGTGCCCATGGTCATTGGTATGACCTTCCGCTCAATATCCCGCTTTGCACATCATCACCGAGGCTACTGGCGTTTGATCGTGACGATGGTTGTCAGCACGTTTGTAATGGGTCCAATCACAGCCTTCATACCTACAATTATCCTACTTATGATTATGAAACTTGTTGATGATTATGTGAGGTGTTAGGAATCGCTTTCATGGAAATGGTCCATGGCCTACAGCATTGCGGACAACGCCTTGACAGTAAGCTATATCTGGTTGGCTGTTATAGTGGAATGCTCGCTGACGAGCGGATCTGCGGCCTCGGCTGAGAAGTTCTTCACATGGTGTAAATAATGAACTCATATAAGTGGACTGTTCGTATTCTTAGCTCTCTACCCTATCTTCGATGTTTCAGGATTGGTTTTGTGGTGCGTCAAATGACTTGCCCGCGAATGAAAATATGTACAAGAAATTGCCCTCTACAAGGTGTCTCTGTCACACGGATATCCTCCCAACACTTAAGCAATACTCTGCTTATTCGAAGTAAACATCCCCTCCGGATCATATAACTTCTTGATCTCCTTCAACCTCCTATAATTCTGCTCTCCATACAACCTCTCACTCCACTCCGCCTCACTCAACGCCCCATCGCGATAATTCGCAAACCCCCTAAGAGGAATATCAGCAGCCACAAGCGCCTCCTCAAACGGCTTCATGATACTCTGCGCATACGCCACACCATCAGCGGGGTACGCATTCGTCGCAACAGGTAGATTCGTGTCGAAACGAATCAACCACAGATTGTTACCATGCGCATACGACGTATCCGCATCGGCGACATCCCGAGATACACCACCCCACAGATCAATCAGACCCGAGCGTCGGAGATCAGTACGATTGAAATCCGAAATGACACGCTGGAACAGCGTCTGCACAAGCGGAGCAGTCAGCGGTGCGTCAGTCGTGGTTGTCAAACTCTGGACGTAGAACGAGCGGCCTGGGGACTCAGGTCCTCCATTTGGAAGGTTCGCGCCGTTAGCTACGAAGGTCTCCATAGTCCAGAAGTCGAACTCGGATTTCTGCAGCGTGGCATTGACGGTGAAGCGATCCATCAGTGGTTTCATGATGGAGTCGAAATCAGCGGGGTTGCCGTAGTAGTATCCCGTTGCGCTGAATGGCATGCTAAGTCCCCAGCGCAGCGCTAACTCATCAGGCGCTTCATTCAAGGCGAATTCTTGCGATGCGAGGAATGCTTGGACGGCGTCTGTGATGGGGATGTTCCCGAAGGAGAGCGTGTAGTTGACTGCGTTGGTGTATGTTGGTTTCCATGTTTTGGTCGTAAGCGAGGTGAGGACTCCGTACGAGGATCCCGCGCCCTGAGCAGCAAAGAGGAGGTCGGAACCAGCGGCTGCGGTGACGACGGAGCCGTTGTACAGCATGTACTCGACGCTATGGAGGAAATCCATTGGTGTGCCGAGAAAGCGAGACGTGCTTCCATAACCACCGCCGATGCAGGACCCGGCTATACCGACGCGGCCGTGACGCACGTGAGGGAAGTGCCGTCCTTGACTGTCCCATAGTTCTTTCAGTGCTGGTCCGACGCGAGTACCGCCACCCATGGTATACAGGTTGGTCTTGGCGTCGAAGGATACCGAGTTGAATGCTGCCATGTTGATGACTAGGTTTCCGGGCTTGCCGAACCCGAAGGCGACGAAGGAGTGGTCTCCTGCTAGACAGGAGACCTTGGTTGATGCGTTTCTGGCGCAGGCGAGCGAGGAGGCCAGTTGTGCTTTATCGGTGGGGTAGGCCATTGCTGCGGGGTCGACTTCTGGTTTGAGACGGAGCTGCCATGGTGTTGTCTCTGTTGACCAGGTGGTGTCTGTGTCGATTATGTTGCGGACTCCGGCGTCGGTGAGGCACGATGAGAGGGGTGATTGGGCGAGTGTGAGGGCGGGCGTGAGGAGCAGGAGAGAGTGGACGAGGAGTCCTTTGAGTGAGAGCGAGGAGTTCATTTTGGGTGTGAGTGGGCGGAAAGAGTGAAGCCTTGCCTTAGAGACCTGGTGGGCATTCCGGATATACACCGTTATATATCAAATTCGTTTTGACATCCCCAGAAACACCTCGCGTCAGACTCCACAACTCCCGTCCCACTGATTTACTCGCAAACTCTCTCAGTTCAGAAGGTGCTAAGCCCTCGAAATCATTTGGACGTTCTGGAAGGGCGATCCCTATCCACAGGGTCAGATCAGTAAAACACAGTTCATCTCATCGCCCCCTACCAACTTTAATTCGTACCATCGCTTTTGGCATAAACGCCAGAAGCCTTGTTTCTTTGCCTCACAGGCCTGTCCACTCCGCTCACTGCCGAATCCGCTTCATTTATTCGGGGTTGCGCAAATGGGGCAGCCATCAACGACCAAGGAGAAAGAGAGCAACAGGGACCAGTCCGTGAAACCCATTGGTGAGGAGCACAGAGCTGGAAACCATGGACCCGTTTGCAGACCCAAACAAAAGGAGTTCGCATGTGGTGCACTCCTGGTAATCAACCTCTCGTCGTACCCGCCAAGGCATTTATGGTTCTTGCCAAGCAAGCTTTCGTTTATGTGCGGTCGGAATGGGGCAGGAGGCTCTGGGTTTAAGTGGGTAATGCCCAGAGTAAGCATACTTGGCAGCTTCGTTATCAGTAATGACGAACTCACGGCAATGCACAGCATAGGATTAAGCAGGAAGAAGTCATTCGTCCGGCTCGAACAATTAAGCTATCAGTTGTAATCGGCAGATAGCCGCCAAGCCCCCTGTCATCCAACTCTCGATATCCGGTTGCACAAGTCACATATCCGAGGGAATCCATCATCCAAACTTTACGTTTCTGGAGCCAATTCCCAAGACTTCTCAATCCTCTATATAAAGCCCTGTGAAATTTCCCATCTCGGTCTCCTCGGTATACAGAACGCAAAAATGGGAGGACCATCGTGGCGTGACTAGTGCGGCTCACTCCAGGGTGTCCTTGGGTGCCTGAGACAATGAAATCCAAACTTTTGAACCTTACTTTTCCGCCTCGGTTAAAACAGGGGTTCCGCGAATCCATACAAACCAATCCAAACTTTTGTCTCCGCGATGGCGATGGAGGGTCCTTCTCGGACATCAACATTCGTTTGCGAGTAGTTCGTAGCGCTGTACGGATTGACGGAGAATGTCCACATCTGGGGATAGTCCCTTTATCTTGTGGAGCGTATCCACTACGTGGGTTCTTTGACAAACCAACTGATCGCCTTTCCTTGGTTGTGGATAGGATTTCCATGAACAAAAGAGCAAGCTTACAACAACCTGCTTCTTTTGTCGGTCTTAGGAATTGGATCGACCTTCCTGCCCGGTTCGTCCATCTGCGAAGTGGTGTCTGTGTGGAGCATGCCGGGTTATGATGGGGAAGGTGGTACTCAATCTGATAAGATTTGAATTCTTGGACAGCGCAAGGCGAAACATGACCTTACGGATTCACATTTTTTGATGCGAAGCAGAAACTTTGTTTTATGACGATGATAAATCATGAATCCAAAAAGGACAAGAACAAGAAGTCGTGCTGAGGCTCATCCCTTGCGCGACTCAGTCGTTCCCGGAAAACCGCGATGTCCGGAATTAGTGGAGGGCAGCCTCGTGGGGATTACAGCAATGCTCGGAAATGCGAGAAAACAGATCATCATGTGATTAAAGGATTTAAATAAATATGCCAAGGGAATCGAATCTAGAGAGAGTCATGGGCAGTCTACATATCTAGAGAGCTTTGTCTCGAGGATTGTTGTTTTTCCTCGCCAGCGTTGATCTGCTTCGCTGCCCACACTCTTTACACGCCCTCCCAAGTACGCCCACCCCACAGTCTTTCCCACACTACCATCACAATGACTTCCCTCCAAAAAGTGCTGCTCAATGCAGCCCTTCTCGCAACAGGAGCGTCAGCAACAAATCTCTTCGTTGCCAGCACAAACGGGAATCTCACCACACTCTCCCTTACCAACTCGGGTAACACTTCCAGTCTCGCCATCTCATCATGGACGAACCAATGCGCCAGCAACCCCGCAGCGCTGAATCTCGATTATGAAAATAGGATCTTGTATTGCTTGGACCGAGCAAGCACATCTTCCGTCAATGGATCGATGAACGAACTCGTTCGACATTGACACGAACGGCAATCTCACGCGTTTAGCGAGGATTCCCGTTGCTTTGTCAGGAGTCTGGGCTGGGTTCTTTGGTGCTGAAGGTGGGAATAAGGGTATTGCTACTGTGCACTAGTAAGTCAAAATGCCTTTCATACACGATGAAAATACGATGGAGATTGACAGTCGCAATCTAGCAACCGCAGCGCCTACTCTATCATAGGAATCAGCGACGACGGACAGCTAAACGGCCCTCTCCAATCCTCATTCCCCACCATCACAAAACCAGGCCCCATCACCGCCCGTCAAGACTTGTCCTACCTGCATCAAGTACAGACTGACCCTACTGGCAAATTCCTCGTCATGAACGACCTCGGCGGTGACATGGTTCGCATCTTTACTTTCGACGCAGAGACCCTGGCTCCCGTAACGGAAGTCTCGCAACTATTGACAGACCCGGCTGTTGGTCCTCGACACGGCCGTTTCCGGACTGCGGAATCTGGGAAGATGTACTATTTCTTTGTGGGCGAGTTGAGCCAGAATGTGTATTCGTATGAGGTTACGTATACGGATGTGGGAATGAGCTGGACGAAGGTGTTTGAGGTTCCTGCGTTGGGAGTTGGAAATGAGAGGGCGCCACAGACGGCGCCTGCGAGTGGGCTTGAGTTGACTGTATGTTCTTCTTCCCCTTTCCATTTTCAATACCATCTGTAGTGAGAAGAAACTTACATCGTCATATTTAGCCTGACAACAAATTCGTCATCGTCTCCAACCGTGACATCTCATTTCAAGCTAAGAAAGGACCAACCGATACACTCTCCACGTTCTCCATCAACGTAGACGGAACACTGGAACTTATCCAACTTGCTCCTTCCGGCGGATGGTCGCCCAGACAATTCTCCTTGAACAAGAAGGGCAATTTGTTGGCTGTTGGGCATCAGAATAACTTCACTGTTATTGTTTGGGAGAGGGACTTGGAGAGTGGAAAGATTTTGGGGCAGAGGGCGAGCATTAAGTTGAGTACGGCTGTGGTGGCTACTATTTGGGATGAGTGATATTTCTGCTCTATGTAGCTAGTTGTACATCAATTGAACGCTATCCGGTATATGTGAGAGGAAGGTCACTTGCGCTAAGTGAAAAACCATTGATTAAATTGACCAATATCAACTGAACTGTGGATGGGTCACACGAGGACAATATTAAGAAATAACATTTCGCGCGTTGTCTTCAAGTTTGGTTCTGGGATTTAGACCGCTTGAGTTACTGTTGATTGAGCTAGACGTTATTAGCGTCGTCTTGACTAGCGAACAAGTGAGGATCGGGCCTGCATTTCAGGGCTCAGAATGCACAAAATATTTCTTGAGCTGGAAAGGTCATATAAAGAGGATAGGAAAGCAGACTCAACTCATGAATTATATAGATATTAATTAAGCCCAATCGCTGTGAGACAACAAGACTATGTGTTGCGGTATCATAATAAACATAGGGTTGGTGTCGTCTCGCGTGTCATACCTTAGCGAAGAACATCATCGAAGCTTTCTAGAAGCTAACTTCAACGTCATGTACGCTTCTTCGAGGAACTATACTAGACTAAATTATGAAGTTTAAGTTTAGACTGGGCTGTTGATTTCAAGTATGGTCCCGTTGAAATATACTACCTTTGGCGCGAAAAATTATGTTTCGAGCTGCCTGGACTTGCTTAGCATCAATTTCCAGTCCAAATTCCAACTGTTGAAGGTTAAGAACGGCACACCCTTTCCTTTTCTCCCAGACTTCTTCATCATCCCATCTCAAACTCCAAGATCCATCTTCCACACACTTTCTACCAATATCCAACTCAAGCAGTCTCAATCAACTACCACCGCCCTCCTCTCACAAACTCCAACAACACAAACACCTGTCGTGGTCAACATCAAAATCCACCATGACGCAAAATCACTACCACATCCTCGGCCTCAACATGAGTGCTGGAGCAGAAGAGATCAAAAGACAATACCGCATTCTCGCACTGGCCTTTCATCCAGACAAGAATATTCAAGACATAGAGACCGCTACCGCTAAATTCAAAGAAGTGAGTTTGTGCATCCACCTACTTCAGGTCTAGCTTCAAGGCTAATATTTAAATTCATAGGTCCAAAATTCCTATGAGGTTTTGAGCGACCCAAAAAAGCGTCTCGCCTACGACGCTACTCTCCGCGACGGAAGTGACTATCAACCCACCTTCTCAGCCAAAAAGCCCGCCAAAAAGCACGCCAAGCGACCCCAATACGCCGCCAGATGCGATGACCACCAAGACTCAGATAGAGAGTGGGACTGGGACTTTGAGTTCGCAGAAAAAGATATACAGCGCCAAAGAGAGATATTGCGCAAACAGGGCTATAACAATACCTTGATAGAAGTAATGCTTCAAGACAGAATCAAGTTCTTCAACACTCGAGCAACAGAGTGTAGAGAGTGGAACAGGGACCATACGACGAAAACGGACGGCCATACGCCCGAAGAATCCTGGGATGACAGAGACACGCCCAGAGCGAAAGTGAGATCTACTGCGAGGCGGGAGAAGAAGAGTTCAGCATCTGGTGCGAAAGGGGAAAACACTGTGAAGGAAAAGTTCAAGGCCTGCGGTACTGCAGGAGTCATACCAGACATTACTATTGAGGATGGAGACGAACTCTCAGAGGAGGAAATTATCATGCTGCTCAAGGATCAACTCACACCAGAAAGAACTGCTGATTCTCCTCTCTCCAAGAAGGAAGCAAGGGCATTGAAGAGGAAGGAGCAGGTGAAGACGGAGGGTCAAGTCAAGGGTTCGACAAACGATAACGATCAGGTCTCCTCCGCAGATATCAAGACGGGACAGCCGAAGAAGTCCAATATCGCAACCGAAAATGCCACCAAATTCGATACATCAGATTACACGACAGGCCAAAAGGTTCCGCCAACTCAATCTAAGGACGACGTACCTCCAAAAATTCCAACGAAGAAAGTAACGAAAACAGAGGAGGACTTCCTTCCACCAATTCCATCGAACCTCAAGAGCCGGATTCAGGACAGCGTACAGGAGATGTTCGTCAAGGAGACCAAGAAGTGGAGGGGTGTTGTAGAGGTTGAACAGATTGTGCAGCCATCTGTTCCGGAGGAGCTTTTGTCTGCTTTGAAGATGTTTAAGGGCTCGTTTCGGAGGAATCTAGTATCTGGCATGTAAATTTGAAGCTGTGCATGTTGATGGGAGGGGTTTCGTTGTCGCTCTTTTTGCTTTCCTTGCTCTGAATTTGGATTAGTTTGTACTTTGTGGTTTCGAAGGATGGAAAGACTGGGCTGCCGGCAATGTTAATGACAGTTGAGATGTTCTTATGCACTACCACTTTTTGTCCCAATGCTTTGTGATGAAGCCTGATTTTTGCGTGACTGTCTGTTTGAACAATGCAGACTTTCATGCAGGACCAGGTTGCCAGTCTCTTGATGTGGCCTAGTGAGGTGGATATCTGACGTGCATCGGGACCAAGTCTCTCCACACCCTTGGCAGACTGCACAACCATTCAGGGAAGTAACGAGAAACGTATTTAAATTTGACCAAAAATCACAGAGAATGTCATTTTTCTTGCGAGTACAACAGCTGTATCCGGGCGAGCCTATTTTATTGTGAGCATATTCAATGACCAGATGAGAGTGGGAAATGTTCAAGTCGAAGTTAGACGAGACAACTGATAGTTTCAACGGCAATGCAGCACACGCGTAGTCGGCGAAGTTGATATACAAGGGTAATTTAGGCAATTAGCCAATAATGAGAGGTGTATTGGTTTGATTTCTGTGTAAATCTGGAACTCCGCCCAAGAAATGCATCGTTTGTCATCGTGCAGATGTTGCGACGCCTGTCGGCACTTGCTCATCTGCCCCACATTTGAAAAGGTCTGAGTTCGACAGAATGCCACATAAATACTTGTCAATTATCCTCTTCGTGGTGCGGAAATTTCTTTCTATTTCTCTCCCTTGGGCATCCTTTATTGGTTCTCTTAGCCTCGACAAGCCTCGATATGTGGTCCATGATTTCCATCCTGGAGGCGCTTCTCTGCTCCTACATCATCTATGCTATTGGAGTTGCAGTCCACCGTCTTTACTTCAGTCAATATGCCAAATTCCCAGGTCCCAAACTTGCTGCTCTCACATATGGATACATGTTTTACTATGACGTAATTGTCGGTGAAGGACAATACATGTACAAAATCAAAGATCTACACGAAGAATACGGTGAGTTAGTTCCCCTCCTCCACTTCCAAAGCAAGGTTCTTTTGTTTGCCACTTTTATCCACTGACAAGGATACCAGACAGTCCAATCATACGGATCAGTCCCCATGAACTCCACATCATCGACCCAGATTTCTACGAGGTGCTATTCACTGGAGCTAACTCCAAACGAGACAAACCTCCGACCTGGTCCCACGCATTCTCCAATGTTGATTCTGTATTCGGGACCATCTCGCACGAGAAGCACCGTGTGCGGCGAAATGCTATTGCGCCGTTCTTCTCGGCCAGTTCTATGCGCAAGCTAGAGCCCTTGATTCAAGAGAATATCAATAAATTGATTACGGTGTTCCGTCGATACCAGAGCACAAAAGAGCCGATCCCACTGAGACCGGCCTTTGGAGCTTTGACAAGCGATATCATTGCCGAGTACTGTTTTGGAGTCAGTGAGAATTACATTGAAGCGCCTGGCTTCAATGTGATGGTTCTGGAGACAACAGATGTGCTGACTGATACTATGCATGTCACCGTTCAACTTCAATGGCTTCCAAGATTCTTGAACTCCTTACCCGATGGAATCGTGGTGGGCATGTTTGGTCCTGGAATGGCCAAAGTCTTGGAGCTGAAGCGAGTACGTATTGCTCGAGAACTGCTTAATGACTTCAGCTAATATCAGGAAAGCATTGCATCCAGAAAATAAAAGAAACCGTCAAGTCAAGAGGTGATTATAGAGATGTGAAGCACCGCACTATTTTTCACGACTTACTGGATAGTCCCACTCTTCCAGAGCAAGATAAATCGGAAGACCGTTTATGGCAAGAAGCCCAATTATTTCTTGCGGCTGGAACCGTGACGACTGCTACTTCTATTGCATCTGCTCTGGTGTACCTCTTGCTGGATAAGCCCAGACTTCAAGTCTTGCTTGAGGAGTTGGAGAATGCTATGCCAAATATTGCGATCCCGCCAAGGCAGGCACAATTGGAGAGACTTCCATACTTGGTAAGTTACGCATGGCCATCCAATTTGAAGAAAGACGTTGATGAATTTTTAGCATGCTGTTGTACAAGAAACTTTACGTCTTGTGTCTGGTGTCTCATACCGATTGACCCGTTCAAGTCCTACCGAAACCCTACGTCTTGGAGATTGGAGCATTCCACCAAATGTTAGTACCACCATACTCCTGCAAGAGCGTTACTAACTTGAAAGACTGCGTTGAGTATGCATGGGCCATTAATCCACCACTCTGAGAACGTCTACCCAGAGCCATGGTCCTTCATCCCAGAACGCTGGCTCGCATCACCAACCCCACCCGGTCTGCCAGAGAGACCAGTAGGAATCCCACGAGCAAGTCAGAAGTACTTAGTACCGTTCTCGAAAGGATCTCGCAACTGTGTTGGCCAGCCCATGGCATATTCAGAACTATTTATGACGCTTGCCAATGTACTTAGAACGTTCGTCCGACTGGAACGAGATCAGGATGGGAATGTGACTGGAGTGCGGGGTATGGAGCTCTTTGAGACTGATCGAAGAGATACGGATATGCAGCGAGATTTTGGATTTCCTTCGCCTGAGAAAGGACGGGGAAATATGCGGATTGTGCTGGAGTAGTTGGTACATGTGACACAAATATGCAGCTTCGTTTTTCCAGAACGTACGATGATGCCCGACAAGGAAAGAAATTGTACATGGTTTAGTCATTCAGGCACATCTTACATCATCTTAGTCAAACCATACAAGTCTCCTTTCTATGTGTCTGTCAGATTCATTCCTAGCAGAGCTAAACCTCGCTGCTGACTATTACCCCACACTTTGGTTCCAAGTGGCAAGCCCCAATCAACAACTCCGCGGCTAACTGAGTCATAAAACGGATCCGAATTTCTCCAGACTCTTTCCAATTTTTCCAAATATCTCACAATGGCATCTTCAATCAAGTTATTAAAGTCCACATACCGATGGATCTCGACACCCCTCATAATCGGTGCTCCAATGCGAGTTTTCAGTGGCCCTGAGCTCGCAACAGCGGTATCCTCGGCTGGCGGAATCGGCTTCATCGGTCCAGGAAAATCACCCGAAGATCTTGAGCCAGCTCTACAAAAAGCTCGGGAATTACTAGAGAAACGACTTCAGTCGCAGAAATCACGACTATACATTTCCTCTGCGGACTTGGAGGATAGGCTGCCAATAGGGGTCGGTTTCCAGATTTTCGATGCGAATCTGGAGGTTGCGCTGCCTTCAATCGCGAAGCATCGACCAGCTGCAGCATGGCTGTTCGTGCCGAGGGATGGGACGGATGACCTCTCGGTATGGATGAAAGAGATTCGCAAAGTTTCTCCACAAACTCGGATTTGGCTGCAAGTTGGATCGGTTCGCGATGCCACCGAGGCAGCAAAGTTGTCGAGTCCTCCGGACGTTCTCGTTCTTCAAGGTATTGATGCTGGCGGCCATGGTCTTGCCAAAGGAGCTGGAATTGTCTCTTTGGTTCCGGAAGTCAAGGATGCGATGAAAGTAGCAGACTTGGACATTCCGATTGTTGCTGCTGGTGGCATTTCAGATAGGAGAGGCGTAGCTGGGGCGCTTGGGTTAGGTGCTGTTGGTGCTGTGATGGGTACTAGATTTCTAGCCTCAAAGGAGGCAAATATTGCTGCTGGGTACCAGAACGAGATTTTGCGAGCCACAGATGGAGGACAATCGACGGTCAGAACATCTCTCTTTGATGCCTTGGCTGGAAGAAACAATTGGCCACCTCAATTTGATGGCCGCAGTATTATCAACGGCAGCACGAAGGATTCTGATGCCGGGGTTCCTTTTGAAGAAAATCAAGCGAAATTCAAAGAGGCTATGCAGCAAGGCGACAAAGGCTGGGGCCGAGATGGAAGATTGACAACTTACGCAGGTACTGGGATTGGCCTCATTCACGAGATTCAGTCAGCAGAGGATATTGTCCATGATGCCCGAGAGTCGGCGAGAGCAGCATTGAGAGAAGCTTTGGAAATGATTTGAGATAGAGACTTTAGTCAGAAAGCTTTTAGACGAAGGCTAAAGAATTTTATGATTTCGAAGCCTTCATAGGGGTAGCTACGGGAAGGAAATTTTGGGAATCTGTAAACCCTGGACATCGCTACTGGGAATCCCGATATCAGAAAAGATTCTTTGCCTTCTAGGATCGAAGCTGCAGAATGGAAACAAATCTCACTCTCTAGCTCGCTAGAATTAGCTAAGTAACTGCAGAAATTTGATTGACATCCAGAAAGAGCTTCGAGAGTGATTCTTCTTCATAATCCAGTGCTGTGCATATCTGACCAAGCCTATAGAGAATCAGCAACGAGTGCTTGACAATCCGAGCCTCACTCACGTCAACGCATCACCGACTAAGCCTTTGATGATCGAAGGAATCGAGAATGGTATCCAACCAGGTTCAGGCAAGGGCTGCTCGACGGTCTCGTAGATATACGCCAGTCTTTCGCTAAGGTATGGGAACGAATGAACACATCCCTCCCACAATAGGCCATATTGGGAAACAGGCCTTCCTGCTATATTGACTGTGTTAGCTGATTAGCCTGGAGATGCTCTTAGTGACATCTCACAGAGTAGGAAGAATTCAGTAGCGCAGTGACGCCAGCCTTTCCTGATCAACCCTGCGATGACTCGATTGACCCAGAGAGCACCCCTCCTCAAGCGGTATAAATTCGCCGCGCCAGAGCTAGACATACATATCCGCATCAGGTCATTGATAGCATCTGTGGGTAGGCCTTGATGTTCGATAACAACGCAGAGGGAAGCGAATACCAATTCCCTGAAGTTATGCAGCTGCACCACAAAGCCAGCATCCCGTTCCGACGCCTTTGTTCCCAACGCATAACGCCGTGCGGACATAATCAAAGTTTCAGAAACCCCTTTGTTATTCATGGGAAAGTCCAATATTTCTGTCCCGGATCCGGCTCCGTGACCTCCAGAGAGCTCATTCTTGAGACCAAGAAGCATGGTTAGAGCATAATGATTCTCCTCCACGGTATCAAGACCGATCGCGATCCGTCTGTCCATCCAACTACTCGGTTGATCCCATCCTTTGGTCATTTGGTCTATAATACGTCTCCATCTGGCATTACTAGGAGGTACCTTTGGTGTCGGTTGCACAATTTGCGAATCATTGGTGCTAACTAGTGGTTCCTGATACTCCAAAGCGATTGAAGGATAGAAGTCAGAATCGTTGGCGTCGACGAGATCTGGAGGAATGTACGAAAGATCGTTGAAAGATAGTGGTAATTGTGTACTCCCCTTGTCACATGTCTCATGGTGGAATTGAAGGTATTGAAGTTTGGCTTCCAGAAAGCTGATGTAATTCAAGAGCTCTTGGACTTGCCCTGTCTGTGTTTCCCAAGGGAGATGTGTGCGGCCCGGTGTAGTCATGGCTCGAAAGATTTCTCTGGCTTGATGCTGAAGTAGCGTGATGCAGGAGATGTTAGCTTCATGAAGATCATCAGCCAACAATCCTTTCTTTACCATCTTACAATGTTGATAAGATTTGCAATCCGACGGAGAATACCCCGCATCCGCATCTCAGCAGCTGATAGGCTGGGTGTACCGGACCACACATATGTGGTCAACATTCTCGCTTACGATGCATCATGCTGATAAATCCTTGGCTTCGTTACTTGTACCAAACAATTCATTCTGTATTTCTAGATCTCGATCCTTTTCACAATTTTACATACCAGTGACTTCTCGACCAACAGCAACCTGCCCTGAACCCCTTCAAATACCCGAAGACAATCAGAGGTCCCAATCGAAAGTCGTGAATGCCTGCTTGATAGTAACGAAAGGGAAATCCACCCCCAAATCCTCCTTCGTAACGATCTCCTCCCCAGACCAACTCTTATTTCCAAACTCCTCCCAGTATTTGAGCATTTCCCCCATTTCAAGGCCCCACTTTGGCCACAGTCGGTCAAAGTCCTCAAGGGTCACTTGGATATATTCAGCGTTTTTGCCTGTCACTTCACTCCACGACTTGAGAAGGTCACCTGTAGTGAGTGATTCAACTGAACCGAGAACAAATTTACCAGGGAGAGTCAACTCTGGCTTCTGGACGATGGCGAGCGCAAATGGTCCCACGTTAATATTTTGGTCTCCAAGGCTGAGAATCGGTGTCGATGGCGAACTCGGCTGCAGCCAGACATATTTGCCAGCGGTTTTCTGTAGGCGGTCAGTTTTGAGGGATCAGAATGTTGAATTTAGGCCTCACCAAGAAGTTCGGCTTGAACATTGGAAGTAACAGGTTACTGGCGTAATATGTGTTCCAGAGAAACGTAGTCTTGGCGAAGAGTGCGGGGTCATTCTTGATGAAATCGTCGATGATATTCTTGCCGACGAAATGAGGAATCATGTACTTCCCTCCCGAGATTCTTCCGGCATTGGCGAGGGTGGACCAGATATAATGCTTCAGAGTAGGAGTGGCTGCAGCAGCTTTGGCGAGATTGATACCTTGCTGAGTTTCGATCTTGATCGCCTCTTGAGGCCCTTTACTCGCAAAGGGTTCGAAAAAGTCGGTCACTGCATAGATCACAGTCGCATCCTAGACATTATTAGGCTGGTAAGTTTGGGATCTGTTACTGGGACTAACCTTAAATGCAGTGATGAGGGACTCGATATTATCGAGCTCTGCTGTCACTAGCTCAACTCCGCGATCTTTGAGAGCTTTGGCTTTGGCGCTGTTCACATTTCGAGTGGTTCCCCTCACATGGTAGGCTCCGTCCTCGAGAAAGGAAGTGACTGCACTTCCACCTTGACCACCTGTGGCTCCGATGACGACGACGATTGGCTTGGACATTTTACAGAATAAATTTAGAATAATTGTTGGGCAAATATGTAACAGGGATAGAGAAAAGGATCGGCAAGCTTTTTATCCGGTTGTGTAAACAGGCACTGGTTGTTCTGATGATGGGAAGAATTTTTTGATTCTGGAGAAAGATTATGGGGGTTTTATACCTGCCACACGCAATAAGAGAAAGCTTTGGATATCGTCATTCGGAAGGATGAAAAGTCAGCGACAGATTATTCTCTCAGATCTTTGACATCTCCTCGGATCTTTTCATCAAATCTATGGAAATGTATGTCCAGGACGGAGAAGGAAAAATCATTCAAGGCTGTTGACACGTTTTGATGCAGGTATCAGATGTGTGGAAAGTGTGTTGACAGGGGTCCTGTGGGTTGTGTGTCAGCAACCACACACTTTATCCCAAGCCACCACACTCCTCCCACACACTGCTGACAGACCACATGCTGTACCACACAATTTGGATGGACGCATTATGGCACGATGACCAATCGAAAACAAGCTTTCAGGATAACTAACAAGAAACTGAAAAGGTAGAAATGTAGATGAAGAATTGTTTGGGACATTTCTCGTGAGATTTCTCGCCCAGATGTGGCGGGAAGTTCATGCATCATCACTAGCTGCCGAGCCAAAAGTCATTTTGCAGCCACCCTTACCTCAAGGACTCGGGACGATGTACATTCAGAGTACGTGATGGTCGATCGTACTATCATATAGCGGTATCTGAATAACGAGGGACATTATCTGGTGCTTTGCGTCTCAGCGCATGTGTTCAGCTTCTTTGCCTAGACAGCCCAGTCTCGCTTCAGGTAAATAAGCAATGCCGTCTCTTCGCCGGCTACCCAGGCAGAAGCTAGACCCAGGCCCATTTTCGAATACAAACTGACCCAGTCGAGCGGGAATTATCGTTTGCTTGACCGAAATCTGTAGCGACGTAGGGTGCCGTTGTTTCTTCGACAGAATTTCTTTTGCTCGACTATTTTCTTTGAGCGACTATTTTCTTTGATTTCTTTGAGCGACTTCACCGCAACCAAGGTTTGATGCTTTGTTGCCCAAGATAATTATTTACAAAGGATATTAGACAGTTCTGTCATCTTTAGATCAGATATGAGAGCAAGATTAGATCATCGATCTGCTTCTAGATCTGCCCCTCTACTTACTAAAGAAAATTCAGTGTAGTTGCCAGAATTAAGAAGCGAGTACATGAGTATTGGCCTTTGTTCAGGCAGCAGAATCACGACTGGGAGGGTCTAATGGGTGAACAAATCCAGTAGAACAACTCCAATTAAGATTTGATTGTGAGGGGAGCATTTTGGGCTTATGCAGGGAAGATAGCTCTTGTCTTCTTCTAAACTCTCGCCAGACATTGGCGAACTCAGTTTCTTTATCTGGACCTGAAGCGGGCACTTACCAAAGGCTACGTTGAAGTTGGTTAACACCTCTTTCTCCAATGTCCAACCCCTCACACTAAGCAGGATAAGGGTCGAGTGTGATGACAGCGAAAAGAACCATGCGAGGTTTGTTCTGTGAAATAGGCGCTGTTAATATCACAGCCCTTGACGTAGTAGTTTTTTGTATGATGTCCAAGGTGATTATTCTCGGTTACCGGCAGAACCCCCTGCAACAAACTTGTCCGATTCACTTTCGGTCGATTCTGGTGATATATTTAGCGAAGTAATGAATTTTCGACAACATTTATCAAGTTCGCATGGATAGTGGCTGCACGATCGTTACATTTCACTAACAACTTTCTAGTATCTACACACGGCACTATTCTTACTCCCCTTCTGTATCATTTCGCTTAGCCCAGTTTCGAAGAATACCATGTCATCCGTGGTTACAGCGTGAACTCCAGGCAATTCATGTGGTCACACACAATTAATGCATATTATAGCCAACTATAATTAGCTCCCGTGTGTGTTTCTACCTCTGATTGTCTGTAGCACTCACGTTCGATATATAAACTTTGTTCAGCTATCGGCTGCTTTACGACAAGAGGCTTCTTTGAAGCAACACCGGGGCCCGCGTGAAGTGTATCTGGCAGGCTCCACCTGACATTATGGATCGCGGCACCCCCGGGCGATTGAGACAGCGGGCAGTCTCGCCTGTGTAGCGTCGGTTAGGTCAGATTTGTTTAACGTGGCCTCCGATTCTACATGGAGTCTAGTCTTCTTCATTGTGTAAGTGAACCATTGACTCAACATCCCAGCCACCAAGCCTTGTGTTCTTGACAATTCCATTCCTTTTCTTTTTTTTCTTCTTCCTGACTTAATAAGAAGTATATTTTAGATTCTTTTTAAGCTATCCAAGGATTTCTTCACTTTATGTTTGCTATATTTAGGCGACGTCAGGAATTACATTCGCTCCTTTTAAGCCATTAGATACAACCATCACTTAAGCAGATATAAAACAAAGTTCCGTTAAGCTGCTGCCAGATTTAATTACACTTCGCTTCCGGCGATTGCTACAGGTACCTACACTGACATCAACGGGCACCTTCGTGGTATCACATGGTCAAGTGCAATCTTGGCAGCAGCCCAGCGGTCCAGCGGATAGAACAGTCAATAAATTTCGATAGTTCCATAGGAATTATGAGTCCAGAGAAGAAGCTGTATAGGGTGTTGTGCGAAGGAGTGGAGCCTTGTACACAAGCGCGTAGGATGAGTGTAGAGTAGACAGTCCTCTTTTTGAGTCATTAGATGCGAATATCCTCTTAGCTCCCACCGGGAATACCCTCCTGGAAGGCCCTGTAAGGTCCGCTGAAGCGAGAGCCTAAACCAAGCGAGGAAGAGACATAAGTTAGTGGTCCTCCAGGCTGTGATGCCCTGTAAGGCCACTAAGGCACCCGCTATGATACCTTCCAGGTTTTTTGGCTTAGGGGCACGTGGGCTATGAGGAGGGCGCTTTTGGCAGCTGACAGGGTCGCGGTGTGCCCCACCACGCCTGAGACTGGTCGAGGTAGATTTAGATATTTGCAAAGTCGAAGGGAACTTGCAACATGGATATGTATTTCGCTCTTGTTCTTGAACCAACGGAAGCACTTCATACAATACAGGAGAGTGTACAGTCATGAAGCCGTCCATCCACTTGCTGGCAAGGTGGAAGTTCGTACATCCGGATTTACCTAAACACTCTTCCTGTTGTCACGTTTCCGGATTGAAGTAGAAGCAGGGCAGAGAAGTTCTCGACTAAGGGTGACATTAATTAAAGGCAACGCAACAGGGTCTAATCTATTGCTCGAAACTCCTAGAGATGCCCCTGATTCTTTTGACTAGAGGCAATTTTCATGCGTCGTCGTCATCAGAAATTTCTCCTTCCTCGGTATCATCAGTATTCCCTCCAATGGCCCTTCACCAATCCAAACACCAATGCCAACACCATCGTTGTTCTTGAATGATAATGTACCAGCCTTTGCTCTTCTCTTCGCGGTGTTGATACGTTTGTTTGAAGCCTCCTGCATCTCCTTAGCATATCGTTTCACCTCATCGATGCCTGCATTCATAAACCGGTGCAGTCCTTGATAATTGAAAACATCACGAAGCATTCCATTGCCATAATGCGTTAGATCGTTGAGAACGTGACGGGTTTCGAAGACAATATCACCCTCTCTGTTCGCGGTACAGTCGATTATTTCACGGAATACGGTATCGAGATAGTCAAGGTCCTTGAAGCACTCATCCAATCCCCCAATTGAATCTCGAATGCAACAGCGCTCGCTGACTTTATCACGGCTGTCGCTCGGATGCCACTTCATGTCCTACTTATGTGTCAGTACATCCCACTGGCCGTACACTGAAAACTTACTGTCCACTCCGGAAAGCTCAGCCGTCTCTCCTCGATATGGCCAATCATCTGGAAAAGGTGCGTGAAAGCTTCATCGTACTTCCGCGCGATGCTTGAGATTGGTCGATGGTTGGGATACTCATCAGCCAGTCTCAGAGCCCGTTCTTGGAACTTAGCATGGCGATTGCCCATGTTTCGCTGGTTGAATCTGTTTGAATTAGATTGTTTTCTCGTTTTTATTCTCTTCATCAATGGAATGAACATACAGATAAGCAAGCTTTTCAAGACCATTGAACTGGTCATTCCACAACTTTGCAATCTCTTTGTTTGTCATATTCTTTGCAATTTGGGAGAGCATCGAAGTTTCTTGCTCAGGGTGCTTGTAGAGAGTCAACTTCAACCGAAAGAGGTTAATCTCCCAGCCTTGCATCCATTTCAATGCCTCCTCTGCACGATCAAGGTCGTCAAACTCTAAGATAGCATATCTACCGCCGATGGTGTAATTGTTCCATTCGAACCGGATGGTTTGAAGAACTCCAAACCTGCTGAAGCTACCCTGTAAGTCTGCTTAGTGGTCTTCGGAGCAAGGTGTGCACAGAAGAGCATTGCATACTCAGAGCTCTCCTTCCGATCTGCGACCGTCGTTGTGGCTTGGTGGCCTTTTGAATCAGTAGCCTCAGCACTTTTGATGTTAATGCCCTGCGATGCGGTCTCTGTCTCTTTGTTGGCCTTGGTGTCCGGAATAGTCTTAATGGGTCCCACTGTGGATAGGGTGGTAGAACACTCCACGGATGAGCTAGGATGAGGCTCAGCAGAACCACCCGTGTTCTTATTGGCTTGTGGATTTTCATTACTTAGAGGGGTACGAGCAGGTCTAAGCATGGGAGTCTCAGGAGAATCGGTGTCATGCGCTGAAAGGGTATTATCTTGGAAGTGGTTGCGCCCTCGGTAGCGATCTCGCTTGTTCTCACCCTGCTGGTCATGTCGATAGTCATGTTGATAGTCATATCGATGGTCATGTCGATGGTCATGTCGATGGTCATGTCGATGGTCATGGGGATGATCATATCGATAGTCTTTCTCGTAGCTCTGGGCAGTTGTTAGTACAGGATACTGGTAGTATGAAGAAGTATTTGTTGAGATATATGCAACTTACAACTCTGTCTGAGCTTCGGTGATAATTGTCCGTTGCGTACTGGTCGAGCAACCGAGGCTGTCGCCAGGAGCCGGAGGAGGACTTGCGCGGACGATACCTATCAGGACTCATTCCCGCAGACGTGTCGTTGTAGCCATGATAGTCCTATTAGGGCAGAGTTAGTTTGTTCAAAGTCATTGAGTTATATAGCTGTACTTCGTAGGTGCGGCGTGCTTGACGACGAGTATTAGTCTCCTCCGTCTCCTTGTATTTCTTGGGTTCGACCTTTCGATCAGGGTGAGTTGAAGCGTTTAACTTTCGCTTACTCGATCTTTTGTTCTTCATCTTGTTCGCCTTCTCTTCGATTAATCCACAAACAGTTTTCCTCGAGAAATGCTGGTGGTGTGCGTGTGGTTGTTTGTCGAAAGAGGACTTTCGAGATCAATAAATACTCGAAGCTCAGGTCGTTGCAAAGAAGAACGCACTGCGCGTGAAATCGAGGAGTCATCGCTCTGCGACATTCGCCCTCGCTCGTCAGAGCATCCCAAGCATGACTGTTTACATTCAATCCGCCAACGTTATTTAAGCGAAATCCACTCGTATTGATTCCAAATCGACCTCCAACTTCATCATAACATGCAGCTACATGCCACCTTGCACTTGATCAGAAGATCATTAAAATACATCTACACTCATGGTCCCGTTGAGCTGGAAATTTTATACCTTCTGTAAGGCAAATGGCGTTTTTTGTTCAAGTAAACATGGTGGGGTGAACTTAGCTTGGCATGCGCTCCTCGACGAACCAGAAACCCTTATTTTGCCGAGATGCGTATATCAGCTACTCCAGATGAATTGCAGATTGATTGCTCATGTGTTGAAGCTGACGGTCCATATGTATGCATCAGGGAAAATTCGTGGGCTTGGCATCTGGTTTCCTGTTTTGGGTATGTGAATAATGATAGGGGCATTGTCTTGGGTAAATAAAAATTCAGGTAATGACTAAAGCTTCAAATATGAGACGATATGTTTTTAAATCTTTTTAATATTCGGACAGATGAAAGCAAATATGTCCGATGGACTTACATCTGCTGTAGAGCTTCTCAAGCTCGTCAGTAATTATGTTCTGGGGGAATGCGGATTATTCGCGACATTTAATACGCTAGAAGTCACAAAGACTATCGAAACAATGGAAAAAGTTCTCTTTGTTGACTCAATTCTGTATTTTTCAATTCATTCAAACCGAAGTGCGCGCCAGCACATCCTTCAGTAACCCATGTCTGCTTTTCAAAATGATGCAGCGAGCATATGTGGTATTTCGTCATCGGCATTTCCTTCCGAATAAGTGTCCTCCTCGCAATTTTCAGCCTCAGCAGAATTGCGGCTCAGAACTCCCAAGGTCTTCACATCTCCCAAACTTCTCTGTCTACCATTTTACTGCCTACGAACCGCAGCCATTTATTCTACATTTTGATGCCTTTTCACGACAGGGGGAGAGGTTGAACATTTGTTGCTAATATCATAATTTGAATAAGAAGAAATAGGGACCATTCAAGTTCTTTTCTGAGTTAATATCCATTCATGACAACTATTGGATGATATGGGCGGCTAATATTGAAGAAGTAAACACGCACTGATCTGAGTGTTGAGAATCACGTGTACCAAGTTGGCTCAGGGATCTGTTCAATCATTAGCAACGCACATCAAACTTGAACATGAGCAACGAGCGGTAAATATTAGGAATACTAACCTTGTCCAACAGCACATACTCCCCAACCTCTCTATTTTTATACGCCACCGGATCATGCAGCGTATGCGTCCTAACATCTCTCCAAAGTCTATCCAACCCTACCTTCCTTCCCGTCGCCCTACTACCTGTAACCTCAAACACCCCTGCCGTAACCCTCAAAGCCGTATCAGTCGTCACAATTTTCGCGCTGGCAACCCACTCCGCTACCTCCCCTCTCTCTCGCTCACTCACCGTCCGCTTCTCACCATGTTTCCTATACACATCGGCAATCTCCTTCCCCGCTCTATCAACCAGCGTCTCAGCAGCGCGCAAATGTGCGAAGAAATTCCCATAGCGCTCAAGGATGTAGAATTCTTCCGTGGCGGAAGCTTTGTTGTCGCCGCCGAAGGGCCAAGCGCGAGTACTAGTCTTGGTATATTTTGCGGCGAAGGAGAGGGAGCCCTGTGCGATGCCAAGGTAGAAGTTGGAGAAGACGAGTTGGATGGTGGGGAGGAGGAGGCTGCCGAAGGGAATGCTGAGGTACGCTGGGTTGGGGAGTTTGGTTTGCGTGTCCCAGCCGAGGGCGTCGGTCCAGGGAACTGGGATTTTGTTGATACGGACGCTGCCGGATTCGGTGAGGCGGAGGCCGACGTTGTTCCAGTTGTGCTGGGGATTGTGAGTAATTGTATCGCGATGTGGAGGGTTAGTGAAACTTACGGCGAATTCGATGCCTGGTTGAACGGTTGGGACGAATGCGAAGATGTGGTGCTCTGTTCCGGCGTAGACTCCCTCAAGAACAGTCAAATCAGAGACAACACCACCAGTATTGAAATTCTTGAATCCATCGAACACGAGATGGTCCCCTTCCTCGGTAATGTTCAAGTCGTTATCTCTTGGGTTAACAGCACCTAGAGCTGTCAACAAATATCATCAATCACACTTGAGATACTCACCTCCCACAAAATAATTATTCTCAATAATCAACTTTTGAATCCTCTCCTTTTGCTCATCCGTTCCCACCACATTCGCTGTAGTCGACCAAAGCAAATGGTACCCCAACAACATCCCCAAACTGCCATCCCCTTTCGCCACTTCTCTTATGACCTTATACCCCACCTCCCAATCCTGACCACCGCCACCGATGTCTTTTGGCCCAAGGACTTTTAGAAGTCCAGAGCTCTTCAGAAGCGAGACTTCTGCGCGGGGTGTTTTGTTTTCGATATCTCGTGCTGCGGCATCTTGCGCAAAGATCTCGCTTACTTGGCGAGCTCGCTCAATCCATGCCGAAGCTGTAGAGGGGAGGCCATCGCTGGTGAACTTTTGATGGTGGATATCGTAGATAGTGGGGTCAGAGGTGGGATTGGGTTTAGCTTTCTTGGAAGCTGGTTCGGTGGCTACTCGGGTGTCTGCTACTGATGGAGCCATGTTTTCGATGCAGAAGCAAAAGACAAGTGAAGCTCCAAGTTTGATATCAAAGTTGTTTGGAAGTAAAGAAAGGACAATCGACGATAAGAGAAATACTGAACCACCCTACCTTACTTATCAATATATTGGAGTAACGCAACACAACTGGATGGTGCAACAAGCCTCTCAATCATCGCCATAGCTACCATACCTGGTACAACTAGACACAGCCTCTCACAAGCCGATAAGGATTGCGTGATACCATAGCTGGGAAGCAAGCTGTGGGAGCTAAGGGAGCTTGATGTATCAGGAATAGCTTGGTCGATCGACGAGCACGTCAGCTTCAGGCCCTACGCTTGTAGTAGAGCTTGCAGCGGCATTTGCATGTGCCGAGAGCATGGGAGAGTGAAAATTGCTTGTTTGGATACTGTTCCAGCGCCTTGCGTGAGATTGGGAAATTGGATGGTTTGTGGAGGGGAAGATGTTGACATAGGATGTGGTTGAGTTTGAGTTCTGAGTGGACCATGACTTGATGGCGGGGTCAAGGCTTGGCGATGCAGGGCTGAACCGCGGGGGAGGAGTTCATTCTCTATCACATCTGTAGGTAAAAATTTGAAAAATACTCCAAAGCCGTCGCGACATATTCTGAAACAATATTCGTCCATCATTTCAAAACTGGTTTGTTATACAAATGAATAGGAAGCGTCTATCATCAATCTTTGCCCTTATCTCAGTCCAAGGATATTTACCCCGCTACCTCACCCCCACGGCATACCCTGAACCCTAATATGGCGTCTTAGGAGGTATAGATTTCATCATGTCAAAATGTCCTATCTGTCTTGGTGCGACCACATCCAATCTAGTGCCGCTTTTCTGGATGCTGAAGAAAACTTGATGAGATTGATTGGTGAGGTGCGGAAGAATGCACAATAGTTGTCTTCAGCACTTGCTTATCCAGAGGAATCTGGTTCGTAATTACTATTCCTCGATCCGGTAGTCAATAAACAGAGAATTAGGCATAGGCTACGAGAAGGTGTTGACTCTTTTATGAAGAGATTATCGCTGTCCCGGAGATATCTCCGTATTCCGTCATCGAGACGAACTTCAGGAAATGTCCTGTCCTGCGGGGATACTGTAAAAGTTCTGCAAATAGGTCAATCAAAGGTACACTTGAGAACCCCAGTTTTTTCAGACCCAGTCCGACATGCTGGATTCTTTACGACGGGGACCAGGACCAAATTTTTGGAAAGTGTCACCCGCTGAATGGATTGACTCCGGGACCTCGCTGCGCTTCGCGGGGCTCGGCACTTGTGAGACAATGACCTGGACCTCAAGCTTGACGACATCCCATCCTCTCCTCCAACGACAGACTCCAAAATGGGACCCGGGTTATCACTTTATGCAATAATAGTCCAGCTCGAAGAAGTTGAGAAGTATCTTTGTTTGTTTTCCCTTCCAAAGCAAGTTTCTCCGGCTGATCGCCATCCGAAGTCTCGATTGGGGATGGGGATTATTTGCTCATGATGGGGGTGGATTGCACCATAATCCCGAACTTTGAAAAGCACATCATCCACGCTTCCATGGATTCAAAGCATCCATCGCAGTCCGGATCCACACAGAATGGAAGAAGGCTAGAACAGCCTTCCCTGCTGGGATGATTCGCGCCTGCAGATGAGCATGAAAGAGCTGCGGGGTGGGGAAAAGGAAAGCTGGCAGCTAAGTAGCTCAGAGCTCTTCACGTACTCCAAGCTCCCAAATCTGAGCTGCGTTCCTTTTCCAACTTTTGAACTTCTTTTCTTTCCAGTGCCTCAAATCGTTCATTATCTCAATCGCAATTGATCATGTCTGCAAAGAGGCAAAGAACTTCCAATGGCACTGCCGCTGTCGCCCAGAATGGAAATGCTGCATTGAATGGAGACCATTACACTGCAGCTTCAGATATCAACGATGATCCTGATCGCGTCAAGTTCGCATACTGGGTTCCAAATGTCTCAGGCGGACTGGTTATTTCAAAGATCCCACAGCGAACTGGGTAGGCATCCCATCCTTATTCAGGCAGTTTTACGTTACTGATTCTGCTAAGTTGGGACTACGAAGCAAACGTGAGGTATGCGCAAACAGCTGAGAATGTCGGCTTTGAGTATGCGCTGTCACAAATTCGCTTCATGGCAGGATATGGAGCTGTGAGTCCTACCGTGAATGAATATATCCGAATTGCTGCTAATACTCTCAGGAAAATCAACATGAATCTGTCTCATTCTCACAAGCTCTCCTACACGCCACAAGGAAACTCAACGTAATCGCCGCACTCCTCCCAGGACCCTGGAATCCCGCAGTAGCAGCCAAGCAAATCGCCAGCATCGATCATTACACCAACGGTCGCATCTCCGTGAACGTCGTGTCCGGCTGGTTCAAAGCAGAATTCACCAGCATCGGACAATGGTGGCTTGAACACGCAGAGCGATACCGCCGGAGTAGAGAATTCATTGAATGTCTACGAGGGATCTGGACAGAGGAAAAGTTCACTTTCAAAGGCGACTTCTACCAATTCCACGACTATCCACTCTCGCCCAAACCCCTCTCCTTACCTGGTCGTCCCCATCCTCTGATCTTCCAAGGAGGTAATTCAATTGATGCGAGGGATAATGGCGCGAATGTCTCGGATTACTACTTCATGAACGGGAACACACTTGAAGGCTTCCAGGAACAAATCGCGGACGTGAAAGACCGCGCTGCGAAAGCCGGCCGATCAGGAGAAGTCCGCTTCGCAGTCAACGGCTTCGCAATCGTCAAAGAAACAGAAGCAGAAGCCATCCAACTCCTCTCCGAAATCCAAGGCAAAGCCGATAAAGAAGCTGTACAAGCATTCGGCGACGCCGTCAAACAGGCCGGCTCATCAACAAGTAATAAGAAGGGCATGTGGGCTGATAGCAAGTTTGAGGATCTGGTGCAGTATAATGACGGGTTTAAAACGAAGCTGATTGGGACGAAGGAGCAGGTTGCGGATCGGATTTTGCTGTTGAAGAGTTTGGGGATTGATATTGTGCTTTTGGCGTTTTTGCACTATGAGGAGGATATTGAGGCGTTTGGGAGGGAGGTTTTGCCGCTTGTGAGGAGGTTGGAGGCGGAGGGGAGGGGGAAGAATGTTGAGGAGGAGATTGAGAGGACGGGAGAGGTCTATAGGGCGAAAAAGGTGGCGAAGGATTGATTGGTATGATATAATAGAATGGTTGGTAGGGTGCTTCTACTCTGGTCGTTATTCTCAATTTTCTAACGCGATACTCGAGGCTGTTCTGTCCCTCGCTCTTTCTGAGCTCGGCTTGCATCCAGGTGTTCTTCGAGAAACGGCAATTGCGAATGGAGTCACGTGGTAACGGCATCTCCTTCTCCTTCCATGCTTTCAGTCAACTTCTCTTCTTCTCATCATCTCAAGAAATACTTCATCTGTTATCCCAACTTATCAATTAGCTCTTTGCAAAGCATCCATTTTAAGCAGATATCAATCTCTCTCTCTCCAGTTGCGGCCCTCCTTGCAGAAGGTCCAACGTAAGTCCTGGCTTCGAGCACTCATCATCAAATCTGCCGAGCTTCGAACACCAGTCCCACCAGTCCCACCAGTCCTACTAAGCTCTTTGAAAATTATCTCACTCGCCCACTCCTGTCTGCGTAGTTCATCAACGGTAACATTTGCCCAGAAAACCGAGACGCCACAGCATCGAAAAGTATCTCCGACTAAGCCTCAGCCCTTAACCTTCACGTACAACACAATGGTCCAAGTACCCTCTACCACCAAGACCACTAAGCCGTGTGGAAGCTGCTCCAAAGACACATGGCAAGCTTGCGCTGGCTGCAAAGATGCTCCTATCGTTATAAGCGGTCCCAAGCCGGTCTACTATTGCAGCAAGGAGTGCCAAAAGACCGATTGGAAGAAACACAAAAGCGTCTGCCAGGTTCTCCAGAGACGAAAGATGATTTATCGAGCTGGCGATTTATTGCAGCGAATCTTCAATGTTTTTCGGAAGGAGGTACATGGGCAACGACTAGCCAAGATTGAAAGGCGAGGTTCGAAATTGTACCTCCACGAAGGAAAGCTCATACAAGGCGATATGGCGGAGATTTCTTCTAAACTTAGAGACTTGTCCAAGCTGCTGGACGAGATGCGATGGACGGAGGAGGATAGAAATGCGGCATTAGCGCACAATGCTAGCTGGTGTGCCATTGTTCATATGCACCACATTGCCAAGTATATCCTTAAAGGCAGGCACACGCATTTCTAGCTCGCAGCCTAGATTTTAATATACGAAAGCTAACTTGAGTCCCAAAAAACAGACTTCTCATCCGAAATCTTCGAAGTTACTTTTATACCCAAGGACCACATCGAAAAAGTAGTTCGTATCGACGCCGAAGGTGCAGTAATGGCAGCTAGCGAGCATATGGTCTGGTCTTTAAAACTCGACGGCTCAAATGAGACATATATTGTCGATATAACAGGTGCGCAGTTTGGAATGTACAAGCCTGTCATGCCCTGGGATCATTACCGGCAATATCACATCCTGGAGGATCCGACACTGCTCAAGTTTCGGTCAAACGGTACTTTCCTTGCAAATGCCAACGTAAGATATGGAGCACAGACGGGAAAACGAACTGATCAGAGTGAGCTTTCACTTTCACATCTGGTGTATGCGACGATTTCGGAGGCGCTAATGAGGAAACTTCTGGCTTGGGAAAAGGATACGGTGATTTTGAAGGATATGCTTAGCACTGCGAAGACCAGTGAGTTTGAGAAGATGAGAGATGAGCTAGTAGAGGCTATATCTATGGGGCTCAAGGAGTGCATTAAAAACTTCTCTGAGAAAGTGAAAGCGAACTAAATGGTTGCGATGTCTATGTCAGCGATCCTTGAAGAAGGGAGAGGAGATCACAGCGAAGCCGTTGCTGAATTGGTCATAAAATGAGCTACAGCGTTGTACAAACCGAATTTCAAAAGTTCTTGACAAACATTGCAGTGAAGTAAAACATCATAGTTTGCATTTTCACAACCAAGACTTGACAAGCACAATACAAACTTAATCAGAATCAACGACTATAAATCCCTCCTCAATTTTCACACTGCTTCTCCCTTCAAGCCCCATCCTCAATCCTCAATCCTTGACTCCTCACCATCTCCCCCTCGCCTCAAACCCCCCTAGCACCCATTGAATTCCTCTGCAAAAACTCCGTCACCGCCGGCGCAATACTCGGCCTCCTACTCCTCTCGCCCTCAACGGTAATCACACTCGCCCTCCTCATCGCCATCTCGGCCTTATCGCCAATCCTCTTCGAAATACTGGGCACGAACGACGGGCGACGCGTCTCATCCTTCGTCTCGTATTGTTTAGCGAGGACGTTATTGTCGTGCTCGTTGAAGGGGTCGACGATGGTTTTGGAGAAGTCGCGCGCGGATACCTTCTTCGCGAAGAGGACGTCGATCTCGTGGTAGGAGCGGTTCCAGGTTTCCGGGAGGCGGTAGTAGGACCAGATGAACATGCAGAAACAGGTTCCGCCCCAGACGAATCTGTGGGGTGGGTGTGTTAGTTATTTGCAATTAGAGCGAATTTATTGGATTTGATTCAATGCGATCTGGGGACTAGAGAGTTGTGAGTAGAGGAAGGGGAAAACATACCCAGTATAACCTTTCAAGTTCCAAGCTTGAGGGTTCATGAAATACTGCTGAAGAGTCCCACCAATAGTACCGGTCAGATTGCTTGCGTTTCGAGCGAGACAGATTGTCTTTTGACGGAGACGAGTCGAGCCCATTTCTGCAGGGAGAGCCCATCCGAGCTGCCCGGCTGAGAGCTGGAAGATAAATGTCCAGAGGAGGGTGAGCACTGCTTGGGTCATGCCGATGGAGGGGCGATCGGTCCAGATGTTGAGGATGCCGATGAGCATTAGGACGGCGCACATGCCTGCCATGCCCCAGACGTAGATGGTTCGGCGGCCGAAGTAGGGCATGAGGGCTGGAAGAGAAGAGTTAGTGTTTGGGATTTGGTGAGTGGTGAGGGGATTTTGAGACTTACCGAACCAGTTGACGAAGCAGCCTACCAATGCCAGTGCTGTTCCACCGAGGGCAAGAGAATAGGTGGCGGACGTTCCGAGGCCAACATTCTGGAAGAAGTACGAGCTGTTGTATGCAAAGCAGATACCACAGAGAATCTGTCCAGCGAAGCACACACACGCTATTTCCGTTCGACGAAGCTCAAACCCCTTGAAGCAATCCCAATAGCTGGTCCCAACAGAGAGTTGCTCTTCAAGATTATTGGTATACACGATAGTAGCGAGGGTGCGCATAGGATTAACGTGCGTTGCCTTGGGGCTCTGCAGACGGCGGATGGACTTCTCGGCTTCTTCAATGCGGTTCATGCGGACGAGATACCAGGGACTTTCCGGTGCGAGGTAGATGAGTGGGATCAGGAAGATGGGCCACACCCATTGCAAGGCGAAGGGAATGCGGTATCCCCATTGATCTTCGCGGCTTGCCAGGCCCTTGAGGACGCCGGCGGAGATGAATTGTCCGATGATGAAGCACATGTTGGTGTAGGAAGTCAAGTATGTTCTGAGAGATGTTGGGAGAATTTCAGACGAGTACGCGGGTGGTGCGGTAGCCAGGATACCCCACGGGATGCTGTTGAAAGAATGTAAGCGAGGGACGGTGCTGGGTGTGGTACGAAGTACAAGAAGACTTACCCGCAGAGAATTTCTCCGACGCAGAGGACGATCAAATTGGGAGCAAAGAAAGTGATGAATATGAAGCAGCTCAATGCTGTAAGAGCACCAATTACAACACGACGTTGACCGAACTTGGCAACGAGATAACCGTTGAGCAAAGTACCGAAGAAACTTCCGACACCAGGAGCGTTGTTGATTCCAGCTTGCCAAGCAGGAGTGAGTTGATAGCCAGAAGGGACTTGGCGAGAAACTCCAACGAAGCGACCATATCTGATCTGGAACGAAGCTATTTCACATTCGTCAGCAATGTTATTTGCACGGTCCAAGTAAACAGTTGGACATACGATAAGCGAAGAAATTGCTGAGCAAGTTGGTATCGTATCCCTCCATGATGACACAAGTGGACATGATGAGCGACCACATCACAGCCTTGGGATAAGCCTTCAGTGCAGCGAGAGGGCCAAGCTCCTTCTCGTCGACGAAGACTTCTGCTGCTTCGGTTTGCAGGGTTTTGTTGCCGTCCCACTTCTCGTCTCTCCAAGAACGGTCGAAGTGGCCATTCTCTTCGATTTCAAGTTGCTGGGGGTGTTTTTCGGCTCCAAAGTCTTGTTTACCGGACATCTTGATTGAGAGTACTCAAGCTTTATGTTGTGGGTTGGTTCGGTGAGGTTGATTGCTGGATTGGCGACCAGTAACACTGTTTAGTTGTTCGCTGGCTGTTTGAAAATGTGATGAGATGCTAAGAGCAGAAAGAAGCTGATGATCTGATTCCAAAACTTTGAAGGAATTGACCTGAAGTTATATAGAAGTCTCATGGTCTCTCATTTTGGCGTCGTTAAAACGCGATGCCTTCATTTCCTGTAAACATCACGAACCAGACCGTGTGGCGCACACATCACATGGAGGCTGCATCGCAAAGTCCTTCTCGAACACACTAAGAACAGTCGGAAAACAAGGTGGAAATCTCAGCGCCGTGAAGCTTTGGATATCTTAGATCTTTCTGGGATAGAAGATGGAGGCTCCAGATGCGGGTGGGAAAAGGCGGGGTTGGAAGTCTTCCCCGTCTAAGCCCGTTAAGCTTCGCTTCATGATGGGAGGATGCTTCTGACTGGATAATCCTATGTGAAGTGTGTTGGAGCTAGTTGTGTCTCTGATTCTTGCAGTAGCTCGAGTAGCTCTTCGTCGGAAATCGGGATTGCATAGTTTTGAGGTTGTCGAATCAGCTGGAGAGGAGAATGCACCCTAGCAGCGGATTTGCTTGCGGGATTGGGGCGGTACTCGTACTGATCATTGGTTTGCCGCCGCTATCTTCAAGCGCGCCATACAGTTGGACCGTTCATTAAATGCTTGTTTATAGGGCGAAATTAGGATCTTCGTCAACGTTATTGGCTACTAAATATCAGATGATCAAGAATTAAGCTTCGTCATGCCCTGTTCACCGGCTGGTTCCATCGTCTTGGGCCCACCAGAGTCCATGCATTTCGAGACGGTTGAATTTCATTGAGCGACAATAACAAAAATGAACCGGTGCCATGTCTCTGGATCAAAGGAATAAGCTTGATAGTGATGGTGAGCTGAACTGCTGAACTGTCATGGAGATCTAGCGAAGTGTCATTGAGTGCGGGGTAGAACCACTTCCTGGTCTCATGCCCCAATACACCTGATGGCGGGGACATATTAGCATTTCCGACCCCCCAAGCCACAGTTGATTCCAGCCGTGTGAGACATTTCACTGCTGCGCATCCATTGGTGCGCCAGGAATGGAGTTGTGTTGAAGTGATGGGGGAGGCTTTTCCTAGATACTTTTGACTTTCGCGCATTCCTTTTCAACGACATGTCTTCCAAATTCCTTTGCAATATTGCATCAAGTTGTTTCTGTTCACTACAAGTCTTCAAAATCTTTGAAAATGTATTCATTTTCGGTGCATCGATGCCATACTCTCTCTCAGGAATCCTGGATACAACATTGAGCCTGGTCAGACGGTCGCATAGCACTTACAGCTGTCAATTCCCAAGACCAGAACTTCCATGACTGCCACATAATCTTGGGTGTCAATACAATACCACAAAGCCTCTCCTATACTGTAATTCTTAAAGATCGACGTTGCGGCAAGTAAAATCAGTCTTCAGGATGGCCTCCATACCGGCATCAAACATTTCCGATCGACCATTTCGAGGCGAATGGACAGCAACTGCGTTGGTGGTCATTCTTTGCACTGGTATATCCATCAGCAATGCCATAGAGCTATTGCTCCTGGTCCTCATAACCTTCAAAAGACGAAGTGGACTTTACTTCTGGAGTTTGTTCATCACCTCGTTCTCGGTTCTGCCTTACAGTGTTGGATTCTTTATTGCATACATTAGTAAGTGAATCATTGATCACTTCCATGAACATTCCCACCCCCACACTGAAAGTTTAATGAGACCCGTCGATGTTACTTCTCCCTGCAGATTTAATCCAGGGCCACATGCACTGGCTGACGTTTCATAGAAACTGGCCCTCACTTGCTTGGCGATATCCTCAACAACATTGGTTGGGCGATTCTCATAACGGGCCAGTCGATAGTCCTCTACTCACGACTTGGGCTGTTACTACAGTCCAAGAAGACTCTATGGAACCTGCTCATCTTCATTCTGGTCAACGGCTTTGTGCTCTACACCACAACAACCATTCTTCATTGCGGAACATACCATCCAAACACCAGCATCGCAGCGCGCTTCCTCGATGGGATCCACATCATGGAAAAAGTTCAGATGACGCTCTTTTGTATCCAAGAGTTCTATATATCTGGCCTGTACATTCGAGAAGTATGGCGGCTCTCCAGGGTATTGGAGAAAGGAGGCAGAGGACGACGCACAATGTGGGAACTTGGGGTGATAAACATTGTGATTGTGGTGCTTGACATTGCCTTGCTGGCTTTAGAATATCTTGGCTTTAGTATTCTGGAGCAGGTGTTCAAGGGTGTGGCGTACAGCTACAAGCTGAAGATGGAATTCGCTATCCTTGGAAAGCTGGTTGATGTCTCTGGTGTCGGCGAGGGGAGACATCTGGATGATCCCAGTAACAGCTGGGGCGATGAATCTTTGAGAGGCGTAAATGGAAACGGAAGCTGGCCTGGCAAGAGGCATTCATGTGCCAAGTCTGAGGTGGAGCATGTTGCATTGGCGTGAACAAGAGTCGCTCTACCATGCTATTGCTCTGAGAACATGATCACTTAATGAGTAAATCAATATCCAAAGAGAAACAGACTGGTGAATTTTTGGTCCGATGCCGCAATCACTCGCTCTCTTGATTGGGTTCACACGATGACAAGGGTCATCGTTTCTACCTTCGAAGATGAACTCTTAGCGAGTCTGCCACAATCAACAACCTCGAAAATCTTTGACAGATCGGCTCTCACTCTGGAACCTACAAGCCCTTCATCTCTTGCTGCATATCGCCAAAAGATTTTCATCATGGATTCTCAAGGTGTATATCTTTCATTTCCCTACTTGTACGAGCCATAGGACTCAGACTAATGCTGCTGCAGATCAGTTCCTAGATACCCCAAGAGAAATCTTCTACTCAGCCAACACCAGCCCCGTTCGCCCTCTATCTGCGGCTCCAAGCATTGCAGTTACTGCGACTGAAGGTGCCGTACCTGAAGAGACAGACACTTCTCGAATCGAGACTTCACCAACCACCGTCAGTAGTTCACCAACCTCAGTGTACACCACCGCAGTGGCTGGATTCTGCTTCTGTGGGAAGCCTTGCGACGGTCTTTGTTCAGGATGCTGCGACACACCTGGACAGGAAGATACCTACTACTGCAGTTCTAAATGCCAAGATACAGACAGACCAGCACATAGACAGATCTGCAAAGCTGTGAATACGCTTCGAAGTCTGTACCGCGCTGCCGAATGTCTTCAGGAGATTTATTACATGTACCGCGCGAAGACGTTTGACAGACTTGTGACCAAGATCGAGAAGACTAAGGAGGGTGGTCATACCCAGCTGATTGTTCACGAGGATAAGTCTAGACGTCCGACCAATGACTTACAGTATCTTCACAAGCTACCACACGACTTGTTTGGCGAGGATTCTCAGGACGATGAGGACAATGAGAATAAAGACAAAAGAGCTATTCTCACTCATGGCGTCAGCGCACAGTCCATCGTCTGGATGCATGATCTCATTGGCTACTTCTTGAGCAGTAAGTTCTCATCCCCTTGAAAACCCATTTCATGATCCATTCCTCTTACAAACCAATTTTTTATTTCAGACTGCGCATACACAATCAGCGAACAACGAGTCGTCCCAGTCCCAGGCACCCAATCCGTCCTAATAATCTATTCACAAGGCTACCCAGATCTCTACCCCCGAGAACACTTCATCCTAGTAATCACCCTGCACAACCTAGCCGGCACTTACGCCCTCGATCTTTGTGGCGCTCAATACGGCCACTTCAACACCCTCACCCCATTCTCCGAGTACTCCTCCCGCGGTCTTCCCAATGCACCTCCCACCCCATTCAGCGGCAGACACTCCATGCGTTGGGGAGTAAACTGTGTGCGCAATGAGCAGAGTCGGCGGGGTGCGCTGACGAGGATTAATTTGTTGGCGTCGGAGAAGTTGGTTAGTGGTGCGGTGGAGTGGGAGAAGGAGTATGGGACGAGGATTGAGAGTATGTTGCAGGCTAGTCCGGAGGTGTTTCAGAATAGGAAGGAGGGTTTGGTGCATTATTTGGCGTATGAGGTTCAGACGAGGCTGGATGATATGGCTGTGAGGGCGGCGGCCGCGGAGGATGCTAAGCCTACTGTTACTGCTGCTGCTGCTGCTTTTGTGTTGGATCCAAGAATTACAAGAATTTGAAAGAGAGATGTGTCCTGGAAGCAGTGAGGTCGGATGTGTGTATTGAATAAGAAGGTTGGTGTCCTGCTCGGATTTTTCTATGAACCATTCTCTGGAGTATTGGAAGACTGGACATGAAAATATCTACAATGCACGCCTTACTTGCTAAGGATTGGAGTTGAGTAAAACTACAACGACTGACAGGGAGATATTCTGGTCTGGATGTTTGGTATGTATGGCTAGCAAGCTTCTTTTGATAGCAAGACATTGCAAGCAATTACGACTAACCAAAATCGATTGACGCATTCTTGTGATGGTCATGCTTTTAATTACAGTACCGCGAAGTTTCCAACCAGTTTTGATTCTTTTTTGAAGCATTTTCAGTATGTGGGTAGGTGAATCCAATCAAACAGTATCCTGGTCATTACCTTACATGCTGCATGTTTTGGCTCCACAATTTAGGCGAGCGTGTCGCCCCCACGTGATCTCTGCGCCTGCCACTCAACTTGGAGAGGTGATAGCCTTGCAAACACTTCTGACCTCGCGCTACATTGGTGAATTTGAAATCTAGCCTGAAAGTCTATATTTCAGTAGTTTCTTGTTCCCAAGCAATGTGTTGCCTAAACGTGTAAAGTTCGTACGGCGGTCTTGTCCCAGCGACCGCGATCACATTTCAATTTCTCCTTTGAACTTGCACGGCTCCAGAGCCACACCAGTCCGGTCTGACCATCACTTGATCCTCAGTTCTAATTTCGCCGAGAGCATCGACGATGACCTCCTCGGCTTGTGCACACTGCGGAAAAGCGGCTGAGCGCGCCTGCACCGGGTGCAACGACGTCCCGGCAATCGATGATGATATCAACCCCATCTATTACTGCAGCTCCGCTTGCCAAAAAGAGGACTGGCAATATCATAAGAAACTGTGCAAACGTCTACAAATTCGGAAGCTGTTCTACCGGGCTGGATCAGTCTTACAGGAGATGTTCTACATGTATCGAGAGAAGATGTTTGACAAGTTGATCACAAGAATGGAGAAGTCTCAGGGACACTTGATTGTTTATGAGGGAAGGTATAATCCCGTGATTACAACGGAGACGGACTGTCTCATACCTTTCCCCACGCAACTATGCCAAACTGAGGAGGACAGGAAGTCTGTGTTAGTTCATCTCGCTTGTGATGATGCAAGTGCGTGGATGCATGATATCCTCAAGTACACTTTGACTGGCAAGTTCATCCCACCTCAATTCTATCAACCTGCTAACAAATCACAGGCATTGCATCCAGCCTCTCCGAATGCTGCGGAGTCGTCAAGAACCAGAAGCTCCATATGATAGACGTCGACATTCTAAATAATGTGCACAACCCAGAATTTGAGCACGAGTTTCTCAGAATAAAACTCTTGAACGGCGGCGAGGAGTTTGCCCTCGACCTATCCAGCGCTCAATACGGTTACTTCGAACCCATCGTTCCATGGAAGACATACATACACAATCGCATATCGACTTACATCACTCATCAACAATTCAACTACTTCGGTGGCACCAAATATCGGCTTCTCGCTGAACGAGGACATAAGGATATCAAAGGCATCGTCGCTAGTCTCAACGCTGAATCGTGCCAGGAGTTGATGTCGAGCACAAAGAAGTGGGAAGAAGAGAATGGTATGTCGATTATGAAGATGCTGAAATTGCCGCTTCGGGAATTCAAGATGAAAGAGAATCAGTTGGTGGGTTTTATGGCGAAGAATTTGGGAGAATATCATACGTGGTTGAGGGAGAGGGCTGAGAAGGGCAAGGCGAAGAAGGCTGCACATGCGGGAGGAAACGCTAAAGAAACAAAGGCAAGGTAGAAGAATCTGTGATGAATGCCACCAAATAAAGTCACATTGTTCTCTCTGGATCGGTGGAGAAAGCATTGGAGAGGTTCTGTATTCTGGACTTTCGTGGGATTGGCACGGATGCAGTGGGGCACATAAAGATACCAAACCAGGTGACGTGGAAATCAGAATGGCAAATGATTGCTATCATTGATCGGGAAAGTTAACGAACATGTTATCCGAAACATCCCTTTGTCATCATCTGCCCTTTTCGATTTTCTAATTGTCTCGGAAAGCAGGATCGTACATGTTGCCTTCATCAACTGCAGGATGCAGTTTCTGTTTGAGACGCTCAGTAGAATGTGACAGAATCATCAAACAGGCCTTTAAGATGTTCAACATACCTTAAAGTTCGAATTGTTTTTCCTGAATTTATCCATTTCTTTGTGGCCTTCACAAGCCCAGCGGAATTTCGCTCGGATTTTGTAGGGCTCTTTGGACAGCTATCCACATGTTTCAGACATGTCAAGCGCCACGTAGCATTCGAAAGGATGTAACTGTCTACATCAGGCTCTAACTGAAGCTATCTTGGGAACATTCTCAGGTCCAGATGAGTAGCAGAGTTGAAGTCGCTCATGATGATTGCAAGTCCAGAAAGGTATGACGTGCAGGTCTCTAAACTTTCCAATGGCCGCTAATACTGCATTCTAGAACAATGACTTTGACATAACGGCTTTTAGGAACCGCATCCGAAATTCCTGAGATTACTGTGGCCCCAAACGACCCTTCGCGAAAGCTCATCGTCATCCTCGCCAATGGAGAAGAGCATCCAAAACCCGGTATGCTTCACCAACTCTTTCGAGTCAGACTGAATGGAAGCAATGAGCACTTTGCTCTCGATCTGAGCAGTGCACAGTACGGGTACTACGATCCAGTCGTACCTTTCGATACGTATGCCACTGACCGAAGCTCGGCGTTACTGGATGAGCATGACCAGCTTTTGGGGCAGGCAAGGAGTGACATGGGGAAACAAGGCACCAGCGGACGACTTCAAAGATCGACCGTTATAAGCAAGTCCATGATCTTAGATTGTATCATGAAAGCCATCACACTACACAGGATCGATGCCAATACCACTGTCGGTGAAATGCTAAAGGCAGGCGAGATTGAGAGGGATCGGTGGAGTGCTGATCTCCTTCACAGATCAATACTGCGATGGAAGATCAAGCTATGAAGTGTGGTTGTGTCGGCAAGTGGTGAGACACTCTGTGGAATAATGGGATCATCCTCTTCATGTCTGAATTCTCAATCAGGGATGATGTAAACAAATGCGGGGTAATTTAGCGAGAATTGCAGGGATAGCCTCCCTCACTCTTGAATACTCAACTATTCCTACATGCATGATTGTGCACGCAAACAACTTCCTCAGTGGCTAAAGAAACCAAGTGAATTATGTTAAGTAGAATACACTCGGGTACTTCGCACAGGTGCTGAAGAGAATACCAGTGACATGAGCTTCCTCGTGTTTGTATTCGGAACTTGGTAAGTGGGATATGGAGTTCAGCTAATGTACTCCGATCCTTGGCTGGTACAGCAGATCAAGACTCGTTATCACCAAGAGGTTGCCAAGATACAATAAGCAGCTACTCTGAGGTTTCAAAGGAGCTTCTACTGAATCTTAATGGTCGACGACGGGATACCCGAGATAAGAAGTCTGAATTAAGTGACAAGCCCACTCTTGATCAAGATACCGGGTCTCAAATACGGGGTCTCAACCCCAGGAATTGCAACCCTTATCTATAACCCAGCACGGAGTAGTCCCGGAGTCCCCTGAAACCTTGTTTTTTATACCCACCACACCACCTTGGCAAATCAGGACGCAGGTTTTGGTCAGAGTATAATAGACTTCACCTCCTTCTCGATGCATACCCATAATATCTCATCGATATCTCCTCATAAATGCAGATCATGGCGGGCCTCCAATCCAAAGACAATAATGATAACAAAACTGCTGTTGATGACGTTCAAGATGTCCCAGTTCACAGCGGTGACCTCGATGCAGCTTACTTCGCTGAGATCGACGATGGGTACTTGGGATCGTCATGGACGACCAAATTCTACCGTGGTGTTCTGTTTCAGATGATCATGTTTGGAGCGTAAGAGAACCAAACTGTACTTCTTATCCCTTACTACATGCTAACTTTATTCAAGTCTCTCGTTCGTCGGCCCAGCAATGTCAGATGCTATCAGCAACCTCGGTGGCGGAGGTCTCTCAACACCATACCTCGCCAACCTTGCCACATCCCTCGGTTACGCTTCGGGATGTTTGATGACACTCTTCGGTGGTCCATTGATCAACAAGTTTGGCATAAGATGGTCGTGTATGATTGCAGCTGTTACAATGCCCCTTGCTGGGTCGAGTTATTATGTCAAGGCGCGATATGGGCTGGACTGGTATCTCCTACTTTGCAAAGTGAGTCGCTGCCCAATCACTCGAGACTTGCATACTGAATGCTAACTATTTTTAAAGATCCTGGGGGGATTTACTGGAGGTTTCCTATACGTGGGCGAGACGACTGCCATGCTATCATATCCACCACAAGACGATCGAGGATTCTACCTAGGAATCTGGTCTGCTATGCGAAACTCCGGAAGTATCATTGGAGGAGCGATCAACTTTTCCACGAACTATCAGAACTCGAATGCAGGCGGCATCGCTTGGTCCACATACTTGATCTTCGTTGGGTTCGGTGAGTGGAGATGGCCTTCCAATTTGTCAATGGTTGCTGATGATGTGACTAGAATGTACCGGTGTAATCTGGGCTTTCTTGCTCTCGCCTACTTCCCGCGTTAGACGCAAGAACGGCGAGCGCATTCCTTCTTCAGAGGGTGTCAGTTGGAAACAGGAGTTCGCAGCTTTGTGGAAGCATCTTCAGCGGAAGAAGGTACGCATAATCAGCGTGAAGGTAATAACTTGGAAGCTGACTCGATTCCGTAGACTTGGCTCGTGTTCATTCCCGCATTCTACTCGTTCTTCTACGGCGGAACACTAGGGACTTATCTGTCACTTCACTTCTCAGTTCGAGCTCGCGCTCTCTCATCACTCATAACCCGTAAGTTCTGCGTTTGCTCCCCAAACTTTACCAGATGCTGGTACCGCATTACAGTTATATTCTTTTCACATTCCCAAAGCGGTTTTGGTAGTGAGGTGCACTAGTCGTAAACTCTCTAACATACATTCCAGCAACAATCACAATCCCCATGGTCGTGATCTACGGCAAAGTTCTCGACTGGAAGCGGTGGTCCCAACCAAAGCGAGCATGGATCGCCTTCCTCCTCTGGCTCATCCCACAAGCTGGCTGCTTTCATCTGGATCGGAATCGAATACAGCAAGTTCGGGACCTCGAAAACTGCACTGGATTATAAACTGTAAGTTCCCCTCCATGCCCACCCAGATTCCCTAGCTTCGGTAGGCACACAAGCTGACCAATCCCAGCAACGGTCGTGCCTGGGCTGAAGCCTACCTCCCCTACCTCATCATCTTCACCACGGGGTATCTCTGCCAACTTTCTCTCTACTGGATCCTCGGCACATTTTCCACAGACATGAAAGCATCGTCTCGAACCGGTGGACTATTCCGTGCATTCGAAACAGCTGGTCAAGCTGTTTCGTATGCCATTAACTCCCACACGGGTGATGATCCCAGGATACCATTTTATGTGAATTGTGCGGTTTTGGTGTTGACGATTCCGTGCATGGTACTGTTGATAAGGATGATTCCGGAGGCGCCTTCGAATAGGGATGTTGATGTGGATGAGGAGGCGGAGGTTATTGTTGGGGTGGCGAAGTTGGATGAGAGAGCTGTGTAGGTATGTTTTGAGAGGTCACTGTTTTGTCCATGGACTTTGTGTAGAGGAGTTTACATTGGGACGGTAGTTGAAATGAATTCATGACCGGGGGTTCGAATTAAGTTTGATAAATGTAGACAATTATGATTTTGTTAAAGAATCAGAATTCGATTTTCGCCTCTACCCATGTGTATGCCTCTATTGTTGCTCAGATGACAAACTCCTCATAGATACACTCAGATGATCAAGCATTAGGTCTGCATCTATCCGTGTTACAGAACGCCTTCTTCGCACTTTCCTCCGCTTGCTTCACACTATTCTCAAACCTCAAACTCGTATCTTCTTTCTGTAATCTATCGATCCGCTCTTTCGTAATCTCATAGGGTGCTGGTAACTTTGGATAAGGCTCGACGAGGCTCGGCGGGGTAAACTCCACCCCCAAAGAATCTAAAATGAGCGGCGCAATATGCGCGGCACACAGCAGGATACGCGGCATACCTATCATACATCAGGATCAAAGATCTTTCTATGAATTAAAACTGAAGTGATGAAAAAAAAGCAAACATACCATGCCCTGTGTACCCCGCTGCAATAAAGTGTCCAGGCCGATCTGGGATCGCGCCAACGAAAGGGAAGTTGTCGATACTTGAGGAGGTGACTATCCATGTCAGCTTAAATAACATTACAAGGCCACAAATCACTTACCACCCGTCCAACATCCACCATCCTCGACCTCCAAGCCCAGCTCCGCAGGATCCTTCCCCTCCCATTCAACAATATCAGATTCCGGCCAAGACTGATAAAACTCCGGCACACCCGGAATCAACTTGTCTTCCTTATCACTACCTATGTAACACTTCGGATCATGCACAAGAACTTGTTTGGCACCACCAACAATGATAGTATTATACGGCGGTGGAAGTTGGAGGTGGTAATTCTGCGATCTTGCTTAGCGAAAGTCACTTGGAGATAACCGACCATACATTGACGATACTGTCCCAATGCTGAGCTCCAGTGTGCTTGATGAAACCTTTTGGGGCTTTGATTGCCGCTACAGTTGCCAGACCTGCAGAAATAAGGTTTGAGAAGTCGGGGAGGAGGTGTGATGCCCATCGATTGGTGGCGTGCATTACTGCTCGTGTTTGGATGACTCCCCGGGGGGTCGTCACTGTAATCCAGCCGTTTGAATCTCGCTCTGAGATATTGGTGGCGGGTGTGTGGTCGTACAATTGTAAGTGACCAGTCTTGAGTACAATTCTGAGCAGTGCGTGCACGAATTTGTACGGCCAACTATGAAAGTCAGCTCAAGTCAAAGCTCAACGATATCCAAGGATACTTACACTTGACCAGCAGGATGCACAACAGCAGCCAAACACCCTTTCATCTGCGTAAACTCTTCTGCAACCACAGGATCCTCAATCACTCTACAATCTCGGACGACCTCGCCATCCTCCCCATGATCTCTCTTCATCAACTCATAAGCTCCTTTGAGTCTCATCCAAGCTTCCTCTGACATCGCAGCATCAAAAGTGTCTCCGAGTTTGAAACACACTTCTTCAGTGATACCTTCTTCTGCTAACAGATTTTTGAATGCTGGGAGATGTGCCATTTCATGTTTGATGAGCTCGTATGCGATGTCTGGGCCGAATCTTTCGGACCAGGGAGGATACCGTGAGTAGGCGTGAGGTCGTAGTTGGCCGCCTAGCATGTATTCATCAATATGACTGGACTGAGTGAGTACTTCTTTGGGTTATCTTCAACGTACCATTTCGACCAGTTGCTCCACCACAGACATCTCGGGCTTCCAACATGCACATTCTTGGCGTCGTGCCAGTCTTGTCCGTGAACTGGCAATTTTCAAGTCAGCATGAGATGAGACAGAAAGAGAGAAAAAAAAGGAAAGAAAAAAGAAAAAAAGAATGAGTGGGAAAAACACTTACTTTGTGTATCCAATACGCCGTTGCTGCACCAGTATATCCAGATCCGACAATAATCACGTCCGTCTCTGCTGGCAGTTGTTCCGTTGAAGTAGAAGCTCTCAACTCAGGCTCCGTCGCCTCAATCCAATAGGACTTTGTCGGATTGTCCACAGGGAGGACCATTTCGAAAGGCTGCAACTATATTTGGTCAAAAACTGACAAGCCTACTTCTCAAATGTTCACGATGCGGCTGAAGCACATCTATATTCGCTCCCAAAAGTACCAATCGCATCTCAGTGAAGTGAAGTGACTCAAGACGGGACACGGGACCGACCACGGAGGGTGATACGATACGATACAGCGAGTGGTACCTACCTACCTACCTACCTGCCCTCTCCGCGATGAAAAACACGCGCGAGAGTGGGATGGGGATGGAGATGGGGATGCAAAAATACCTACCTACGTGTCCCCTACTGTATCTCAAACATCAGCGGTACCTACAGTACCTACAGTACAATAATCTAGACATACAGGTGCGGTGGTGTCCACCCACTGTCCAGACATCTCTTCCTGTCCCGTCTGTTGGCATTGGCATTATTGAGGACAACACCCACGCACCCACCCCACTTTACCACTTTACCACTTTACCACTTTACCACTTTACCACTTTACCCCATTTTATTCCGACCCACTCTATTCCATTCCATTCCATTCCCATTCCATTCTGATCCACTCCACTGCCTTCCACACTCCACACTACTCTCCGTACTGTAGTCCGAAAGGGACAACCTACCTAACCTAACCAACCCACCCTATTTCTGTTTGGAAGTTGCCGTCTCCACTTAACTTGACTCCGACTCCGAACCCCCCCATTTCTCGTCGTATTTGTTCCAAGGGTTCCGATCGTAGAAATAATGGAACACGAAGCCAAGCCTGTGGTAGTTGCACTCACTAACTTCTATCATATCATATCAAAGCCAGCCAGCCAGTCACAATTACCTACCTACGTCGACATTTTCTGCGCCGTCGCCGCCGCACTTGTATTTGTTTGTCCAAGCTACCTAGTACCTACCTTGGCGAAGGCGCTGCTGCTGTTGTGAGTGAACCTGGGTAGGTTATTCTCATGATCTCTTATCACCATCGTGTGTGACACTCTCTTACATCGCGTGTCGTGTCGTGTCACTGTAAATGGTGGGTGGTGTGGTGAATGAGCAATGAGCAACAACGAGCAAGCAATGCAATGCAATGCAAAATTCAATAAACTGACTGGTATTGCTGAGCAAGATCTCAGAGACGCCTGCCTTTCACCCCTCCCCCTCCGCTCCGCTCCAAAGCAAGCAAGCAATGTACATCTTTCTCGAACCTATCCATCTAAACCCAACCCCCAGCCAAGCAAGAACATCTATCTATCCATCCATCCATCCATTATCAACAACTCCCCTTGACTCCCTCTCTCCCCACCGCTTCATTATCCATTCCTTCCCAATGCCCACATCCCCATCTCACTAACCCCAATTATCTATCCACCTTACAAAGCAGCAACCAAGCCCAACAACAAACCCACCACACCTCCCGCACCAGCAACAACTCCCTGAGCAGCCCCCGCGCTAGAGGTACTAGACGTTCCTTGCGCGGCTCCAGTTCCAGATCTCGATCCAGATCGAGAAGCAGAGCTCGACCTCGGCGGACTCGTCGTCGCCGGGCTCGTCGTCGCCGCACTAACCCCACCACTGGTACTCGTGCCCGTCGTCTGCGGCGCACTCGTCGAGCCACTCACCTCCGGGCCCCCCGCACTCGTCTGGGTCGTCAAGGCAGAACCATCGGTCGTAGTACCTGGTGGAGCGGTAGCAGAGTAGGCTACGCAGAGGTCGTTGCCGATGGAGGCCGCGGCTGCGAGGTCGGAGGCGTTGCAGTTTGCGACGAGGCAGGTTGCGACGACGGCTTGGATGGCGGGTTTGCCGGTGCCGCATTGGCAGCCTTGGTCGGTGAGGGGGCAGCCGGCGGCGGCGATGGCGGAGGCGAGGCAGGGGGTCTGGTTGGGGGAGGAGGAAGTTAGCTTTGAGGGGTGTTTTTGGAAGGGGAGGGAGATGAGTGTGGAAGAGGTGGAGGGGTGGAGGTGAGGTGGGGTAGAGAAACGTCGAGGTATCCTCAATTGTATGGCAGTAGACGTCTTTCCTCATGGATGCGCCCTCCACAGGATGCAATCACAATGGGAAGTGAACGCGTCGGCCACTCCAGCTCTATGGGTGCATCCATCCACCACTCAAGGTAGCAGGCTCCCAAACAGCAGCGACTGGAGGAATGCGTAACAGAGCAGGTTTAGACAGAAAGTAGGATAGAAGTACTTACAGCACAAGCCGGCTGTCCAGACAAGTTCTGAGCACTTGCCAATGCAAGTCCGAAGACCGTAGTAAGGAGAGTTGAAGTCTTCATGTTGATTGATTGATTGATGGATTCTTTATTGACGTTGACGTAGTGTGTTGTATTCGATCAATTACAATTTGCTTGCTTGGACACTCGAGGCGGCTCAGTTTCGTCTGCGCTGCAACGACTCAATTAATGAGTTTGTTTGTTCTGATTGATGGTCGCGAAGGAAGATTTATCGTTGGTGGTGTTGTTGTTTGGAAGGAAGAAGGGATGAAGTGAAGACAAGTTAAGAAGAAGGGGCAGAAGTCAAAAGAGATAAAGTAACGTCGGCGTCGGACATACAGCTCACCTAGCTCACCAGCCGAGCCAGGTAGCTTTCCGCGCCAGCAAGGTCCAGAGCTCTTTTCAGCTGCACGTGCGGGGAAAGCCAGAAGCCTAAATCCACGCTAATTTCAGGTTCGTGTTTTACTTGTACGATGGTGATTGGGTGGTTGAAATATTGGGGGCTTCCGCTTATCAAAGTTCTTGTTTGGACTGGGATAGGGCTTGTCTGTTTTTGGTCGGGCTCGTGGCGTCGGGGAGGGTCGCTGAGTGGTGAGGTTTTTTTCTTTTTCTTTTTGACACTGTAAATTACCAAGTAAATTTACAAGAGGTGACCTGTTTTTAAGTTTGCTTTTTGGGTTTAGTGAACTATCAGGGGGATTGGAGTTGGAATTGGAATTGGAATTGGAATTGGAATTTTGGGTTTTGGAGGACATGGGAGAGGAAGAAAGAATGTGAAGAACTTGGAAAATAAATTACAATTCTGAGACTCTCAGAAGTAAACAAACAACTCAACTCTCGATGTTGATGTTGATATCCCTATTATTATTATTGAGGTCGTGGAAGAGCGGACCGGACAGGAGACGGGACCAGGCCTGCATGCAGGTGCAGCTTGGGAGGGGAAGTGGGCGGGGCCAATCGTGCAGGCGGGAAGTGAGTGCCCAGTGCCCACCTCACAGCTGGAGGGTGTGCGGGGAAGTGGGACTTGGAAATCTAAGGTAGGTAGGTAATTTACATTGAGGTCATCCATCAATGACATCTCCCTTCTCGTCACATCCGTGTCATACCCATTTTATCGTTCGCTCAACCATGAAAAAACATTGTAAGAGATCTTGATCACCCATTTATCGTGATATATGGCTTTTTCATCTTTCTCCTAAACACACCGAGTCTGTCATGTAACTTACGTCAACCTCAGTCCTGGAGCGTTCAATGCGCCCGCCCCAAGATGAAGCGGTGAGTTTGTCAAGATCTTCTATATTTTTCCTTAGATCTACCTCTTCTTTTCTCCATGATGAGCAACCAAATCCATTATTTTCGATGCCACTACTCCTGGCACCTGCGATGATACCTATATCTCGTTAATCTGAAAACTCCAACCCCCCTCTCATGACGAACTTCATGATGCTACCCACCTAGGTTAGAAGATCAAATGCTGATTGTCGATGAGGATTACGAGACAACCAGAGAATAAACTGCGTGTTCAAACAAAATTATAATGGCTGAACAACGACTACAGCTCGATATGAATGAAGTAACACACCGAGAGAAAATTTCCAACAAAAACAAAACCAGCTTTCAAATTCCAAAGGAGCGACCAAAGCTATCTCATCTCATCTCAAAAAATCCCAAGAAAACCACCGAGACTTTCACCCTGAGCGAGCAGCCGCAATGTCTGCCAGACAGCGAGTGAGTGCTAGTGATGGCTGTGCACCTCACAACATCTCACTGTGAAAGTTCACCTGCTCATCAACCTTGTGCTTTTCCTCGAAGCCAGTTGGCATCCCTCCGTTCATGAGATCGGAGACTTTGTGGGAGCTAGAAGTAGACAATGCGTCTTCGGCATCTTTGAGAGAAGCATCCTCGCCGTATTTCTTACAGCAGCTTTGCACCTAGTCTCTGTGTTAGTTTGATACTGTATAGTACTTGTTCATATTGGCTTTTTTTCAGCTTACCTTATCCGAGTAGTACTATTCCAAGGTATTCGCGTCAGCACGGTGTAGATTTCATGCCTGTCTTCCTCCTCTCGTTTCCAGTTGATACAATTTGACATAGTCGGAAACACAGATGGAAAGGAAAGGAGTTCTTACCCAGCCCTCACCAAGGTGTAAACTGCAATCGGTATCGCGTGGAAGAAGGACTTTCAAACAGTGCTCGAAGGAATTGTCGTTGGTCACCATCTTGAGTGTGGAAGATGCGTTGAGAGTAGCATCTTCGCTGGCTTTCTTGCAACAAGTGTGAGCCTATCCTCTCCGTCAGCTTGCTGCTCAACTGCATTCATCAGTGATCTGTTATTCTGCCTCACTTTAGCTGAGTAGTACTATTGCAACACAGACACGTCAGCACAATTTCTATTACATTACATTTCCAAACTTCTGTACTCACCCAATCCTTGCCAAACTTCTCGCATGGATAGTCGGGTGGAAAATACGCCTTGAGGCAGAGCTCGGGGACATTGTCCTTATTCTCAATCACGAAGGTAGAGTGTGATTGGAGGGAGGAACTCGGGCTGATAGACTTGGAGGCTCCATTCCCTGTCGCATGAGCTGAGATTGCCGAGTCCTCGTCGTCGTCGATTTTCTGACAGCAGGTGGATTTCTGTTTCTCCAGTAAGTACAGTTCTGAATCAAATGTTGCTTCTCTGCTGCCGTACCTCTTTAGAGTAGTTCTGCAGATCGATCACCAAGTTAGCATGTCGTCTGCCTTTAGGCCTTTTTTCTTTTCTCCTCGTTCCCAATAGTCATATTTCCTTCATCATTTCCCTCCTCTCTTTAATTTGCGAGCAAAGAATGAACAGAGGCAGACTCACCCATCCCTCGCCAAACTCCTCAGCACAAGGATATTCCGGCGGAAAGTGATCCGGGATGCATCTCTCCCAAGCATTATCAGCAAACCCGAAGTTAGTATGCATAGAAACGACGCCTTTTCCTTTTTCCTGCTTCATTGGCCTCATCTCAGGGCTCTCGCCAAATTTCATACAGCATGTAGAGGACTACGTATCCCTGTCAGCAGTGCTCACAAACAGTATGAGCATTCATGGCTGTGCTCGCGCATGTCTTACTTTGTCATTATAATACTGCAAAGTCGTCGAATCAGTACTACATTCTCAATTCATTTCCTCTCTGGTTCGGGGTTTCTTGATGCCTTGCTTGAAGCTCACGACGCAGCCAAACGCGAAGAGAAACAGAGGACTTACCCATCCTTCACCGAAATGTAGATCGCAGGGAAAGCGCGGCGGGTACTGGCCAGGAATACATTTCTCCCCCGCACTATGGCTGCTGTGAACCTTAAGTCCAGAGCTCTGGACTTGAATGGGTGCTTGTCTGAGCTGAGACGCGGACATGGACGTGGACGCGACGTCCTCGTCGCTACCCTGGCAGCAAGCGAAGTCCTAAAGTGCTCATTAGCTCCCTTTCGAACTGGTATACCGCGATGACAAGTTTCTCACCTTGTCCGAGTAGTACTGCGAGAGGATTTTGGTCAGTTGAATTCGTCGTCATTCTGAATAATGACATATAGACTGTCTGAGAAAATGGATGGAGCAACTCACCCATCCCTCGCCCAACGCCGCCTCGCAGTCATAACCGGGTGGGAAGTACGCTTTAATGCATCGCTTGTCGGAACTATGACTATGGCGGGCTTTTGCCAGGCCAGTACTTTGGACGCGGTGCGGGTGGCGACGAGAATCTTTGAGAGGGGAAACGGATACCGACTCGTCCACCTCGCGGCAGCAAGCATGTCTCTGTATTGATTGATTAGTCGGGTCTGGTATCAGTGGCTACTTGTATCGGAATGTCCAAACCCTATCTGGGTAGTACTGGAGTGCGGGAGCAAAGTGTGTTAGCGCTTGAATGTAAACGGCAGGAAGCAAGCAGACGAGGAACGAGGAGAACAGGAAACTTACCCATCCTTCACCGAGCTCTGTACTGCACGGGAAACTGGGAGGGAATCTTTCGGGATGACAATATTCGAAGGCATTGCGGTTTCTACCATTCTCGAGCCCGGAAGTTGAGGCTTGGACGGAAGAGCGAGGAGAGTCGCCGAGGGTGGAAACGGATTCCTCGTTGGAGACCTCGGTGCAGCACACATGTTTCTGGGAGAAGGAGTTAATTAGTCTGGTCTCTCCTGCATGTGCATATAATCACTATCATGATTTCATGCATACCTCATCTGAGTAGTACTGTGCGAGAGGAGCCAGAAGTGTCAGCGCTGCTTCGCATAGGGATTTGGGACACGCGTGGGCTTACCCATTCTTCGCCCAGAGCTTCATTGCATGGGAAACCTGGAGGGAATCGTTCGTTACGACAATACTCAAAGGAATTATCACTCCTAAGCCCAGAGGCAGAGACCTGATGGAAAGAGTGAGAAGACTCGCTGAGACGAGACAATAGTCTGTCCTCAGCGACCTGGCGGCAGCAAACATTTTTCTGCTAGTTTATCAGTCCGTCATTTTTTATCTGTATGCAGCTGCTGGTATTGGATCATTCACACCTTGTCTGAGTAGTACTGTAAAGCAAAGTATGGTGTGTCAGCGCTATTCTGCCTACTTCCGATTATAGCGCGGAAGCGTGAAGCTTGAATTTTTCGAAGGAGAGGGAGTCTTACCCATCCGTCACCGAAGAAGTCACTGCATGGGAAATCTGGAGGGAATCGTTCGTTACGACAATACTCAAAGGAGTTGCGGGTTCTACCAGTCTCGAGCCCGGGAGCTGGGGCCTGGACGGCCGAGTAAGGCGAGTCGCTAAGACGAGAGCCATACGCTGAGTCTTCGGGGGACTTTTGGCAGCATAAATGTCGCTATATTAAATCTTAACTTGCTCTCTGTTCGAAAATTGGGGATATTAGTCCCTACCTCAGGAGAATAGTACTGTGGGAGAATATGTATATCAGTCTTGCTTTGCCTTAAGAGTCTGACGACTGAAAAGGGGCAGAGCGGGGTGAGACTTACCCATCCTTCACCAAATGCCAAATCGCAAGGGAAATTCGGAGGAAACCTTTCCAGACGACAAATATCGCCGACTTTGTGATCGTGATAGATCTTGGCCTTGGAAGGTGAAACAATTGGAGGTTGGCGGAGGTTGGAGATTGACTCGGCGTTCTCACGGCAACAGGACTGTTTCTGAGATCCCTGTCAGTATTCTGGCTAACCTAAGATCAGAAATATACCGATGCATACTTTTTCTGAATAGTACTGTAGGATGAACATATCAGTACTACATTCTTTAGATGTGGCAAGGGCCGGGAATACTGTAGCTTACCCATCCTTCGCCGATTTCCTCTTTGCAGGGGAAGTCTGGTGGGAACCGTCCTGGTAAGCAATACTCCCAGTTATTTTGGTTATTTCTCATGATGGCGGAGGCAGGGACAGACGAGGACGTGTCGTCGCTGATGGAGATCTCGACGTTGGCACTTAGGGGTGCGGCGAGGCCTGGACCCAGGAGCCCCAGAGACGCCAGGATGGCGATGTGGGTATGCATGATTTCTGATGTGCTATCCAACACTTTTTGAAATGTATCGAAGTATCTTGAGATGTGTGGTTATGGTTAAAGGAAGTGGGAGAACAGGGGAGAGCTGCACTTACATATATGATATAGCTGAGTCCACGAGGGCAAACGCAACATCTGTATCTACGTCACTGACTCTCTCATCCTGTTCCCCGACTAGGTAACACGTCGGAACACTCGAGTGATTATCATCGAGCCATCGAGACTCACCTGGTGTTGAACAAACCACCTCGACTATGGACTCCGGATCGGACAAGCACAACATCTTCTCAACAGTTCCATGTCGCCTAACTCTTTGTCGTGGAGAGTCCACTACATCGCCGAGATGTATCATGATCGGGAACTGAGGAATACCAAGGCATTACGGACGTTCTCTACCAGTGATCACAGTGTTACTTCTATATCTGCATACATATCCCCTCAATAGCCGAAAACACACTTTTTCGAAGGGGAAAGCGCTGAAGCAGGTCACTAGGTAAACCTGCCCTATCACGTGTGTGCATCAGACTTTCCTCGCTTAACTACACCGTAGTCTTTCAGGCTATCCGCACCCTGTAAACTGTGTGTTCTGTTTGGCAGTTGACGGGATACAGGACGGAAAGCCTCGTACACCATCTGGCACCCGAGCCTCGCTTGCACCCCAATGTTACAGCTACTGTACTACAGGTACGTTACATATTTAACACTACATACTGTGGGGATCACCGTCTCGGGTCTGCGATGCACAAGCGTACCACGGACTGGCAATGTTTTGGAAAAGAGCCGAGGCTTGATTGGTCGGGGTGTGAGTTGGCTGAGTTACCAAATGTAGATCTTCAATATTCATCATCCGATGTCCTACTCGCTGCTGGAAATTACAAGGGAATATTCAGGTACTGCTTGAGCTTGCCTCGCCTCCTAAGCGGAGACTTGGGTGCTCAAAGCAGCTCGAGACGAGCTTGTTTCAAAGGTCAAGGAGGAATCGAACCCGTGCGAATTCCCGCTGGTCTCGTTCAAGTTGAACCGACGGTCGACTTGTGTGATGATTAAATCAGACTCACAGATTCTCTATGCAGACGATCGTTTCCAGAATGAGTTCGGAGAGCGGGAACATACTTCAAGTGGAGGTAATGTACCCATTGGCTATCGATTGTGACATTGCGATACACAATCTCCATGTCCCTGTAGAGCCCAGCTAGGAAGTCGGTAACTGAATGCTTTGGAAACGACAACAAATTCTCTCTGTCAATAGGAGCAGATATGTCTTGAACGGTATTGCTAAGTTTGATAGAATTGAGAACAAAGCTTTCATTGCCATTTTTGGCGAGGTCTCTTCTTACCTGAAGTTGGCGCCATGCTTGAGATGACAGTTTCTACATCTTTTAATATGAACGGAGCACGCAAGAATAAGAAGCGTCAAGATGAACAATCTCAACCCACGAACACTTCTGTACACCGAGCTCGAGCCAGAGCGGAGACAACCAAACGCCTTCTTGCGCAGCTAGTCAACGAGCAACTGGTCACGCTGAAGGTACTCCATGATGTGCATGCACACTCAGGCACCCTCCAAGCACGAATGGCTGGCAAGGACAGTACGAATCAGTGGATAATATGCCCAGTGGCGGACAGTATTATCCTTAGCGATCATGTTCGGCCAGATGATTTTGGGGTTCCTGTTACTCTATGCAGCAATGCAGACGAGATTCTGGAAAATGATCCGGGTGCTGTTTTCGAGTTTAGCAGTGCTTGGTTTGATTGTGCAGATAAGACGAGAAATTCCATCGTTGAAGAGTTACGCAACTCAGCTCTCATGCTAGGTACGTTAAACCTCTTCAAGCAAGGTCATGATATATCTTAACGCTCATTTGTGACTAGAAAAGTGGATGGAACTCGGAGCCGATATGCCCATTCTTGACTTGAACTCCTCGTTCCTGGGATGGGAGAGAGCCGTGGTAACTGGACATCCAACTCATCCAGTATGTATGAAATTGTAGATAAAATGCCAGAAATTACTAAACTTTTCCAGTTTCACCGTACTTGCTTTGCCAGTAACCTGCTTGATCCAGTCACACCGCAAGACCTCGAACGGATGCTCAACCCAAGCATATCATTTATCTCCACCCCACGGTCCTCAATCTGTATATTTGGGCCATTTGAAGAACTAATCGATGCTTTGGCAAAGCATCTCGCAGTTTCGGTCCCCAACAACGAAGCGATGGCCATTGTCCCCTGTCTCACGCAGCATCTCCCCGCACTCACACACTTCTTCCCAGAAGCCACATTAATCAAGACGGTCCCGAATTGCGGAGTAGCTCAAGCAGCTATCCGAACAGTTTCTATCCTCGGCGTTGCATACGACATCAAGTTCTCTTTGGCATGTCTCATCACGTCCGCCTTGCGGGTTCTGCCAAGCTGGTCTGCGGCTTCAGCACCAAGAATGACTTCACTGTTGAAGACTCTGGTGCCGCCAGACTTATGGCTATGTGGCGAAGTTGCTGCTGTGACCGGGAGTCAAGAAGATACTAGCGAGGCACGATACTTGACATGCATTCTGCGCGAGAACTTGGAGGAAAAGGCGCGGGAGAATGGGGAAGCGTTGATTGTAGTGTCGGCGCTGATAGAAAAGCCGATGCAGAGTGACAAGACATATGCTGAAATATTGTTCGACTTGGAGACCATTTCGGACAAGATTCAGTGGTTTAAGATGTTAGAGACCTCCAAATATTTATATAGAAAGAAACAAGCTGATGCAGATACCCCAGGTATATTGAGTGTCTTTTACCTCTCGCTCTTGATCCACTTCTACGACATGGAGTGGGGTTTGAATTCCACGCTCAGAATGCCGTCGTACGAGTATGCAAGAAGACAAAAACCATCAAAAGCTTCGCAATCCGCGATCTAGCAGGTATCAAGATGCACCGCCCGACTTTCGTTAAGCAAGGTTTTGACTTGACCGACATGGATGCCTCGGCCACGGATGATGTGCATGAAGTATGGGATCGAGTACACCATGCACTTCTTCAAAATCACATTGGGTATCTGATGTACGCATTGGGACTGGAAAAGACTCATGATGGGTGGGGTGTTGTCCGGTCGTTCCTTTTTGATGTTCTCACTGCAGATGGCAGTTTGGTTGGGAGAGAGATGTACGAGTATTTTTTGAAAGAGACAATGGCTTTCAAATGCTTCCTAACCATGAGGATGGAGGCAACACTCAAAACTGTAGGTTCTTTCTAGGCCATCTCATTTTATACAATACTAACATTCCCAGTCCTTTAAAATCGTGGATATTCAGATACCCAATGTCTGCAAGACGGAAAGTCCATGGCTGCGTCAGATATCCGTTGCTGGGATGCAAAGCGGGGGCAGGTTATCGTCTCCTGAACAAGTCACTCAAGAAGTAAGGGACAGAGAACGAGCTTTGGTTTTGACAAACCGTTCCGAAATTGTGCCTTCGCCCGGACAACTCACTGACGCTGTACGGCGACGAAACCCTCACCCAGCTCTCCTTCCAAAGCTATTTATCGAACGACTTGAGCTTTTCCACGAGGCATTGGCACTCGCCCTGGACAGTATCATCGAGAGGTGGTGGAAAGACTCAGATGCCAACTTTCCTGCTCGGATGCCGCTCGACCCTCAAACGGAAGATCTTCTCAGGTGGGTCGATAAAGGCACCATTGAGGGATACGGCCGACCATATAAAGGCCATCAAGGAAATTTGAGGCCTGATTTTCTCATTCCTGCAGAGAAAAGTTGTCACGATATTCCTCGATTTCGCATTTGCGAGATCAATGCCAGATTTCCAATCAGCTTCCTACATTACGTAGCAAGCTCGTATGAGGCACTGGCAGGTCTAGGATGGGACACACCATTAATTGCACCAGCTACAGATCACAAGAAATTGTACGACAGTCTGTTCGAGTTGTTCGACCCAAAGCTTCCTGTTCACTTTGTTCGGGAGACGTCGGATTTTCCACTGGATAGCCCACTATTTGGCTTGATGGAAGAACGAACAGGTATAAGACCAAGAAGCGTGGTACCAGCCAGTCTTCGCCTGATACCCAGCAGTACCAGCCCGACAGGGTTCGTTCTGTACTGTGTCTGGGGTGTTGATTCCACAGTAGGGAAGCGACCTGCAAATCTCAAAGTGGTTGATGGAGAGCTGCTGGAGGAAGTGCATCAAGTGGGACTTCAACTTTATGATTTTGAGCTCTTTTCGCTGGATCCAGAAATGGTGCGTCAAATTGCCATGCGCAGCGTCAATGATGTGCGAAGTATCTTCATTGCTCATGACAAAAGAATTCTGGGTATCATAAGGCAGGATTTGTATGATCTTGTACATAAACATCAGGTTCTCACCTCCGCTCAAGCTCAGATGCTAGAAGAACGACTGATTCCGACAATCTTACCTGGCTCTGCAGAAGTAAAGGCACTTCTGCAAGCGAGCTCCCATTATTCCGCAACAAAAGACACATTCATTCTCAAGCCATTCCGCCGAGCTCGAGGATCAGGTATCGTGCTAGGGAAAGATCTTTCGGATTCTGAATGGGACTCGATTCTGAAAGGCATGCAAGAAACAAGGATTGATAAATTCTCGACACAGTACATCCTACAACCGCTGTTACCTTTAAGAAAGGTTCATTGGTTCTGGAATGAGGAGAGAAAAGTCCAAAAGAGTCGAATGGTAGGTACCTACTTTTCGATCAATGGGCAATTCAAAGGATTCGGCGCATGGAGGACCGCGTTGGCATCTGAAGATGTCATTTCTGCAGCGACCACAGATATCACTACGGTTTTTGCAGCTATTTATTTGGGAGATGAGTAGTTTCATTGTAACGGTGTATCGATAGACTTTCTTAGATATTATTGACCATTTCGTGTGTGGGCACGCAGCGCACCATTTTCGAGATTTCTCTTAATTGTTTCCCAGGAAATTTTTACGTCAATGTTAAAATATCACCATAGATGTCATTCAGCACGCGAGATTTAATCTTAGAGGGCTCCTCGAAACAAATTTTGGATGATGGATGAGCGTCTAAACAAGATTAGCGCGTACCACAAACATCTCCACAGACGGGCTGTCGCGGGGGAGTTACCTCGACTAGAATTCAGTTCCAAGAACAGGACAGCTACATGAACGCCATATTCAGCCTGAGCGGAGCCATGAATATGTTTGATTTGTGTCACTATATTTGAGTTATGATACACCATTGTTGCACAACACGGTCTTCAGCCTCGGCGTCTTTTGCTGTGAACAGCACGTCATACACATTTCGCGGGTACATAAGTATTGGTTCGTCCAGGTCAATTTTGTACCTTCTTAGTAGAGACAGAAAGACAGTGATAAAATCCTCCAACAATATTTTGTTGGCATTCTGTTTCAATGATGGGTGTGACTAAACAGATTGTGGAGAGAAACTGGATTCATGACGAAGTTCCTCACGCACTGCCGGTGGGAAAGAGCCATATCCACCCACCAACAACACCGCATGTTAGTTTTACTCATCTTTCATCGCTATCATTTGGAAATTGATTGTCACCAGGCAGTGAGTTCATCACTCCCAACATGGGATGCTGTTATTTCTTGGTCACGAAAAGAAAAAGCTGCGAAAGAACACGTGGAGTTTAGCTATCCGAGGTATGTTGACATCCGTGGATAAGCGAGAAGGGGCTTCAATACTGATGAGTGAAAGGTTCTTCATTGCCAAGCCAGTCCAATTGCTCATCACCCGCATAAGAGAACGATTGAATATCAAGGACGACACGATCGCATGCATGGTTTTTCCTTCGAGCCGGATTGCAGAGTACTGCGCAACTGTGCTGCGAGCATCAAGGTCGGAAGCTCCAGCCAATACAGTCCGATTCCTTTTGTCCAACGAGTCGATTATCCACAATGGTGACAATGCATGGACCAATTTCTCGGTAGTCCTGTTCCCAACGAATCTAACGAAGGAATCCATGCTGGTATGGATGGACACTGGAGCGGGAATCACAACCCGCTATGCTGAGTATTGTCTGGAGAACTTCGATCTTCTGGCATCGGAATCAACCGAACAGACCTTTGAGACCCAGGCAACCAAGAGAAGATACTCTGAAAACAAGAAGCTCAATTATTGGACTCGTTCTGCCTGCAATGATATGCATGATCTCAGAACACGCATTGCACAGCTGGTGACCTCGGAAAATACGAAGCTGAAGAGAGGCAAAGCCGACGATGTGTTCATTTTTCCAACTGGAATGAACGCTATATTCACGGCGTTTGAAGCATTGGCAGCACTTAATCCCAAATCAAATGTGGTTGCATATGGGTAAGACTCCAATAAAGTTTTAATCAAAAGAATTTCTTGAAAAAAGCGAGCTTCTGCTGACTACTCTTTCTAACAGCTGGCTTTACCCAGAAACAGTCCATGATCTTCGAAGAACTTCCTGGGATCGTGTCATCTCCTTGAAATGGGGCACCGAAGAAGAACTGGACCAGCTTGAGCGTATGCTGATGATCTCTCACCACCGAATCACCACTCTCGTGTGCGAACTTCCAAGCAACATCAAGTTCATCTCACCAAACCTCGAACGGATAAAATCGTTGTCAGACCAGCACGGTCTCATTGTGGTGTGTGATGAAACCGCTGACAATTTCATCAACGTCGATGTCTTGCTCTATGTTGATGTCGTGGTGAGCAGCTTGACAAAGATGTTCAGTGGAGCTTCGAATGTGACTGGCGGCAGGTGGGTACTCGTATCATGGTCTTCAAAGTATAGGCGAGACTAACATTGTTTAAACTCGATTCAGTGTTGTGATAAATCCCAACTCTCGTCACTATGATGAAATAAAGTCTTTCTTGACTGTTCAACATAAGGGCGTCGTCTGCTTCCCACCCGACATGGCAGTACTCAAGCAGAATTCAGTAAACATGGCAGAGCGTGTCCACAGGTCCAACGCAAACACCCTTCCTGTCATCGACCTTCTCCGCAATCATCCCACAATCCAGCAAGTCAACTATCCATCTCTCGGGCCCACATCTCCCTGGTATGCCAAGGTTAAACGCCGAAATGGCGGCTATGGAAACGTTTTCAGCGTTGTGTTTCGTAACCCTGATACTGCGAAGCGATTCTACGACTGTTTGGACGTGTGTAAAGGGTCGAGTTTCGGCACGAACTTTACTCTAGCTGTTCCATATGTTCAATTGGCTTGCTACTGGAGTCAAGACAAGTGCGAGAAGTACGGATTACCCCGGCATGTCATACGTATCAGTATTGGGCTTGAGGATCCGAAGGAGATTGTTGCAAAGATTGAAGCTGCACTACGTGAAGCGGAAACAGATGCAGGGTGTAACCATTGAGAGCTGAAAAGTATTGTCTTGTCGCCAAGAAAAACACAGAAAGTTTAGAAGAATTTATTTCTGGCTTAGAGCACTACGTGTGTGAGAAAGTTAAGCCGGGCAGTTTAGCCGCAAGCAAGAAACAGTTGTGCGGATTCTTGAGAGTAACAAGTAGGAATAAACTCCTTGGGAACATTTCGTCGACCCTTGCCATATCAGACTTCTAAGATCTCCTGGAATAGGGAAAATGTTTCTCTCCAATAGTTTTGAATATGGTGTAGATTTAAGCCTGGTAGTCGTGCAGACGGGGTGCAGCATCCTTTCTGTTTTTTGTTGACTCTTCACGGCAAGAAGCGACGATGTAAAGGGGCAAATTATGTAAGCTTAGATTTGACCAATCGGGTTTAGCTTGCTTACATCCTCATTCTGGAACCTCGGTCTCTATCTTGGATTCATCACAGGGAAAGAATTGAACGGCTTCGCCGGATTCGAGAATCAAGTACGTGAAAGCTATCCAACATTTCTCTAACGACATCACATTGGACTACATTTTGTAGGTCGGACGAGTCCCGGCCTCCGGTTACGAGCATTGACGATCTCTGGATGCCGAGGTCCACGAGCGTACAACTGACACAACATCTCCAAACCTCGTCAAGACCAGGAACTGTATATTAACGTGTAACCTCAAGCTGTTTCGAAACACAGTGGTTTCATTCAGGACAAGTCATCCCAGCCCGATCATTACCATTATGTCAAACACAGGAAACAAAGAAGTCTACCCCGCGTTCGGGTGTCCATATCCTTACGCGGAACCTCTGTGGTACTCGCGGAACGTATCACCGCATTACAAGGATTCGCATCGGAAGCTTCGAGCTGCAGTGCGAAAGTATGTTGACGAGGAGATCCTTCCCAGTGCCTTTGAGTGGGAGTCAGCAGGCGAGATCCCAGACTCGGCACGTGATTATCTGTAGCCTGGTGGGAGACTTGGTGTTAATGTTGTACAGGCTTGGAAACGGCATGTCGAGTTGGGATACGTTGGTCTGGTAACAGGTCTGCCTTACATCAAGAGCCCTGGAGATATTCCCGTCGAGGAATGGGACTCTTGGCACTCGTTGATTGTAAATGATGAGCTGTCTCGTGTGGTACGACTCCCAGCCCTTGGAAGAAAGCCCAACTGACACGAAAAGGCATACACCGGCGTACTCTGGGGTCTCGGAGGAGGAAATGGAATTGGTGTTCCACCGATTGTGAACTTTGGAACAAAGGCCCAAAAGGATAAGTTCCTCCCTGGTGTAGCAGATGGAAGCATTCGATTCTGCTTGGGAATCACAGAACCCGATGGTGAGACTATCGTCTTGAATTAACTTCATGGCTCATGCAAGTAATTTTTAGCTGGATCTGATGTTGCCGGCATCAAAACTACTGCGATTCGGAAAGGCAATAATTACATCGTCAACGGATCGAAGAAATGGATTACGAATGCCATCTGGGCCGATTATGTGACAGCCGCAGTACGCACTGGGGGGCCTGGGGCTGCTGGAGTATCTGTCCTGATTATCCCTCTCAATGTACCTGGTGTTTCAACAAGAAAGATGGATAACTCCGGCGTGGGAGCATCAGGAAGTACGTTCATAACATTCGACGATGTCGTCGTCCCCGCGGAAAACTTAATACACAAAGAGAATCGAGGATTCGAGGTCATCATTTCCAACTTCAATGCCGAAAGAAAGTCTATCGCGACGCAAGCAATCAGACTCAGTCGAGTGTGTGCGGAGGATGCATGGAGACATGCATGTACTAGGGAAACGTTTGGGATGAAGTTGATTGAGAACCCTATCATCAGAGCCAAGTTTGCGAAGATGGGTAGAATGATCGAGCCTGCTCAAGCTTTCCTGGAACAGTTGACATGGTTGATAGAATTAAACAGGAGAAGTGGCAAGGACGACGTGCGAATTGGTGGTATGACTGGTAGGTGCACTCCGAGTTAATAATGAACCCCTAATTTTGATTTGGGAAGCTTCATGGAATGCCCCACAATTGATTTGCGTGGAGTACGGAGGTACCAGGAGCCCTGAAAAGACAAAGCTAATTATCTCGGTCTCTTCCAGCAATGCTAAAGGTTGTCAGTACAAGGTGCTTGGAAAAATGTGTCAGGGAAGCGCAACAGGTTCTAGGGGGGCTCGGATATGCCAGAGGTGGGAAAGGTGGAAGGTACATACTTCATTCCTAGACACTTTGGAACATAACTTTATTGACCGCCCTGCAGGATTGAAGCCATCTCGCGGGACGTCAGGGTCATGGCAGTTGGTCAGTCATCTTTCCCCCAGTCATCTCCCAGTACCTGAGACGAATCACTAACTTAGGAAGGTGGTGGAAGCGAGGAAATCATGAGTGAACTTGCGATCAGGGAGGAGACGAAGGACTTGAAAAAGTACGCCACAGCTGCGAGCAAGCTGTGACGCTGTGAACATTTGTCTGCGTTGGGTTGTTCTTGAAACTGCGTACATGGATGTATAATTATTCCCGAAGTGCCACGCCTGCCAAAACACAACTTAAACCTTATTTCTCGGCTTTTGGAACTTCTGGTCCGGATCGTCCATCATTATTGACTATTGCCAGTTGTGGAGAGGTAGAGAAAGGTTGAAAAGTACCCGCAGGAGGCTGCTTTGAGTTCGAGCTCGCAGCATGATGGTTCAATTTCATATCCAAGCTAGATCGAAAAATTTCGAGTTTCCGATTTGGCGTTTGCCTTTCTTGACAGTACGACCCTGTGGGGCAATCGATAAGTTACTTTGACGTTCATGATAGAGTATAACTGTAACATCGCTCAAGGTTTGTTTTTGAGATGGTCGCTATCACTGCACCGGTGGGACTGTGCGGCGAAGCATCAACACAAGTCTAGCAAGGGTTTTGAGGAGCCAAGTGGTTGTTCATCCGGAGTTATCTCCCATTCCGGAGCGTTCACCTCCCCTGAAGTCTGGAGAAGCATCTTCTTCGCTTGCTTCCGTGCCGTACACACGCACATTAATAATCTTGTCGTTCTGGCACTACTGTTTACTGGCGAGACTACTGATGAAAAAGAAAGTTTATGTTCCTTCCGAAATCCTTCGGCGCCCATCCATGTGGGGCTCGCGAAGCTGGAGACGGTTCACATTTCACCCGTGGAAAAGTTTATATGCCTGCTCCTAGCCATTTCCCCAAGTCTTAACTCGCCATTTGAGCTACCTCCGTATTCGAATGGGGAATATGCCGTGAAGACCCAGCCGTGTTTCCAACACAAATGCGGATGATAGTTCCCGTGAGGCGCAACACCACAGACCCTCCAACGAAAGCTACAAAAGAGGCGTCTTTGATTGATAAATTTAGTACTCGAAAAGCGCCGTCAAAGAATGCTGTTACTAACATCAGCTCCAGTGGCGCCTCAAAAAGCCTCGGCAGATGAAAGTTTCGACGCCGCCGTCCTGTTTCTGGTTTTAAGGAGAAGTTTGGGCAAATGGGGCGTCTGTCCAGCCGTTTTCAGGCTCGGTAAGGAGAGTTCCAAGCAGTTAGCTTAATGATAATGACCTCCCCTCAACCTGCAGGTCGACGGACCAATACTTGGCCTCATCTCCAACAATCGGTGTTCTGTCGAGTCTGTGCATGGTACTGACTACCCCACAGCTGCCAATTGAATATTGAACAGGCATGAACTATTGGTTATTGATATCCCAGCAATCCTTTACTGCAACAGTACAATAGACCAGGAACGAGACGCTAGCCTATCTACATGACCTGAAATTTGAGAAGCTTCGAGTTTACACGAAGAAGCTTTGGTAACTTCCGAGAGCCTTTTCAGAGTTCAAGTCTGTTCCAGAAGCTTGTTGTCACTAAAGTGGCCCATTTGGATTGGCTGCAGGAGCGCCATGCGACATTATTACAGAGACTATAGCTTCTTGATTGGTGGACTATCAGAATAACGTGGGATCAAGATAACCATCACTACTACTATACAACAGTTACCACTTGCCATGCCCAACCCTAGAAGCCTGCCTGCCTGCCCGACCCTAGCAAATCGATCGTCAAGAGGAGATCTGAGACAAAATTTGACATTCGGGTTGATTAGACTGGATGATCTGGTCTGTTGTTCCGTCTTTTCACAGGGACAAACCTTTGAAGAAATTTCTTGGTATTCTTGCCTTTTGGCATTGATCAGCGCACTCTGTTCTCGTTGGTGAGTCGCCAACAACAATTGGCTCAACTGTCCCAGGATGCTTCCATACCCACCCCCGCAACCATATCTCGGGGCGCAGGAAGCACTGCCGTCCCGTGCTGGCCCCAGAGAAGACCTTGACAAACGGGGATACCAGGATGTCGATCCCCGCGATGTCTGAGACCACCCTGAAAGCTCGGCTGGCTAAAACTTTGACTGATTTGTGCTCGCTACGGAGATGCATCCTGGAGCTCATAACAAGTCAAAGGCCGACTTGTCCTAAGTACGAAAGTATATTGTGTCTGGGACTTGGTGTTGTCCCATAATATTCAAGAGTTTACGCCACATCAGCCAAGACCCCAATCCTTCAACACACTGATTCGTCGCGATGCATGTGTCAGAATGCCTGCATGTGTAGTGACTGAAGCACCGTCTGCTGCATTTGCCAGGGGTTACGATGCTAAATCTCAGGTGGGCGGGATGAGCTATTCTGCCTGATATCCGAAGAGCGGGTGGCTCTCCATTCGCAAGTGGCTCGCCCTCCTTTAGCGAGGGGAGGGAATGGGATATAGTCGACAAGGTTCGTCTCTTCAAGAGACCTTTGATGCTTGGTAATTTGTTTGAGAGGTAGACCTTGAATACTTGATGCCATAATTCTCCTAGAAAGATCTCCAGCGATGGATGCACCCAAGCCTCCGCCATATCGGGGGGCGCAGACCACGATGATGGCCATTTCTATTGTTTTCACCACCCTCGGAAGTAGGTAATTGCTTTCATTTGTCTGTATAGATGATGCTGACTTTTGACCGAAGCTGTTGCGATTATCCTTCGGCTGGTGGGAAGATGGATCGTCCTCAGGAAGTTCGGGGTTGACGACATAACCATGACCGTCGGAATGGTATGTATGGACGGTGAACATGCAGCAGAGGAGTGTGTTGATTACCTTAGGTTTTGACCGGCGGCTATTTGTTCGAAATTCTGTACGGAAGGCGTTTTGGGCTGGGGCTTCACGGCGCGGACATTGCTTTCGAGAGGATGCACAATGTGCTTATGGTAGAGATCATCATTCCATCACACGATTCTGTATTAACCTGATACAGCTGATCTACGCCATTCAATTGACTTACAACACAATCATAGCATTGGTCAAGATTTCAATCGTCTCCTTCTATTTACGATTGGGTAATTGCTCCCGCCCGGATTTGCATTCTACATCTTACTGATACTCTGCAGCAACGGTAGACAGTGCTCTTCGGAAAGGTTCTTGGGCCACCATTATCTTCCTGCTTGCATTCTACATCACTACACAGACTACAACCACATTGCAGTGTTTGCCAATACACTCAAATTGGGATCTCACAGGAACTGTGAAAAAGAAATGCATCAACACTGTTGTTTATTTCTACAGTATGAACCAGATATGGCCCCCAATCAACGTTCTTCTCTAACGGCCTCTAGTTATTGCAGTTGTCAATATTCTCCTTGACATATGGATACTTTTGCTTCCAGTCAGGACACTCAGCAATATCAAGCGTAGTCGAAGAGACAAGATTGTGCTATTAATTATTTTTGGAGTGGGCGGATTTTCTTGCATCTCCAGGTAAGTTGTTTCAATGGACATCGAACTTTCTCTGACTACCATAGCATCATTCGACTTTACACAATCAAAGTGTTCGCTACATCTAAAGATCCCTTTTTCGACGGCGTTCCGATCAATACATGGTCTATGATTGAGATCAATGTTGCAGTTGTCTGTGCTTCTGTGCCAGGTATGACAGCAATCCACATATATTGAACCCCTTGACTTACACTGCATTCTAGCTATGAAGCCTCTATTCACAAAAGCTGTGCGGGAACGAATGACTGGAAGCAGCCGCACTCGAACAGCATTCAATTCTTATGGACACCAGATGTTACCCCTCAGCGGGGAGGAAAACAAATCTCCATCAGGCGGTTTCCGAGACGCCAAATCTGGGTATATGGCAAAGGCCACATCGAAGGGCATGGGCGGCAGTGAAGAACACATCAACTCAAAGATCCAGGGGATCGAGTATGAAAGGGAATTCACGGTCGAGGAGTCATACATTGGATCGACGAACAAAAGCATCTCAGGATCTTCGTCTCGGGCGTAATGGCAGTGAAACGGATTCAAGGGTAGGAAGGCTATTTCAATATTAGCGTCAATCTATTGTATCAATGTGTAAATATATGTCTAGAACATTTCTAAACATGACAGAGTCAAAGTTTAGAGTAGATACTACCCTAACTTTCATTTCTCAGCACTTGAGTTCAGTAACACGAGCCTCCGTGGAAACTTCAGCCATCCCGCCTCGCCTAAGACCCCATGTGCCTGGGAGTCTGGGGCATGGATTGCTGGAGAGACCCTGAGCTCCCCTAGTCAAGGTACCAGTTGAATTCGGATAAAGGACAGAATACGACATACGAACTCTCGTCGAAGACAGGGAAGACGAGAAGTCAGGAGCGCCAAGCAGTGCCTCTGGTCTGCTAACCGACATTCGAATCCAACCTTCTATGTGGCGTGTTCTAGTGCTTGCTAACCTCGTGGAAGGGTGATGCTCCGAAGATGAGACTATCCTCCTTCGGAATCGATTAAAGGGTCATGAGGCCACAAGGCACACACACACCTGTTGTAACCCCTGTCAGACCCTTACTTAAGGCACACACGCTGTTTTATTAAGCGAGAATACCCCTCTAAAACTAGTTTCCTTCAAGTAGTATAACACATAATAAGATATTAATATTATTTTAATATTAATACAAATATTATTATAAGTCTTTTCTGATTCTTATGAAATTAAGTACTTAAAATTTCGTTGTAATTTAGCTATTAAATAATTCTTCAAAGTGTGTAGCTGAACCTTTAAAGTGTACAGCTGAGTCGATTTCCCTAAGTCAGCTTACCGAAGGATTAAAGCAGCAGGGCTGTGTTTTGGTAGGGCTATTCCTCATTTGTGTGTGTGTGCCTTATGGCCTCATGACCCTTTAATCGATTCCTCCTTCTTTAGCAAGGTTGGTACAGTAGCCTCGCATCAACCCGCCCTAGTCCCCCGCCCCCAGTCACCACCAACCAAACAGAACTGCCGACTCCCTGTACTTTATTGAAATGAAGGTTTTCCCAGCCAGCGACTTGAGACCAACGCACATGTTGCATATGGGACGATGAACCCTGCGCCATGCTGTATTTAGTAAATTTACTGCAGAGAGACATCTGGTATCTACCGATCTCGTCAGGCAGAGCTTACCAAACGGAATACCCCCATGACATGATTTATATCCTGCAAGGGTTTGTGTTGGTACTTGAATTTTCCTCATTATCTCGCATCGTTCCTCCTCCTCCTCCTCCTCCTCCTCCTTCTTCCAGCTCAAGAATCTCAGTTCTCTTTTCTTTGTATCAATTGCATCGTCCTCAGAGTACATAGCTGCCGTCAGTCATCATGGAGAAGACTGAAGATATACACGCCTCCGACAAGACGATCGGAGAAGCGTCCGCTCCTTCTTCACCTCGCGAGTCCGAGAAACATGCCTCAAGAGATGGACCCATTCTCGATGGTGATGAGCATATCAACTTGGGATGGAGGAGTTGGTTGGTTGTCTTCATGACTTGCTTTGCGTATGTCCCAATTCGAGACTTGTCGATAGTTGAACAACAGCTAATCGAATATCTCAAGTATCATGGCACAGACATTCGTGGTGGTCGGTCCCGGCAACGTCATATCCTTTATCATTCGAGAACTTGGTGATCCGGGCCTCGTGGGATGGATTATTCAAGTCAGTCTTAGTGCTGAGATCTTCATGATTGTGGCTGACACTGATAGGGACCCCTCCTCATCCAAGCCGTTCTGTCCCCAATTATTGGTCGTCTCTCGGATGTCGTTGATCGACGGTACCTCGCTTCCATCCCACCACTGATTGCATTTGCTGGAGCAGTGATGTCGGCAAGAGCAAACTCCATGGCAACATTGATCGGAGGTGGCATACTGATTGGTGTCACATTGAGCACAATCTCAATTGTGCAAGCCATTCCAGCGGAAGTTCTTCCCATGAAGTTTCGAGCATTGGCAAACGGCTTTGCATTCGTTGCTGGATCGATTGGTGGACTGTAAGTATATAACAAGACTCGGAGGCTGGCAGTACTGACAGAATGTAGTATCGGAGTACTTGGCGGAGGGGGCTTGACAAATGAAAACATCAAAGGCTGGAGAAACATCTACTGGCTGCAGGCTGCCTTCCATCTCACATCTGCGATCGGACTACTCGCATTCTATCACCCCGAACGGCCAGCTGATCGACCAAAGAAGTCATTCCGTGAAGTCTTCTGGGCCATGGACCCAATTGGATCTGGTCTCTTTATGTGCGGCTCAACTCTGATGCTACTGGCATTGGACTGGGCTGGAGGAACCTACAAGTGGAGTGATTTGCACGTGGCTGTGCCTCTGGGTGTTGGTGGTGGATTGACCATTCTATTCTTTCTCTATGAATGGAAGGGGAGAGACGATGGACTTGTGGCACATGTGTTTTTCAAAGGCAGTCCCAACTTCGCTCTCTCCGTGTTTGCTTTCGCCGTCGAAGGGTACGTACCTAATACGATTGGTGTTTTATTTGCTTACCAATTGTATCAGATGGATCTTTTTCAGTGCCGTCAACAGCGTCACAACCCAAATCGTCCTCAACCTTGGCTTCGAGACTTCAGCCTGGAAGATTTCAATTCGTCAGCTCAGTTTCAACTTGGTCAACATCTTCGCATGTTTACCAATCACGTAAGACAGGATAGATCACCTAGTACGAAATTCAGCTGACATAATTAGGTGGTATGCTACGAAGTACAAGGATATGAAGCTCCCTCTTCTTGTTACTTTCGTCCTTTTCCTCGTCGTGTAAGTTCCCCACAAGATACCCTCTTCGAGATACGCTCACTAACGTGCGAAAGATGCATATGTTACTCGACTATCACCCCTGCAATGAACCATGCTCAGATCGGGTATAATGTCATCTGTATGATCTCAATCTCATTAATATTAATCATGCTAATATATCACAGCTGGTATTGGCCAAGCTGGCCCATTGACCTTACTCGTCGCCCTCGTCCAATTTACAGCACCCCATCAATTCCTCGCCAACGCAACCGGTCTTGCTTTCTCAGCCAGAGCCATCGGAGGTGCATTTGGCTCAGCAGTCGTCAATGTCATTATCAACAACAAGCTGAACTCGACACTGACTCCCAAGGTCACCAAAGCGGCCCTCGGTGCAGGTCTTCCCGCTTCATCGCTTGGCGATCTCTTTAAAGCCATGGCTACTGGAGACCCTGCAGCCTTCGCTGCTGTTGTTGGACTGACTCCTGAAATCACCGGCGCTGCGATGAAGGCAAGCCAGAATGCTCATGCTGCTGCATATCGTCTTGCTTGGGCTTCGATCATCCCATTTACGGTCCTCGCTATCATCGCCGTCGCTTGTTTGAAGGGTGTCAAGGATCTGATGACTGAGAGAATTGATGCTACTCTGGAGCATGTTCATCATGTTGATGAGTCTAAAGCATAGTTATCATGATAGAGAAAGGGTCCCTTTCGGGAGGATTGGATAGACGGCTTTGTGGAATCAGGTGTAATGGGGACGAAATTGGTAGACTTGCTTGCACTGGAATGCAGCATATGGTTCATATATCAGCTTCTGCTTGTAACGCAGAACTGACAGAGTATTTTCAATCCAATAGACTTCGGTGGCTGTTGATCTCAGCCACTCTCCGGAACCTTCCAATATCTCAACACATATTGATCACGTGTCAGACTGGGTGACAGGACCACCGGGATTCTTAGATACTACATGAGGCATATAAGAAGTAGTCTTTTCACCGCGTGTATCCTTGAAAAGATACATATCTTATTCTACCCAGGGTTTGCCCTTTCGCGAAGAAGCTGTCGCCTACCAACATTGTCCCCGTTGCCCAAGATCGTCCCTTCCTAGCATCAAACACTTCAACGATTGCGTTTCTATTCCCAACTGACCACGCTTTCCAGTTTCAGAATACATTTGAGACCCGTACAAAAAAATTGGGTTCGATGGAGCTTCAACTTAGCAGAAGGTGTTTTTTACAGTAGCAATATCTCATTCTCCTCAATATCGCCTCCAGGCCAAATGGACAAATCTGGACCGATCAGTCTATCTCTTCACCAAAGACTTTCTGTCCCCAATATATTTGAGACAGGTCCGTCTCTCACGAATATTAAGGATGCATTGCCAATACGACATATACGACGATGCAAAGGACATACCATGCCCCATGGCCAGGATTGGTGTGCTGATAGAGAATGCCAATTCTGCAATGAGCTCCGCTTTTACAACAAAGACGCCGACTGTCGAGGGAATCACCGAAGTAAGCCTTCATTTTTAGCCCCGATGACGATCATTAACATCTTTTTAAGGACTATCAAACTGAGTCTAGGTGGATTCTTGACTTGGCCAATGGGTCGTAAAGGCACGATTTGGGAAGTCCAGGCCATTCAGCGCATCGACTTGCCTCCTCAAATCCCGATATACAATTTGCCCAAGACGTTGTGCAACTTCTTCTACGCTTCATGTTAGTAGCTGACGAGCCTATTACCCATTCTTACTTGCAGCACGCAATATGGTATGAGCGGCTGCCCGATTCAGAAACAACTGATACAGGGGCATCCGATTTAGAACGTGGTGGGCTGATTCAGAGAGGAGTGATCAAGTATACGTGGTCCAGGTACTTGAGGTCAGCAATACTGGCAATGTGCAAATGGTTCTTCAGTGTTGGGTTTACGATTTTGTATCGGTACAACACATTTCGGTCCACTGGAGTCGTTTCCCGAGCAGATTGTCGGTGGGCAGATGAATGCACGCTGGGGCCATATTCAGGAGACTCCTCTCTCCTCGGCCGTTTCTTATGTTTCAAACATCTGATTTCCGATCTTGATGCAAGAATTGTGAGCCGCTCAAGTCTGCTGAAGAAAGTTATGATTCAGTATTCGGACAGCAATAGCGATTTCTACGTCAAAGGAGGAATTGGCAAGCTCCTGCCTCCGACTGACAATTTGGACGGTGTACATTACTTTGAAAACGTATTTATAGCACTCGTCGCAGTGGGTGTAAAGCTGAGAGATCTTACCATTGCCATTGATGAACAAGAGCCAGGGGTCATCGATATAATTCGCTTTATGCAGAAATTCATCTTAGTATGTCAGTCTACAGGCGAAGAGCGTAGAAAATGGCTTTCCTCTTTCAGAACACAGTTGAGGGAGACATGGGCAAAATGCTGGAGATTCTCACCTACAAGAATTCCTGCAAAAGATGCCGAAGTTGAGCACATTCTTGTCCAAAGAGCGGAGGTTGTTGGAGAAGGAGATTTGATATTCAAGGATCCGACTGCCGAAGCTCATGGTGATCACATATCGGGGGGCTACTTGCCAACCAGCAATGTGGCAAAGGGTTTGATTGACTATTTCGAGATTCTTAATAGCACCAAACTCTTCAATTGCACCGTGTTTGTTTACAGGAAAATTCAATCAGAGACGATTGGGGGATGACGGTTCCCTAGTGGAGGACGAGAAACTGTGCAATGCGAGACAATCGATCCCTGTAGTGTCAGCATGTCGTGACCGAGCGTCACATCCTTATCCGGACCACTGGAGAATTATGCTTTCTGTTGACTCGGCTGCTGGGTAGGAATCAGTGGTTAGCCGAGAACTTACCTCGTCCAAAGCGAAAAAGGAAACGGGATGGAGAAGACACCCCTGGTTACTCAGACCAACTTCATATTTTATAATAAAACGGGTTTCGGCAGTGATCACAACATAGCTAGATTTGCCAGTACGCAACTTCAACAATGAAAATATGACTTTCACTTCTGCTCAGACATTTGTTTTTCAAGCGCAAATTAGATTATTTGCTAGTGTTAGGATAGACAAATAAGAAAACCTAACAATTCTCCACTACCTCCCATTTCGATGCCAGTTCATATGTACTTGTTGGTCTGTACTTTCAGCGTGATGTATGTATAGCATCTCGAATCCCGCCGAAGATTTGAAGTGTTTTTAACAGGTGATAGTCTTGCCATTAGCCCTGCAGCTGCTCTGGCGAATGTAGGCCCACTGAAGAACTGTTAGCCCTGGATATGATATCAAGAAATTTCTCGCAGCTTACGTTCTCAAATCCACCGTCACCCTTGAGGGTGAAAGTGCAGCCCTTGCCGAAGACCAAGACATCGTAGCTACAACGAGTAAGTATATGTTGAAGACAATTTTGAAGACTTCGGGCTGGGTAAACCATACCTGACGTTGGAGCCGACCTTAGCCTTGTAGCTGGTGCGTTGAACCACGGTTGGCTGGCAGGAGAGGCTGTATCCGACGTTGCTCATAACAACGGTCTTTGTTGGGAACTTCTTGTAGACGGCGGTGACGGTCTCCTGGGTGAATCGTTGACGACGCTAACCTCCATATCAGCGAATAATACCTTTTCCTGTTCGCCTATTCTCCTTACCTTGATGTCGCCATCCACAAGGCCCTGAATGAGTCTTACGACCTTCTGGACGACCTCTGCAACTGCACCGACAGCATCGGCGCTTCCTCCGATGTCGTCTGGGAAGCTGTGATACTATCAGAAATAGCATGATAAGTGTCGACGATTGCACTTACGAGACTCCGCCAGCTGTAACGGCACCGGCGATTGAGACAGAGCCGGTATCACTGGAAACAGTGGTAGCCCGCTAGTGGCTATTAGCATGAGTTTGAACTGGAAGGCTACAGTACCACGCTTACCTTGTCCAGGGGAGAGGCGGCACCGAAGGCAGCAAGGCCAATGGTAAGAACAGTGAGGATTGTCTTGGGGAACATCATTTTGGACTGGGGGGTTTCTTGAAGAAATGGAGGAGTGTAAAAAGAAGGTGGTATTAGAGAGAGGAAATATAAATGAGTGAACGACTGGATAGCAAGTAGAGAAGACTGTGCTGGTGAAGAAGAAGTTTCTCTGTTGTGCTGGATGGCCCTCTACTTATACTCATATTCGAAGCCATTCATCTTGTGAATACTGACTCACCTTCTCCCGGGCGTCGGCTCTGTCTCGCAAAGGATTTTGGCATGATGAGCTCGATTTGGTCGCCAAGATTGAAGGAACTCGAAACCCATGATACCAAAGTTGAGATTCTATGTCCAAAAAAGTCTATTCAGCTCGTCTGTTATCACCGACAATAACAAACCCGGCAAAAGTTGACACTGTTGTGGCTAGTCAAGTAACCTGATCATTCAGCAAGGGAACTTGAGGGGTTTCTTGTCCTTCCGGAGTTTCAGGGCTTAGCCTCCTCCCTATGATAGTCTCCGTGCACCAGGAGTCGAGCTCGTTTACGGACGAAGTTGAGGCTATACGGATGTATTTCGGGCACGAAGTCGAGTACCCGATGATCAGCCAAGCATCAGCCAATAAGCTTACCAGTTTTAATATCAAACCTTATCTCACAAGGCTCCATTCTGCATGAAATTTCTCGTCCGAGAATGATTCTAGTGGCTTGCCAAGCTGTCAATGAGAGACATCGTATAACGTGCGGACCGGAATCTCAAATCACCATATGGAATTACTCTATCAAGGTGTTCGCCAGGATGTTTTGTTTATTACGAGCTACCGGACGTAGAGCCTCTTCCGTCACAAGTAAACCTTAACTGCACAGAGGCTCAAAGTGCTGGCTTAGGCGAGCATGTTATCTGGCCTTCCTTCAACTCAGATGATCCAAAAAAACTGATCAGATGAGAGGGAATGATGAATCAGTTTGTATCTTGTTGGGTCCAGTCGAGGCTCACATTAGAGTCTTCCTGCATCTGTGTGAGGAGTAGAGTGCAGTACCAGCACAGCGCTTCTGTTTACCTAGTTCTCGTCAAGCCGGGGTAATGCCTTTACATTGAGTAGTAGATTCAGGTTACTCGCTTTAGATCTTGCAGACCTCTAACTGCTCTAAGCGTACCTTGTTCTGACACAAACCCAAGATCTACGAACGGAAAAATTCGTGCCGTTCCAACGGTACCTTTTTCTAGATTGTGGAGTCTGAAGCGATTTTCCCGTGGCATTAAGTGCCAGCGAGTCTCCACTGAGTCTCCACTATATCGAGCTTCTCTCAAATGACCCCCGTCATGAGGATCCCCCTTGTTATGCATAAATGGGCAGGTGCATAGGCGAGTCAAGAGAGAGGGTCTATGTTATCAGATGGAGGTCTCAAATCACTTTAATATATTTCGGTGTGCCCAAAAGTGGTATTTGCCGAAGAAATCCCGCAGACTCTGCAGCAGAAATCTCCTCTACATGTGTAGAACAATCGATTTATTTGGATGCTACTCTTATTGTCACCAACGAGCCATGAGTCTAACATGGAAGTCGAAAACTTCTATGGCACATTGCCAACTGCATCTATTATTATCTAGAAAACATCATTTCCAACGATGGGCAAACATGGGCGCTGAATGTTGTCCTGCAGCGTTGCACACGGAGGATCTCCGGCAATGAAGACTCTGGAGATTTCAGTCCCCAGGTCTCGAAGATCGGCAAATAAAATTTGCCCGATTTAATGGGCCTATCCCCACGATGTTGTGCGAACGGATTCATTGGCATTTTTAGTCTCAGGTAGGATGGTCAGTAATAAGTCGGCTATGTCACCGGGCCGGAGGCCAGTCCGTCAATAAGGTTGATCAAGATTCAGGATGAAAGGGCCTGGACCAGCAGCTTGCTAGCAAACGGATCCCATGTTTGGATTCTCGGGACTCAACCGACAAGCGAGTCATGAATCTCACTCAGAGCTGTCTCCTCCACGGCAGCTTTCTCGTCCGTGGATTCTTCACGATTGGTCTGGCACGGCTGTGTAGAAGTTGCCCGACATACCAGCTATACGCCAATCCTCTCATCTGGTGACACATACTCAGGAGGACAATTGAGTAAAGCATCCTTGATAACAGTAGCATGACTCGATGTAAGAGATGAGTGGAGAGAAGTTATCTAGGAGTTCATCAAATATACTTTTCAGTTCTGCACATGAGAAGGTGCCATCGAGGTCGAGACCAAGGCTTTGAGTCCCTTTGGATCATCTTTCATACTCAATGGTCGGTTCTAGAATGGTGTCTGTGATACACGTGTCTGAGTTGTGAAGCCCTTACTGGTGGTTAAGCAAAGAAAGATTCGAGAAATCACCGAAGAGCAGAGAGATTTTTCAGACGAATCACATCTAAGACGTCCTGGAGTAACAATCATCTGCACAAGAGAATCTCTGATTTAGGTAGGTAGTATTCTTAGCTCGCCGTGGAAAGGTTTTCACTCATCGCAAGCCGGTTATTTGCGTTTTTGTCAGTCCCACCACAGTGGATTGTTGACAATGAGCTGAGTCTCAGCAACGTGGAATTCGGCCAGCGACGCATATGGGAGGCTACCTGCCTGGAAGTCATGTATCTACGCGATTTCAGACAATACAAGATAGAGGGGGTTGAATCGCCACGTAGGAAGGAGGCAAGTGACAGAACGGTGGCTGCTGATGACTATGTCAAAGTTGAAAGTTGAAAGAGGATCAACAAGGGAAAAAGAGTCATATTGCAGTGCGAACAGATCAAGAGACCATAGGCGCAGAATTGTCGGACAGTAGTGATCTTCGATCACACGATTAAGCCTTACACGCTTGGCTTTGATGGCAGCAGTACGCCTTGTCTGCGGTCGTTTCTCTCTACTCTCGGAAACACGCCTCGAACTACGTTGACAATGTAACGAGTCAAGCAAAGGACATATTGGAGTAATCAGCAAAGACAATCCATATTAATTCATCCAACCAATGACTGGTTGAGTTGAACCAGCAAAAGACTCCACTAAGTTCCAGATCTGGCTTGCCGAGGCGGCTGTCAACAAGAGTTGTCTCGGGTGAACACCGAATCGCCTCGCCTCGTCTCATCAAAGCTCGAGCCACCTAGGTAGGACGAATGGTGACCCACGTGCACTTCGGATTCAATTCTCTCAAAGGAAAAAAAAAACGCAGAGCAGATTGTTGGAATGCAAAGTGGAATCAAACGCTCAAAGGGCAAAAGTACAGCAGAAGAACGAGTACGTGAAGAAGGAAAATTATCACAACGTACTCCCCATGTCCTCCGCACTCCTACCAATGGAAGTAATCAGGGCCATCAAAATCTTCCATCCAGGCTGAGGCTACTGACTGACAGCTGTGCCGAGGACGCGCTCAAGGCATCCGTAGGCATAGTCACAAAACCTCTTCACGGTTCAGAAACATTCATTTGTGCTCTCATGCTGTACCTTCTTCCCAAACCTTTCAATGCCCCTTCATCCTTGGATGGCACACAGCTAACTTGCCAAAAGGCCGAGTGGGAAGTGACAAGCACGAAAGTCCCAAAACAATCATGCGAGTTGTAAACTCATCTCCTCGAGACAACACAGATTTTGACGGGGCAACCCTCAACAACCTGGTCAACCAACAAACTCCCAGCATGGGCAAAATATCTAGTGTTCGAGAAAACACTTCTCACCAGCGACGCGACCATCACCAACCGATGGATCCTAAACAATCTAGACGATGACAACACCTAGAAGTCATACAAATGGTGCCGCGGGCTCAACATCGATAGCATCCGTACATCGAAGGAGATCCACGAGCTCTGGATGAAGCTGTTATTCGAGAGTAATGCTTCCCAATTCAATCGCCTCGTTGAACGACGACTGTAGAACCAATCGATTGGCGCCCCTCCGCCGAACAAGCCTGTTTATCTCGTTAAGATCGCATCTCTGATAGAACGAGCTGTTTTGCACGATCCGCATGTTGACAGTGATGCACTCGCTTCTTAGAGATACGTGCAACAGCTACCAGAGGGGCCGGATACTGAGCAGTTATCTTTCATCAGAGCGGTTCTTCGTCGTCTGAAAAGGTTGAAGTGTTGATCGTTGAGACCTACCATTGCTACCGATGAGTAGATTGATGGTGTGGTTGAATCTATCGACACTTGTTCTCCATTGAGAAGATAGATATGGTCGAAAGCCCAGATCATGGCAAAAGCTTGACCAGCAACCAAGTGGTACTCAGGACCGCGGCGTGGAGCCAACGCAGGCTGCTTCAACCAGCCTGCTAGCTGCTGCGATGCAGACTTCGGCGAAGCAACCTGACGATGGGGGCCATACGGCAAGAAGTAAACGGACACGGAGCCTACCGTCGTCTAATGTTCCATTGTCAATCTGCTCATCGTCCAGGGCTCGATATCGGCAACAGAGGATTCACATTCGATGATACCAGCGGGAGCACTTGGCGCAACCGCTCTCAATACTTGCCTTTCGTCGTATGGCAACCAACCAAGTGCAGTACAGGACACTGGTCCGTTCACCAAGCACGTTCTTCAACCAGGTAGTAGTCTTGCCAGACTACAGAGGTGGAAATTGACGAGGTGGAAGATGCAGAGAAAGATTCCGAGGGACGAGGTGCTCGACCAGGAACAGGGCCTGGGATCTGGTGATAGCGATGACGACGGACCAGAAGATAGCGAGAATTATTTCTACTCGGTAGAGTTGCCCTCAGATTTCTTAGGCGGTCTCCGTTTAGTTGTGCCTGGTCGTGGCAAATGGCACATTGGTCGCCGACTCGTACGATTAGCGGCCAAGATGCTTTGCCGATTCAAGAGCAGCGTCTTCTTGCAGCAAGTTGCAGGAGTACTTAGCAATACAATACTGCATTCTGAGATTGCCGATCCAAATAATCAACCTGTCAAGGGTGTTGAACCCGTCTGCTCGTCTGTCGCGTACCAGGAATGTGGATATGTCTCAACTACTGTAATCCCCTAGCGATGTATCCTTTCTCACTCTCCACGAAACCATCTTCCTTTGTGTGCTTTCTGGAGTTCTGGGACCTCATTGTCTCTTTGTGTGGATATTGCATTTGAGTTGTAAATGTGATGGCGAGACTGAGTTGCCGTATTCCCGCGACCGCACGAGGAGGAGTTCCAGCGTGTTTGCCAGAACAAAGAATACGCCCTACTTTCGAACCAGGAGCAGTACCAGGCCATGTGTATAGTTACCTGGCCATCAGTTGCCGCAACATCGACATGGAATCGATGTGATCGATTAGTCTGCAAACCGTCTGCTTTTCATGATATCGCTTGGACATTTCGACAATGCTGACACGGTCTGTCCTGCGCTCAGCAAAGGATCAAAGGTGAACTCGATCGAACCCTAGGCTTCATGGCAAAAGTTCTCATCACAACATTGCGATGAATCCGATCGATCTGTTGGCGGAGTCCGACCAGTATAGCCAGCGTCCAGTCGAAGTCATGACTGGCATGGCGCTTGGGATTGCGTCGATGGTATTGTCCTGGCTGAAGATCATGACGGGAATCCGATTCGGGAGGCGCTGCAGAGGTGAATTGAGCGGGTCGGACTGACGCAAGGTAAGTTCAACCACAATACTTACGAAACTCCCATTCACTCCAATTTAGGAGTTCTTTCGATCCTTACCGCTCAGTATATGGTTTCTCTTGCGAAAACAGGAGAGATAAAGGCCTCACGACGCAACGTACAAGAACAGAAGGAGCAACCCACCTGCCTACCTCTTCGATTGCTTGTCAAGTCACCTTGACCTCGGACCATCCTGAGGTTGTCTCCATCTTCCGAATATATTTCCCTCTTTCGTTTCAACATCTTGCGCAAGCGCGATCTCCGGCCATCTCGCTGACTCACCTCCAGCAACTTTCATTCAATCAATTAACATTACCTCAAGTAAACCATTACCTCAGGCAAACCGAAGAACTATTTCAGCTCAGCCTTTGCAAGTAACCTCCATTAACAGCACCTTGCTGGTCAGCAGGAATTTCATGCGGTCCTTTAACTCCAAGTATCATCCTTCCAGCATAGTCCAAATGGCAGTATTCGAGGAGATTGGCAGACAGGCTGCAGAGATGGAAAAGCATCCAGGACAGCACTACTGGGAGTTGTGGCTCGATGGTGTCGACCTGGGACCTGACTTCAAGCCAGACATTCGACCTCGACAAAAGCGACAAGCCTTTCTCAACGCAGAGAAGAATATGGGGTATCGAGTCCACAAGAATAAGAGAACGAAGACCAGAGGTGAAGAGAGGAAGAAGCGTTCCATGTCCACTGAAGAAGCTGTGTTCTGGGCAGTCATCGAACCAGACCATGGTGACTTTGCTGAAGAGTTCATCAAGGCAACAAGAACTTCCTTCGAGAAGCGAACTAGGAGAGAGCATGAGGTCATCAACATCTACTGGCGGTCGGGCCTCTCCCTCGATCCGGTATTGAACTTCGAGAATTCGGAGGTGACACAAACGTAGTTGGAAAGCCGTCTGTTTGGAGTGATTTGGTCTGGGGTATGTGTGCCGAAATTACTCGGAAATATTGAATGGCGCTGACTCTGAAAGAAGACAAGCCACCAAAAAAGGAGATGCCCAATCGAAGAAGAGCGAAGAAACCAACAAAGCCAACATCATAAACAATAACAACGAAACGTACCCCGTTCGAGCGTGGAATCCTGATGAAGTCTGGCAATTGGTGTGAGATTTTCCTGCATCTAAAGACTGGGACTTCCTTCAGGAGTTATACCCACTGGCGCAGGTCATCGAAGCTTTCCAAGGCTCCAAAGACGACACTGGTGTCGACCAAGTTGCGATGGTATGACACCACGATTCTTGACTTCCAGCATCTGTCACTTCTTCGGTCCAGATGGCGTTCACAGGCGCTATGATTCTCGCTGTCACAAAGTCCACAAGCGTCTCCGCGCGCTTTTCATGGCCTCCAATTCGATGTGTGCGAGATTACACTCTTGGCAACGATGGCTATTCTCGTCAGATAAATCACCGACGACCCGCCATCACGACACTAATCGGTTGGAGTTCATCACCACGGTGAGATCTGGTTGGCGGATCCAAGAAGCCACCGGGCTGGACAAATATGCTTAAGGCCAAAGGAGGTCAATTGTGGGTGATGGAAGATATTGGCGGGCCAATTGATGGGGATATGGAATCCACTGGATGGCAACTTATGCATGGCCGGGCGGGCGGCGTCAGGGGGAAATGAAAATGTGCCCATGATGGCAAAATATCCCAGCAGTTCCCCGCAGGTTTTGCTGAACCGGAAACACAAGGCCTGGTTTTCCCTGCTGCAAGTGGCTCGAGTGGGTGTGTTTACCCTGTCGCTTAGAGTGCTTGGCCCCTTGCGGTTCCTGTCGTGCCTGTCGTGCCCAGTCATTGGCGATCTTTACCCCTGACTAACTGCACTGGGAGCGGGATCGCTGCAAGCGAGCGCCCTCGCTGGCCCCTGGCGGCCCCCTTTCGCGCGAAATACGATCAACTCAATTTCCTTTAGCCCAAGCCCGCAACAAGCAAAAAATGGGACTGACAGCGCGAAGTGCCTTCTGAGTGGAAGACTGCGAGCTGTCCCGGCGCACGCTGGCTAGTGCAGGAACGACAACTGGACGAGCGCTGCAAGTGATCGCATTTGCCCTTTCTCCTGAAGTGCAATGTCAGCCAGGTATAAGAGCCCATGAGCCGCCCTTTTTGTCTTTCTCTCCTCAAGCCAACCACTTCATCACACTCGTTTTTGACTCTTCGGATCATTTTCACTCTTTAGTATACTATACTTAATTGTTCTTCATACTCAATCCATCTTTCCCAAGATCAAATAATTCCCCCCCAACCGTCAAAATGAAGGCCTCTATGATCTCCGTCCTCGCCGTTGTGGCTGCCGCTCAGGCTGGATACGTTGCCTACCCAGAGGGCTACCCAGTCGAGTCCACCTCTACCTACGAGGCACCAAAGCCAACCTACCCAGCTTCCACCTCCACCTACGAGGCACCAAAGCCAACTTACCCAGCCTCCTCCGAGAAGGTCTACGAGACCGCCTCCACTGAGGCCCCAAAGCCAACCTACCCAGCCTCTTCCTCCACCGCCGTCCCATACACCACCTCCACCGTGTATGAGACCAAGGAGTACACCATCACCTCTTGCGCCCCAACTGTGACCGACTGCCCAGGTAAGCTTTACAGAACGTGGAATTTCAGGACATCAGAAAACTAACAAACTCAATCAGTTGGCCACAAGACCTCCACCATCATCACCAAGACCACCGTCTGCCCGGTCGAGGCCACCAAGACCCCCGAGGCACCAGAGTACCCAACCAAGACTCCTGAGGCTCCTGAGTACCCCACCAAGACCCCAGAGGCACCAGAGCACCCAACCTACACCCCAGAGGGCCCAGTCAAGCCAACTTACACCCCAGAGGTCCCAGTCTACTCCACCAAGACCAACGAGGGCCCAGTCGAGTACCCAACTGGCAAGCCTTCCGTGTCTGTCCCAGTTGCTCCTTACCCAACTTACCCTGCTTCCACTGTTGGTAAGTTATTCTCCCTCACTCTCAAAGTTGAAAAAAATCAAGCGGAGAAGCAAGTCTAACAAGATCAAATAGTCACCAAGCCATACAGCACTGGATACCCAACTGGCTCTTACCCAGCCAAGAACACCACCGTCCCATACGTCACCAACGGCGCTGCCTCCATGAAGGCCGGTGGTCTCTTGATGGCCGTCGGACTCGTCGCCGCCCTCTTGTAAATTCTCCCATTCTCTCATTCTTGAAAAAACATGCAGCGCATTCGCATTCGAGGCGTTCATAAGGAATTGATTGGACTTTGTGGGAAGGGGTTGGGGTTTGGAAAATGGTGTGTGTGTGTGAAAGGACATAGCCGAGGAAGAGGAGAAGGAGTGAGCACATAATGGGGTTATTCTTTGTGATTTAATTTTTTTGAGGTGGTGTGTTGTAGGTATGTTTGGAAATATGAGAACGGTTGAAAGAAAGAAGAAGTAAGAAGAAAGAGAAGAAGAACAGTTGTGTGTGCGTGTGTTTTCATGTATACAAATCTTAGACCGTGACCGATTGTGGTTCGTTTGTTTTGGATACTTATACCACTACTGAGCACTGAATTTTCTTTTTATTTTTCTCTCCATGAAATGAAACTTTTGTAATGAGACGATTAAGAGTATGAATGAGCTATTGGGATGATGGAGCGAGATAATCTCGGGTTACTTTCGATATCTCGTGAAGTTTCTACAGTACGTTCGAATCTACCTAATAGATAGATATCTTCACTTCTCCCTCCATTCAATTCCTCTTGTTGATGTCTTGAATTGAAAAAAGTGACACGATGGATGCACCATCCTAACAACAAACAGCACAGACTCGACAGAGTCATATGGGAAAGCCCGAGCTCAATCAATAATCGCAGTGTTGCACTGCCCGCGGATCCCCCAAAGGCGAAACGCAGAATTTTTCGTGTAACCGAGATGAGATTGAGATGAGATGAGATGAAGTCGGGTGCGTGCGAGCCGGGTCTCGATTCTCGAATCGTAGGGCCAGGGGCGGGCGAGAGGCTAGGCTCGCTAGGCTGGGGTAGGTTAATCCAGGAACCGAGATGCTAGGACTCTAGGAGGCTAGGTATTTCGAATGATTTAGCCTCCCCAATCAGGGACTGAGGTCGAAAGTTGACGTTGCGGAGGCTAGGTAGGTATGATTCTAGATTGATTGATTGATTGTTGGTTGAGTAAATTTTACAGTAGGATCGAATGATTGGCGTTGGTTGGAGATTTGTTCTCTGGTAAGGTGAGGGAGGTGAGGGTGGTGAGGGAGGTGAGGGTGGTGAGGGAGGTGAGGGAGGGTGGTGGTAGTGTGGATGGATGGATGGATAAACTTGCTGTGCTGGTTGGTTGGATCGATGGATCGACGCATGGATGGATGGTTGGTTGAGTCATGAAATGAGATGAAATTGAAATTGACTCGTTACATTTGACTGGGGTGCTGCTGGAAACAACAAAGCAACAAAACAATGAGTGAACTGTGTGCATCTGGTGGAGATGAGATGAGATGAGATGAGACGCTTTGACGGCTTTCGTGTTGTATTCCAACCATGTAGATATTATTATTCTTTTTGGTCGAGTTGGAAGGTGCATCGGATTTGGAGTACGTGACTACCCTTGATATTGTCGGGGGGTGGGTGTGGGTGTGACTTGGTGATTAAATCTCAAATTTTACTTTGTGGGGAGGGGAACAGGACAGGGAAGAGTGGACGAGTATTGGGGGAACGAGGGGAACGGGGTCTGGGGACGTTGGGGATGAGAGATGAGATTGAGTTCCTGGGGAAGACGGAAATTAACTGCAGGCAGTGAGAACTCAAAAGTGCGGAGGATATGGGTCGTTTTGGGAGTTGGAGGTTGGAGGGTGTGAGCTAGCTGTGGGCGATGCGAGTGGTTGGAACTGAGGGTTTGAAAGCTGTAGATTTGGATAATGTCTACGTTCTTTGATTCTTGGATGAATTCGAAAGGAAGAGTAGGACATGGCGTTGTTCCGGTTATGGCATATATGTGGAATGGAGCTGGAGGAAGTCATGAGAAGTGAAGATCTGAGCGGAGGAGTTCTGTATATTTACTGCAAACGATAAGATGTGAATAATGAAGTGAACAAATCTCTAGCCTGAGACCAATCTAGGAGCCCGATCAAGTTTGTCTCTACCTACTGAGATATTTAAAGCACCTTTGAGTCCTTTTGACTTACTTTCTGCTGTCTTTCTGAAGCCTCGCAGATACCAAAGGACCTTAATTTGTTGTGGTAGACACTTCGGCTGTGATAGATGCTGCAGATTGATTATTGTTGTAAGAACCCCCTCTACCTGATCTCTAAAGAGGACCTACACTGTGATATGTTGAATGCGGTTCACTGGTTATCTACTTTCTGCTTTGGTTTTGGGAAATGATGGTACGAGGTTCTTAATGACAGCAACCAAAAAATCAACAATGTGCCCATTCTTGACAATAACATTCTATCTTGACCAATTAACGTGACATCTTGAATCACTGAACTGGATACTCTATCACTTGTGGACTGTTGATTTAAGTTGTAAGATCGTGCAGTCGACTGTGAATGGAATCGGTAGCTGATACGACTACCCTTCTGGAGAATTCCGGGTGTCCAAATTAAACATCAGTCGCAATTCGGTTTGCCATGGACGTGTTGCATTGGGAGAACAAAAGACTTGAGACTCTTTTATATTACCAAGAACTTGATTGACGAGTGAAGGCGCTGGGTATTAAGAGAAGGATGAATCAAATTAATGTGAGTGAATATTGCTTCAGTTTGAGGAACACGAAATATCTCCAGCTCCACTCGAGCCAAAATCACCTAAGGAATTAATCTCACCAGCCTAACATTGTGCTACTAACATTCTCAGTCATAGAGTATGTATTTAAATGAAAATACATCTGTTTTTGTTCGAGAGCGTGACAAAAACCCGCAAATATAGTCGTCTCAGGTCGTTGCTGCTGCTAGTATATCTTAGGAGAATGCTGGAAGATAATGTAGAGTGTGATATGGTCATGTGAAGCCCAGCCGAGTGAGTTGAGTGTAATGGGTAAACTTCTGACTGAGATTGTAGCTCGGGGGCGTGGTGATGATCGGATGTACTGGCACGGGCAACATTGACAGCAGTAAGTAGAGTTGACAGTGACAACAACTTTGTGGACGCAGGAGTTGACTAGATTGCTGCTGAATGTGAAATCATGGTGCTTGAAGACTTAATTTTAGATGATGTTCGGTGGAATGGAAGATTAGAGGATTGTGTAGCTTTACCTAAGAGAAGAAATTCCCCACGACACTAGCTGTCCCTTCAGAAGTAGCGAAATCGAGATATTGCAATTCAAAAGGCAACAGGATTACAGCAAAATCCATTTTTCCAGGGGTATCTTCAAGCCTACACAGAACTCCAACCAGAAATAAACTCAATACATCCCCTCCTTCAACCTCTCGCCAATCCCCTCCATGCCACCCCCCACAACCCTCCTCTCGTTCTCCCTATCCCTCCCATCCTCCCCAAGAATAACACACTTCACCACCTCCCCCCTCTCATCCACAATCGCCCTCCCAATTCTCCCATCAACCCACTCAATCCTAATCTGTTTCGCCTCCGCATCCGCAGCACTAATATCATTAATAACCTTCTCCCTCCCCTTCCCCTTCCTCGACTCCTTCTCATCTAACTTGAACTCCCTCCTCAAGCTCTTGATAACACCCGTGCGATTATGATACGCTACCACCTCCCTCCTCAGCGCTCTAACAAAGCGTCGCAAATCCTGCTTCTTGCCTCCCGCTCCAGCACTCTCAACACCCATCGCCGTGCTGCCTTTCCCGTGCGGTAGGAACTTCTCTGCGAGAGAAGAGAGCGGTATACTTGCTGGCACGGTATGGCGATGAATGCGCAGGAGATCGCTACCCTGCCAGGGCTTGTTCAGCATGATATAGTATGGCTTGACGAACTTCCCCGTGCTGGATACATCGATGCGGATTCCTAGGACATTGCCGCCGTCTACGGAATTGGGGTCTGGGTCTTGTACGCGGAATGTGGTTATTCCTGCGCAGGCGCGGTAGAGGTTCTCTTGTGTGTGTGCGCGTTGGGCGGTCGATGCTGCGAGGAGGAGGGGGGTTGTGTCGCTGGGTTGGGGTTGGGGTTGTGGTTGTGAGGGTTTTTGCGAGGCGCGGAGGCGGGTTAGGGTTGCTTTTGTGTGTCTTGAGGAGAGGATTGTTGCTGCTTGGAGTTTGCGCTGGGATTTGAGGGAGGATACTGGGAGTGAATATGTTAGACGAGTTGTGGTGATGGATGGAAGGGTGTTTACTTTGTGCTTGGAGGGAGGAGATCTCGTCGTCGAGTTGTGCGCCGATCGCGTCTGAGGCGGAGGTGTCTTCTGTCGAAGGGAGCATGGTTGTTGAAGTGTTCTATTAACTTAATCAATGGCTTGATGGACTGAAATGATAATGCGATCAATAATACAGGTGTCTAAGCAGGCGATGTCGTCGTGATACTCGAGAACGATGATGGTTGAAGTCAACACAGACTGGAGTCCTACGCGTCGCTTCGTTATCTGGCGCCAAATCCCGTGCTTGGTGGGCCGATAAGGCACGAACAAGCACGAGCTGGACATCAGGTCTTGTCTTGTCTCATGCTGCTAATCCTCCTGGATCATTGTCCCCATCCCTTCTCAACGTCTTCCACATATTATCTCTCTTCTTCTCTCTGTCGTCAGCTTCAAGTTCTATTCATTGGTGTCCTGTTCATGTTCTCTGCCAGCCGCCGGCTGCCTCGTCCCCTCCTTTGCCCCTCGTGTTGAAGAGGCCACGTTCGCTTGACAGTAGTGTTTCGTGCCTGGCGATCCACTCGCACCGCAGGCGGCCAGAATCTCCAGTCCAGTCCCCGTTTCTTTATCCCGCGGGACTTTAGAGGCCAGCGAGTCTCTAAAGCTCTGCCTCAACACCACATGTATGCCTACTCCATTAGGTGACACCATTCCTTCGATTTCTGTTCACTCGCAAAGCACCCTTCACAATAACCAGCGTCTACCGTTACACCACGATTCGCAATTCCCCCACGCGCAGGAACTCGACGATCTCGCCCCAAGCACCACTGGACAACGTCACAATAGAAACAGAAATTCCTTAAGCTTAGAAGACACACCGGAGGATACGCACCTGCTTACCGCAGACTCGTCAGGCGAAGAAGAAGACGATCCTTCTATGGGTCCCAAGTCGAGAAGGCCGCGATCCAAGGAGCCAAAAGGCTCGTCCTCTTCTGCTACAGGAGGGGAAAACGGTCACCTCAACGGCAGTATGAATAACAATGTGGAATACAGGCGCAAAAATGCCTCGCTCGAATCCCCAACCATTACAGCCAACCTGATGGCGCGCGAATCTTTTACATTAGACGACCATGTCCCCAAAACACCAACTATGAACAACCATGGCTTCTTTGAGCTGCCCATGTCGGACAGGAGGAATTTTGGCTTGCTGGTCTTGTTATACTTTCTGCAGGGTGTTCCGATGGGGCTGGCGACTGGCTCAGTACCTTTCTTACTGAAGCCTTACATGTCATACAGTGCGCTGGGCGTGTTCAGTTTAGCATCCTACCCATATTCGCTGAAGCTATTATGGAGTCCAATAGTCGATGCAGTATGGAGTCCCAAGCTTGGCAGGAGAAAGAGTTGGATTATGCCCATTCAGATGTTGTCTGGGATCGGTATGATATGGCTGGGAGCAAGAGTCAAGGAGATGATGGTTACAGCTGGCGCAGACGGTGGGGCTGGGATATGGGGATTTACCGGATGGTGGTTCTTCCTGGTCTTCATGTGCGCGACGCAGGATATTGCTGTAGATGGTTGGGCGCTGACGTTATTGACTCCGGGCAATATCTCGTACGCTTCTACGGCGCAGACAGTTGGCTTAACTGCTGGCCAGTTCATGTCCTACACCGTATTTCTTGCCTTCAACTCTCCCGACTTTGCCAACAAATGGTTCCGAAAGACACCTTTGGCGGAAGGTGTCATGACACTCGGGGGATACTTGACATTCTGGGGATGGGCATACATTATTGTCACGCTTGGTCTCGCAGCACTGAAGCGCGAAGAGAAGACCAGGAATGAGGACGGCATTTGGGATGTTTACAAGGTCATGTGGGGAGTTCTGAAGTTGAAGAACATCCAGACGATCATTATCATTCATCTGATCGCCAAAATCGGCTTCCAGGCCAACGACGCAGTTACCAATCTGAAGCTCATCGACAAAGGATTCAGTCAGGAAGACCTGGCTCTTACTGTTCTCATCGATTTCCCCTTCGAAATTGGTCTCGGTTACTATGCAGGGAAATGGTCCACGACTTACACGCCTATGCGCCTCTGGTGTTGGGGTTTCGTAGGTCGTCTAATTGCTGCTGTTATTGCTCAGATCACGGTTGTCATCTTCCCTGCCAAGGGTGTTGACACTTGGTACCTACTTGTGGTCATTGCCGAGCATATCTTTTCTACCTTTACCAGTACCGTCATGTTCGTTGCAGTCTCAGCATTCCATGCTAGAATTGCAGATCCTGTCATTGGAGGTACCTACATGACATTACTCGCTACGTAAGTTTCCTTTTCAACCCTGGTGATATTTGGCTTCTAACAGTATGCAGCGTATCTAACCTCGGCGGTACCTTCCCACGATTCTTCGTCCTCAAACTTGTCGATGCCTTCACAGTAGCATCGTGTATACCTCCATCAGCTTCTTACGTGCTCGACTCTAAGCTTCGAGGTCCTCTCGTTACCCAGCCTTTCTCTTGCGCCTTGTCAGCTGAGAAAGACAGGTGTATCCAGGGAGGTGGTCGTTGCGATATCACGACCGATGGGTACTATGTTATGAACGTGGTGTGTGTGATTATAGGGGTCGTTACGTTCTGGGGTTATATTAAGCCAGCGGCGTTGAGACTGCAGGCCTTGCCGCTGAGAGCTTGGAGGACTTCGGAATAGCAGCATGATGGTTGAGGGGAGGGCATGATGGAAAAGGGGGTGTGTAGAATATTGTAGATTACAACTTAGAGGGGTGGATGCATAGTTAGCATTTGAAAGCATAGCATTGAATAAGGATTTTGTGCAAGCTTGTGGTTGACTCGCGTTGGATATTCGCCCATCCTCCTTCTGTCAGTCTCAATCTCTGTCTAGAGAGCGCTCATTTCCACCTGTCTCAAGAAAATTCAAAACTTATCCTTTCAGCGAGTCATCTTTTCCTCAACTCATTACCTCCCCTATCTCTCAGCACGACGAAGCGAAACAGACCTGATAGCCTCGTCTGAGGCAACGTGGAAATGTCAAATCCCCCCATCCTTCCAATCGGGCTAGCCTTCCCTCGCTCCCGCTCAACGGGCCCCTTTCCTATCCACTCGGATGCAGACCTGCAAGAGATCCTGATCCTAGGAAATCTCCACAGAGCCCACTCCTTACTTCCCCCAGGGAAAGGAAAGCTTCAGATTTCTGGGCTGACTTGACCGCTTGACTCGTTCTCTAGAACCTCATCCCAACAGATTCACTTTGGGCTCGAAACTATTTGCCCGAATTAAACGGGATAAGTCCGCCTTGGGAGCTGAAGTTCTTAGAGCTCACATTCGATTGAGAGTCGCAATTGGCGCCCAAAAGGCGGAACTGCAAGTCGAAGGCGGATCACGTTTGCCCTACTTTTACATGCAGGACGAGACCAGACAAGAGGTACCTGCACGGTACTGACCTGCAGCATGCAGAGTCGGTGAAGAGGATCCAGTCAGGTCCCAGTCCCATCCTCATCCCCATCCCAATCGCCGAGTACAGCACATCACATCCATATTGCACGGTAGAGCTACAGCAGGGCAAGCAGAGGGAAGACAGCCTATCCTGTACGAACAGATGTTCGTCCGTCGATCAATCAATATCCTCGACTGTACGAAAAGCCACCCTCCCCACACTCAGCAACCTGTCGGAGTACAGAATAGGCGGATGCCCAACTGAGGCTGTCTGACTGTCGTTGGGTCTTGGGCTTCAGTGCTGTGGGGTTGGATGCAGAGTGCTGTGGCTGCTACATATGCGTGGGCACGAATTACACCCACGGTCAATGGCGATACCACAGGCTGCAGATGGTGCGCGGCATACCCACAGCCATAGAGAAAGGGACAGAGATAGAGACAGGGACGCCGTGGAGGATAGGGCTAGAGATCCAGCGAGAGATCGAAAGGCGAGGCGGCGTGCAGGTGCTGCACCACTACCACGCTGGTCGTCAGCGTCAGCCTCTTCATTGGACGACGCAGAGAAACTCTGCCACTCGCGTGGCGAGGAAAAGGTCACAGTCGGCACCGGTGCCACCAGAACTGGGACGGAGACGGGGAGGACTCGATACAGAACTCGACCCTGCGTCGTTGCGCAGGAGAAGGTTATATAGACTCGAGGGGCAGCAGCAGCAGCATCGTAGCCGTCATCATCGCCAATTGTCCCATAGCTCCAGCGAGGGGATTGGGAGGGAGAGAGACGAACTTACTTCCACGCCGACGCTGACAAGGACCATGACGACGGATTCGCATGCTACGAGGAGTTCGAGGAGGGATGCTACGGGTGCAGGTGCGAGTGTGAGTGAGGGGCATAAGAGGAGGGGACATAGAGATGAGGAGAAGAGACAGAGGAGGAAGAAGAGGGAGGAGGAAGGAGACGATGCGCCAGCGCAGTATGTATATGGTGCGCCAGCGGAGAAAGCAAAGACTGCGACTGTGAGGGTCTCTGAGACAAGGAGACTTGGAAGAGATGGAGAGAGCGATGAGGAGAGGGAGAGGGAGAGGGTTATTAGCTCGAGGAGTGTCAAGGAGAAACCGAGGGAGAACAAGATCAAGGTTGTATATGTGACGAGGGACGAGACCAGAGCGTCGAAACATAAGGAACCCAGGGTCAAGACTGTGAAGGAGGATAGACCTCGTGAGTCGGACGCTTCTGAGTATCGGAGTAGGATGCATCAGTCGAGGAGGAAATCTGTGGTTGAATCTCTGCCTCCGTCGCCACCTAGAAGGTATGTACTGGACGATGCTTGTGCTGGGTGAAACTAAGGTTTTGTAGACATACGTCGAGTCGAATACCACACTCCGAAGCTAGACCTGCGTTGAAGAGGAGCCATACTACGAGTTCGCATGTCCCCTCTACTAGATCACATATACCTTCCACAACAGGGACAAGTCCAACCGCGAAGCGATCGAGTTTCATGGGTTCGTTCTTTGGTCCAGGAATACAACCGCACCACCATGAGCCTGAGAAGCTGTAAGATCCATTATCCTTCTTCTCAAACTGACATGCTAAACTCCCCAGTGTTGAATGCCTAACCTGTCTCTCCGACGACATCCCCCGCTCCAAATCCGCAAAACTAAAATGCGGCCACCGAATGTGCCATTCATGCTTAAAACGAATCTTCCGCCTCTCAGTCAACGATCCCCAACACATGCCACCGAAATGCTGTACCGCCGACCACATCCCCCTCAAGCACGTCGAGAAGCTCTTCGACATCAACTTCAAGAAGAACTGGAATCGGAAATTCCAAGAGTTCTCCACCAAGAACCGCATCTACTGCCCCGCTCGCAGGTGCGGGGAGTGGATCAAGCCGGGGAACATGCATAAAGAGGACGGGAAAAAGTATGGGAAGTGTGGGCGCTGTAAGACGAAGGTGTGTTGTTTGTGCAATGGGAAATGGCATGGGACGAAGGATTGTCCGAAAGATGAAGAGACGAACAAGTTGCTGGAAACGGCGAAACAAGCTGGTTGGCAAAGATGCTATAATTGTAGGACTATGGTCGAGTTGAAGGAGGGCTGTAATCACATGACTTGGTATATCTCTCCCTCTCGTCTCATGTTGAAGTAAACAAAGCTAACAACACCCAGTCGATGTACAGCCGAATTCTGCATGATCTGCGGCCTGAAATGGAAATCCTGCAACTGCCCCTGGTTCAACTACGAAGCCGTCGAAGAAGACCGTCTCAACCACATGCAAATCCCCCGTGACGTCCCTGTCAACGGAGGCAACGTCCCTCCAGATCCCATCGACGACCGACCCCGCCGCATCCGCCGCCCCCGCCCGGCAACCTACCACGAAGAACTCACAGAGCGCCAACGTCAAGAACGCCGCGACGAAGCCCTAGCCCGCCGCATGCAGCGCGCCGCCCTCAACGACGCCGACGACAACTACCAAGGCGGAATCGGCGACATCCACGGCGTCGGGAATGGCGCCGCCCACTTCATGAATCAGGATTATGTCCGCGCAGCGCATAATATCCTGACGGGGAATTTCGACCAGGCCACCGCGGCGGCGAATTATGTCATGGGTGTCGCGAATGCGAGGGCCCCGGCACGGGCGGCGAGGAGGACTATGAATGAGAGGTACCCCGTGCCGGCACCACCTGCTCCGCCGCCGATGCTGAGGAGACATACGGTTAGGGAACGCGCGTATAATGATGCGTTGCCGAGGGTGAGAGCTGCTGAGCGGATTGTGCCTAGACGGAGTAGGACGGATTATGAGGCGGAGGCGGCGGTTCATGCACCGCTAGGGAGGACTCCCCCGCGTCCTGAGAATGCTTCTGCCGCGAGGGTTGATAGGCCTAGAGAAAGGGAGGGCAGAGGAGCAGGGGAACCGAGATCTGCTGTTCTTGCGGGCCTTGGGGGTAGGGGGAATAGAGTTAGTGCTTGGAGGAGTCATGTTCAGCCTGGTGTGGAGCCGGAGGAGGGGGTGTTGAATGTGATCCCTTAGGGGAGCGAGATTTGAGGATTTGTTTTGACGGTGAGATACCTATATATATATATCTTTGAGCTGCAAGGAGAGACTATCATCGACGGTGTATCGATCTCTCGGGTGGGACGAATTTAGCAGCTGTGGGCTGGAATTTCGAGGGTACGGGGTGGAAGTGGTTTATATGGGCCGGCAGACTACGGTGGCATGTTATTCATGTTTTATATCTTCGGGTTGGGGATGGTATATCCTTTTTAATGACTGAATTGTCTTGTATATACCCCATTTGGCATTTGTGGATGGATGGAAGACTGGCTTGTTCGAATACGTGGATATGGATGTGGATTTGGGTTTGGGGTTTGGGGTTTGGAGCTGTATTGTATGTAGAGAGAGAGATATGATCTTAACGACATTACATTCTTAATAATACAGTAAAGTTAAGGGTAGTGGGTTGATACGCTTATTTTGAAGGTCGAACGGGCTGTTTGTAGCTTTGCTTTGCTTTCTTCAAATTCTTCCCTTCATAATACTTCTTTCGCTTATGCCTGGACGCACATTAGATAAAGCTCTTAATTAAATTTGTAGTAACCATATCGGATGTTTCAAAACGCGAGGGAAGTGGACATGCTGCCTGCCTGCGTTCTTTTTATTTGTTCAAAGAAATCTCGCTTAGCCAAGCACATCAACAAAATATATCCCTTTGACAAGTCTTAAGGTGAAGGGTCCAGTGTTGAACACGATTCCTTAAGCCACTTTTAAGTAGTCATACAGGCCGCTGTGTTAAGTGCGTTGATCTAATTACGACTGACAGTGCAACATCAACCACTTCTCCCGACACTTCGGACAGCACTTCGAACAGCGATCTATTCACGGGTTTGTATTCTGTATGCTACGTTCTGAGAAGAGCTAGGAAGCTAGAATTCCACTGCGGAAGAGTCATCTCTAGACCATTTTTGTTCTTTCCATCTCAAAAGCCGTTCTTTCATCTACCATGGTAGCTGTAAAGGCTTAGGAAGGTTCTTTCCAATAGTCTCCTCCGCCGTTGCAAGACCCTCTATATACCATATGTCAGCACTCCAACTATTTATACAACCTACCTATCGACCACCCCATCTTACTGGCAAAAAGAGAACAAACAAAAAGTATCACTTACTCGGCCCTTCAAGCGCCCAAAACTCCCCCGTCTTCTCCATCGTCAAGGTCTCCTCCCAGCATAGAATACTCCCCGCTGCATCCTCCTCACTGACCGCACCCTTATCTTTCCAGTATTTGGAAACACCCCTCATCGTTCTCGTCATCTCCTCTCGCATAAGCCCCGGATGCACCGTAGTCACAATCACGCCGTCATCCTTTAGCTCGAAACTAAGAAGTTTCCCGACCATGTTGAGCGCAGCTTTAGAGGCGCGATGTGCGTAGTCACCGCCGTCTTCTTTAGGGTGGCGGAGTGTGATAGACCCGGATTCACAGGAGACAAGGACGATTCTGCCGCCGCGGGTGAGGAAACCGTTCGCGTGAAGGTTTTGGATTATGAAGGTAGGGGAGATGGCTATTATTGCTAGAGGAGCAGGGTTATTAGGGTTTTGAGAACAGGGGGAGAGAGGACGAGGGAGGGGGGAACGAACTGTATGTTTTGATTTCCAGGTCCCAATCCGGACCCCTCTTGAGATTTTCGTAATCCTCTTTGTGATAGCCTGGTGTGTAGATCTGCGAGTAGCATCAGCACATGTACTTCCTTCAATCCTCCCCTACACTCCCTAAAACTCAAACTCACCACAACATCAAACCCCCCCTTCGCCTGCCTCTCTCGCGTACCATGAGCCAACAACTGATCCACTAATCTAACACCTACCCCACGCTTTTCCACATCAATGTCCGTCAGCCAAATAATATTCTCTCTAAATTCGTCCCCTTTTTCTGTTAAGTGAGGCGCGTAGTCTCTTCGAGTGGTAGCGTAGACAGTAGTGTAGGTTTGGGAGGCGTAGAGGTTGGCGAGGGCAGCGCCGAGGCCACGGGTGGCACCGACGATGAGGATATTTTGTGCTTGGGGCATGGTTTGGGGTGGAGTGGAGTGAAGTGGAGTGGATTGGAGTGAAGTGGATTGGAGTTGTTGTTGTTCGCGAATGTTCGACTTGAAAAGGCTCAGTAGACACTTAGAGGGGGGGAGGTATATCGTTATAGGGGAGAAAGGGGGGTGTATCAATACCCGGGTTGGAAGGGAAGAGAAGAGAGGAGTGTAGGCTAGGGTGATAGTGGTGAGAAGGGGAATGAATGGGAGGGAAAAGAAGGAAATTGAGGACAGGCGAGGCGGGGGTTTTTATACAGATACATACAGACTGAATATGAGCACTTTCTACAGTTACTTTCTATAAACATACGTTTTTTGACTTCCGGGTCGTTTTATATCTCTCCGCTGGGCTGCTGCGAGGGTTGACATTTCGCTTCAGGCTTGTTTTCAGTGGTCTCAGCGCAATCACGTGCGCATGTCAACCCTGGCAGCAGCCCAGCGGATAATGGAGTCAATTGTTTACATTTTTTTTTGGAGCTAGATTCTCTGATTTTCATTGGATCTCTGTGATTTTAAGATTTTCCCTGACTCGAGCTGATATCCAGTCTTTGTCTGAACGTCTTTCGTTAGCCTTTCCCCTTGAACATCCCTCATTCTCTCGCTCCCTCCAAGGTAAGGTCTCCAAGGAGAGGTCTCCTAGTTCTCTACTACATTCTGCTTCTCTTTCCTCCTCCTCCTCCTCCCTCTTCCTTACCTTTCTTCCCTCCCTTTCCCCTTTTTCGATTACTCTAAAGTTAGTTCGTGCTTTGATAGTAAGACGAAAAAACAAAAAAGAGCTCAGAAGGTTCGGTCCGAGCTACTAAAAGCTTAATGTGTCTGTAGTTTTTGAATAAAATTACTGCAGGCTTTGGACCTATCTATCAGATATGAATTTTGTCTGTATTTTACCATTGAAAGTACAGACATAATACAGATAAATTACAGTTGTTGTCTGGATAAAAAGCCCGTAGGGTGGTAAGAGGAATGTTTTGCTTGCTGGAGCTGGTTCCGTTATCTCATGGAGGGGCAACTGTGGTTAAACCAGGGTCCAGCTTGAGTCAGGGCACTGCAGGTGTATGGCATGCTGCCGTCAGTGGATCATAGTTTGGGTTAGGTGTCGCACTTGGCATGTGAGATGAGCTGGAGGGGTAGTTTTTCAGAGGATGGGCTGGGGCACATTGAAGTGCACCTGGAGCGCGTTTCATATTGTTTTGTTGAATACACTCTGGACATTCAGAAACATGCAAACAATTCTGTTATCATAACGTTAGGAAGTCTCTCATAGCTGATCAGTTTTGGGGGAGAGTGGGTCGAGAACGGCACAGAGATGGTAGAGAAGCTGACATGGTAGATTATCAGGTAGTGGAGGGGTTCGAGACACTTCCCGGTGGGCATAGCCGCCATTGTGGATGTGCAACGTCACCATGAATGACTAAAGTATTCTGCATCCTCACTCAGTCTCACGAAAATAATCTGGCATTACTTTGGACAGAAGTGGGGCTCTCCAGCAAGCAGTCGCAGATTATCGACTATCACGCATAACAAATCGAAGGCGATATTTCCTTAAATCCCGAAGCCCCGATTCAAATATCAGCCTCTCGAGGAAAAGCCTTCTCTTTCGTGCCCATTTATGATTTTGATTTGGTTGCCCATCTCCCTTACATATGATCTCCAGATCCAATTTCTGCACGCTACTCCAAGAAGCTTGTAAGCTCCCAGATCGATGGGCAGGTATAAAACGGCCTAGTGGGCTGAGAAAATCTTCCTCGTAAGTTGCTTACAAAACCTCGGAGTCGTAGAAGCAATTGTTAGGAGTTTGCTAGCTGAGTTGCGCCGGCAGTGTATACCTAGCCCTCGATTGGAGCAGCCACACACCATGCACGTTTATCAACATGTTCTTAAAGAAAAAGCGTCAAGGACTCGGTGAATCCATCCACTGGCTATTGCGCTCACCTCGCCCTCGTGACCGAGCAGCGGGCGTAAAGAGCCCGGTAGGATCAAAAATTACCAGACCCACTCACTGACCAGCTTCATCACCAATAATCATTGGAACAAGCTTAGATGGTTCATTACTGTTTTGTGCCATCGCAATCACCAGCTGCAGGTGAATATTCTTGATGACGGTCGAAGTCTAGATTCTATAATCAGTAGGAAGTGCGACACTTGCGCTTGAAGATTCATTGATTGCCCATACAGCAAGATCGGGAAATGATACTTCCTTGAGACGGTGGGATAGGGCTTTTGTCGCTCGTCCGCGACAGTACAGCCGACCAAAATCAATCCTGAAGGTTGTTTTGACCGCCATCACCTAAGCGAAAATTTAGCGCGCAGCTGACTCAACGTCGACCTAGCCCAAGGCCAGCTTGTGATAGAGCTTTTGTCCTTTCGTCGAAGATTCTTTGTGTGAAACACAGTATAATTATCGCTGGAGCGATAGGTTACAAGCCTAGATTGATAAGCTCAGTGACGATTCTATTCTGTTGCTGTCCAAGGACTAGGCTTGGGGATTACTGTTATACACCTAACATCCTTCTTAATTCTGAGCAATGGCGCGCGAAAGATCGCTTTCGAGGATAGGTACCAACCATTTAGCGCGTGCATCCAACTGAAGTTTGTAGGACGCACGATCTCGCAAGAGGTCCAGAGATATTGCTAGGAAAGACAAGTATTCCGATGAAGAAACCTGTACAAAGGAATATCAAGGTAGTCTCATGGTCGCCATTGAGTGCGGTTTGAGTACTGACTCTTCATACATCATACCGAGGAAACGACGGCCGCTCTCGTGCAGCATCTTGCAACACTAATCTCATATTTGCCTTTGTCCTGTTGGAATGTTGGCCAGGTAAAGGACACTTGTGAGACTGTTAGCTTCTTTGTTACCTAACCAGCCTAAGATTTTACGTCCAGCTGTTCATTGCAAAATATACTCAAAGCTCTCACAATCAAATTGATAAGCATGCTCCACCAGATATAGCTTTTTCCATGGCTGATAAGGTGTGTCGTGACTCTTCATCTTCTGCGTACAGGATTATCTGCGTCCTGTTATTTTGCGTAGAATTGGAAAGACCGAAAACAAGAGTAACATGATACGTCGAATTTAGTTATCAGTTTGTATATCCTCTTGTTGATGGTGGCTGTCGGGTCCGATTGTCAAAGGTCTAGACTTTTTAATGATATGGGTTTGAATTTGGGAATTCTAGCAAACAATTTAGGAGTTCAAGCACAGTCTAGTGATAACTTACGTGTCCTTTACAATGTCCCTTGGCAACAGCTAATCCTTTATCCCGTACTGCATTTATTTCTATACCCCTTCTGCTTTTTCCTCTCCCTCGTCCTCTCCCCACAGGACGAACCGCTAGTTCCGTACCTGTAATTCCTTCGATATCCACAACTCGCTCGCTCTCCATTATGATTGCGTACCCCTTTGTCTTGGCCCATTCTATGAGTCCCAAACCTCTGTAATCTTTTACACTGATATCGGCTCCCCTTGTGCTGAACTCTACCACACATTCCCCTCCATCCACCCTGTCGCGCTCTTCGGGAGAATCTCATATCCCTGTAGCCCACAGTAGGGGCGTTCTGTCTTGCGCATCTCTGAATTCCATGTTGACATCATTGTCCATGAGCACACGGATTGTCTCAACATGAGTGCTTCTGCCAGAATACTGCTTGTCGAAAGCCAAGTGGAGTAATGAGTCTCTCAGCTGCCACACTACTCCAGATTCCCGTAAAGGCTCTAAGATTGGAGCCATAGAGGCGTGATAGCCAGGCCACAAAATGCCATGATGTTTCAGGTTATCGATCTTTGTAATATCCGCACCTTTCTGAAAGAGACATGAGATAAAGGCAGTCGGGTGGCTGGAGTCTTCTCTGTTACTTGCGACTGCCAGCTGGAGCACTGTCCACCCTTCAGCGGTCTGCTCGTTGATGTCTGCACCATATTCAAGAATCTAAGCCGATAATTCGATTGCTGCTGTCATACCGGCGGCAAAGTGTAAAGCTGTCCAGCCGAGCGGTGTTTTACAAGAAATCAGATCGCTATCAGAGGCGAGTAGATACCTAACTGCTTCTATATTTCCGCGGTAAGAAGCTTCATGTATAACCCCTTTTTCTTGAGAGTTTGATGCATAGGGAGACAGGCCTTTGTTGAGGAGTAGGGAAAGTATTTTCGGGCATGCTGATGTGAAGTTAGAAACTGAGGCGTTTAAAAGTGGGTTTTCGTCTTCATCAAGGTGCGTTACACAGGCACCTTTCTCGAGCAGCCTCTTGACAAAATAGACATCATCAGCTAAAACAGCTTGGAAAAATGGTGTCTTTTTGTCAAATTGCTTCATATCCTCCCCATTCAATGAGTTCACATCAGCTCCTCTGTCCAATAGCATATCAAAGATCTCTCTTGCTCGGCTACCCTGTCGCGCCATCTCATGAAGCGGCCTCATGTATTGATACTGGTCATGACAGCTTCTGGCTTCGGCATCTCCTCCAGCTTGTAATAGCAGTTTCACGACCTTTTTTCATTTCCTCTGCGCATCTTCCTAGGGTCCTCTGCGTACGCAATTGTGTATGGGCGTTTCGTCCATATCGGGCTCAGGCAAGATTGCTCGCAACAAAGCGTAATCAACACCCTTTTGGTCAAGCGTTGAATCAGTAAGTATGAACTCAACAACATCTTCAATCCAAGCAGCGGCCGCTAATTGCAACTCGTATGCCACCGCTGGTCCTCTCGGGACTCCATCGTCAAATGAACCACGCTCATTATTTGCCAGCCACGCAAAGACCTCCTTAACACATTCCAATTTTCCAGAGCTAGCTGCGCGATATAACACTCTTGAAATCATGCATCCACCTTTCCCGATCAATAGTCTTAAAACTTCCAAGAATCCAAGCGCGGCTGCTTCACAGACTGCGTCACTCGCGCTGCCGCCCTCTTCTTCATCCCAGTGCAGACGCAGCTGTGGATCTGCACCATGGTCCAAGAGAATCTTGACCGAGGTGATATCATTGTTCGCTACAGCCACTCCGAGGGGTGTGCTCGAAGGGGAGTTGAAGGGATTTTTCTCGTATTGATTGACCATGCTGTCTGATATCTTCAGCAGCCGTTCGAGCTCAGCGTGATCCCCTCTGGATACTGCGGCTTGCAGGGGCAGCGAGGGCTGTGGCTTCCACTCCTCGCCAAATTGTGAATACTCTTTGTCCATGATGAGTTTTACAATCCGTTATCGTGATAGTGGTTGCTTATGACTTGTAAATGAGGTACAGAAAGAAGTCTCGCAAACCTATTGTGGGAAAGCTCAACGTAGTCTGTATTACCATACTCGCTCATGCCCAGGGTGCCCCACCTGCAGTACTTATGCAGATTTAAAAGTCGTCTCCGCTCTGGTGCACAATTACATATTTGCATATTTTGCATTAAACTCGAGGCCCAAATCGACACGACAACATGGAATGACGACATCCACAAGCTGGAAAGAAGACCATACACGCATTAGCATCAAAGATTTGTGCTGGTGCCTCGCGAGTGTCCGGGTTTGGTGAAATCTAGTTTCCAGGCCTTGCTTCCTGCCAATAGTCTTAAGCCGAGCGCAGCTGCGCAACTTCGCATCTCCCCTTTCCTCAGCCGTTCAGTTCTACTTTATTCTATGAGCTGCAAATTGAATCCCATTTGGACGTTCTACCGTGGCTCATGGGATCTACAGAGAAATGCTATGTAAAGGCTGGAAAGATGATCCGAAAGAAAATCTTCCAATTTACGAGTACATAATGAAAGTCTCGGCCCGTTTCTCGCGCAAACAAAATTTCGATATCGAAATAGTGAAGGAACTCGAAAGCGACAAACAAATCTATTCCGTTTACGAGAACGCCCGACTGACTTCATGCACCCGACGATCACAGAGAGAACGAACAGTGAAAAAACATGAGTTTATGAAATACCACAACATGAGACTCCATAGGACGTGAACGATATCGAATTCAAATGTTACAGGAAGAGGTCGGCGAGATGGAGCTCTGAAAAGTACGGTCAATTTAAGACCGGACAAGTGGAATGAGGAGTAGTCTCCGAACTCTAAAGAACGCACTGACCGACCAAATCCTTCCGGGCGAGAGTGGAAGCGAGCCGCTAAGCTATAACAGGAAGTATGTTTATGCCCGCCCTCCTTGTGTTGCTAGCCCCACCAAGCGCGCCGCACCGAGTGTCCTGCTCGCAATTCAAGAAAAGAGACCATTACTTCGATCTAGATACCGTTGTAGGGTACAAATACTTTTCAAAAGCAGACGTTCCAAGGAATAAACACATATTTTCAGTTAATCCGGAATCCATTTAAACATTCGATATAGAATATAAAAGCCGCCTCGCTGAGGACGACACATCATCTTCCTTTCATACTCGACAACAAAGTGAAATAGCTTTTTTAAATCTACTGCCGCATCTCTCGCTTTTATTCTTTTCGGGAATTATTCGCTAGCGTCTAGCAGATTTACTTAAACGAGGTGCTTGAGGAATTATCCATTGTCATCTACAAAGGGTTAACTACAAGGAACATTTAGCTGGGAACATCTAGGAGGACAAAATCTAGCAAGCTTTTGTAAATGACACGAAGGCCCTTTGAGTAATCAGGCTTCGTCTGTCTGCTGACATCTCGAGCAGATCACATAATGGGAGGGTGCCACGCGATCTGCCAAGTTCAGTACTGGTAGATCGGTGGATGGGCCAGGTCTTCTCATCTGCGCGGTGATCTACCCCTCTTGGGTTAACATCGGCTGGAAGTGATACGCCTGGTCAGCCCTTGATGACTCGATTCGGAGAGCGGGACAGTTGACCAGCCCTAGAGCTTTGGACGCGGTGTCCTGAGTACGTTTACTTCCTATTATTCTACTTGAAGGCACTCTAGATGGCGTACCAAATCAGCAGCGCCCATTTCCCTTCTACACCATTGCTTCCAACCATATTGTCGGAATTACCAAGAACAGGTATGACATCCACCCCAGACTTAACCACCGCTACTTTTAGGCTATCTGGCAAATACCCAAGAGTAGGAGATGGTGCATAACATTGGCCTTGGTTGCTTTCTGCGATCATTCAGCACGAATCGCGGCTTTTGAGATTTTTAAAAACTGTTCCGGAGGTTTAGCGCCAGCTTCACTACACATGCAAACGTCGTGCATCCACCAATTCCTACTACTAAAAAGACGTCTTTGATAGCGTCAAAAGACATTGCTATCCCTACCACAATATCCTCAAGGACCTCTGTCGTAGCTCTCTGGTAAGTCTGCTGATATCCAACGTCTTTGCCACGCCAAAAAGTCATACTAATCTTTATGCCGCCACTAGTGCTAAAATCAGCAGTCCCCAACACCCTCAGAGTCACGAAACGGGCTCGTCCATCCGCTTCCGACAAGTCGCACATAAATTCTGGAGCCTTCGCTCCAAGCCAACTGTATGGTAACTAAAAAGGCTTGAACAAGGCGGTCGATACACAATCGGTGGTCGGCGGACTGCTCGTTTCTGGGAGTGGAGGGTTGGCTTAGGCAATCCAGGAAATGTCGGTTCGGACCAAACGGACAACGGTGAGATGGAAAGTCAGCTTCAGGATATTTCGACATTTAGTTGAACAGGGCGAGAGGAAAGAATAGTGTTTGATAACACAGCCGGTATTCTGCGTAATCCAACATACAATCCGCGGGTTTCTTACCGAGCTGGATCTTTCATAACTCATACCCCACCACCTCAATCTCCACCAATCAACCGATGCTACTGCTAAAAACACCATTAGTTGTAAACAATCTCTATATGGTGCAAGCTAACATCTAACAGGGGCTCTTGATATTACTGGAGGACTAGGAAAGTTTATCTTCCCCCTTACTCTACTCACCTCTTGATTTAGGACGTCTCAAATGAGAGGAGTGCTCTACTCTACCATCTGCTCTGTACTACACAGCTGCAGACGTAACAGAAGGGATGAGCGGCCACGACTCGTATAGGCTGTGATGGCGACGGTTTTTGGACCGACACGTAATGGATGTTACCGTTGGCCAGCTCCTGAAAATTTGTGTTGAGGGAGAAGCCAAATTGCCTCTTGATGTACGCTGGCCATTAAAGTTGGAGATGGGAAGTGTAGGAGTCAGGTCATTGGCTTTGACCTTTACAGGTACAGATACCGCCCGTTCAGTGCACTGCCACCTTTCATGAACAGATACATACCCAGCGGACTATTTCTTGTGGAAGCACTGGCCAGCTCTGAAGTCTGTGGTCGTGAGTTTTCAAGTGAGTCTATATTTCCTTTCAGATTGTGGCAGTGGTATCGATATCGGACTTCTTATATTTTACAACAACATCCGGTCGAGAGGACAACCCAGGGTAGTCATGACACTGCTTGAAAGCAAGCTTTAGCACTCTCACTGCACTTTGTGGAACAGTGGCCCTACCACAATCTTTGCTAGGTAAAGTTCTATTCTAGCTTGTAGATGGCCGAGAAGCTTGTAGATTCTACTCCACTAGCTTCTGCCAATTAAACATCATCATTGCTAACACGGTAGTAGGCTTTGTACCCAAGCTTGTGTTTCCAACCACTCTACCCCGTTCAAGATCGAACTTTGTCCGCCGTCCAACCCCGCCAATTTCATAAGCTCTATCCCAAGTTACCTTGCACGAAAGAATCAGAGGGGGTTCGAAGTCACTGAGGGCAAGCTAGATTATATGTTAGATAGGTCTAAGCCTTGAGGAAATTGAGGTCAAGGGAGGTGTTGCAATATCTGGAGACCTTTAAACTTAGGGAGACAGATACACTACAGCCGTAGAATAATCACATCGGTGTTAAAGAGAATAATGACAACGAATAGGCGTTAAACTGTCCCACCAACGATTTATTGGCAAGTGACTGCGGATTTGGCTTTCCAGGCTCCCAATCTCGCTATTATTCTTCCACTCTGGCATGGCTCTGATAATAGTACCCAGCATTTCCTGTAGAATCTTCAGATTTCGTCATGCGGGTTTCGTATTCGGCGTGGCATTCAGCTTACATCAAAGTGCCACGGTGAATTAGGCAAGATGTGTTGTGACTCGTCGTCCAACTGGTATAAGCTTCACCTGTTGCCGTGGTGACTTTTGTTGGATTCTGTGCCTCAAACTTCGACTTAACTGTTGAAATTTTCAAACCCAAAAACTTCTGCCCTTCTCGACTACCAAAGGCAAAAACTCGCAGAACGTTTATTTTCAGTTTTTTTTTCTGAGGCAAAGTTGGTACGTACACATTTGCGCCATGCATACAATCGCACTTGCCTTTGGTGAGCTGTGCTAACCATATCACAGAACCAAAGACACAATCTTCTCCTTCAACCAACACAAAAACACTCCAAATGGCTACTAACAAAGAAGCTATGTCCGGTTTCTTCATCGAACAGTCTCGCCTCGCGGTTACAATGAGTTCAATGCCATGCGCACTCTGCGACAGCAAGGAAGCAACACTCTGCCCGACTTGCGAGGATGCTGCATTCTGCACCAAACACTGCCAGGCCGAAGGTGAATGGATCCATAAATTTCTCTGCGCAATAAAAGACGAATGGGGTCGGTCGAATCCACGGCCGAACGAAGACTCGTATATCGCGATCTACTTCCCAGTCGACGGAACTGGTCCTGAGTTCTACTGGTCGAATCACAGACTCAAGGTTCAGAAGAACGAACTGACGGGCACTTTGGAGAGAAGTGACCTGCTGAGTGTGGATAGCGATGAAGTCAATTCTGGAAATATCGAAATCACGCATAACCTCGTCACCAAGAACAAGCTTCCGTACCCTTTGACATTTACTCTGAGAGACTGCCGTGGCGTTGATGGATCAACGGTTAACCTTTCCATCCTCGAGATGACACAGGGTGACCAGCGTGGTCTTTGGGCTGGACCAGCTGTCCTTTACCGCTTCAAAGATCACATCTCGATAGCTGATCTGACCTACTTCGCCACCTGCCTTAAGACCTTCAAAGATCCGGCTGGATCGTTGAATCATGCTTTTCAGTTGAATAAGCTTGAGAATGTAGAGAAAAGCAGACCGGAACTGTTTGCAGCAGTGAAGGGGAAGGTTGCAGCTAAGATGTACGCGAGGAAAGTTGCAAATGCTTCTCCAGAGAATAGTGAAGTCGAGGTTGTAAAGCCGAAGGAAACTCCACAGAAGGTTCGAATTCGCCTTGTACTTAATGGGAGAAAATAGTGGTAGCTCATTTATCAAAGTGGAGTATGGGGCAGCTTTGTTGAGTCTCTATGACATGCAACCTCGTTTCCACGAGGACATGGTCCGGATCGTAGCAAGGCTTTTGCCCTGGAATATCGTCGTTTGCAGGGGAAAGTTCATCTTAGACGTGAATTCTAAAGCCTTGCTATATCTTCTAACCCTGTGCTAAAAAGAATGGTTCCTCAAGAACGTGTGAAATCACATCTAAATAGGTTGCTATGACATTTGTTTTCTAAATTGGGCTGGGCTGGACAACATCCCCTTTCCCATTGAGTAGAGTAGCGATGAAATTTATAGCAACCAGAACGGGTTTTCCGTCAACACTTGAGTGAATTTGTATCAATCAGACCGGCCGAAGAAAATCTCCGAGATGTTTCCCTAGCCGGGTATAACAACTATCTTCTCCAACTCTACATCCGCACCAAACATCTTCCTACAACAACAAAGACAACGTCTTTCAACCACACTATCATCACCAACTGCCATCATCAAAGCGTCATGGCTCCCCCATGCTGCTGCGTTTATGGCAAGCCAAGCACCATGCAGTGCAGCCATTGCCATTCTGCAGACTACTGCTCTGGTCGCTGCGAAAACAACGATCTTCCTTCTCACCAAGTCCTTTGCGGAGAAATTACGGACTTCATCTCTTCCCACCCAAAGCCATCCGCAAAATGCGTTCTGGCGCTCTACTTCCCAATTCTTCCACTTCAACAAAAGGGCTGTACACCAGAATTCATCTGGTTTGATGGCAAGAACAAAGTTGCAAACGATCAAGTTACTGGTGCCATTTCCTATGTCGATTGCCTTGCTGATGATGACCACAAGAACCCCAACGGTAAGGGTTTCGAGATCTTCGCAAACTATGTCAAGAAGTTCGACTTCGAACACACCGTCATCCTCTACATGCGGCACGCCTTCCGATTCGACGGCTCCCGTGTCAATCTCAGCTTGGTAGAAACAACCAAAGGACAACTGAGCTCCCCTTGGGGAGGTCCTCTGGTTGTCTATTGTAGGCGTGGGCTCAGTATGGACTCCAATAGGGTGGATCGAGAAATCACATTATCTGACTTCCGGACATTTTTGGACTTCTGCAAAGTTTATGGAGAGGGTTCCGGTAGCATGCTGAAGGAGAACATGCTCCTTGAATTAGAGATCACCAATGCCAAACTCTTCTGGTCAGTTCTCATTCAGAACTCTGGTGGAATCGCAGCCAAAGGTGTGGAGATCTCTTGTACAGGCGATATGACAATCCTCGGTCGTCGCAAGTACATTGGCGTTGATGTTGCTGTCAACCATCCCATCTGGGATACCTTCAACATGCCATCAGATCCCACTGTGGTCTCAGGTATGATTGGGGTTCCTCTCCGCATTCAAAGAATCTATCCCGATGCTCGTTTCGCCGGAAAGGGGTTCGATACGATGGAGAACGATGACGCAAGATATCTCGACATCGAAACTGTTAAAACATGGCGACACTGGGGTATGCCGGACTCGGGTTATACAGGTCAAAGCGGTACAGGGAAGATTTTCGGCCGGGTCTTGGTAGTGAGAGAGGATATGAAGGATATTACACCACAGCAGATTGAAGCCATTGCAAGCTTTTTCCGACAAGAGGTCACACCCAAAATGCGAAAGGCAGGGAATGAACGTTTGTCAAAGCTGAGTGCGAAATCGGCTCAAATCGAAGGCAAAAAAACACTGACTGACTTGGTCTCGAGAGCCAAGTTTGAGGAATTCTTTGACAAGTTTAAGGCAAAGAAGATCAAATCTGGAGACACTTCTTGGGAGCAAGCTACTGTGCCAGAAGCAATTGATGGTGGCTTCCACGATGATAGCTTGACTCGTGTGGCTCAGCAAGTTGGCGGATTGTCAGTAAGCGGGCTGGAAACCTTATGTGGTTGATAGAACTGGGGTAGAAAGTAAGGTGCTGAGATATTGGTGGATGGAGGTGATGCTTTGACGACTGCTGATAGCTTATATTTGCGAGACTTTTACCACAAACCATTCGGCTTAATACAAGACATGAACTCAACTGCTCTCTTCCGTTCACAGCAGCAGCTGGAGAACATCAAGTACAAGGATGTCGCCATTTAGTGGTTACCACCATATCTCATTTTAGAGAAGATTCTATCAAGCACATACAAGGCTACAACCAATTTTGCCTCTGTGCCAGCGATCATGCCAGTCCCTTTCATTGTGATCTTGCAGTTCAACTTTCAGCAAGAACGCAATTACTCACTTTGAAAGCGACATCGTACAGAACAGAACCAAATAATGAATGCAGTCGTGTCTATGTCCATGATTGCGGATCTTAGCATGTTGTGTTCTTACCAACATCTTTGAATAGTCCGTCTAGATACATCGAACTTAACTATTCAAGAGATCATCAAACACGACTTTGCGAATATGATACATCACATTCAGCACATGATTTGTGATATATATATATATATATATAAGGTGAACAGAGAGCGCGTTCTAATTCACTAGCGTCAACTTGCGTTTGCCTGACAGAAGAAGCAAACAATCTACTCCGCGTATCGAATTTTCCCAAAGTCTCATAGATTATATGATCTCAAAGAGGGAACGTCTGCAATCTACATCACAACGACACCGCACTACGCAACTTACAATGTCCCCCCAACATTGTACATGGTGCAACAACTTGCTACCAGCACCAGGCGTCAATAACGACAACAGTCCAAATGCTTCACTTACCGGAAAACAACTTGCTTCTTCCCCTTGCCAAACATGCAAATCAGCGACCTACTGCTCGGCTCCCTGTTCATCCAGCGACATCCTCCACCACACCCTCTGCTCCAACTACGCCACCTTCATGGCCTCCACACCCCGCCCATCACCCTCACACAAACTGGCTGTCTTGCTCCCCTCCGACCTCGAAACCCCACGATTCATATGGATCAACACAAGACTCCATAGACAGAAGTGGGAGAGTGCACTATTCGAAGACCATCTTGGTCCAGATCAGCCTAATGCACAATCGATTTGCACCACCGAGGACGTGACCAGGTCAACTTCAGCCTCATGCACCAAGGAACAACTCTCAAACTCAGGTTCAACCATGCCCAAGTGTACATCGACACTTGTCGTAGATATCAGATCTTCCTACGCCGAAGACGGATCCTTGCAGAACTACTGCATCGAAAAACTGATTCCGACAGAGCTCGCTCAGCAATGGCGAGGTCCAGTGGTCATCAGTCTCAAGACCGGCGCGTCCATCACCTCCCCCGCCGCCACAGCAGGAGTAGGCCAACCCAAGCCACCTTTCTACTCGGATTTCAAACTCAGCGATCTCAACAAGCTGCAAAGCTTCCTGCAAGCGTATCAACTCCCTGGAAAAGATACAGTCCAAGGCGTCCGACTCCACTACCAAGGCGAAGCATTACCCTTCAAGAAGCCAGCCCTCTCGGTTGCACTTATCCCCCAGGATCACGCTATGTTTAACAACAGCGTAAACAACAATAACAACAACAACAACAGCCTCGGTGACAGTCCAAGTACAGAAATAGATACAGAAACCATCATTCCGATCTCCAGATCTTTAGGAATTCCAATCCTCATCCACCGCGCCGGGAAAGCCTCTTACAATTCCCCTTACAGTTCCACTTACATTTCCAACTACCAAAACCAAAGCCAAGACCAGCAGCTCACCACCTCCCCTCAAAAGCAAACCACCATCCACAGCGGCAACCACTTCAACCATAACCCTTCTCTCACCCACCTCACCCTCGACACCATCCCCCGCAGCCCAACATGGGGGTCGTCCACCTCTTCCTCTTCCTGCTCCCCCACAGGAACAGTCCTCCTCGCCCGCCTCGACAAAAAACCTCTAACCCCGCGCCAAGTGGAAGCCCTTGTATGCTATTGTAAAGATGTACTTTACAACGCGATTGACAAGGTAAAGCGAGAAGAAGAGCGGATGGCGGGGAAGGGTGAAAAGAGCTTGAAATTGAGAGAGCAAATGTCAGCGAGACTGGTGAACAAAAAGAGTTTTGAGAGGTATTTTGAGATATTGAAGGAGGTGAAGGGCGTGGTTGATGGGGAGTGGTGGGAGGAGAAGTCGTTGTTTGATTAGGTAGAGTACTTGATGGGGATGGGGATGGGGATGTGGATGTCACTACAGTGGCAAGGGCTCCATATTCATGGAAATAAAAATAATCTCCATTGGTATAGAGAGGATTCCATAACTACAGAGATTCCTTCTATACCAAAAGAACCTCATTTTTTATTGTGAAGGTGTGTTTTGTGTGAGAGTGCTTATGAAGTGTTGGTATCGTACTGGTAGACAACAACCGGACTAGGCTGTATGATCTCAACTCGAATCAGGATAAGCAGACAAGCAATCTGCCCATGGCGCCCAAGCCCAAACGAATTGCCAGTCAACAACCTATGGCAAAGAAGTTCAGCTACACTAGGCAAGCTCCTCGCGCCAGGCCATAGATACACTCTACTCTTAATGTACCAATCTCTATCTTCAAACCAAAAGAGTGCAAACACTTACTCACTTCCTCACTCACTTACTTCCTCACCCAAACCCAAACCCAGACCCAGCGACTGCCCCTCACAATCTCCAAACAGCCGCGTACGTATACTAGGTCGTGTTACTAACTTCCTCACTCCCTCACTCCCTCACTTCCTCATCGCAACTTCCAAACATCCACAAAACTACCGAAAGAAACGAAGCTAGTTTTCAGAAAAATGAAGGGATATATTTTTTTATTTTGATTTCGCATCATCAGATATTGCCCCGCCCTGCAATATATATCCGTACCCTCCTCGTGAATAGCCTAGCCTAGATACTGGATCTTATTATCTGGCTATACTGTAGTACTGAGTTTTCGTGCTTCTATCTATATGTTTGTTGGTCTGGTTTGTTGGTCTGGTTTGTTGGTCTGGTTGGTTGATATCCTGTTTTGTCATGTTTCTCATCTCATCTGCTCTTCCAAGATTTCATTTCACATACCACCACACCACCCACAACCACATCCATCGAAAGTCCTCAATGCATCGTTTCAAAACACAACTTTTCCACCCTCATCAATCCACCTCCTCACCCCCTCACCCCCTCACCTCCTCTCATACCCCACCCTCCCCACCTCCCTAACCTCATCCCCCATCCTCCTCAAACACAACCCCTCACAGAAGGCGCCCCACTCACCCCTCGTGCCCTCCCTAACAGCAGTCTGCATATCGACACCATACCTATTGCGATACTCTCTCTTGACGGCTTCCATGTGTGGTCTATCCCAGTGGTAGCGCACGAGGCGGGAGATGAGCAGCTCGGTGCGGATGCTGTCGGATTTGGAGAGCGAGAGCGCGTGGTGGACGAGGAGGGCGTCGCGGACGGGTTTGTTGATTACGCCGTTGAGGATGTGGGCTAGGAGTTCGCCCTGGGAGGATGGTTAGTTTGGAGTTTCAGTGGAAGGGTGGGGAGAAGGATAGATAGTGGGATATGAGAGATGAATACAGGACAGGGGGGGTTGTGATATGCGTTTGGTTGAGCGAGATGGTGATAAGAGGGTGTCATTTAAGACATGAAAGGAGACCCCAGACCCTAAGACCTGGAGCAATGGAACCGAGACTTGATGGTTCCGTATCTGGACACTTCCCAAGAACCACATTTCTCTTCAAACCGTGAATATAGAAACGTGATCCAGAACTCCGGAGTGCTGATCCAGGACTTGAGTTCGGAGTTCAAGCATAGAACGGAACTTCGACAAAAAACAACCGAAACATGGCAATAGAAAACGAACAGCGGAAAAAAAACTCACCACAAGATTCCCACTCTTCTTCAACATCTCCCTCGCAAAATTCGCCCTATACGTCGCCTCATACAGCCTCAACACCTCCCTCAAATGCGCATCACTCCTCACAACCACAATCCCAATCATCGCGCTCTCCCCACCCTTCTCGCTCTTCACAGCCCTATACAAATCCTTCACATCATCCTCAACCAGTCCCCTATCAAGACCATACCCAGGCCTCTCCTCCATCTTCCTTTCCTCAAGGACAAGCAAGACAGCTTTCTTGAATTTATCCTCTTTGAGTTCCGTCTTCATGCATTTAGTCAGCGAGTCAGAATATTTCTTATCGCTAAACCCATCCTTGATCTCCCTGATCTCGCGATTCGTCCTCCCCATCAAACTCTCAATCAACAACTCCCGTCGGGACTTCTCTCCCTGATACCAGAAATTCGCCCAATAAGCCTCGCTCTCCCACTTGCCCAGCGCACACGCATAGCACGCTTTCATGAGACTGGGATCCTCCTCCTTGAGACGCAGCTTGATATGCTTGGCGATGTTGACACCTTTCTTCTCGGAGCCCGTCTTGACGATCTTCTTGTACTCGACGCGGAGGTCGAGGATCTGCTCGTGTGTGAGGCCGGGCAGGATCTCGATGAGGGGTTGCGTGTCGGGCGCGCGCTTCTCGCCTTTGAGCGCTTTGGCGAGGATGGTGGCTTCTTCTTCCGGGTCGTGGAAGCGTGCTGTGCGGCGGGATTTCTTGCCTGTGCGGCGGTCGTCGTCGGATGAGTCCGGGGAGAGGGGCTCGATTAGGTTGATGTCGGAGTGTGCGTGCGAGGCGATCATGAGGGGGGAGGGCATGGGTGAGATGGATTGGTAGGTTCCGTGGTAGGCTTCGAGGAGGGGACTTCCCGGTGCAGTTGCGAGACTCAATGTTGCTCCTCCGTGGTGGCCTGATGAGACTGAGAGGGAGTGCATTCGTGGTGCCAGAGCTGCCGGGTTGGGAGATGCGTCTCGTCGTCTGGATCCTGGCTCTACAGTCACGATCTTGCTTTGAGATGTCCTAGCGGGATCTGAGATGTACTGTTGCTCTCTCCCATGTCTAGATCCCGAATTACTGGGAATAGAAACGCTGGAGTGCGAACCATGCCTATATTCCTGGCGAGGTGGACTAGCTGGGCGCCCATACCCGCCAGCAGGATTGTACGAGGTCTCTGTTCTCTTCGAGTACGTGATTGTCTCCTCTGGTTTCGCATATTCCCATTGAGGGGGCTCAGCGTATTGTCTGGATTGACCTTGTTGCTCAGGATACGGCATCTGACTCGGATATCCTCCAGGCGGTTGATATCCCGATGGAGAAGCCGGACGAGCGTACTGCCCCCCCGGAGGAGGTTTGTATCCCGAAGGCGAAGGAGGCTGAACATATTGCGGTGTACCATGAGAAATGCCTGCCGCAGCAGCAATACTATGGTGTCCAATCTGCGCGTTGAAACTCGCCCCTCTCTCCCTTCCACCATCCCTCTCCTCGTATCGTCTAGGATCATATACTCCTCCAGTTGGGATACCCTTCCTGGCATCTACCTCATACTTCGACGGCGGCGCAACAGGAGCTCCATATTCTTTGCCTCCACCATACCCCTTATCGGCATAATAATCCTTCTCCCTTCCCCTCCCACTCTCATAGGTCTTCGTGGGCCTCTCATCCTCCACAGTCGTCTTGTACGCCCCAGGCATAGCATATCCCCTCCCAGCGCCCGCACCAGGCGGCGACGAATCGCGATCTCGATACTGAGACAATGAACCGTACGAACTCCGCGGGTCGCGTGGATCCCCTCTTGGTTCGGCCGTCACGACAGCGGGACGGTCCTCGTAGCCGCCGGGCACTCCGTAAGCCCTTGAATCCTCATATCCTCGCGAAGAATCCTCATAGCTTCGAGGTGGTGAAGGTGCTCGCACGCTCTCGACTCGAGAGGAGTACTCGTCGACTCTGGAGCGGGATCTCTCGCGCTCGTCTCTTCGGCCAGGGGACTTCGAGCGACCCCGCCTTCGGTCGTCGCGTGGATCGAGAGACATTGTTCACTGTCTATTCTGGCCTTCAATGCTGTACAGTTGCTCGATAATAAATCGTATATCCAGATACGCACTGTAGAGATGCAATTGAAGCTGTGAAGGAGCAGTGGAAGAGAAACAAAAAGAGAGAAGTAAAAGATTGCGATCGCTCGATCAACTACGGTACCCAATTTCAGCTGAACGAAAATGCTCTAGTGCGGGGTGAGAAATAAGGGCGGCTGCCCAAACTCAGCGGGGCATGACAGCGCCTTTATCGTGCAGTGCAGCGCAGCAGCTTTGCGTCCCGTCCCAAGTGGTGCATCCAGCGCATAATCCGCCCCCTGTTACCATCATACAGTCAGTACAGCTGAGCGCCACAAGAAACAATTGGGGCCCATTTTGTTGAGACGCAGCGTCTGAAAGACCATCGTCGTAAGAGCAACGTATCAGGGCGTCCGTCATATAAGAAGTAGAGAAATGCACCTTGGGATGCAGTGATCATTGACGATGTGTTGGTGATACTATATGTATCATTTTCTGCTTGTGTGCATCAAGGGAGCTGTGGGGGAATCAATTGGATGGCAGTGGGTCGAAACACATTTACAGGGGTGTTTCAGCCTTGTAACTTAGCGCCAGCAGTTAAGGAAGCCGGCATCACCGAGTACAAGATGAGAGAGACCTGAAAGCGTCTACGTCCGCTGAAGGAGTCTCTCAGGAAGAAAGCAAGCAAGCAAGCAAGCAAAGGATTGGAAAGGGAAGTGACCAGGTTCAAGCTGCCGTGTTCAACTCAACGGAGAGTCTCCCTGACCTACCGCAGAGCAACTCGAGAGAATTATTCTACTTATCGAGAGGACAAACTGAAGAATGTCCACTTCAAAGAGCTCAATCGGTACATCCTAAGCTCGAAACGAGACAGAACAAGTGGTGCACGCTTCATAGAACACTGAGCGCCATGTGAGTATCATGAGTCAATTGATAGACTACTTCTCCTTCCCCGCTATCATCAATCTCAAAGACTGGAGCCTGGCCTCCCATCCTTACCAGCCAACGATCCCTAAACAACTTGGACGAACTGGCCAACACCTGGCACTCCGTCTACCAAAACATAAACCACATATGGTCCAGGTGGAGCCACGTTGTGGTTTGGTGGGCCATTGACGTACAGTGTCTGAGCTGGTCCTCCTCGTGCAGACTTGGTGATATCAAGATTCAGCATACGATGGCCCATGTGGACGGAATGAGTGACGAATCCTCCGTGATAAAGAACGACCTTCACATTGTCCGAAGCATGTGGTGGAATGAAGGTAATAATCATCTGGCTTCCATCAGCACGCACTGTCTTGTTCTCGATGACAATATTAGTAGGTCTCTGATTCGCCTTGTCGCCCTGCAAATATGGGGGAACATAGTTCTCAACACGCCACTCTGTGACATAGGGATTGGCGGTATTTGGTTGAAGTTGCGGCATCTCAACTGGATTCGATCCAGCGACCATGAGGGTGCCGTCGAGAAGTAGAAGGGCTACGGAATGGTACAATCGAGGAATGTTAGAACGAGCCAGGGTGCTGAAGCGCTGACCAAGTGGCTTCGCTGGATCGTACAAGAGAGCCTCCAAAGCAGGTGTATCTGCAAGGCCAAATCCTTGAGCTCCACGACTTCCTCCATTGAGCCAAACAACCGTCCCATCCGGAAGGAGAGTTCCCTCGACCATGCCGCGTCCTTCAGGCATTGAATCCATCTCCCATTTGGCGTTGGCATTCAGAGGCTGAATTCGACCACAGCTAGGATCCGTTGGGCTGGTGATGTCTTGGTAAGCTCCTCCACCACAAATGACAATATCGGGAGCCCAGTTGTTCTTGCTCGACAGCGGAAGGAGTACACTGCCACCCGTGTTGGGATAGGTGCGGTAATCGCCAGGAAGGTCTGGCAGCTCCTTGACTACTGTGTTGGATCCGACACTGAAAATCTGGGAAGCCTTCGAAACGAATACAAACAACGTACCGTCGTTGAGGAGATGAATGAATGGATACATGTAGTATGGCTGATTCTTCTTCAAGATTTCCATTGGGATGTTCGCTCCTCGAGTGACAGCGCCGGGACTGAGAATCTCGTAGGTCGGGTTATTGTTACTAAGAACGGTAGGATCCAGGCCGTTCAAGCTTCCGGAGGCGACAAAGATTGTTCCATCTGGCATGGTTTGTGCAGTTGCATACCAGCGCGCACTTGCAAGCTTATTACCAGGCTCGCTCCAGCTCTTTCCATTCAGACCTGCGTCTGTGGATGATCTTCCCAGGTAGCGAATCGCATTGAAGCCGTCGCCGATATTGGGATCCAGCCAGGTCAATGGCCCGTTGCCTCCAACCGAAATGACACGGCCGTCAGCAAGAAAAGTCCCTCCTGAGCAGAAAGCGTTCGTAGCATATCCGAGTGGCACTGCTGTGTTTGTGTTTGGATCGTACTCGGAAGACATGGCATAGTACCCATTCGCGGTTCGCAATTCCGTGTAATTCTCCAACTTGTCGAGAAAGAAGACACGACCATTAGGCATGAGACCAGCATGCATAGCAGGGACACCAGATCTGCCAACAACACGGAACGTTCCTCCGTTGGGAGCTGCTGGAGCAGGACTGGGACCTGGCGCAGCAACAGCAGGAGCATTCAAGCAGTTATCAGACTGGCATCCGGCTCCGCAATGGGCGCTTGTCTTCCCGCTATGACTGGTCAGACCTGCCTATCAGAAGGGACTGATGTACCTACCAGAATCCATACATGGAACAGCAGTTTCCGTTTGGCCAGTTGCCGCAGACAGTGTCGCCATTTGAAGTTCCACAAGTTCCATCGGTTGTGACACGAGCAGTTGCTGTTGCTCCAGGTGCCATGGAAGTTTTGACTGGGCCAATCACTGGCTCGCCAGATGTGGTAGCTGGTGCTGTTGGATTTCCGTCTTTACAGCCGCTCTGGCAGCCATTTGCGACAAGGCAGTGTCCATCGGTAGTTCCGCAGAATCTAAAGAGCATAAAGTCAGCACTCTATCCGCATGTAGCATCAGTTGACATCCCCATATTGAGAGCAGCAACCACCATATGGCCCTTTCGAATCACATCTTGCGCCGCCAAATTTGGATCCGCACTGCCCATCGCTTCGGGGAGGTATTCCTGAGGGGGAAGATTTCTGCGTTGATGGATTTGATTTTGTTGTTGATGTTTTGTGGGAACTGGATGGGGCTTTTGATGCCGGCTTCGACGTTGGTGATCTATGGGACGTAGAGATACTTGACTGGGGTGGTGTACAGCCACTTTGGCATTTGTTTGAGGCAAGGCAGTGATCGGGGCTGGAGCCACAGAATCTTGGAGGGCAAGTAATTAGATAAATGGTAGGTATATATGGCAAGAACGAAACGGAAACATGAACAGCTAAAAAATGAAATGATAAAGTGTTTAGATACCCACCCGTACTGCGAGCAGCAACCTCCATAGGGACCCTTTGGATCGCAGGTTGCACCCCCGAATTTCTATCTTGTCAGCAAGGGTTTCTCCTATGGAAGGGCAAGACTCACAGCACCACATTGGCCATCAGCACGAGGAGCTACGCCAGAGCTTGTAGGAGGTGGGATTGAAGTACATCCAGAAATACACCCTGTACCACAGTGGCTGCCAGTGTCAGTATGTTTCGAGATCAGCTTTCTCCGAGACTTACTCTGCACTATTTCCGCACCAACCATATTGCTACTTCCGTCAGCGATGCTCTCCTCATCCGCGAATTCCACCTACCGAGCAGCATCCACCAGTATAGACCTTGCTGTTTGGATCACAGATCGTATTGCCGTGGGCAGGACCGCAGCTGCCATCGGTGGAGTATGGACCATCTCTGACCTGAACCTCATGAGCCTCAGGTCGGAACGTAGAATAGTGGATGGAATCTCGGCGTTCCGTAGGAACACATCTGGTCACGTCAGTAGCTGGATAGTACAATTACCAATGAACCTACTGTCCAGCTACGTTGCAATCCTGGCCTCGCAAACAACCATTGTATATGCGGGGATCGGTGAGATTGCAGCTCAATGGGACATGCGTGAAGACGATGTTGGAGGAGACGGAGGCCGCAAGGCCGAGAAGAAGAGTAGTTGCTCTCATGATTCCTGATCTGTATGAAGTCAATCGGTGCTCAAACTTGTATGTGTGTCTTGGAGCTCTCTTTTTGAGGCATAAATATGGGCGATGTTTGCGACGCTGCGTTGCTAGGTGGTACCATCACGAGTTCTTGGTCCTGGAAGGCTGCATGTTGCCGGCCATTGATTGAGAGCAACTTACATTGGGTAGCAGGTGTGTACAAGCGGATCCAAAGTCGGAACTTGATGCAAGGAGTGTAAGGAAAGAATGGAATGAGTGTGAAGTAGGTAGAGTAGAGAAACATGCAAGACCGAAGCCTTGCACGAAAAAATGTAAGAAAAGTGAGGAATACGAGTATGTAGAATGGAGGTTGACAATGAGGGGGAGAAAGGAAGTCGGTCGAGGGAGACGAGATTAATCAATGAGTGAAAGCGCAAACGGAAGGAGCGTCAATAGCAGCGAGACTTCAAGCAGTGACGACAGGAAGGCGCGACTGTTTCATCAATTATCTCCAGCTCTCCTATTTCCAGCATCGTATTTGAGTCTTCTAGGCCTAGATATGCCATCTAATTTCCATCGACGGCAGGAGGCGTGTTTAAGTGTTTTCGGGAACGGGCCATGCAGAACCGGACGTTTTTAGTTGATGCTTAAGCAAATTACCACGGGAACTACAGTGGTGATTGCGCACAGCTCTGTAGGAACACGAGGGAATTTTACAATTTCTCGAGAATGCACCATGAATACTCTCAATTTCAGGCATCGTTGGCCTTCCACGGGTTGTTTGAAATGTCCATGTGTTGAGTTGCTGTTTGTTGGGGTTGGCGATCTCGCGAAGCCGCAGGAAAGGGGTCACACAAGATCTAATTTTGACTTCGAGATCCGGAGCTTTTCTTACTCAAGCTCACACGGGAACTAGAATAGCGTTGTGCTTCTCCAGATTATCTCCACCTCCGTACTAAAGCTGGGTATGGCCGCAGACTTTGTTTTGGAGGCTGTGGTCTGGACAAGCTTCCGCAAGCTTTTGGCTTGCTGATCAGCCGCGGGAGGAACAGCCCCAGAAAGGATTGATTTCCTAAGGGCTGTTAATCTCGGAAATGACAGTTTGGCTGTTGCGGACAAACCAGATCTCGCTGCTGGTGCAGAACAGCATATATGCCACATGCCGATCGTCCAGCTTGTCCTTCTCCTCCTCTTCATCCTCAGTCTAAACCTCTCCGTCGCGCTCCGAGCGTCGTCCTGACGAAGGATCCGGGACTCAGAATATATCAAACAATCCATTCCAATGTCCTCACCAACTCAAATCCTTCTTTGATATTCCCAGCACCTTCGCCATACCCGCAGCAACAGGTTCACTCTCAACCTCTCCCCTCCTAACTTCTTTTCCTTGTGCTCCCTTCACAGCGACCACCTCCTCCTCGTCGCCTTCACCATCGACATCCCCATCAAAAATCCCCAAATCCAACCCCCACCTCTTAACCTCCTCTTCAACAACCCCCTCCCACTTCCTAACCAACGGATGCGCCGCCGCAACATCTGGGAAAACCACCTCTCCCTCCCCATCTCCTTCCTTCCCCACCTCAAACTTCCAAATCCCATCCTCTCCCCAATACTCCCTCCCAAAAACACTCGTCGTACTCAACTCCTCTTTCGCACCTTTCACTAATCCCTCCATCCTCGTCCTCTCCCCCTCCATGCCCAATCCCTCCCCTCTCAACCCCGCCAATATCCCCTCCAACAACCCCGAAATCTTCCCAATCTTTAACCCCAGCACAGCGCCTAACCCATACCCCTCATCGAAACCCGCCTGTACACTCTCCCCTTTCCCTTTCGTGACGCCATCTCTATATCCTTCTGTTTCATGTTTTTCGCGCAGGCGTGGAATATCCGAGGGTTCGAGGTTTCCTGTGGAGGGGTGCTGGGAAGGGAGGAGGGAGGGTGAGGATGGCGCAGAGCCAAAGACATCGTCGAAGTCGTCGTTTGCGTATGAGGGGAGTGGATCGTCTGCCATTACAATTACCGGCGTGGCTATTGAATTGGAGAGAGATTTATCGTGTATCATACTCGTAGATCGCTGTATTGTTGAAAGAACGCCTGTTACTTCTGTAGAGGAAAAAATACTGCCCCTCATTTTCTGCCCCGCGCTTTGCCAAGACTCAGCCTTGTCTTCAGCAGTCTCCTGACAGGCTCGTGACTGAGAGTATCGGGAGGATGCATTCTGTTATATTTTTCAAAGAGCAAACGGGTCTATGGCAGTAATTAAGACGTTAATCTACTAATCAAATGCCTTTGTAGCTTACCTGGGCAAGCTGTGGCTGCACCTGGAGAAATCGCCTCGCTGGAGTAGTGGTTAACTCGTCTGCTTCCCAAATAGGCCTTGTTTTATACAAGACTTTATTCTGTAAGCAGAAAACAAGGGCTCGAACCCCTTGCGAAGCATCTAAGAGGTCTCTAGGACTGTCATTGTCTCTTTTTTTGAGCTCTGTTTATTAATCTGTTGAACGGTAATGATTTTTGGAAGGTTTGTTTGCTTCGACTTGGAGAGAGAAGCTAAGCGAGGTGTCGTGTTTGTCACCTCCTCCCTTACTCTTGCTTTCGCTGTGCAATATCTGAGCGATGAACCATGACCAATGATGTGATCTATGACTTTACTAGCATTGCATAGACAAAATTGTGAATTTCCTCCACATCTAGTTCCTTGTCCTGTCTCAGAAGTCATGCCTGTACCTGTGTATTTGCATGGCACAGCAATCGGACGTTAACGGCCTACTTGGGAGGTTGGGGCTTGGACCCTAAGCATTGTGCTCTCAATAATAGGAAGAAATGTGATTGAGGGAACGAGATCAGATTAAAGAGCCATAGCGACATCGTAGGGCGGAGTTGACCAAGAACTGGAGCATGACTCAAAAGAAATACGTGAGAAGGAAGTTTACGCACACGGGCACAAACATTCAAGGCTTGGACGTATCCAAATGAAACTGTGTTCAAGAGAATAGCTTTCCATTCTGATTCATATTCCTGACGTAAAGACCTTAATTGAGAGTGGTGTTGGCCAAGGAAACATAAAACCCTTTACACTTCGCATCCAACCTTGCTCAAAGCCCGAAACCCTCCCGATCACCTCCCAGACTTCAATAGCATTCTAATCAAGTAGCATCTTCCTCCCTCATAATTGCCTCATCATAAATATCCTCCCACTGCAAATCGACCTCAACCTCTGCAGCATACAGCTTCTCAAGATCATCATGGAGGCAACGATGCATCCGTTCTTGAAAGACCACCGGCAGTTCGGTTAATCCATTTGTCTCTGCCAAATAATCTCCAACCATGAACAGATTCTTCGTGGACACCTCATCCAACCTAGGAGGTAGTTCAATCACATGCTGCAGAGCTTTCCGGAGAAAGCGCATATTCTCGACTCGAGTAGCGAAGGCTCTGAAGTCGATGAGGAGGTTTTGGAGGTTATGTTCGGAGACGGTGGACTTGGAGATGTCCAGATCCTATTCAGAAGTCAACACAAAGTCTTGAGATTTTTGATTGAGACCGGGGCTGACCTGAGGTAACCTTACTGCTATTCGAGCTTGCAATAATTGATGGTAGCTAATTGACACTTCATACTTGAAGTACTGTCAGACACGTCTTTGGCGCCGAAGCATCGTCTCGCATGGAAAGACTCCAGATAATCTCTTCACCTCATCATCGTCAAGAATCTTGAAGTCGTCAAGCTTGTTAGGGCTTATATGCTCTGAATCGTAGATTTGTTTCGTAGACAGTCTGCAGTACTTAGCCCTGGGACACCACAAGAAGTGACGGCTGCCTTACAATTTCAGCATTGATGCAACTAGAGCATTGTTGCCTCGTCCCCATCTAGTCTGGTCTGTATGGTCCCAGCTGTTCGTCCTACTTCCAGATATTTGGTCCAGATCTATTGGGGCCGTGATTGAAAGCTCCAATTGATGTTCACAAATCAGAAATCCATTGACCTTATCAATAGCTTGCTCTGCGCTTGAAGCATCGGCAAACTTGACATAGGCTGTTTTACTCCCCGGTAGCTTGGCTCTCAAGGCAGCTTGTGAATGTGAAATCGAAGTAAACTCCAGAGAAGTGTCCAGAGCGTGGTTTGGGGCGAGATCGACTCGCATCAAGCCATGGCAGTGGGATAAGATGTCAAAAACGCGTTTGGGCAGGAGACTGGTCTCGCGACAGACGACAAAGGCGCCATATGCTTCTGGCTGGTAGTCCCCCATTTCGTGACTAATGTCTGGAGATTCTGGCTGGACTTGAACAGTCCTCAGTGAGATGCTGATTGTCAGAGTTGTGTCATTCGCCGTCAGCAAATTTCGCAGTGCGGCAGCGGATCATTGACAGGAAAGCGCTCTGCCGGTTCGGCGAATTTCGAAATATGAAGAGGGATCTATTCTATGTCACATCAGAATGGCAAAGCTTCTTGTGTCTGGTGAATTGGGTTCTGTTGCACCTTCGCGGTGGGTTTCTGTGAACTTCGTACCGTAATCTAGAGAGGCCCCGACCTCGGGAACGGATTGAAGTCACAAATTTTCATCCTTTCCAAATCAAATCAGTTTCTGTGTCTCGGGGGCGCTCGCCACCGAAAGTAGTGCAAGTATTCACCTTTCGCTCAAACTCTTCATTTTCACAACACGCTGCCGAAATTGGCTAAGCGCGTTCGCTTAAACACCTTATCAACCACCTCTATATCTTGAGCACCCACGCTCCGATTCCTTCCAAGTTCAAACCATCGTCGAGGCTATTCATCTTCAAAGAGCTACAGCAGCCTCACGCTCGTCTTCCTTTATCAACACACTCCTGAGCTCCCAACACAGACGTCGACCTTCATTTCGACCGGCACCTCAACCATTGTGCCTTGAGCTCCGCCGACCACGCTTCCATACCTCCAACTTTACATAGAACTTCGATGCACACATCTAATCGCGTCACTCCCCGAAGTATGCCTCCGTGGACGGCAACAAATCACCACACACTCTCTTCCCAACAAATTTGGTGAAGCTCAGTCGCTCACTTTACCCAAGGTCGAAGTCAGACCAGACCCGGGTTTGACTGAATGAAAAGATCCAAGGAGATCGACGTTTCGACGTCCTCCAATGGACAACTGTGTCTTGAATCTGCAACTTAGAGGTACAAAGTATATTTTTAGGTCACAAGCACTCCCACAACACTTTTACGCCCCCTACAAACGAACAGATCTAGTGAGTTCAGAGCTTTCATATGACTAGGTTTTAATGCAGCAGCTTGAGGCGTAGTCTTTCTAATCCTTGGCAATTCAAATCACTGCGATCTAAAGATCTGCAAAGTTTATGTGAAATGTTAATGTTTGCGAGCTTGTGGGGGCTGGAAGCTTACTGGAGGAAGTACTAATTGAAATTGTTGTCAAACTCATGGAGAATGTCGGACTTTCACAGTCGTGACTTTTCTTGTCTTACTGTGACCTTCCCAATGCAAAACAAAGACTCGGTTAAGCGTCGCAAGGAAACATCGGCAACGGAAGATCAAACTCGGCAATGAAATAATTCCTTATCAAATACTTAAGGTAGCAAGATTAACAATGTCATTATCATATCATAGCTCAAATTCATTTGCACCTGGTGCAGCGTGCTCTCCCACCCTCTCAGTTCGTCGCCTTGGTTCACCGAATAGTTACCGTATGCTCACCCCCTTTATTCTCCAACCACTCATCCACACAAACCCCAATAATCTTATACTGCCCCAACGGTCGGTTCCTACAAATCAACAGATTGCCCGACCCACCCGTCTGCACATACCCATAATCCCTCATCGAGTCCGTAATCCCATGCGTGAACTCCTCTCTGACCAAAGCCCTACCGCTCGGCCACCAAAGTTTCGGCACCACAGACTTATGGATCTTCGTGCTCCTGCAACTGCTGGAATACGCTCTATGCGAGTCGGTGTTTCCTCCATATGCGACCAGACTGAACGCTCTGCCGATATCGCCGACTTGGACAAGACCGAGTCCGTCGCGCAAGACTATCCTGTCTTCTTCCAAAGTCGCGGAAGTACCACCTAGTGAGCACCCCTCAACGGCGGTGATAGCTTCGAATATCAGTGAGAATGGAGCAATGATGATACAACCACAATTAACAATAACCTCGCACGAGATCTTCTCCGTACTCTCATTCTCCAGCCTCGACCCACAATCCGTGATGGCACCCATCCTGAAATTCATCGACCTATTATGGACCCTGAAATCATGGGGATGCGGATTCTCCCAGCCCGTTCCACTAACACATCTATCCTCCCATCCCGTCGGCTTGGCGTTGGGATCACTGATATCCCAATACGGTTGCAATTTACGGAGCAGCCTCCTCCTGTACTCAACGACGTCTCCACCTGGGTCCATGATACTTCCCAGCATCGTCGCGCATTGTACCAAGATCCTGCCTGTCTCGTCTGGAGCCACATCGCGAGGGTTGTCGTTCACGGGTATTGTCTCACTGCTGAACACACCGGTCTTGACTTTCTTCCCGGCGTTGCATCCTCGGAATATAAACTGAAATCCTCGGTCGCTGTTGTTGAGCGATATTCGCATATATTTCTTCGGCGTTCCCAGAATGCCTGTTACTGCAAAAGCCTTCGCCAAGCCCTTTGGCTTCAGTCGTCCTAGATTGACAACCGCAGCGAAACAATCTGTCGTCAAAGGATTGTTATGATTCGCAACAACTGGGATCCAGTCGCACTCTCCACGTTCCCCACTGCTGATCGCAAGTTTCGTCCATGCCAATCCCGTCTTGACAGACAGCTGCTTGAAAAATGCATACGAGATACTTTCAATGTTGTCACCGTTCAGATCCCTCTCCACCTCTTCTGCAGTAAACAACCCGCTAAACACCCCAAGAAGTCCTCTGAAGATATCTCGTCGCTGTTCGCACTCCCTTGGTGTGATTGAGATTGCCGAGAAAATATTGCAGACTCCTTTGTGGTTTTCATACCACCAGGATGGGCCGCCATTAATGATATCCGTCCTGGCCGAGCTGATCCCTCGAACCTGGGTCTGCAGACTATTCAGCACCAAGCAATCTTCGTCCAGGATCCGCAAGATCGCATTGACGGATGCGGTCCTCAGAACTCTTGATGTCGTAATCCAAGTATGCAACTTGTAAGCCTTGTCCTTTGAATCAGTCGCGAGATCCATCCAAGTGTTGAGTTCCCCGATACATGAGATCTGGTCCTTATTCACGCCGTACATGGTGATGTTCTTTCCCAGCAGCATTTCCTGGAATGTCCACACGCGAGTGAAATATGGGTTGTTGAACAGGGAGCGAACTCTGTTGATGCAGGTCGAGTAGCAGTTCAGTACGCCCATGTCAATGCCTGCTGATCTCACAGTCGAGTGGTCCATGGGGAATTTCCAAGTTGACGTCCCCCATTGAGACAGGATATTGGTAAGCTTCTCAGTCAAGAAAGCCTCAGAAGCCAACGACGCCCCTCCCATGTTCGCCAAAATATGATCAATGAACTTCAGATTGTCCACGATATCCTGTGGGTTCCACACCTCGTCCATATCCATCAGTATGTAGCATTTTCTGGCACTCTTATAGTATTGGTACATCTTCGGAATCTCTGATGACATTTCTCGCTCATCATCTTGTGCCAAGCAGATGCAGTCAACCCACAAATATTGAATATCGTCTTTGATCATCAAGCGTTTGATGTCTTCGAGTTTCTGTTGCGCCAGCTTCACGTTCCAGTTCACACCTGGTATCCCGCAGTTGTAGGGTTCTTGTTTCTCGCCCCATGTGTATGTGATGATGTCGAAGTGGTCAATTCTACCATTTGGATTGCGAGGTTGCTGACAGTCGATGACCTCGAAATTGTCGCCGGTACGGCTGAGGAGTCGGAGAGGGAGGGAAACAGCCATGGTGTGATACCCCAGATAGCCTTCTTTCTGTTAGTACATGCTCGCTATGAAGAGAAAGGTAAACTCACTGTTGAGGTGTTGTAACTGACAAGTTCACGGTTCAAGTCGTGAATGAAATCCAGAGCCACAAGATAAGTTCTTGTCAAATGTCATAGAGAGAAATAAAATATGTCCATGGGATCACCTCGAGCTGAAAAGTGCACGACGCGACGAGCTGAAAATAATTATCGCAGTGACCCACGCTAAGGCTTCTTGGTGATCCTCCTCACCGAGTTGGCGATCCTGATCATTGGCCAAATATGCCTGCCACAGCGCTACGGTATCGGGCTGGGCCGCCCCTTGTTAAGATGTTGATGAACAATAGGTCAGCCTCATATTTTCCTTGTCTGTGGCGTTGCTTGGCGGACCCTGTTTAGGAGTTTGTGGAGAAGCCATAAGCGCGTACAAAAGTCCCCCACCATATCGACAACAGCTCAGGATAGGAAAAAATTGGTTCGTTTCCGCGACTGAGAGCAACAACAGTCATGTTGTGCGGCACTTGGTCTGGCGCTGAGGAAGCAGGCGCTTGGTTGCGCCGTAGCTAGTAGCTAGGACAGGTCCCTTTCAACATAGCTTCGGAATACTTGGAATATATTAGAACAATGTGAAAAGCCTTGCTATTCCCAAGATGTGAATAAAGTCGAGGGAATGAATGCTGTTGATCATGAAAACCGATCACAACTGCAAGTCGAGAATTCGAGCTGGCTTTGACCTCCCATACCTTGATTCTTAGTTACAAAGGAATTGAATTACCGTCAAGCTACTGTACTTATTTCTGAAAAATTACTATTCTATGTGATTCGTGTCTAAAAATTCTCCTGTAGTTGGCTTTATCAAGTATATTAGGTAGATGGGGTGTTGAACAGATGGGAGGCAGGAGGGTGGGAATGCTGACAAATATCTCGGCTAATTGTTTACCAATAGGTAGGTTGGTAGTCGACGGAACGTCAGCCCAGGAAAACAGAGAAGAATGATCAAAAAAGTCTGTCAAGTCTGTGGGAATGAACATTCTACTCACCATAAACTTACATCACTACACCATACCCTCAAAGGTACTGGGAACTCGACGACCTCACCCACCGCCAAGTCCGCTACGATGTCCAAGCATATGTACCAGGAGGTTATCTTCCTGCAAGCCAAGTTGGACTTCGTGCTTCGGAATGCGCTGCTACTTGACCAAATGCATTTAGCATATCTGTCCGCAGCTGTGCGAAGAACGATACTCACGATTCACAAAAAATTCTGTTATCGGCGACGCTGCTTTTAGCTTACCATAGTCGGACAGGGAAATCAAAAAGAACGGATTCCTGTCAAGCTACAATAAGGAAGAGAGCACTTACTAAGCTCTTCAAGATTGGCAGCTGTACATTTTCCCTTGACCAATAGTACGAATGCTGACCCTATCAGTGGCCACCCGAGGTGTTGCTGCTGCGGACCCAGCCTACGTTTCTTAGCAACCCTTTTACTCGACGAGGGGTCTTTTCACCACGGAGGAGAAAAGTCTAAGAACACGAAGAGGCGCAGTAATAGTATCCTGAGCCTGGATATTAGCTGATAAGTAATCGATGGGCCTGAATGATACTCGTAGCGAATAGTAATGTTTCTGTGAACTGTTAGTCTAAGGTCATCCTGATTTGCATCTGCTACAATTGGTTGGAAACTTGACAGAAATGTTTCGTTTCCGCTTGTTTCAATATTTGTAACTCTCTGGACAGATTGACGGAGTCTGTCAAATGTCTAAATATAATAAAGTAAGTGAATACTATGACTCATGTTGTATAGAGGATGTTGGCCAAATGACAACTAAACCAGAAGCCAAGGGTGACAACCAAAAGACTGCTTAACATTAGTAGAACGAAGATGATGATCAAGTTCTTGCCACTCATGCAAGTAAAACATCAGTTCATGAAACTTTAGCCACATTACAACGCTGTAGCGTAAATATCTTCAGGTAGAAAACCCGAGAGAAAGAGTCTCAAATCACTTGTTCTAAGCGACTGAGGCGATGCAACTAAGCTGGCCGACACCTGACAACTAATTGGCATAAGCTTTCTTCCCCTCGATAGCCGTACAAACACAGACTTTCATGATGTGGGTGAAATAAGCTTGGATATAGAAGTGTTTAAGCACCGAGACTCGCAATGTTAGCGCTGAGAACTAGGTGACAGGGCTTTGTTTACTCGTTTGACAAACAGACAACTAGTAGTCCAATACCTAGCCATACTAATAAGTCTTCACCAAGCTTATAACCTTTGCTCTATCGCAAAAATAACGCATCTAGCATCTGATAATCACTTCTGTCTCTCTGTCAAACGCATCGACCCTGAATACGTAAACACGTCTATCTACGAGGGGCAGAACTGCTACATAAGTCAAGCGCCTTTACATATCTTTGCCCGCTTCAAGTTTCATTCCAACATTTGCCTAGATCTGGGAAAGAGCATACAGCAATCAATCTGATTTTGAGATTGTAGGAAGCGAAGGGAGGAGGAATTACTGCGAGGACACGTGTGTCGAGCTCGCATTTCTTCTTCGCTTGGCCCAGCATCTGGTCCACACCCTCACTTGCTTTAAGGAGACAACGTGGAAGCGATGAGATGGACAGTCTTCAGACATGTGCTTTGCTACTAGGCTTTCAGGATCCTAGCAAAATGTAGACGTCCACACATCAAGGCGAAATGAGAACCGCACGTCTGTCTGGCACCACTGAAGCAAAATTATCACGATTCCAACGGCCTCGATTGATCAGCCATCATCAGCCCCAGAAAAGTAGAATACAAAGATTACATTAATTTTATATATTATCACCATCTACAACTCATGCTCCCCAACTAATAATCATAATGCCTCCTAATAATCGGCCTCGCCGGATCCCACGGCCCATGAATCTCATTCTTATACTTCTGCAACCCAATAAGCCACCACGAACACCCCCCCATCGCCAACCCCGTCGCAAAAACCCCAATAAACACACCCATCAGCCCGCTCTTCCAAGGGAAATCCCAAAACCCCTCTCCATCGCCGCCACGACCAAGAATCAGGCCCACTCCACCGCCTGCGCCAACAACGAGGAGAATTGTGAGGGCCATATGGCCGCGCCAGGATCGCTGCTTTGCGTAGCGACGGAAAACGGGGAAGAGTCCGAAGACTTCGATGGAGAAAAGTGTGAGGGAGAATACCTCCCCTGTGCCTTCTAGGCGTGAGGCAAGGACTGTAGAAGCCATCAGTGCGGCGTTGGTGCTCAGACTAGCGGGAATATTCTTCACGCCAGAACCAATGGATGTCTCGGCTGGTGTGCTGTAATCGAAGAAGAATATATTGATTGTGAAAAGTAGGAAGGACATAGCCCAGATTGAATCCTCGGATGTGGACATGGTGAGGGATTTGAGGATTGGAGAGAGGCCGAGGAGTGTGAAGTAGATTAGGAGGGCGGATTTGGCTGTTGAGAGACGGAGGGAGGTTCGTGGTGAGAGAGGAGGCGATGAACCTGGAGAGGGGTAATTTGGAACGTAGCGCGGGGTGGGTATTTGTGGTGCTGAGGCCACAGATTGGATCGAAGAGGCCGATGCGGAGTGTGAGTGTCTGGCTAGATTCGAAGTACTATGGAGATTGGATGTAGACATAGATGCTGGATTGAGGTTGGATAGAGAGCTTGATGCTGATGCCCCGTGCGTGAAGATGGGCGGAGATGGCTGCGACTCTTCCTGTCCTACCCACCAATCCCACAATAGCCATCCCAGAAATGTGCCAGTCGATCCCCATCCTACTACTGAACCTGGAGAGACGCGCTCGGTGTATATTCCAACGAAACAGACGATGAATATTATAACCGAGCAGACATGTTGGACAATCACTGTCGAATCTGCCACCAGTGGCCAGAAATCATATGGTTGGAGTCGCGGATTCCGCTGCAGATGTTCGAGGAAGGTATCTTGATCGGTATAATTATCTGGGTCTACATGCCATCAGCTCAATGCTCAGTCGCCGACGCGCGCGATACTTACACGATTGCTTCACCCAGAGCAACTTCTTCCAAGTGCCCTTCTTTCTCCTACTAGCACTCCTACTATCGCCATGCCTCCCCCGTCTCAAAGGCCGCAGATCTCCAGTACTTCCATTGGTCATGCGCAGGTCCTTCAACTTGTTCACAGCAGCGGACTGCTTGCGTGGTGGTGAACCCTGATAGATGGCATCTTCAGGCGCGAGCAGCGTGCGATCTGTCGCAATTGGATGGGAAATGAGGGCTGGGAGTGTGGTACTTCGTGTCAGAGGTGGGAAGGGTTGTGTTGTCGTCGCAGATGGTGGAGGCGCCTGGTTGGGCACCATAACTTCTTCATGTGAGGTCAGATGGAGGTTGTCAGCCTCGGGAGATTTTGCCCATGAAGTGCTCGCTTGGCAGTTTAAGGGGCGGCGAGGCTGAATGCCAGGATTCATCATCTTGGATAACGTAGCAGAATATAACTTGTAGCTTTTCGGCAAAGAACTATATTCTCAACTCACATTTTCAAAGACAATAGATGCACTCGAAGCTTACCCATCAATATCCTGCACGTGACGATTTATTGATAGTCGAGGCTCTCCAAACTCCTTCTTCTGCTTGAGCAATCATCAGTACATCAGTCACTTCTTAGACGAGAAGCGATCAGTGGTGCTAATCATGCCAGTTTCACGATAACGAAAGTGTCTCTTCTCATGCTGTTTCTAGCTCATTAATGGACCTTGAGAATGGGACAGTTCAACCACAAATGGTCCGAGATCTACATCGTCAGTTCAGCAAAATACAAATCTCCTTACCCCAGAAGTTACATCTGCCACGGCGCAGCACCATTAATCTAAAAATGTCCATCACCCATCGGTTGTAGATACCAAAGCTGCCTCATCCAAGCCTTATGTTCCCATAAAAAGCACAAAACTCCTAGATAACACGCCTATGGTTTCCTCCACGTCCCCAGCCAAACCCATGATGCCTGTGAAGGAGCCTCTTCATCGGCAACCTCTAACAAGATCTTCAGACCAAAAACATCCTTTTCCACATGGCAGCTGCAGACTGCAGCAGAATGCGCGCTCGAACCCCTGCGACGATCTAAGTTGGCGAGTTTCAGGGTTCATCCTCACCCCCTTTCCCACCGACAAAACCTTCCTCTTTCTTTAGATCATAAACACGTCTCGAAATGGAACACGGGAGAAAGAAACATGATCAAAGTTGATGTGCTTTGCAAAGCATGAAATGTTGGAATTTGAAAGCCCGGCTGTCGGAATGGAACAATGGAATGAAGTGCGTAAGCTTCTTCAAAGGCATCCAAAGGAAGAACCCTGTGTTTCTAGCTCCTATCGTAAAATACCAGATCTAGCTATTCGTGGGTCTTTCCCGTTGGTCAATCTCGTGTTGGCTATGTACGTACCTTGTCCTGCTGGGTCCAGAGCTCGTATCCGACAGAGCTTTGTTTCTATTATATGGCCCCACACTGGCATGGAAGACCTGAAATCTTTAAACTTCAAAGCCGCAAACAAAGAAACAAAGTCCGGAATTGACGGTTTCAAGAACGAGTTGAGATGAATGACGAGTGGCGGCCGTGTTTCCTGTCGGTCAAAGTCTGAGATGTCGATTGTTTGACTTGGCGGTTTCGAGCGCAGAGAGATCTTAGTGGACGCCGCAGGAGGCGCTTTAGTTGCCAGTAGTGTGGGGATCTGTGCTGTTAACACATGGGCTGGGGGTTGGTCGTGTCCGTATCTGGCAAGGCATGGTATGGAATCCATGGATACCTACCGATTGATAGAGTTCTGTCTCTTCAGAATAGAAGAATATCAAAGTATTTTGAGATGTTCCAAACCATAAATAAGATAACACTGGAGCTTCGAGCTTGCCGGCTTCTCGTCCCAAATAATGCAATTCCTCTGCCAGCTTCTTCGGGGTATTTATTCCCACCGGAAAAACTCAAGACGCAAATGTCCAGTTCCAGCCTTCCATTCATCTATGTGTGCGGCGTTATTCAGCATTGATGCGCAGGTAATCAAGCCACCAATGCAGCATCAGCTCGAACATACTGGCAACGAGCGAGAATGAGGCGAATGCCGACAATAACGACAATAATGTAAAGCGACTACTGACGTTGTATTTTGGCACAGACAAGACAAGTAGACAAGTGCTACTCTGAGAGTTGCCGGCATAACCTTGATGAATAAGTAGAATAGCGAAAATTAACATCTCCAGGCTTTGGGAGGCGGGAAATGAAAACTTGGCTGTTCCGCGGACTTCTGCCATCCAGCCAAACCACTTTCAAGACTTTTCTTCATGCATCTATGACCATGACTGGAGCTCCTGTTTTGATCTGAGATGTCTTGAAGCTGCTCTGTCGTGTGATACATTTTGCAGCTCGCAATGCCGGAAATGTTCAGGCTCAAGGCCGTTTGCGTAAGGTACTGAAGGTTACATGAGCTGATGAGCTGCAGCGGCTAAACATGGGGTTAATGCGTCTGAGCCAACGGTAAAACCCACTGGGTGCAAACACTGGACTTGGAGTCTTGGACCTTGGGCTCTGGCCGGCGCGCCCAGGGAATCCACCATCTAGACTAAGCCACCAATCCCTGTGCTCGACTAGCTGAAAGAATGTTACTAAATAGCATCACACTTCGATGTCATCCGTATGAGGCCATAGCCCTGTTCTGTATCATCGTGTACCAGTGACAGTCAGTGCAGGGCAGGGGTCCTGATGCTTATTAGTTGCTTGATGGCACAGTTGCACCCGGTAAAGTGCGTGCGCTGGGCGGATAGGCTGGATCTTTAAAGGCTGTGTTTCCCCTCCTCCTATGTACCTCCAATATCTTGGAATCTGGCAGCCAACAATTTCTCCGTTTGCGTCGATGCTACATCCCTCGTTCCTAACAAAGCAGTCGTAAATCTGAAGAGTGCAGGAAGGTTGTTGAGAGTCAATTGGAAGTAAGGGATCCTCGCGCTCTCCTTCTTCGACTCAAGCTTCGAAACTCTTGACCTTCGGGAAATACCCAGCCCCATCGATCTCGACCTCAGCATCTCACAATGAAGCCAACCTCACCACTCTCGCTCCTCCTCTTCCTCCAGCTTGCATCTGCAGCTCCTCTCCCAGAGACTCTCTTCCCCTCCGACTGTCACTATACATCTTGCGCAGGGTTTCGCTCGGCGCTCCTCTCCTCCAAGCCAAATACACCTCCTACCCGCCTCACAAGTCCTCACTTCCCTGCGCACCAGCTGTCCTCCCCCGATACTCTCGATGTAGACGCATTCGATAATCGACCTTTCTCCCCCTCAGAGGATATCCGTCCCAGCGTCGCGCTGACCTCTGATCGCCCTCTCTCCTCCAGCTTTCTCCTCTCCCTCGCCAACCCCGCGTCCAGCCCCTCCATCCAAAAAGCACCGCAGTCAACGAGCTCGGAAGATTCGCTTGCCTCGAAACCAACCAGCGCATTACCGAATCTGCGAAGGGAAGACGCGGAGAGGTATTGGGCGTCTCTGCGACCTGCGAGTGGAAAGAAGGAGGACGAGGCTGTGGAGGACGATGGCCAGCGCCGTAAAGTCGTGTGTGGTGCCACCGGTTTTATCGCAGAGAGCTATGTGTCTTTCCATGGCGTACGTCTGGCGAGAGATTATAGCGACTTGATGGTTGTCGGTATCGTGGTGCTGTTCTTGGCTGCGGTGGTTGCGCTGGAACTGGTGGAGCGAATTGAGCATGTGTAAGATAATCACCCGCTCGCTTGTGATGTATGTGATGCTAATTGTTGTTACAGCGGCAGATCTTACGGTCGTCGACGAACACGGAGGGGACAAATATTTTTGGAGGATGATGAGACGCTCGCATACATTGTGAAGAAGCCAGTATCTCTACAGGCGGATTCTTTACAATATCAGATCTCACTGGGTCAACATCAGGACGAGAAGGAGGCATTTCAGTATGATAGCGATGCAGCTGAAAATGTTTGAAGAGCATGGTCCGGAACGGAACGATTTTTTTTTTGTGGGATTGGAAGCCAGGAGTTGGAGAGATCAAGACATACCCAGCGGCGTTTTCAAAATGGATAGGAGTTACATGGAGGAGGAATGGGGTCGTAGACAGGTCCTCACGCTCAAACCTAGATATATTCCTAAGAAAAGAATCCCAGACTTTCAACGGCTGCCTGCCTGTCTCCTTGTTCCCTCACAAGGCGATGCCACTCGCATTGTTCTCATAGGGACAATAAATAGCCAAATTAGAAATATTTGGATGGCTGCTATTCTGCCAGCGCATTTCCATCGTCACATATTCAAATGGTTTCCATTTTGTTTTCTCGTATAAAGCCTATTATTCAAGGAAGGTGCCTAGTGCTATCTAAGAGCGAGGAAAAAGCAGAAGCCCTTCATAATTATGGTCAAACTGGGAAGCGCCAGGATCGCTACCATTGCAGCTGACTTTGAAGTAAACAAGAGACAAAAACTCCCAGCTCAACCCTCCCGTCCAACGTCATCTTCGTCCGCAAACGTCCACCTCGACGGAAATGGAATCGGCAGCCGCTACTCACTGTACTATCAGCTTTTGTTTCAAGCGCGACTGTCAATTTTGAATACTCACGAGTCACGACGCCCTCTGGTTTCGTCCAGATCGGCGACTTGCTGAAGACCAAGGGAGACTACACTGGCCTCCTTGGCAACGGAATGGTGGTCGGCAATCTTGATAGCGGTCACTGCATTCTACTAGATGTCAATGGGGATCTGTGTAAGGAAGAGAAGTGCTTTCTATCGTACTCACCAGCCTCACTGGACCCTGCCCTTCCAGCAGATAATGGGAATTGGCAGCTGCCGTACTCGTAATTACAGACCATGCCTGTGGGACATGCGGTGGTTGGACTGCATTCTATTCGAGGTTGGTATAATCACCTACCTGCGAAAGTTTAACATCTGTGCAAAAGTACTTACCACGATTGCTGGAAGTGACATCCTCGGCAAGCAACGGGCGAATGCATTTGCCAAATGCGCAAATCTTACCCTTTGGACAGTCGCTAGGCTTAGTGCACTCTGTCTACTGTTAGTGTTGAGACGTGCTATGAAATGGTGATGGCTATATATCCTACTCACCATACTCATTGGAATCGACCTCCTCAGCAAGTAAAGGCCAGACACACGTGCCCATAAGGCAAACCTTGCCTTTGGGACAATCATTTTTGAACCAACATCCTGCTTGATATTTAATACCGTTTCATGGTATGATTAGAATAATGAGTAGCCTACTCACCCCACTCGCGGGCATCGACACCGTCAATAGAGAATCGCATACAGCGATTGAACAGACAGAAGTCTCCTCTGGGACATTCGGCTTGTGTATTGCATGCTGCTGCTGTTCAAGGTTAAACATGCTTGGCGATTGTTACAAAGGGTTCAGACTTACACTTCGTTGACTCGCTGTGGACAGTGGGCTGGCCTGGGTGGAAGGGACTAATAGAAGTGCTTGGGATTTCGATCAATACGTTGAGATTGCTTGGTGCTGCTGTTGCAAGGGAGAGAATGCCTGCCACGGTGAAGGCAGTAATGGTGGAGAGTTGCATGGCGACTTTGAATGGGGGACTTCCAGCTATGCTCGTGGAAGCAAGTATCTTGGAAGAGGCGAGTTTTGGGTTTCTCGATGTGTGACTTTGGAAGACTCATCATTTCAACTAGCAGCAGGACACCCTTTTATGTCTTATTGCTATGGTTGTACAGTCAAGGTAAAGATATTAGAGGTCCAGTGTACAATGACGATTCCAGGGACCCTAGCCACAGCACCAATGATCTCTGTCCACACTGTCTCGGCACTCGGGAGGTATACCATTGTCGATCGTGCACAATGGTGACGTATTTTCGTAGAGAAGAACGTCAAATCAGCTTTCCCCGCGCTTGTTTTCCTCGTTTGGCAATGTCACATTGAGCTTCGGCTGTCGCCTTAATGCTGTTTGTGGATTCAGGGGCGAAGGTTCATTCGGCTCATTTAAGCGAGCCGTGGTGTTTACATGTTGTTTTGCCTCGCCGATTACACTGCAGATCCTAAATTATCTTGTTTCATTGTTGGATATGGAGATCATTTACGCAAGACATGGTGTACAGGATCATTTTGGTAGATCAGTCAGCCAATTGAGAAATGGAAGAGTTCGCCATCAGGGCCGCTTCCCAACGATGAGTTCAGCGACTTTAACCACACCCCAATTTTGAACCAATTGAAAGTCTCTTTGTGATGCCCTATTAAACATTATCCACCTTGATGGTAGGCATTCAAACTCTAGCACTTGAAAGCTCTTGGTTGTACTGTAATTTCCACAAACGGTCTGATTGTAAAACAACTTGCTTCTCGGTCCTACATTGTGCCTGGTATTGTTTCGGCTAGTTTGTCGGAACATCCATATTGGCTACTGGATCAGTTTCTAGACCAGCACACGAGAGTAAAGCTAGTGAATTAGCGGCCTGTCTGAATGCAACTAGACTCGTTGGAGCTGGTCTCCATTCAGGATACGATATGTGCGGTGGATTTATCTGGTTGATCTGCTTTTCAGACCATCTCATCTTGGGCACAGTTTGGGAACCATGTTATCAGAAGCAATACAACGAAAAAGCTACTGCTGCAGAATCGAAGCTGGGATCAGTCAACAGTTTGGACGCTGGCCCTGCTAAAATCAGAACTTATGGTCGAATTGAAACAAGGACACTCCTGTCGGGATATTCCTGTTGGCACTGAAGCCAATGGGACCAAGGGTGTTGTATCTCTTCAAGTGCGACACGCGGCCACCTCTCCAGGCTGTGCCACCTGAAGCGAAAACACCCATTAGTGAGAAATACAGGGGACGTGGCGCTGTGAACCTGCTGAATTTGGTGAGCCTCGCTTGTTTAGCGATGGATTGCAGCAACTGCTACAGGGGTCTTCAGGCTACCCAACGAATCGCACTGAAGGTGATAAGCTAAGCTGCTTCTGTCGTTGGCGGGCCACACACCGAGATAACGCAACGAGGCTGAAATGTCAGCGTTGTGCCTGGTGGCCTAGGATATGTAAATGCTTCAGCCTCTCCTTCAAGCATCCAAACCTTCTAACTACAACCACATTTGACAAATCCTTACCTTCCGCTGGATCAAATTCAAGATTTCTGAATCCTAAACTTCCGTGGTGTGTTGCTTGCTTGAAGCCTCCTTGTTTTCAGTTGCATGTCGTCATACCTCGATTTCATTCATATCCGCTTCAGGTGTACGTCTTCCACCCCGCTTCTTATACTATGATTCGTCCTAATCACACTGTGCTGCAATGCAGATGAGTGAGCTGGAAGATGGTGTTCGAGCCAGCCAGGAAGATATTCAGCGTATGCTTGCACGAAGCTACAGCATTTGGTCATCTTACTCGAAAGACACAAAATCTCAAGACGGCCTGCCACCGTACCACCTCCAGCTCCGAAATATTCTTGGAAAAGTTCCAGCATATCTGGCTAACGGCTTGACCGAAGACAGCGGACCACCACAGTTACGGCTGGAACAGAGAGGTTCAAAGCAATCGGAATTGTTCATTAGCGGACACTCAATCTGGCGGACCGCAAAGGAGTCTTGCGGTCTCAAAAATAAGATTATCCCTTATCAGATACTGCTGGGTACCCAACGTTCGACGCTATGTTCTTTCACGACTGATTCACGTTTCACTAACTGGCCGGGTCTGTATGGTAAACGGATTGCTGTGAGCGGCAACGTCCTTGCGGTTCTAGCTTTTGCGTGGGCATATATTCTATCAGCCCGTTGGCTCGAGATGCAACAGTCCGACACTACGGCACAGTGTGTAGAACAAGAGAACCGTATTTTCTATATGGTAGCTGAAGCCAAAGGTATTTCTGACAGTGCTGAAAAATCTCCAGACGCACTTCATATCGATCTCGGAAGTGTCGACGATGATGCAGCGCGTTGGTGGGCTGCGATTTTGGCCCCAGGTGAAGGTTGGAGAGCAGAAATCACGCGAAATACCACCGTTTACCGATCTCCGTGGTCCATATGTATAACAGCCACACAGCTGTTCAGAATACGAAGATCAGGACACCATGAAGCCTCTTGCAGAGGCCCATTTGTTCCGCCATCCTCAGACGCGGCCTTGAGATATCTCGCTGACTTTGTCGTGCATCATTGTATCGACAGCCAATGCTCCGTGGCTTTGGCTGCGGCTTTAACGTTTCCGTTTCTTGGTTCTAGGAGCGCGAAGCTCCCATTGCCAAATATGATATCGCCAAGCACTCTCCCACCTGTTACGCCTCGCTCGCTCATTCCCGAGGGTCACCAAAAGAAAGGGATAGTTTGGGAAGAAGGCAAATTACTTTGTTACTACATGACCCTGAGCTGTAATACCCGTGGGATGCATGCTCTTCTTTGCAGCCCTTTCTTTGATGCTCAAGTCCCTTGCAACCTTGTTAGTCCATGGTTTCAACCGATCATAGAAACCTTTGACCCTTTATTCAAGAAAGGGGATCTCGAAAGTGTTGCGATAATTATGGGGAGACGGCAGCCAAAGCTGGCAGCGCTATGGATGGGAGCCGCCATCAGCGGAATGGCAGATCCCATCTTGCAATGGGCTCGATCAGGGCTAACAGCAATCGAGCTACACGCCGCTGCATGGACTGCCACTACACATTCATTCATTAGCCTCGTGTCTGACGATCTATATGGTCACGAGGATCAGGAAATTTCTCGTTCAGATGAGTGTCGTTTGCTTTTTCTTACAGACGCTGAGGGCTATTCTCGGATTCCGGTCTGCCCTTGGAAGCCATTCGGAAACACAGCATTGGGCGATACTGAGATCGAAGTCCGAAACCACGGGAAGTGTACGGGACACTATCTGCAATACATTGGCTGGTCCTGGAATTTACAAAATGAAAGTGAATTGGAAGATCCAGGCTTTACCGCTGATGTGCAATGGAATGACTCGATCGCAAATGCTGTCGACTTTTGTTCTACAGATCAACTAGATGAGAGGATTTTGAAAAATGATATGCTGTCAGAGCATGCAACTCGGAGTATATTTGGCTGGCTGCGGAGTTCAGGCTGGCCAAAGGGTGAGAAGGAAATATATTGTCACTCATGGATTGGGTTTGATGAATCAGATGAGGAAATTGATGATACAAGTAGTGATGTTGGCGAAATCGACAATACCATCAGAGCTGTTGAAGTATGGCTAACGGAACAATTCATGACAGGCTGGTATTCAGTATTCTGATATGGAGAGCACATAGAATGACCAATGAAAATCATCTCTACCCAGCAGGTCCTCTAAACAGCTTCCTTCCATCACTATGCAAAGTCCAACATATCTTCAAACCCATCAGGCCCGCCGCCTGGGTGAGCTGGGCATTTTTTGCATATAGCGTATTTGGTCGATGTCGTTAATCCGGTGTCGTGGCTCATGGTTTGACATATCTTCCACTTTACTCGACATTTATGAGCTTTGCAGGTGTAGTAGTTGTGCTCATTATTCGCGTGGCCGCAACTGGAGTTCGCACAGAAGCCATTTACCCCGGAACTTGCAGTCATGCTCAGGGTCCTAGATATCAATACTAGTCAGTCTTGGGTGGTCTAAGCGGATCAATTGTTACTAGAAGTAGTACATACGTTCCGAAAGTGTAGGGCCGATGTTTCCGGCTAATTCAGTAACTATGCTCGGTGCAACAGCAATACAAGACGAGAATCAAGTTTATGCTAGATAACTTATTAGAAGCAGTTCAACATCTTTCACTGTACTTGACTTACGGCCAAAAAAAGACTGAAGGATGGGCGGGGTGCTGGAATAAGAGGTCAAGCGCAGGGCATTCATGGGAGATATATGTCCATCAGTAATCCAACATTAGCTCTAGCAGCTCGTGGGTGTCCAATGGATTGAATCAGATATGCCACCAGTGCTGAAGTCAGCTAGCCAATCCGAGGAGATTGGCATCAAACGCCGAGTAGCACATTCCAACAAAGAGGGGGACGTTGCTTAACGGCAGAGGCACACGTACTCAAGTCGAAGCAGCACACCAATCCCGCCTTTGAACTCACCTACGAAACCAGGGTAGCACTGAACCAATAAAATAATTTGTTGTCCCATATCTAACCTTTATCGAGAAATCATCAGGCGTGCATTCATGCCCTATGCCTCAAAAGGCAGAAGACGCCCTGGCCCCAGCAGCAGAATCTGTACTTGGTCTGTTCCTCCCCCGGCTGGCGAGAACTCACGAGTGAACCAACCGCTGGTCCTCAGCCGAATCCAAACGTCTTGCAGATAGTCCAATAATTCGCTCCTCAATAGTGTCATACAGACAGTGTATCGCGCGTACAAATCTATGGAAGAAGAGAAAGATTCCTTGCCCCTGTATCTATGGGTTCAGACATCTCCCGACTTCCGATACGACACAACCGTATGGGCAAGGAACAGTCAGGTGAGGAATCCTTGACAAGCTCCACAAGCCCGATTCAGGTCCAATGAATGCTTGAGACATCTGCTGCACGAGCTGCAGCAAACGTACTCGGTGATGTTGTTGAAGTAGGCGACCCTGGTAACGCCCAAGGCTTTTAGTGGGAACCCGCGCCAGATTTCTACTAACAAATTACTTTCACATATTTATAGACTTACAATCTGAATCTGCTTCTAATCTAGTCGAATCGGTCTTGATGGTAAATTTTGATGATATGTGAATACCAAACAAAATAAGATCTTTAGTACTTATATAAAATGTTAGATAGGAGAGCGGGTGCCTTTTAGTGGTGTTTTCGCTTAATTTTGATCTTCAACAACAACACCGAGTACACGCCCTTTTCTGCCCACCTGTTCTGCAGGATTGATCATAGTTTTTGGGCAGCAGCACTTTATTGGTACCCGCATCTTCCGATATAGTCAATCCTGCAGCCAACCCAGTTTGTCACTTTGTTACTTTGATGCGAGCTGTATGACGTGCAAGAAGAGAAGTGTAACAGTCATGATGTCTCACGGTACTATCGGTCCGCTCGGTCCAATAATCGAAGAAAAGAGCGCTGTAGTAAAGTGAACAGTGGGTTGATGCTTATAATCAGAGAGATAAGATAAATTAGGGTGCGCTCTCGCTGGATGAAAGGGTTATCTGCTGCTGCCGCCTGGATCGAACAGATCGGACTTGCACATGGCGACGTCCGCTCGTCAAAAGTGCTTTTTGATGCCGAGCATCACGTTAAACTTGGTGATTTTGACCGTTCTATCAAGGTTGGAGAACACCTGGATTCTGGTAGTGAACACTTCGCAAGGCTGCTAGACGAGGAGGGAGGCCAAGATCGCGGAATGTATGGAAAGACTGGCCTCGCACTGAACAATTTGCTTTGAGCTCAGTCATTTATTCTTTGGTACAGCGCTACGATCCATATGAAGATAAATGATTCAATAGGGATCACGGTTCTGTTCGCATCGACAAGTTTCAAAAGATGCAATTCCCTCTCCTCTCTGGATCAACTCTCGATATAGTTGTACAAGAATTTTGGTATGGGTAGTTTGAGAGTACCAAGCAGCCCTACGATAAGATAGCTTCACACGGAGGGTGGTGTGAAGAACCCAAGGTCAAAAGGCACGGAATTGATTTTTTTTAAACAGTGTAGTCATTAGCTTTCCTCTTTGCAAAACGCCAACAAACGGGTGTTCGTTTCCAACCAACCACACACGCGAGCTATGCATATGCAGTGGAACCCACCTCCTTTTCTGAACTTTGCTGCCAGGAAACCATCATTTCTACGACGAACACACCAAACATGACTCTTCCAAACTCCAGCCTGAGCCACTCAGATATCATCCAAAGATGTCACCATCCAGACCGGCAGATCATCGGTGGATTGACGTATGGAGATCTCGTGATAAAATTATCAGAAGAATTAGTCGTCAAGTTCGGCCCCGGCGTATCAGTTGCGGAGGCAGATAACCAGAGAGCAGCATTCTCGCTCCTGGATAACAGCATCGTGCGCGTTCCACGCGTTGTTGACTTCTTCACCAGCACCGACAGGGGCTACACCAAAGGATATCTCGTCATGGAGTACATTCATGGGGATATCACAGACTCGGTGTCTGTGACTAGCAAACAGATTGATCAGCTTGTGAAGATTCTTACATACTTCTCGACTGTGCAATGCCAGCGCCCTGGGCCGCTGCTAAAACCAGGTGTATCGTTCGGGTTGCTTTGGGAGGAGAATGGAAAGCCGATATTTGAGAGTGTGCAAGAGATGGAGCGGTGGTTGAATTTCAGGCTGAAAGGCGATGAATCTAAGCTCGAACTGGGACGGTTTCCCTTGGTCTTGTGCCACTTGGATCTTGCTCTTCGGAACATTGTCTGGATGAAGGATGACACTGTGTGTCTCTTAGACTGGGCCTCAGCTGGGTTTTATCCGCGATTCTTCGAAATCAGCCTTTTGTTTATGGCGGGTCCGGAGGGCTACGAGACGACTTTGATAGATCGGATGGAGAAGTTGACGGATGTTGAGGAGGCTCAGATGGCCCTTCTAGAGTGTTCGTATTACAATGGTATAAGATACTACGTCGTAGGTTTCGGTTCTTTCTTTTGCTACTAGCTTTAGCTGACAAGGGTTCAAGCCTGAGTGTCGTGAGTTCTCAAAGCGATCAGACTAGTTGAAATATTGCTCAAATTGACATACTTACTTCATTGAGTATTGAAGCAGGATGAGCTTTGCTAGTACGCTTCTTGTCACATGGAGGTGGATATTGAAAGAAGGCTCCCGTTGATTGCGAAGGGAGAATTCCAATAGTTGTGAAATTTTCTTCTCAATCATCGTCTCTTCTACTTCTGGCTCGTCATCCAACTCATCCCAACCATCTACCTCGCACTCCTCAAAAACGCAAAAACACCACTACTATACCCCGCCAACGCCGCAACCTTCACCCTCTCCGCCACCTCCCTCCACTCCTTGACCGCCCCCCTCAACTCCTCACTCAGCATCAGGTTCTCAACATGTAGTCTTAGAAAGACCGCCATCCAGGCCTGCACGACGTCGAAGTCGCGGTTGGATTTGAGACGGCTGGTTAGCGCGCGGACGAAGTGCAGTTGTTCGTTGTGCGTGGGGTCCGGGGAGAGGGAGCGGATCTCGAGGTCGGCGGTGGAGGGGGAGAGGGTTTTGAGGTGCGTGATGAAGGGTGTGTCTGTGGGGTTGGGTTTGGTTAGCTTGGTGGTGGAGTGGGAGAAATTGGGGGAAGGGGGAAGGGGGAAGGGGGAATGCAGAAGGGAAAGAAAATTGTTGGACGTACAGTCGCCTGACTCGCTACCGGCACGCAGCGTAATGGTAAAAGCTCCTTCTGTAGCTTGTCTACCCATCTTCATGATCCTTGAGCGTTCGGCCGCTGTGGTAGCAGCGGACTCTTCGTCGACTCTCGACACAGGCATAGCGTTATCAAGGGCTGGGAGGAAGAAGGGTGCCTTTTCGGGGAGTTTGGGCGCTTCTTTTGGTTTGTTGCGCTCTTTGATTTGGTCGAGGTGGAGGAGAGTCATCCAGTTGCTTTTTGGTACCAAACTGAGTGACATGATGTCTTCGCTTAGCTGGTCTAGGGACGGAACGGGAGGAGAGTCTTCAGGCTCAGAAGACTCGTCTTCGAAGGCGCCGGAGAGCAGACCTTGACCGTTTTCGCCGGAGACGGTTGGGCCGGATATGGTTGCGATTTCGCTTTCTGAGATGTGGCGTGTGGGGACGTGTTTGAAGAGTGTGATGTTGTTCCAGATGTTGACGCCGACTTGGCCTTCACAAGTTGTGGCTAGGAATTCGCCAGTTGCAGAGAAAGATAGAGCTGTGCATTGAGTTTCCATGCGAATGGCGTCGATGAGATGACCGGTGGGGAGATCCCAGACTCGGAAGACGCAGTCTTTTGAGGCGGCGATTATCCATCGACCGTCGTTGGAGAAGCAGAAGTCGTTGATGGCGCCTTGACATCCGCGGAGTTCTCTGATGGTCTTCTTTGTGGCCAGGTCGACAACCCTGATAGAGAGGTCTTCGCATGATAGTGCGACTAGATCATTTGGCGAGTGGTATTTGATGCCAGTGAGGCCAACTTGGGGATACCAGTCTATCTCATCAACGAGCTTTCCACTTCCAAATTCCCAAAACTTGACTTTACCATCAAGCGAGCAACTGATGACGTTCTTGTTCAGAGAATCCACGACCAGTCCGGTGACTGCCTTTCTGTGTTTGCCAAGTCCAAGCTGGAATGTGCCAGCTTTTGGTGGTGGTGCAGCCCCTTCTGCTTCCAGCTGCAATTGAAGCTTGATTTTCTTTGCTTGGACTTTCGTCAGCTTGCATGGATACCTTTGTCGATGTTGTCCAGATTGCAAGTTAAACGTATCAATACCACCGTTCTCTGATCCGACAACCGCAAAAGTACCACAAGGACTCATGGCAACACTGCTGACATATCCACCATCACCAGTTTCCAATGCCCAGCGTCCTGCCCTCTTTCGTCCCCAGAACCATGTGCGGGCAGCAGAGTCTTGTCGATGGCCTGTCACCACGCTTTCCCATCCAGTCATTCCACTTGATGTAGCATCTGTAGGCTTCCTATCTCTGTTGATTCCTTTCTGCCAAATAGCACCATTTCCAGCATTGGCACCGAATCCGCCATCGCGATTCAAGGACATGGCCACGCATGTAATCTCAGGCGCTTTGAGATCCTCCAAAGAGCTTGATTGATTTGTCAGTGTACTAGCAAGTAAACCCAGCTTTTTGGCCTTCTTCCGAATAGCGCCCTGGCTGAGCTCTGTACTCTGTGCATCCTTTCGTAAACTCCAGCCCCACAGACTTCGATCCTTCCCAGCACTCAGTAGCCACTTTCCTCCACTATCCGCACCATCGAAATCGGAAGGGAGGAAAAGAAGTTTCGTGACAGGAGCTGCATGCCCGCTCCTTGAATGAAGGATCCGAGGAATGGGAGAAAATGGCGACTCGTCGAATATCCAAGTTTTCAGAGAGTTGTCCAGTCCACTTGTCACAACCACTTGTTGACCCCAAAGAAATTCGACCTTGCTCACGCCACCTCCAACAGTCGCTCCAGCATCTGATGGTGGATTATGGGCTCCTCTAAGTATTCCCATGACCCTTCCGCCATTGTTCAGATCCCAGAATGTCACATCGCCTGTATCTGGACCAGCTGTAGCCATAACTCCTGCCTTTCGTCCATCTTCACCAGCACCCAAGTCGTCAGTCCGGAATGAGATTGAAGTTATTGGCAAATGTCCTCCATCGAGCTGTATCACAGTCTTGTCGGCGCGAATATCGTGGATGATCAGAGGTCCTTCTGAATATGCGATTGCCAGTAGAGACAAAGCCGGAGTAGGCTGAAGCACAGTAACTGAGCCACAATTCGCAGCAGGTGGCATAATCGTGAAGATCAATCTTCCAGAACTGACGTTCCAAATCTCAACCCCTCCATCTTTCCTCCCTGCAAATATCTTATTCAAGTATGTGGGCATATTCGTGACTCCGCCTGTCAGCTCGTTCCCGCCTTTTGGTGCTGCCGTTGGGTATAAGGTGGTATAGTGTTCATATGTAGCCGACTTCCAGACTTCAATCCTCGTCGTACAACATCCTATAATCCATGTACCGAAGGTCAAAATCTGTTTGATAGGTTCCTTGACGTCTGTGGGAACCTCTAACTCTGCTATCTTCTTCCCCCGCTTGAAGACCCAGAATCCCGGCGATGAATCTACGCCTCCAAATGCTGCGAACACTACATCCTTGCTTGCCAATGTCGCAGTAATATCTGCTGGGGTTTGCGGTCGAGTAAGGAATAGCAGGCCGAGGCCGCGCTTGAGATCGTAGGTCTGTAGACATCTGCCTACGGAGGTAGTGATTTGAAAAGTCTTCTGGCCAAGGGCGACGGATGTGAAGGGCACTGAAGTCGAAGATACCAATCCGATAGTCTAAAAATATATTAGCAGGTCGTCCAAAGGGCAATCCTTCAGACATTTATATACCCTGAAGGGCGAGAAAAGCTTCGATTCTCGTCTTGTGGCTCGCGGCGCATCAGCCCCATTGAGCCTCTGCCTCTTCGTGACTGGGCCATCGTGACCACGCTCAATCAAACTTGACGGCATCTTCTCTATGATTGGATATTAGCCGTACAATTCGCAGAGTCGTGATGGTGGTTGCAGCCTTTACAATTGCATGGTGTTGATGTTGATGTTGACTTGCTTTGGAGCTTCGCAACTTTTTTCGTCGGACAAAATGATAATTTCTGCCGATGTCCCACCCCCACCCCTGCAGCTGAATGCTGCACTGCTGGTTCCGTTGCTTTTTGCTTTCTGGCCTCGCCTAAGTGTGACGGACAGCGACAGTGAGGCGGGCATGCGTGGGGGATAGCCCAGAAAATTGAAACGTGCAGGCAGCTGTACGTCTCTCTAATTTCCCCCTTCTTTCTTTCCTTCTCCTCTGTATAATCCGGCATTCCATCTGTGAATAGCCTCAATTCCTGCCCACCGTGTCACGATGGCTGCACCCCTCTCAACATGCCTGGATGCCAGCCCTGCCCTCTGAATCGGCGGTCGCTGCTTCTAGGCCACGCCCCCTGTCCCACCTCACGAACGTCATAACTGATAAGGAAAGAGGAGGACAGGACAGGGGATAAAAAATGAAATTCCACCTCACCTCACCATGGCTTTCGCCTGCGTCGCGCAGCCTTCATCAAGACAATTCCTCTGCCTCCTCCCCGTCCTGCGACTTCTACTCGACAATTGGAAGTCCTAGGTGACCCTGAGTCGCCTCCCGCTTCTGCCCATGGAAACGCCTGTGACCAGTGGCATGTCCACGACTAAGCATCCTAGTCCAACACCACCGACAGTGGAGACGACAACTTCTTTGCAAAGTTCTGGCCCAGATCTGGCACAGACAAATCAACCTCCTACAAATCCTCCCTCGACGGCCAATACCACCCACACTGCGAGTATTCCCAAATTGAAACCTCGTACGGCGTCACATACCCTCTCCTCTGCTGCGGGAGGACTCCATCCAACAACACGAAAAGGCCGATATGCGGAGCCAGGCACAACGGAAACTCATTCAGACCACGCCAGTATTTCCATGCCCCCTCCTCAACACAGACCCTCTATATCACGGTCGCGAACCTCTTCAACATACAGTCAGCGAGTGAACGTGGCGGATTTGAAGGCGGTGGTGGGTACAAGCAGGAGGACAAGCAGAGACGATTTTGCCGTGGAAGATATTGATACCCCAAAACTCTACCCGGGAAGCATGGCGGACGAATCGCAGAAGCTCTCTCAGTTGCCAGACCCGGCCCTGAGGCAGAGACCCTCAATGTCAGAGATTGACTCGAAGAGAATGTCGGTGTCTTCTGTCTATTCTCTGAGTTCAGCGCGGGCAGGTGGAGCACCAAGTTCGATTGCTTCCGCAAATGGCTCGGAACCTGGCACAGGAGCGACAGCAGCGTCGACAATTGGTGGGAGAACACCATCAGGCGCACTATCCCCCAATACCAAAGGCCAACAGGCGGAACCTGGGACATCTGCTGTCTCTGTCACTACTTCTTCTACAAGTCAATTCTCTACCCAAGGACATACTGGCCACCAACTCACACCTCGAGAAACTCCACAAGCAGCAAACGAGATTGCGAAACGGAATGCTGTCCAAAGAGGAGAAGGAGCGCCTAGGAGTCAACCACCAGGAAGATCTCGTAGTCGAGCAAAGAGAAGATTCAGTGGAAGCACAGGCGCAAGCAGCCACAGTCCGAGCAGTGAGAGAGGAATGCACTCCAAGAAAGACAAGGACGAGGAGAAGGCAGCCTCGATCGGAATCATTGGCGTATGTGCGCTTGATGTTAAGGCTCGAAGTAAGCCAAGTCGGAATATCTTGAATCGCCTGATATCAAAGGGTGAGTTTGAGGTGGTTGTGTTTGGCGACAAGGTTATTTTGGACGAAGATGTGGAGAATTGGCCTGTCTGCGACTTCTTGATATCATTCTACTCCGACGGCTTTCCCTTGGATAAGGCAATTGCTTATGTGAAAGCTCGGAAGCCGTTTTGCGTCAATGATGTACCCATGCAGAAAATTTTGTGGGATCGCCGAATCTGCTTGATGATCTTGGACAAGATCAATGTTCCCACCCCGAAGCGAGTAGAAGTCAACAGAGATGGTGGACCAAGCATCCTGACCGCGGATATGGCGCAACACTTGAAGGATACGACAGGAGTGGTTCTTGAAGGTCCGGAAGATGGCACGGGTGGTCAATGTAAAGCTCCTCGAAAGGTCGAACTTCTCGATGACGGAGACACTTTGAGTGTGGACGGAACACTCCTAGCCAAGCCATTTGTCGAAAAGCCAATCAGTGGCGAGGACCACAACATCTGCATTTATTTCCCCAAGAGCCAAGGTGGGGGAGCCCGAAAGCTGTTTCGCAAGATCGGCAACAAGAGCTCTGAGTGGGTCGAGGATATGAATATTCCAAGGGCAATTCTAGAACCAGGAAGCAGTTATCTTTATGAGAAGTTCATGAAAGTTGACAACTCTGAAGATGTCAAGGCATATACCGTCGGACCAAATTACTGTCACGCTGAGACTCGAAAGTCGCCAGTCGTTGATGGCCTGGTTAGACGAAATACTCATGGCAAGGAAATTCGGTACATCACCAGCTTATCTAAAGATGAAACTGCAATGGCAAGCCGCATCGCCACAAGCTTCGGGCAGCGAGTCTGCGGGTTCGACTTACTGCGCGCAGAGGGGAAGAGTTTCGTAATCGACGTGAATGGTTGGAGTTTCGTCAAAGATAACGAAGAATACTATGACCAATGTGCGAGGATTCTTAAAGATATGTTTATCAAGGAAAAGCAAAAGCAGCTGGGCGTTTCATCTGGTATCCCTTCGGGAGTTGCTTCACCTCAGCCAGATGGAGCTATCAGTCCAGTAAGCCGAAAAGACACATTTCCCAAGGAGGGCCATCGATCTGCACTTCAGCAGATTCTCGCCAAATCGCCAAGCATGTCTAAACTTCACGCACATGCACATCATCACAAGAAATCGACACCTCATGGTGGTTCACCGGATGTCTCTGCCGCACCGACTCCAAGAACTTCTCCTCCTGGAACAGATAGAGGCATTTCGTTACCAACGGTTCCAGCCCAAACCCTGCTACCGCCTCCTGCTGTTACTCTCCCGAATAGCGCGCCATCTACAGCTCCGTCAACAGTCCCATCGACTCCTACACCAGCAACCAGCACCACAAATGGCGAGATGGCACCTCCACCACCTCCAGCACCAAAGCATACTTGGAAGCTGAAGGGCGTAGTGTCCGTGGTCCGTCATGCAGATCGAACACCAAAGCAGAAATACAAGTTTACTTTCCATACCAGACCATTTATAGATTTGTTGAAGGGGCATCAAGAAGAAGTACTTCTCACAGGCGAGGCTGCTCTTGACAGTGTGGCCGTTGCGGTTGACGAAGCACTCCAAGAGGGAGTTGAAGATCGTGAGAAGCTCCGGACACTCAAGAATGTACTCGCCAAGAAGGGTGGATGGGCTGGCACGAAGGTCCAGATCAAGCCTATGTTCCGAAAGCGAAAGCCAGAAGAGCTACTGGTCACTACCCTGGGATCTCTCGATGAAGCAGGAATCAATGATGTCTCAGACGCACTACAGGATCTCAAAAACCATAGCACTAATGCTGCTGAGGACAGCCATGAAGATGGCGAAGAGCCTGTGGGTAGATCACCAAAGAGGCAAGATTCATTGTCCGGCGTCACACTTTCCAGAATAACAGCCGCAGAGAACAGTCTCATTCTGGATAAGCTACAACTGATCGTCAAGTGGGGTGGAGAGCCTACGCATTCAGCGAGATATCAATCTCAAGAATTGGGAGAGAATATGCGCAATGATCTCCAATTGATGAATAAGGAGGTTCTTGATGAGGTTCATGTTTTCAGCAGTTCTGAGCGACGTGTCACCACAAGCGCGCAAATCTGGGCTTCTGCTTTCACTGACCAAAAGGAACTTCCACCTGATTTTATCACTGTCCGCAAGGATCTCCTCGATGATTCTAATGCCGCAAAGGATGAGATGGATAAAGTGAAGAAGAAGCTGAAGAGTTTACTCCGCCAGGGTAACGAAGCCCCGCCACAATTTGCATGGCCCACAAACATGCCAGAGCCTTCAATCGTGCAGAGATATGTGGTCCAGCTTATGAAGTTTCACCGAAGGGTCATGCGTGCCAATTACAGCAAACTCTATGGAGGAGCTTCATCGTCCCTGAATGCAATTGCTAACCCTGGCGATAAAGAGAAAGGAGAATCAGCCCCGGCTGGTGGTGCACTCGCGCAAGCTACAGCAACTGGCAACATTCAATCTCGTTGGTGCTGTGGTGAAGATGCTGAGCTGTTCAAGGAGAGATGGGAGAAGCTGTTCGGTGAATTCTGTGATGCGGAAAAGGTTGATCCAAGCAAGATTTCTGAGTTGTATGATACCATGAAGTTCGACGCTCTACACAATCGTCAATTCCTGGAATGGGTCTTCACACCAAGCAAAACCATTCTTGCGGAAGAAGAGGAGGCCATTGCAGCAGAATCCAAGGGTATTGAGAAGCAAAAAGAGCAACCCAGAGAACCAGAGGAGGCTGTTGTTGACAGTCAAACTGTTTCTTTTGAGAAGTCCGATACGAATAAAAGCCTTCATAGACGAATGTTTAGACGCCGCTCTGTTATGGTTGGAAGCAAGACTGCTGAAGAGACACCCGAGCAATACTTCCGATTGTTTACAGGCAGTAGTCAGACCAAGGCGAAGACTGATGCTAGACTCGAGAAGCTGAGAGAGTTGTACAAGATGGCCAAGGTTCTGTTCGATTACATCTGTCCTCAAGAATATGGAATGACAGATGCCGAGAAGCTCGAGATTGGATTATTGACATCACTTCCTCTACTCAAGGAGATCGTCCAAGACCTTGAAGAAATGCAAGCTTCCGACGATGCCAAATCATTCATCTACTTCACCAAGGAGTCGCACATCTACACACTTCTCAATTGTATCCTTGAAGGTGGTATTCAGACAAAGATAAAGCGAAGTGCCATTCCGGAACTCGACTACCTCTCGCATATATCCTTTGAGCTGTACGAATCGGAGAACAAAACACCACCTGGTGTCGAGGATGTTGCAAAGTACGCCTACTCGATTCGCATCACCATCAGTCCCGGTTGCCATACTTTCGACCCGCTAGATGTACAGCTAGACAGCAAGCATTGCATCAGCTGCGCACCAAGACGAAGCTTGACTTCACATATGGAATGGACGGAAGTCATCGATTCATTACGGGCGAAGTTCCATCAGTAAGCTCTCTCCCAGCTACTCTCGATATGAACCCGGGCTAACAAACTACACAGAGTCAAACTCCCCAAAAGCTTCCTAGCAGTCAACCTCAGCGAATCGCACACTTTCCACAAGAAAGAAGAGCAAGAAGACCAACTCTCACCAACCAGCACCACCATCAACAAAGGCGACTCCCACAACACGACGCAGAGTCCCGCAGAGCTCCAAGAAGAGGCTGCTCTAAGCGAAGATTTCTACAGAAGGCCGAGTAGTCTGAATACCCCACCGACGAAAAATACCCTGGAGCAGATGCAGACTCAATCGACTGAGGCGCCACCGCCCCCAACAAATCAAGATGCTAGTACTTCTTGATTTCTCGACCGAACTTGGAAAAATAAGTGGGGAGTCCAACGAAAGACCCCTACACCGTCTGTCTGTCTCCTTACCTCGCCGTGCTGCAGACTCCACAACCAGCCCCTCGGGATTATGACACTTGTTCTTGGTGTCTCTCTCACCGCTCGCTGACGCCGATGTTCTCATTTTCAAGCGCCTGGTCATATCGTGTCGCGTAGCGTGTCATCGCATGTCATCTCACCCATGCATGTTAATGCAAATCCGAAAACTGACAGGTCACTTTCCGCCTTTCTGGACGCGCTGTCTGTTGGGGAGGGAAGGGGAGGGAAGGGGATGGGGAAGGGTCCTTCCTTATTCCCGACTTATTGTCTGATTGACTTACCGCCTGGCTACTTGCTTGCGTGCTTGCTTGCTTGCTTACTTACGCTCGTCCTCATTTACTTCTCGGATGGATCTCTTCCGAGGACTTTTCGTCTGATGTTCTAGTTCTAGTTCTAGTTTAGAGTGCGAGAAGGTGTGAGTGGAAGTGGGTGTTGTGGTGTTGCGGATAGATTAATTTGATGGGTGGCGGGAGATGGGCGGCGGCGCTTAGAGGATACACTAATGGATGAGTGGATGGATGGTTGGTTGGTTGGTTGGTGGGTGGATGGTAAATCTCGGGATGCTCATTCATTTTCATGGTTAACGAAATGAATTGAATTTGGAATTGATGGGTTTTGATGGTGGTGGTGTGGTGGTGGAACGGAACGGTGTATAACGGTTCATACACGGCCAGGTCAACCAGTCAGTCAGTCAGTCCGTTTTAAAAAGAGTATACACACACATACGAGGCGTATCTAGATTTTTTTCCGACATGTAAAGAGTGAGTGAGTGGGTGAGTGGGTGAGTGGATGGGTGGATGGGTGGATGGCTGTACATATGCATAATTCACATACTTACTCGCGAGCTGTGATCGAGTAGAAATGAAAACATGTTATGAGAAAATTCTAGAGTTTAGATTACACACACGGCGGCGCTTAGGTATACTTGTCATCTGGTCGTCTGGTCATCTGAAGCGCTGGAACGTTGGAGCGTTGCCAATCGAAGTCTTGAGGTGAGGTGTTCTCAAATAGGTGAGTGAATGAGATCCTGGAATCTGGGAATAAGAAACGAAAGTGGAGGTGAGTTGAGAAGTCAGATCTGATGGTGATTGGGAGTGAGAGGTGAGGTGAGATGTGATGTGGGATGTGAGATGGGATGTGAGATGGGATGTGTTATGAGAAGTGAGAGGTCGTTTTCAGGGTCCTCGTTGAGAGTGGCGTCCGTGGCTGTCGTGGCTATCGTGGCGCAGGGGTAAACGGTATGGGGGCTGGGAAGGGAAACGGAGAGGGAGATTTTCATCGTTGGAGGTCGAAAGCATTGCATTGGAGTGGAGTGGACCACTCATTCCCAAGTTTTGCTTTTCGACTCTGCCTTTCTTCCCTCCTGCAAACCATTCATTTAGGCGTCTGGCTGTTTCTCCTTCCGAGGGGTTTCTTTTCTTTTTTACCATTCTTTTATCCGTTGCTTTCCTTGCTAGGTGGTGTGGTTTTTAGGTTGATGGATTGATCATTTAATATAATAGAACAGTGAAAATAGTGATGAGTAGGTACGTACGTACGGACGTATCGGACTCGGAGTCGGACTTGGGATTGGGATTGGGATTTGATTCTTATTGGAATGGGGTAAACACTTTATGAAATGGAAGTGTTGGACTCAGGTTGCCTCCGTCGATTCCGGTTTTTGCTTGTTGGTGGGGATGGTAGTGAAGCTGTTGGTAGTGGTGGAAGCTGAGGAGTTGGTAGAAGCTGAGGAGTTGGTAGAAAGTTGAGGAATCTGGGATGGGGTATGGGGTTTGGGATACGAGATACGAGATACGGATATGTTGGTCTCCAGGTAGTCGGGTAGTTGGCTTGGTGGCTTGGTGGCTGGGTGATTGGGTGGTGGTCATTCTGGGCAAGAGGCAGACTGATGCAGAGATGCGGAGACAGACTTATGATGTGAGAAATTCCTTGATCCAGGGACCTATTAATCAGGAAAGCAGTAGTTGGAGTTGGAGTTGGAATTGATGGGTTTTGAGGTAAGCTTGCGAGTAGTCGAAATAGTGAGGGGAAGTAGGTACCTACGGAGGTACTCATTCATGGCCACATACCAGAATGCTTCTTTTATCAGATGATAACGGGCTGGCAAGGCAATGCATGCGAATCGGAGTGGTGGAGTATTGTTAACCAGCAGGCTTCCCCCTTCCTTTGGTGGTGGTGCTGTTCAATGTCAATTACTTGAGTGAAGGGAGTACACGCAGCTGGCCGAGTTCATACGCCTATCCAAAAAGCCAAGTACTTTGCAGAGTCCGGAGGAAGATACTCATTCCCGTCTCATTCTATAGATCCGTACATTACTCAATCATCCGGGTGGGGAACCGGCAAAATCACCAGCCTGTTGGTTATGTTGGCTCTTCTAGATCTCTCCTGTTGGAGTGTTCATGCAAGGGGAGACAATTTTTCAAGGAAGTTGCAGATCCCGTGAGTGAATATGACCCGAAAACTTGGTTGCTCTGAGATGAAAGGATGGGTTTAGTTGGGGTTTTGCGTCATGGGTCGTGTACATGTGCGTGACTTGAGGTGTTTGGGGAAATGCTGATGATAAAATTGGAGAGAAGGTAAGGTTGGGAAAATAAGGTGAGAAAGCAGGATATTCCGAGACAGATCCTGATACCAGGATCTAATGGCATTTATGTGATTTGGATTTTGAGGAAGTAAGGAAGTGATGATATGGTATTCTGGTCTGGAATTTTGGATCTCGATCTTTGATATGGCAGTCCATATCTTAGTTGCATATATAACTATTCAAACGAGCTATATCTCGCACAAACTAGCCTGGTATTTTGACTGTCGAACATTCTGATAGCTCGCCTGACGATCATGATCCTCAACTTGATCATGCGGCTCCTCTTGCTGGGTTTTGGGAGAACATTGATATGCCAGTCCAGAAACCGTACCAAACTTTGACCTTCGTTCTAGAAATATGAATTCGGAAGCTCCATCTACCGTCCCCAACTACCGGCTGGAGGGATTATTCTTCGAAGCTATATCGGTGCTGCGATATACTTATAGGGATGACTTGTCTTGGAGCAAGGGGACAGGGGAGACTCAATGTTACTGTATTTTCGTGGTAATCAAACCGGTGAGCTCGTGAGTTCGAAAGCAGAAGTAGCCGGATATCTTAAGTCTGATCTTAAAATATGATAGCACGCTGCTACCGTAACAGTACATTCGTTACACTCGTTAGAGGAACACCGGAAAAATTGTAGTCGCCTATATTACCATCGTGATAGACATACATTTTCACATATCAACTGGACGTTGGCATCTCATGTCGTGGCACAACATGTGGGGCCAACCCACACAACATCACTCTTCCCACATCAAAGCACAAGACAAGAGAAAGAAATGTCCGAAAGAAGAAGTTACAGGACGTACGGAATACACAAACCCCACCACGTTTCAAATTTCCAGAAGCATCATCGTGCATATCGAGGCGAATGGTCGAACCCCTCACCCCTCCCTGCGCGCACAGATTCTGAACGGTACCGCTCTTGGCAGGTGGTGTTCGTGCGAGAGAACCTAGCTAAGCGCATGAAGATCCTGGTCATGCCATGTGGTGCACGGAAATAAGATGATACTCTATACTTCATTGTGCATACAATGATGGAGATGTATGAGGACGAGTTTGGTGATATTAATAAGGAGGGGATGTTGGGGTTCGCTTATGCAGAGGGAGGAATAGGAAGGTAGGTTCCTTGTTTTGACGATGCTGCTTTTTCTTGAAGGTGGCAAGGGAAGCGGTGTGGACTGTAAATATGTGATGTCGGCATGTCCGAGAAAAGGGAAGGAATCACGAGTTAGAAAAGTTGCTTCAGGGCAGGGGGAACAAGTTCTTGATTTATCCCAGGCACGGGCAAGCAAGCAAGTGTTGCGCGAGATCGCCTTACCCGTTTGCACCATCACTGCCCATCCTCCGCAAGACCAACTTGAAAGAGGAAAAGCCCAAGCAAGAGCGGGACATGTGCGGACGAACGGTACGAAGGTACCTTCTCCTCTCGTCATCGATCACCTGCAATAACACCTCGGCAGGAGATCACAAGCACCGAGGATAGATATTGGAGGCAAAGGCTCCGACTGGAGCCATTTACGAAGCTATCTTGATATATCCAGGGTTAATGATATCCTGGCGAGGAAGGTAAAGAGTGTAAATTAGGCCGGAGAGAGGTCGATGTTTGGAAAGTTTCCCAAAGAAGCGACCTGCAGGACGGCGTATGCAGGTCGGAGAATATCTTGTTATACCGGTACTTTACCAGAGGAATCTTGATGCTAGTGGGGTTGTGGGCTAGTGGCAGGTGAGACTGAGACAGTGGGTTGGATCTAAATTCGCTGTTTTGGGGGACCTGCATGCTCGATATCAATGAGGGGAGCTTGTGGTGGGGTACGGAATCGGGACGATGGCCGACTTCATTTTCACCTGTGCAACAGTGAGGTCAGTAAGAAGTAAAAGGGTCAACTAACTGACATTCGATTCTTCGTATACACCCAGATCTCGGAACTTACTGTAGTGGGCATTTCCTTTGTCTTCCATTGCTGATCGTAAGTTAAAGCGAGATCAGAAAGCTGCGCCACTAAGTCCACGGAAAATAGCCAAAATGATGTATCACCAACTCGCTCCGTGAGCTTCCAGAATACCCGTATTTTGGAGATTTGGGCGTGATAATGCACGTATATGTCTCACGGCGCCATGTCTATCTTCCCCTTCCCGAAGATCTCACTCAGTCTTCCATCGATCCTTCTTTCAGCCCACTCGCTCATCGACGGCACTAGTTTCAGGGGTTGGGCAGCGAACATGGCTGGATTGATATCCGCGACCCGGTAAGCAGTTTCCCCGTTGAATCTTTGGTCCCATGTTCTTTCTGGATTCCTTGTTCTTTCTTTAAAATGAGAACCGTTTCTGAACCGTTTATTTGCTCTACATTGTTGATTGCGTATGCGCTTTCGGTGATTGGCGTTGAGATGCGGCACAGCTCGGCGCATCGAGTCGGGTTGCCAGCTGCCGATTGCTATTCGGAACACGGCAGCATGATTAGGGCAAGCAGGGGATTTGTGGAATTCGAGAGGGCAAGCGTTAAGTGATGCGAGACGGAAAAACGGTTGGAGCGAGAGCTGATGAGGCTCGATGGTAGATCGGTATCAACTAGATTGTTGCATGGATGGTCTCGGGATCCGTATGGCTGACAATTTAAGGAACTTCGTCCCCTCACACCATCAGATCTATTTCTTCTCGGAATTCCCCCATCATCTGCATTTAGAAGGCTGAAATCTTGATCGTCCTCCTGGGGGTGCAGGGCATCAGGAGATTATTCATCCCACCCGTATGCATCCAAGTACATCAACTACAAGATCTCCAGTCTGCACTGTGCCATTTTAGGTCTCAACTCCGTGATTGCCAATTGCTAGGCTACCATATACCGGCAACCTTAACCCTGGGTTTCTGGAATTCCATTTGAATCCCTGGATCTTCTAGACGTTAACAGGTCCACTTTTGTGGAGCGCCAGTGATGCTCAGACAAGGTACGGATCGTGATTCGTGGTTTCGGTCGTTTGGAGCTGATATTTGATGCGTTGTATGATTGAGTTCTTGTCAGAATGACTGGAACGGAAAATTTCAAGTCGGATTACCACTTGAAGAAATATCGAAGAATATTTTCTTCTTGGGCAGCTTCACGAGACGCCGGCTTCAGTTTCCAATACATTAATTCTTCGTTGTACCGGTACTTTCGCATTCCGGCTGGCGAGATCTCTCGTTCACTTCCACAGTTCCATATGTTGTGCGAGCCCTTGTTTGAATGCCTAGCCTAAGCCCTGTAGATTCTCTCCCATGCGCGCTTCGGTGGGTTTGACAGCGGATATCCTGCCCCTTGCTTTGCAATCATTACCAGGAATGAGCCCTTGCACCTCCACTCCCACCCCTAACGGCCGCCACGAGGCGCCTGTCATCTCTCGCTGTCCGGCAATTCTGTACGACCTATACTTGCGAACCATGATGCTGAGTTGGCACATGGTAACTCGATATCTGCTGGGCCGAGGAAGTATAGGTTGCACATTCTAGCTTGTCTTCCCTTGCAGGCCAGCTTACATATAAAATGAAGCCTAATATTGGTACAGCACAAAATGACAACTTGAACACAGCTTTGTTGAATTCGCTCAACTGGATATGAGAGGTGGTACGACTCTTGCTTCTGACAAGCCTGATCCTGGGTGATGTTGCACGGGGAAGTGATCCCGCAAACCTAAATCGAGGGGAATGGCAGCAAGCTGTGATCGCAAAGAGCCTCGATGTTTTGGGTTTAGAAAGAGGGCGAGGATGGTTTATTGGTCAGGAGGGAGGGACGTAAATAGAGTAAATTTGGTGGGGTAGGTGCAAGTAAATGTACGACTTGGATGCCGGGATGAAGCTTTGCAGACATGGAGTAACTTTCCACGCTTCAAATGTTCAGGAGACAGGGATATCCACCGTAAGAAATGCGATCAGACATACCCAGACCAGCCCGCAAAAGCCAATTGCAGCATCCATGAAGTCATCGATGTGCAGTTCTTCCACTCACGCCCAAAGCCCATCCTCGGCCGCAATCCAGCCCCAGGCCAGCCACGCCCAAGACGCACGGCGTCAAAGGTTATTTGATAGTGGCATGAAAAATCTCCTAGCTGCCTGAGTTATATCACGACCGCTCATGTGGCAGCAAAGTCAGTGCGCAGCACCGTCTCCCAGACCGTCCCAGTCCCAGTCCAGTGCCGAAGGTAAGTTATTATTTTCCATGGGTACGAAGTGCTCGTTTAGGGCAAAAATAAATGGCACTAAGTCCTTCGAGAGATCCAGCACGTCCTCCCGGACTCCGCGCGACCTTGAATTCTTTCGCACGAACCAATAGGAGAAATTACGCAGCTGGCATAGAGAATTTATCGTACGAAGGCTCGCAACGAATCTCGCTGATTTTTACCTTTCCATACCCTGGCGCTGTTCTGATCAAGTGAAGTGTTGGATGGAGTGGTTGATGGTGGTTCCACTCTACTACTCGACTAAGTACCAACCAAGACGTCGGGCTGGGCACTAGTACTAACCTCACCTCCTGGCACACACCACACCACTCCACACCAATCCATCTCAGGCACTGGAGCAGGTACTTCCGCTGTCCCCTTCTCTCCACCTACCACGATGTACCCTTCTCACGCTTGCCGGTTCCTGCAACTGGTTGATACCTACAGGTCTTGTGTCCCCCTGAATTTCTGGTCCTTCATGTCTTGTCCGTCGTCTCGCCCCCCTCCTCTCATCTTCACTTCCGTTCTCCTCTCCATCCCTCGACTCTTTCTTCCCCATGACTTGAGTTGTAGCGACGGTGGAACTTGTCCCTGCCAGATCCATGTGTGCTTTTCCCACGGTAAGGACCACTTATCCACATTTGTATCCACATCCACGAGGCATGCCAGTTCACCCATGCCGATTGCCATACTAGCCACGAGCGACCCGTTGTAACACCAGCAAGAACAAGCTCTATCCCTCCTCTCATCTGCTCTACTTTTATCCTCCGCCAGACGGTCCCCTGCACTAGACCCTCATTGCAGGACACTTTGTCCCCCTTCTGGCACCAGCTTAACTTTCAACTTAGTTTGGTCTAGGTCATCCGTCATTCTGGTTGAAGCTGCCCGGGAGGTCATCCCTTAGCCTCTTAGCTATTTCTTCTTACTCTTCCTGGGATGCCAAAGACCTTACGATATGCATATGCAGCTTCCCCGACGAACGTATATACATCCGGTGCTCTCTTCGGTTGCTTTCCGCACCGGCTCGGTATATACTTTCACTACTTTGCTCCATACATTTCAACGGTACATACGCACCAACATCTCCATCCATCCTACATAACCTGATCCCCAACGAACGTACCTGCACAGCTCGGCCTCACCAAAACTACCTGGGGAAGCATTGAGAGGGACAAAGCAGAGAACAGCAAGGAAAGAGGTTCTCTAACACTACTGTACCGTTTTGATTGCACAAAGGGCGGGTTTGCTTGCTTGCTTGCGTGGCTGCCGCTTGCCTTTGTTGTGTCCTCCAGCTTCTCTGCGTTGCTTGTCCTGCTTTGTCTTGCACTGCTATGTTTCTATCCGTTGCTTCTGCCTCCCTGCATCTACACGCTACGTACTTGGCCCTCGAAGTTGGCATATAATCTTTCCTCAAGGGGAAACTGATTACCTAGCCTCTGGATTGGCTAGACAAGGAAAACGAATTTCTTTTGGTTGGGCATTTGTTATTCACCTTTGTCGAAGGAGACAATATAAAGACTTGACGACCTCCTCCGACTTTCGACTTCGAGACGAGGAAGCAACAAACATTCTTATTCACTTTCGATTTGGGACGCCCACACAAGTGCCCCTATCCATTCACCCTTCAAACAAGCGAGGTGTTGATTCACAGATAAAGCAAACCTATTTCCAAGCAGTAGCGCGTTTGCGAAATCCCGTCACCTCAGTCTCGAGCTCCAACCACAACTACAACTCCAACACACCATCACCACTACTCAGTTTGCTCGATCTCTTCACATCTTGCAGCGTACGGAAAAGGTACGAGAGCCTCCTCCATGGACAGCCGATATTTCTTGAAGTGTCATGCTAACCCTCCGCAGAACTTGCCTATCAATCTAAACGGTTTTGCCAGACCCCCACGCCAATACCTCACCTCCTCAAAAGACTAGGCACGATGGCTGTCCCAAACTACTGTCACCATTCTTTCAACCTTCTCAAATCTGAGTCGACGCTCATTCAATGGGTCTGCTCCATGTGCCACTCTGGTCCACATTGGTATATCTTTGAGTGCAAGTATTGCAAGTTGAAGACGTGTCGGCCTTGTACGAACAAGGTCTGACTCGCGTCCTCAGCACGTTGCTTCCCTGTGAGCTGCGTCTGCTCATTGCTTGAAGAATCCGCGTACGGTTTCGGTAAGCTCGATCTTCTCATATCCTTACACCATTTGAACCATATCTCAACTTATCCTTTCAATGAATTTCATGTTCATTCAGTCCTGCAATTCCGTTATCATCTATCCTAAACCACATCCCTGATACATCCCAACTGCCGAGTCTGAGATCCAGCGCTATGCTATTATTATACAAAGTACTCTCCTTCATCAGATGAACTGCGTTTAGCCAAACGGAAACTTCCCAGTGGAATAGATCCTAAGCGGGATGTGACAGATGATGAGTGCAGATAACCAAGTTATGCGATAGCGATCTGACCCCCCTTGCTCACTTCTCGAGATCTCCCCACCACCCCAATATCACGATGAAAATGGAAATGGAAAGAGGATGAATGAAAGTATGGAGCAAATCCACTGACGTCTATGTCCAGGTTCTCGTCTTTCAATGCCATCCAACGTCACATATCGCAAAAAGCAATCTCCCCATCGTTCCGGCAAACAAGTAACTACGAACGACTAGCGCAACCCGATGTCCAAAAGAAAACACCGAAAATCCTCTCAAAACAGCTAAACGATCCATTGTACAGTCAACATGATTTCCGAGCCTCTATTGCAACTTCCAGCCTGTTCTACACTGTTTGATCTTCTCGCCTGTCAAATTTGGGGTCCAAAACCTGGTCGCCTATCGCCTCCCCCCACCACATTTTGGAGTCCAGTGTCCAATGTCTCAGCCTCTCACAATCGACCGAACACTTTATGCCATGCCATGTCATGCACTGTGGTGCGATGCGGTGTGGTGTGGTTGCGGATGCCTGCGGCTTTTGGGCTTCTTTGGGCTGCATGCATACAGATGACAGCACGGGAGGGCCAGGGGTGAGGCAATCTGACATGTCACTCTATTTCTGACCCGACTCTCTGACGACCCTTCTCGATTTCGACTACGATGTCACGAATCTCCTTTCTTTTGTTTGTCTACACCGATGCGATGATGATACACCGGACCAAGCAATTTGATATTTCCGAGTTTCCATTCCCGGCCTGATGAGAAAACTTCCAACGCCTCATCCCGACAACCATTGTCATCTACTGGGCATTCCATCAAATGACCTAGCAAATTACAGCTGTCTGCTCAGATGACTCGATAATTTGGAGGCCAAATACTGGAGCGCTTTCCTTCAGGGACCGGATGTTTGCTGTTACAGCTTACGAGGCATGGCGTGTCATTGCTTGCTTGTTTTCCTCTTTGAAAGAGCGTTGGGCAACAGGACAACAACACGCAATTCTGATTCAGCACTTGTTTCCCCATCTGCATCAGCGTCCAACACAGCACGTCAACGCAGAGTACAGCACGACCAGCTCGTCGGGCTCTCTCTTGCCTTCTTCTCACGAATACCTCACATGTTTTTTTTTTATTTCCTCTTTCTGTTCTGTCTCTGTACTTCCAGGCAAGCGAGGTGGCTTAGACATGGCTAGCGGGCGTTTCCCAAATTTCCGAATTTCTGTTTTATCTGATTTCTGGTTTTCGTTTCCATACCCGAACTAGGATGGCTGTTTACGCGAAAAGCAAAGCAAGTAAGGAAGCAAGATTGACTGAAAGAATTAAGAATGAGGTACGCAAGTACAACTGGGCTGGGTCCTGTTTCTTCCATTTGGGCTTTGGGCGTTACCTGTTATGATTCTGAAATTGATTGACTTTGTTTTTCCTGTGTTGTTCTGGTATTCATGAATTGAATCGCTTCTCTTGATGAGAGCAGGGATGTAATGAACATGACCTATGTAATCTACTCTACTCTACTCTTGCGCGACATGAATGACTTCAAACTCTGGAAATATACTGCGCACTGTCCCTCCGCGATGTATGATGTCTCAAGCCATAAATCCAAGCCAAGTCTTGAAATTTGGAGGAACAAACCTTGCACATCAAACTCTAGCCAATCTTCTTCGTCTTCAAAAAAGCCTTTCAACATTTCACATGCCGCGAGACTTCCTCTCCTCTTGCTCCACACAGCACACCATCCACTTCCGGTTGCCCGACAACACTACAATAGATTACACTACAATATATCCTACCCCTACCCTACATCATATTAAGTCCTCACTCATATCGTCTCCTCCCAGCACAAAGCTCCTCACCAACCTCGTGCTAATCAATAAACCTCGCTACCTCCTAACATGACGTTGGGACAACCTTTTCCCAACAACGCATCCATCCACCTGTCGTGTAACCATGTAACCGCGCTCCCATCCAACTCTCAATCACTCAGTCACTCGATCACTCACTTGATCATCACCGTCCACGTAACGTTCCCTCCTCAACCCAAATGCTCTCACTGGCACCACATAAAAACATGCCTGAAAACTTTCCCACTTCTCCATGTCAGTGTCCGATCTATTCCCGTCACAGTAGGGCTGTAGTCAATATAAGGCTTGTTCTTGTCTCTCTCCCTCTGTCCACGTTTCTCACACGCAGGGCGTGTGCTACATGTGCATGTATGCACTACATGACAGACCACAAAATAAATAAGCTTAAATACGTTGGGCCGCGGCGATCATGCAAGAGAGTGTGGACTTCGGCGTGCTGGCAAGATATGTCGTGTGACATTGAATTGATTCATCCCGATCCTGTGAGTGCCCGTCATTGTATGGCTGTACGACATAAGGCTGCGTAGGGCTGTCATATCCTTGTGGTCTTGAGTCTTTCTAGAAGTATTGGACGGGAGGTTAAACATGAGGAGGAGTGTATGGCGATCATGCAAGTATGGTTGCGTAGATAATGTGTGTATCCTACTTGCCGTGTTGGAGATATCGACGGGGGAAGAGATGGGTCGGCCCTTTTTTTCCATGAACGAAGTTTTCTACGGCCCTTCTGTTCTGCCCTCGCCCGTCAATTAAGGATACAAATGTCCATTCACAGCCAAGAAGTCCCATTTTTTTCCCCTACTAATGGCACGGTTGATTCTATTGGACTTCGTGTAACATAACAGTTAGCACTCTTTCTCTTTATGTTTGATTGACTGATAAATACGTAGCCAGCCTCATGATGGAAGTGATAACTTGCAGCCTTGTGACTCAGATGAGGTGCTGATAGGTAGTGGCGCCGCGTGGCATGGTGGTAAACTTGTGGGAACATACAGGATCTGATGGGTAGGTGGGAGGTAGTGTCACCTTCGGGTTTGGGGATTGATGAGTGGATGGAAGATATCACTTTTATGGGACTTGGTGGCTGTGGGATCTGCTCGCCTGTGAGGAGCTAAAGGAAGACAAACATTTGAGACGAGGTCGAGTGAAAGTACTAGAATCACCATGTGTATGTTTCGAAGAGATAAATGTTTAGATATTGTTAAATGCTGTTACTGACCATATTTTACGTGATCAGATCATCAGATACTTTGCTTGCTGAACCAGTTCTGGAAATCATATCCGTTCTCAGGCGTTTTGGCAAATGCAATCAGAAGCGCGAGAACAGCAATGTAGAACGCGAGACGGTATTGGACGGGGATGGCGGAGATATAGGGGAACTTTGGTGCTGGCGCTGGGTCGAAGGTTGACAGTCTGGGAACAAGTCCATCTGGGTTTTGTTAGCTCTTCTCGAACATATATATACTTCTATATATTCGTTTGCGAGCCTCTGGAGACTTAATACGAAGGGAAACTCACTCCATACACTCGTCTTCTCTCCCTTCTCTACTACCACCTCATCACCAACACTCAACGTCCCAGGCCCCACTGGGAAGCCGTACCTTCCAAAGACTGGCTCCCATTGCTTCCCCGTATCTACTCTCCTATCCTTCATCATCTTCTTCAACAGCTTCCCACTTTCTCCGTCTCCCATCTTCCCATGCTCAAGATCCACATTAACACTAATACACCTCGCACAATTACTCGTAAGAACGACCTTCCCGCCCCCATTTGGGAAAGTCAAACTCGTCCAGAGATCCTCCTCCCAAGCCTTCGTCCCATCAAGAATGATATTCGGGCGGAACTTCTCATGAACGGCCTTCTCATCGCCTGGTAACCGAGGATGGAGGTCACCGAGTGAAGCCTCGGACGTCACGAGCAAAGCGGCATTATCTGAGAACTGTATGTTTGAGGCCTGCGTCGGGATTGCGCCTTTCATTTCTTGCAGCCAAGATGAAGCTACGGCGTCGGTCTTTGGTTTACGGATCCCGAGGCTGTCGCCGATGAAGGCGAGGACGACTGGGTATCCGAAACATGCCGTGAACCAGTCGTTGATGGAGGCATCCATTATCCATGCTGGGTAGGACTTGCTGGTGTGGAGATCTATCTCGATTTTGACTTTATCATCGAGGCTAGGTGTGAAGGGGATGGTGACCTTTGTTTCTTGGGCTGGGTTGGGAGGTGTGATTGGTGGAGAGGGGACTCGGTATCGAACGATGAAGCTGGATGGTGAAGAACTGGGTGGAGATGAGGCAAGCTCGCAGTGAAATAATGCCATTTCTGGTCTATCCCCTACAAACATATATGCCCAGCTTCCATCCTCCTGGGGTCGGAGAAGAAGGTATCGACGGTCGTGGAGCAATCCTTGGGGTGTCAGGGTCGCGCTGGGAAGAGACATGCCTCGAAGGGATTTGATAGGGTAGACGATGAGCTGGGAATTGTTAGTGAAATTCTATCTTGCTTTGATACTTGATCCTGGCAAAGGAGGATCTGAATCAAGGCAGGGATCGGTCCCACCTCTGTGACCTTCATCTTGAATGTGGCCAGGTTTTAATATTTCTTCTCGGTACACTCGAATATGATCATGCGGTGTTATTGCTTATCGTGCGGAGGAATGTGTTGTCGTCTTGAGGGAGCTCAAGTTTAGTTTGTTATCTTTTACGTGTATTTTTGAAGAGTCATCATTTTTACGGACAAGGGATAACATCATGCATCTCAGGCACTAAGTGCGGGGTCATGATTACCCCTCCACCTTTGAGTTTTCCTTACAAACCACCAGCAATGTTTACGCAGGAAAGTAAGCATCGGACTTGGGACTCTCCATTTACCGGACCGGGATCCGGTACGATACCTAAATATCAGTACTTTTGTTAATTCTCGGATGCCTGATTACAAGCCCGTGTGCTTGTACTAAGTGAAGGACACAGCTGAAGCAGGACGCATCGATGAATGGATACGGAAGAACTTCCGCGATGCGAAACAACGGGGTTCATTGAAACGTTCGGTCTAGATCCTACATATCCTTGCTGATTGACAGGGAAAGAGGACTACAGTATGTGGGATATTCCCGAGGACGGAATTAGGGTTTGTGATTGCATTTAAGGTTTGACACATTCGACCAGGGGCGGGAAACCCCTTGCAGAGTATTTTGAATCGTTGGGTAGGAATGGGTCCAAAGCTGTCTTGGGTCGGTACTTCACGGTATATGAGGAAATAATCAGGGAAGTGAGGACGTGGATTGTTTGGGGAGGATTTGAATCCCGGTATGGAACGAAACCAGAGTCTTGGTAATTTTGGGGGTTAGGACTTTGACGTTCAGATGTTTCCTTGACCCACCAGACGGAGATGGAGGGTCAGGAGATTCGGAATTTGGCTTTAAACATGTGGTCGTAATGCTAGGATAATGCTTGGAGTTTGTGCTAGGGACAAGAGTGTTTTGATAGCACACTGGGTAACCCAAGTTTTTTTTTTGGATTTGGTATTGAGTGGAGGAGCAAAAGCTTGAGAACAACACAAAGAACCGGGGCAGAGATGGCTACCGTTCCATGCAGCATCATATTGAATACCCAAATCAATCTTCATAACATATGTTGCATAGACAATTAGTTGATACCCAATAAACAGAGTAACTCGTAGCTCTTACAGGGGCTCAGATACCCAGTTTCAACAGCTGGATGCTCGGTAGGGCTTTTTGATGAGGGCGGGCAGCTCAGAGTCGCTAAGACCTTCGGTGAGAGAAACGCGATATTCTACAACTGAAATACTTTCTCACATCACTATACTCAAAGAAAGAATCTCCTTCTAACTTGTACAAGTCGACTCAATCTTTAAATAAGAGTAATTTTAATCTTTAATCAAGGCAAATTCGATTATGAAAACAAAAATATACATCTTGAAAGTGAGTGACCTTCAGTAGTATTCTCGCTTATTCAGCTGCCCGGCCCTTATCAAAAACCCCACCGAGAAATGCCTAAAAGTTACCCCGCACTACCCCGCACTTAACTGAAGGGCGCTGAAGCGAATGTTTTGATCAGGATATTTAGCGAGCTTCCTGCGAAACGCTTCACACTCCAATACAACAAGGAACTTCAAAGGTAGCTGTCAAAGATATGAAAAACGTGGAGTAAAATAACACTGTATAACAATAAGATCAGAACTTCATTTAACATAGTCACTGCTCAAAAGTTACAAAGACAGGCACCTTTTGCCAATACCTCAGATCGTAAAGCTATAATAAAAGACACAGATTTAGATGTCCTTTTCTCGAAAGTAGAAATATACAGACTTAGTAGCGTATCCAAAAGAATATTCTAGATCTCGAACTTATTATCCCAACTATCAAGATGCTCCATGAAAATTCAAAACTTTTGAGGATTCACAGACGGGTCATAAAAAGAGAGTTGAGGTAGAGACGGTGTATCATGGAGCGAGGGTTGACGTGGAATTTCGGTCCACCCGAATGGTTCGACTGCTAATGCAAATTCGCCGATATAGTGAATATAGGTTTGGAGGGCGTGATCCTTCGAATCTTGAGTTCCTTCGTTGTCCCAAAGTGAGCAGAGACATACGCCATAAGAGGGTGAAAGTCGACTTGTTTGCTCTTTCTCGAGACGATTCATGAGAATCACCTCGTAGATTCTTTCCTCGGATTTGTAGATGTTGATGTAGGGATCTGGGATACTGGATTCAAGTCCTTCAAAAGCTGGGAAAGAGTCAATTCACTCAGTCCATTGATGATATCAAGGACATAGCCATGGCAAATTAGTGCCTCCTGATCATCAGGAAAAGAGATGGTGGCTGTAGACTTCCCACAAGCGATGTAGCCAGCTTTGAGACCTCAGTCAGCTCGTGACGTCCACGCTCGCGGGTTCGAATCTCCCCAAATAGCAGGCCAATCGACGCTCCACGAAGGGTAACCACCATTTCTCTTTGTTCTAGGATTTCCTAGGGAGAGAATATCCAGATCACCAGGCTTGCTCGATTCCTCAAGTAAGATTCGCTAATTCATATCTGTGACCACTTCCTCAAGAGACTTATCATAACCAGGGACCGGAACAATCTGAGTTACATTCATACATAGTCCTAAGATACCAAAAGTCTTGTCTCTCGTCACTGACGACATGGCTGTACAAGAGTACCGGAAAGCGGAGATGAGATCCATGGCTTTTTGCACTTGTTGTAGAATATACATCAAGTTCAACATGCTGATGTAGTCTTTCAAGCTATTGTGGAGTAAGGTGGATGCTGGTCGATCACCCCAGATTGCGAGAAGACTAGAGCGAAGAGTTTTTAGAGGGATGGTGTACTGGCCCTATGTTATGTGCACGGAGGGAGAAAGGGCGACTACTTGTATTATCCAGACTCTGTGCCAGTAGGGAATTGCGACTAGTGTCTGGAAGTCGGACCAGGTCTGAGAGCTTCCACACTAATTCTTCAAGAATGTAGCGGAAAGCAATCTTACCATGATTCGATTTCCATATATTCTCTCTTCCACCTTGAAATCTTCTAGTTCGTGCAAAGCTTTTGACACGGGATGCGTCTGTTCTTGTAAGCACAGGTACGACACAAATTCTCGCTTAAGCAGCACGCTGGAAGTGGTTAGCCCAGTTGGGCTGGGGAACAAACCATGTTGGAACTTCTCTGCGTCCAGATCTGCCCACATTGTTCCCACCAATATCAGAGCCAACCGACAGCAAAAATGAATTTGCCAACTCCACAAGATAGAGTGCTCTGGCTCAAGGCCATCCAGACACCGGGTGAGATTACTGATGCCGAGAGGCGCAGTATCCTCAGAATCGCCGACCCAGAAACACAGTTGGCCAACTCGCTTTCAATCAGTGGTCTAACTCCTGAAGAGTTTGAGGATAAACTCTTCATCCGGCCTGAGTCAGTGATTGAACGGGAGTGTCTTCTCATTCAGCATGGGTATCACATATGGAACAATCAGGAGGCAATGGCAAATGGTCAGATGGATTGGAATGTCGAAGATCGAATGTCACGCATCCACGCTTCCTTGGCACTCAAGAGGCCGCGTGAAAGAGAGGTTGAGAGGGCGCTCAGCAATATAATGGAGGCTCTCATGATGCAGAGACAGGACGCGAGCAGGCTCAGGATGTCCGGGGTTGCGGAGGAGACGCACCAGCCTTGTAGATGGGTACAGAGACTTATCGATGCTGAGATTGAAGCTGCATCTAATAGTGATGAGGAAGCTATGGTATGAGGGTTTATTGTTCTGAGAGACGCGATGACAACAGCACCATATAGCGATGAGGATTGGACGCTTTTCGTGAAGAAACTAGAAAAGGAGATTATTTGGGGTGTGAAAAGAGTGAATGGCAATCAGCGGATAGAAGCGACTCGACGATTGATTTGGGGGAAAGAAATGGTTGACGGGAACCGATCTCGAGGGACTGCACAGGTATGTCAAATTATGTTGCTTTCTCACTGAGCACTTCCTTGACATGTATACACGTAGGTCTTTCCAAGCTACCGTTACATCAGAGGCCAATGCGTCTCCACATATCATACATAAAACCTTCCTCTTGGTCACTTCCGAGGTCATGTCATCTTTCGTCGATGCTGGCACCTCCGATTACGCCTCTCCTGCCTGGATCTGGGCCTATGAAGCTTCCACCAAAGATTCACTCGCTCTTGTTCCTGCTCTTACGCCTGCCACGCACGCTCTACAACCAGTTGCAGAAACTCGATACGAAGGCAGACTCAAAGTATCTGCCTACTCACTATTCACTTGGTTCTATGCGGCGCGGGCGGAAGATATTTACAGCATGAAACTGTTTTGGGAAAAGGCTCAACAGCATCCTGCGGGAGTCTGGGAGATAGAGACGTCTATGGGAAGGTATCATCATCCGCTTGTACTGACAGACAAGTTTGCGGAGTATCTCTTTAACACGTATGAGTTGGATGATCGGCGGTAAAATCCGGTAGACTCTTCAGAGCAAGAGGGCACAAATTGCACCAGATGAGATGTTTGCAAGTTCTGTGGAGTTTCATTGCTCTCTTCTTGTTTTGCCCGCTCTGAAAAAAAGCCCTGTCCTCCGTGACAAGCTGCAGACTTCGCGATTCTTTAGCCATCTGTATCGCATACTTCAAAGAGGAGCATTCTTGAAAGCATTCAAGTTTGCCCCCGTGGTTTCAGCCTCCAAGTTCAGTTGGGCAAGGTCGTCCAGTATCTCCTCCGCAAAGTCCAGCAATACTGGGTCTTGACTTGTACGCTGAACATTGAGCCCAAATTCCCCTCAAAAGGGTTATCCGATTGAGAACCCAATTACGTATGAATATATCCATTCGAATACCCCACGCTTCGACCCCTTCGTCCCAGATGGGCAGTGTATTCATGAAATAGCCGTGCAAGAACATGTTGTGGTTGAAAACAGTCTGAAACTCGGCGAGGCTATCGTGGAGTGCTAGGATCAAGCTGTTCATGTTCTGAGCTATTCTAGGCATGCTGAGATAGCTCAAAACACCCAAGACTTGAGCTTCTTGTTAGAATATGTGCTTTGGGCAAGGAAGATGTACATCCACCGCGAATTGCAGAGGTGGCATTGGTTTCATGACCAGGAATAGTGCGGTCATATCCATTTTCAACCCAAGTGGTATCAGCGACAGGAGCTTTAAGGGCCCAACCATAAACAGGGAGCAACCAAAGAAGAACGAAGGAGCTCGTACATCTAAAGTAAAGGCATAACTGTTCCCGAGAATGGAACCGTTCTGAGACAGTCCGAGGAGCGTTCCTTAGAAAGTAGTATTTCACGGAAGAACTGCCCTGAGACAGTCCATTATTTCCCTCTGCCTTCGCCTCCAAGGTACATAAGGAAGAACTTTTAGAGCTCTCCGTGTCTTGTCCCATCGAGTACCATCGTTTAGACATTTCAGTGTAAATACTTCGAGAGTTGCATCTAAGTAGATTGTCAATAGAACTTGAAAAGATTTCACTTCATAGCTCAGCTGCTTTGAATCGTCAAGCGTTTCTACGAGTATAAACTCTGTCTAGTTTTATAATTCTTGTTATTACGCTTCGCAGCAGGCATATCATTAAGCGAATACAAAACAACGCTAAAATGTCCTCATAGCGGTTGATGGAATCAATCAAGCTCAATTCCAGAGCCTCTCACATTCACCTGACACTTGAATCACATGAAATCTAACACTTTCATTTTTCCAGATGATATTCACAAATTGAAAGAATACCTCTCTGACTTGGAGAGGAGGGAATGAAACAACAGCGTACTTCAACTGCAATTCTTCCACGACAACACACACGACAACACAAAATCTTTGCAGAGATCTGCTAGTCATTTTCCTCTCACGATGCAGCTCTTGCCACCTGAGCGGCTGAACACTGGTCGTGATATCGTCTTCGGAGTGGGTGAGGTTCGCTATGTGGCCGTTCACGAGAACAATGTGAGTTCTGCTGCTTAACGGTGCGTTCAAGGCTACGCCAGAACTGAATCGTGCCTAGAAACTTATCCCATCCCTGAACCGAGAGTTCAGTCTTGCCACGGTCTTCACGCTGACGTGCGATCAGAATCCGTCTGAAGTGACAGCTACATGGGTCCAGGAGCAGGTAGCAAGGTACAGCAACGAGGACGATGTCTTCAACGAGCAGTTCTTGGCCACCGTCATCTTTCATGTCAGGAGCAGCCAAGATGAATCTATCAAGGTCACGGATGAAGCACATATTCATCTTCGAGGGTGTGGAACTGAGCAAGTGGTATGCACTTCGGAGCCACAATTACTGCCAGGTCCGTTCGCGATAGTGGGCAGCCAACTCAGGGACGTCTGGAAATTGGTCGACGATGTCAATGGCACCTGTATGGTGACTTTGAATCCAAACCAGAAGTAATTACACGTTGCCTCTTTGCTTTAGTCTTCTAGCTAATTCGGGACAGTGCCAACGATGGATTCAAGCCATTCCCTGTCCTCAGCTCAGATGACCGATTCTCTAGCTTTGCACTCCCCTCGCGAATCACAAGTCGGGCGACGTCGAATTCACTCTTTGCTGGTATGCGCATCTTGGTCAAAGATAACATTCACCTCAAAGGCATAAAGACGTCCGTCGGTAATCGAGCCTTTTACGAAACATACCCTCCACAGCCTGAAACAGCTGAATGCGTGAAGAGATTGATCGATCAAGGAGCTGTGATTCTTGGTAAAACCAAGATGAACTCCTTTGCGACGTGGGAAGAGTCTGTGGAGTACATTGACTATCAGGCACCTTGGAATCCTCGAGCAGATCACCACCAATCTCCCGGAGGAAGCAGCTCTGGGAGTGCGTCGGCTGTTGCTACGTACGACTGGCTTGATATGACCATTGGCACAGACAGTAAGTCGTATCTTTTGACCTCGTAAACCAGGGTACTCACCAACACTGTTCAGCTTGGGGAAGCGTCACTCGACCTGCTCTGTGGTGTGGTTGTTATGGACTCCGTCCGAGTTTTGGAGCAGTCTCGGCTCATGGTATTGAACCATCCTGTCAGTAAGTTGTTCTAGTGTCAAGTTAGTGACTAGTTTTGAATACATTGGGGTCTTTGATACAGCTGGGATCCTTGGGACAGACTTGAGGAAATGTAGAGATTTTGCTGCAAAATGGTTACGGGCAGAGGTATTGCAGAAGAATCCTAAGGTGAGAGTCATTTCTGTATCTTCGTACTGTTACTAAGATTGAGTTCTAGCCGTTCAGCCTGGTTCTTTTCCCGCTCGATTTCTGGAAGGCCATTGATCCCAAACAAGCCAACATGGGTCGTGAGTTTGCGCAATTGGTCGTTGCTCATTTAAAAGCAGACTACCTCGAGATCTCTTTTGAAGAACTTTGGCTTGAGTCGCCACCCAAGGATGCTCAAGGCTGCACACTATCCGAATACATTGATTGGGCAGCCAAGGTTCAGGATTACGACGCATACCATAACTGCGATGACTTTCGGAAGAAGTATCAGAAGACTACTGGGCATGCGCCATATGTATCGCCACCAGTTCAGAAGGCGTGGTAAGTTTAGTACTGTTCTTCCTTAGATACCTGGCATCGACAACTCTTAGACGCCTCTCTCACATGATTGACAGGGCATTCGCACAAACCATATCAAAAGACAAGCGGGACAAAGGATTTGAACACATAAAGACCTACAAAGAATGGTTCGAAACCCAAATCTTGTCTACGGCGACCGGAAATGTTCTTGTAGTCATGCCTATCGAGTCAATGAATCCAAGATACCGAGATGAATCCCCAAAGTAAGCAGACGGCTTAACCACTTGAATCTCTACACGCTAACACTGAATACAGATTTGAATACCCTCCACCAGGCATCAACGCTCTTACTCTAGCACCAGTTCTCGAGGCCCCCGCTATCACAATTCCAATTAAGTCTACACTATACTTTCAAAAGCCATGTTGCTAATGGTTCTTGCAGTTGGTGAGATTCCGTATCACTCTCGAGTTACTAATCGCCAAGAGAAACTCCCATTCGCAGTGGCAGTCATGGGGAATCCAGGCAAGTTGTCTTGCGAATTTTGCAATGTCGAGAACGGTCAGGTTAATTATAGTCTCTAGGGACCGATCTAGCTCTCATGGATACAATGCATGACATCCTGACATACGCGAATCTACCAACCAAAGTAGAATGTGGTAGGAGCATCTTCTGAGCATGGTTACACGTAGCCAGGACGAGACGACAGCTCTTACAACGATAATTGCGTGACTAGTTCACTCGATTTCCTCATGAAGACATACTCATCTGTCCTTGTAGCTGGCTCCAAAATATGCTCGGGGTATTAGCACAGGTTAGGAGTCAAGAATTTACACGCTATGATTTACATATGCCGAGAGTTGTGCCTCAAAAACTGTGCTCTCTTCACCCTCTAATGGATGGTCAAAAACAAAAACGCAGCGATCACGTTCTGATAGATACGTGGTACGGATCGTAAGTATGTACTGGTTGTCCGCGTTTCCTTCATCGTATTCAAACCAGGGTACTGCCCTTTTTCTCCGCAGAGTCTGCAGCCACACCACACATACCTCATTGCTTTCCGATCAGACCCGACACTATGATTAGTAATAAATGCTTTCAGATGCAGTTTAAGCGATTAATCGGGCCCAAGTAATAGCGCGCTAATCATAAGAGTGAGAATAACGAGAGGTCAACAAATGTTTTACATTTAGCTGACATATCAACGTGAATTTTTTGAACCCGCGCCAAATCGATTTAAGTGGCCCTCCAATGTACACTGGTGTTGATGTTGATTTTAGGATCTGAAGTGTCTACTGCATTGAGCAAACCGACTTCAGACCAGGCTGCATACAGCCTCAACAAACGTGGTCCAGAACTCTCAAGCAGAAAGAGAAGATGCGCTCGATACTGCATCGTGGTCTTCCTGCTGAACCGGGTGTGAGGCTCGACTACTTGTGTTGAGATGATACTTGTCAACTTGCTTCCCGCTCATATCTTTACGTTCATGCATGACATCAAGCACGATACGAATCTGCTTGAGCTGTACGTGCTGCATACACAATCGAGGAGAGCATTAGCACATCCCTATCGACCAAAGGAGAGCGAGAAGATGACACAAATTGAGAGAAGTACTCAAATTCCCATGCCTTGGTAGCTGAGAGACTGACTCTTAGTGTTCACCAGATCGAGACGCTATCAAATCCACTAGGCACTATCCCGAGAAGACGCGACTACACGACACTGAAAAGCCCTACACCATGAGATATAAGCCTGAAGAGGAGATTCCACAAACAAGTTTCATGAAATGCGAATGATCAATGACTGTTGCTACGATTATGCGAGCACCTAGCTCCAGTCCATTACAATCTGAAAGATGTGGTTGATTTCCAGTTGGTCGAATTCCATTCGACGATGTCGTAGACAACATATGGGACGGCGATAATTCACAAGACTTTTAGATACAATATGTACGAGAAAATATCAAGAAAGCTTTGGGAGTCAAAGTTGTATGGGCTCTAAACTATGCGGTACGTAGGAAAGCGACACAAAAAGGGCGGCACTGCACGCTCTGAGACTTGACACGGGTGAGAAGACGTGACGCATCATTCCCTGTCTTACTGGTGAGCGAAAACTGTTATTATGATTAGACAATAGCATTGGCACAAGTCAGTACGTTACTTGCACAATACATGTGTACCAGTCTTAATTCCGTGGTGTAGATTTCACGAAGGAGGAAAGGGAACGAATGGTTCCCCTTCTCTTTAGAGATTGAGCCGAAGATGTTCTGAAAGGACATTGGCAAATTGTCAAATAAGCATAGTCTGCCATGGGGTTTGATACGACGATTTGCACACAATTTTCGCGTTGTTCTATGGAAATCCGTCAAGTGGCCTTTAAATGATTTGCCTCAGTCGCTCAGTTTTTTATTCCCAAGATATGATAGTCAACGACGTGGTATTCAAGGGCTTCGTGACGGAGAACTTGTGAGTCGTGTATAGCTCTAAGGTAGGATAATATGGACAGAGCCAGTCAAGTCCTGGCGCAAAGCTCACTTCTTAATATTCTGTTAATGCCTATCGAGAGTGGGCTCTGTGCCTGTACTCATTTCATCGACGAGTCGGTCCCTATCTATGCTATCCTGAGCTCGATGAAGCAACGACTGACGATGAGTCCATGTTAGCCAGATGACGAGTGTCGTGATAGTCAACGGTGCGGTCACAGCCCAATAGATCCAAAACCGGCCGTTTACTATCGGCGAGCCTTGACTTGCATTCCAGTTGAGTAGAGGCATGGCGAACAATGAAGCCACAAAGGTAGCTGGCAGGAATGCGACAGTGACAGCGGCCAGAGTCTTCATAGAGGATGAATCTCGCTTGCTTGCTGATGCAAGCGTTCTTGAGTCTTTGGCGATTGCGATGTTGAGCTTTGCGTCTTTTTGAGCAATCAAATTGAAGAGCTAGTACTTTGTCAGAAATTGCATATAGATAGTTGAGAATCTCCCGAAACTTTGAGGCAAATTGAGATTCTGCAAGGGATAGAGGAAGTCTTTCGGTGAAAGGTGTCGTACTGCGGTAAGCTGAATCTGACTACGTTGGTTCAGAAACTTTAATTGTGACTCCTGTACGTCTAGTCTCGTCCCAAGTATTGTATCCAACTCTTTCCTAGTCTTTGCCGATAGCGATATTCTTTCCTGGAGAAATTGAGAATACCCTTGCATATGGTGCTCGGATGACATGGTCGAGACAAATGCCAGTGCTTCTTGTGATACCTTTGCTATTCGCTCCTGGCCTGCCAGTGACGTTGCACAACCACTAATTCGAGCAGAAAGCGTGGCATATTCACCCTTGGCGACTCCAACGAACGATTTCTTCCAACCATGATACCCAGTGCGGTTTTCGACTTCTGCAATATTTCGATTCTCGCGCAGTAAGTCTCTATCCATTAGAGTGCCAAGTATGATGATAAACATGTACCCCACAGCCATCGGATGACCGATAAGTGCCGACTGATATTGTAGCAAGTTTTGCGCTGTTGATATTATCCACGGATCTCCCAGACAAATCCCTCTAGTAGCACCAGTGCTAGTGTCAAAGGACCAGGCAAATACCAGGAGGTCAGACAGGAAGGCAGAATAACTTTTTACATTTCCGGTTTGGAAATTCGCAAAGCCAGCTGCTGCAGTGGATCCATAACGAAGAGCCTTCTCAACATGGAAATGCTTTGATATAGCATCGAAATTGGACTCGCGAATATCGTAGCGCCAGGGTATTGTATCTTTTAATAGAGGAACCCATACCAAATGCAGCCCGCTAGAACGTTCTTGGGCGCGTAACCAATTGTCGACGTTTGAGCTGAGCAGGCGCGTTGTCTCTACAGGAATCCGCGTTGTCTCAGCACCGATAAGTGCGTCAGTCACCTCGAAATCTTGACAGCTGGAATTGAAGGCATGTGATGTGTACCGTACTCCGTGGTCTGCGTAGAAATTGCAGAGTCCTTCCATGAGTATGGCAGCAAAACGTCAAGGGTGTGGGCGTTACTCCGAAAATGAAGCCAAGCCCGGCTGAGCGCTATCTCGCCAGTCGCACACGCTGTAGAACCTCAACGAATGATCTACGGTACACAATAATTCATACGGGATTTGAGCGAAAAGAGCCTGTGTCAAGCAGCTAGTACGCCAAAGATGGGCAAGATGGGCGGGAGGAGGATTGATCACGGACGAGCGAGGCACATATGAGGAGCTGAAAGTTGTCGCCAAGCCACACTCAGCCCATGGAAGTGTCTGCATAATTGCATCACGTGCCCATATTCTGTTTTTGGCGTGATTCATATCCGTCACAGGCCTTCTGCCTTAAGCATAAATCGAGCAAGATACAGGTGTACGGTTCTGTATGGTTAAGCAGCTGAAGGTAGTTTCAGCCCCAATACTAATTTCGAAGTTGACAGTACAGTACGAAGTACGTTTTATAAAATGGATCTCGTCCAAAATTTGAAGGCTAAGTAATCAATATGCTTATCTATTCTATGGTCGCTGACTGGTCCAGTTTCAAGCGCTCTCCTGTGAGGTTGAGAGGTTCGTGGGCCTGGAGGGAGTGGTTCTTATGGATGAAACGATTTAGAAGTTAAGTTTAGGTGATATTCGGGACCTCCACATTCACCAATACATTATGCAATTGTAAAGTGGATATATATCAAGCACTATTGAGCCACGAATCCCGCAGTAACTCCCTCGCAGTCATCCTATCTTCAGGACTCCAAGTCAACATACCCCTCACAAAATCCAAAAACATCTCCTGATTCCTGCCCTCAAGAATATATTCACACGTTTCCAGCGTCTCATCCTTCGCAATCTCAATCTTTCCTGTCCACGCTCCTAATCACACGCGATCAGCTCTTTGAAGCAGTACCTATCTAGGTAGGCAGGATGAGCCACCAAACAGAGGAAATATTGAGATACGTACCATCCTTCCCGAAGAACTTAGGGCTCCGCTTTCCGCGCTCGAGAAGATCTGCTGGGGGGTATCCGAGCAATGCAATAATTTCCGCGAGATGGGCTCGTGTCGAGTAGCCTTCCCCATCTGGATCCTGCGCATAGAAAAGATGCCTGCCCTCGAACATATCCCATATCTAATCACAATCCAGGGTTAGCATCGTCTGGTTTCAAGGTTTTGCAGTCATCATTTCAAGGTATCGCAATCGAGTGCCGAAGACAAAACATACCAAAGCTCCCAAGTTCCAGATATCGACTGGATAGCTCCAGCCAGCTTCCAGCATCATCTCCGGAGCTCTGTAGATGACTGGCTGTGCGTAATTTGTTTGCACTTCGACGCCTGAGACGGCAGAGCCGAAGTCGCTGAGGACTGGTTTGCCGAATTCTTGTGGTCGGGCGAAAGCCCGTGAGGCGTAGATGGCTTTAGCGTCGACGAGTTTTCGGGGGGAGGGATGTTCTAATTCAGCTTTGGTGAAGGATTCGAAGACCGAGGTGTCTTCGATGTCGATGAGGATGTTGTCACATTTTATATCTAGCCATCATCACTTTTAGCATTTTGAGAGTAATGAGTACCTGGTGGAAGTGGAAATCAGATTGGGGCGAGTGCGTACCTGTGTGAATCAATTGGCATTCTGTATGCAAGTAATCCAAAGCAGCCAGGACGTCTTTGAGTGCAATTTTCAATGTTCTCTCCGGCAATCCGTTGTTGACTAAATCTCCATGTAAAAGATCAAGTAAATTTCCCCACATGGGTTGCTGGACGAGGCAGTTGTGATCTCCGCCAACACGGGGAATACTGAGTGTATCCAAGGCTGTCCTGACAAGTGTGAAGCCCCTGTGAGAGGGGTTGGCGCTACTTATCTTTCGATAATTGTTGAACTCATCCAGCATATTCGTTTCTCGTGTGTATGCTTTGATAGAAAACATAGCGCATATCACGAGCTAGCCAGACCGTTGACGTCCTCCCAAAACCCAACTTCCCAATAACTTGATATCGCGATGCAAGGACTTCCCCCGGTATCATAAGATAATATAATCCGGCTTTGAATTCCTCGAATCGTTCCTCTTCTAGAACGATAGAGTCCGGAACAACTTCAAAGCCTGTAGTGGGAAAGCGCAATGGAAGAGATAGCGGCTTTCGTAGAGAGGCTTTTGCCCAGCGGAATAGTGAGGCCATGTAGTGAAAATAGAAGCTTGATGTTGTTGGGAAGAGCAATGGTCGCTGAGGATGAAGAAACATGCTACCACCTAAGATATCTACTTGACTGCCAGAACCACACAATTCCAGGGTCACAGCGCTGCAGCGAGGCGCTAAGATGTTGGTGGTCGCCTGTACTACAGGGCATATGCACCAACTTTGGGCCACACTCAACGGTGTATTTGGGATGATGGAAGAGAATGAAGGAATGATTGATGTGGTGCATAACGACTGCAGTCTTATATTGTATTCTTGCTTCTGAGGGTATTGTGAAACAACTCTGTGTATCAACGCTTCAACGATCTATCTAATCAGTCTAGCTATTCTGCTCTACTCTACTCTATCCAACGCATTCTGTGATGAAGCAATGAACGAACGGTCTATGTTCTAGGTCTTCTGAAGTCTTCTTTCCTGGCCTCGCACTGAGCCGGTCAACCAATCAAGTATCCAGTCTCCGAATTTCCGTATTCCAAATTCCACCCCATGCCGATCCAAACCCAGTCTAGTCAAAGAGAGTGTACATATCCAGCTGTACACCCTCACGATCCAACCATAAGCACATTATGATCAATCCAGGATCATATCCAACGCCTTTCCCCATCTCCCAAGTCCCTCACTGAATCTTCAAAAACCCCTCAAACGGCTCACAAACCTCCCTAATCCTCTCAGCCACCCCATCGCCAGCCTCCCCCTGCACCCCAGTAACCACCAAATCCACCCACTTCCTGGCAAAAATATCCTTATTCTCAATCGTATAACACAACAACTCACAAACCTCCTCATCCCTCCCCACCCCGCCAATAAACGCCACCCTCTCCAAATTCGGCGGCAACGCCACACTCTGCAGCCTCGGAGTCTTCATCCCAAAGAGCTGATGATCCCTCATCTTCAATTCCGTCAAACACTCGAAATCCCTCAACTTGAGCGGATTTTTGCCCGCCAACGACGGACTATCAATAGTAATCTTCTGGAGGGAGTGTCCCGCCGAGCGACAAGAAAGAATGTAATCTTCCATGTACTCGGGGCTTTCCTCCAGGGCGGGTTCTGGGTCGGAGAGCTGCGTGATGGTGATTTCCTCGAGGGCTTCGGGGAGGACGAGCAGGTCGGCGAGCGCGTCGTCGTGGATGTCGCAGTCGAGGAGGGAGAGGGTTTTGAGGCCGGTGTACCAGGGTTTTTCGAGGGATTCGAAACCGCGCTCGTCGAGCTTGGCGCGCCGGATGGTGAGGTGCTCGAGGGTGGGGTGCCCGAAGATGTGGATGTTTTCTTGGAGGTCCCAGTAGCCGTTGTCCTCGCGTTGGTAGTAGAGGGAGCCTGGGTGGGTGTTAGTGGTGATAGTGAAGTAGAAAGGAGGTGTAGATGGAGACAGGGAAAGGGGGTGAAAGGAGGGATGTAATATGGTTAAGGCAGGAGAGACATATATGAGTAAGGTTGGGGAGGAGGGTATTATATCATATTCGGGAAGGTATGTTGGATGAGATGAGTTGAGATGAGAATATGAAGGGCGAGCACGTGAAAGTAAGATCCAATTCAGCCTCAGCCCATCCTCAACTTACAAGTCTTCAAACAAGCCAAATCAAACGGCCCATTAAACAAATTCCCAATCCCATGACTCAAACTCTCGGGCACCGAAATCACCAAATCCTCCAAATTACTCATCGTCGAAATCGTATGCGAGAACCGATCAATCGGGTGCGGCGTGTCCGTCAAACACAAAATATCCGCCATCTCCGCACTGGGGAAGTCGACCCTCACATTCTGGATGAGAGAACCTCGTCGCGGCCTCGTGACCAGCGATTCGGAGAAGAGGAGGTGGTGCTTCGGCTGGTCGAACAGGATGGATTTGTAGAGCACGGGGTCGGCGACGGAGTTCATGCGGCGGGAGACCAAGCACATGGAGGCGAGGTCGCGCTGGAGGGGCAGCTGGGACATGATGTTGATGAGGAGTTCGTCGGGGAGGGTTAGGAGTTCCCGTGATTGTGATGTCTGCAGTGTCTGTGGTGTATGCGCCTGGGGTTCTGGTTTTGGTGCTTGTGTTCGCGCTGGTCCTGGCCGCGTGGGGATTGCGGGGTCGTCTGATGCGTTCGCCATTGTGGATCCGGGGAAGGGAAGGAATCCGGGGAAGAGGGGAGGAGGAGGAGAGAGGAAGGCGGGGGAGAAGGATATTTTTTGGGGTGGTGATGCGCGTTGGGAATATTATCGTGAACTGGTAGCGTAGGATCTTTTTTTTATTTTTGGATGTCAACCGATAGGGATAGGGATTACCGATGACTGCGACGGCGCGTAGCCCAATACTTGCAAGTTGCCACGGTTGCCACCAACAAGGCTGCTTTCAGCCACGTGCAGGGAAGCAGGGCTGGGCTGGTGCGGTTGGCTTGGGAGGCTTAAATACACGTGATTCACCCACCCCCTCTGGTTGACATCTCATCTTGGATGACTGGACATGCTCAAATTGATATATTTTGACGATTGAATTGAATCGAAGGTGTTTTCTCGGTTAAAGATTTTCGCGCTCACTCAGTACCAGGATTTCCCCCCTCCAAAAACTTGAAAAACGTAACCCGATTTCCATCCCCATCTTTCACAGTAAACTGTCTATAACCCCACTCCTTATCGTCTATCTTCTCCACGATGCCCACCCTCCCATCATCTACAAGCTTCTTATAAAATGCATCCAGTTCCTCCGTACCAAGCGCAACCCAGGCTGTACTGGCACGAAACTCGTCTGCTTTACAGAGCCGAAAGTAGATGTTGGCTGCGGATTTGGGTCCGTTCGCAAGTGAGCAGAAGGTAGGTTCGGGGTCGGTGGGAGATTGGTGGATCCCGCCGATTTTGAAGCCGAGTTCTTTGGTGTAGAATTCGACTGTAGACGTGATGGAGAGGGAGCAGAATTCGGGGATGATTTTCCAGGCTGAGTTGGTGGGATGGGCCATTTTGTGGGGTGAAGGATTTGGCTTGCAGCGAGGCAGTGTTGGTGAGAGCGATTGAATACGATGTGGGGATACGTAGACGACAGAGAAACTCGTGATGCTGGATATAAATTTTTTGGTTGCGATGGAAGTAGAGATACTCAAGTCAAGAACCTCGGTTTTGAGGTTGGTTAGTGAAGTGGGGTAGTGGTAAGATGGAGAATGAATAGACCGAAACTAGGTAAAATGAAGCTTTCCAAAATTACTACCGGGAATTTCAGATAGGCAACCATGGCCTCTAACCCAAATCCAGGAATCATCTCTGCATGAACAGTACAATCATACTCAGTAAGAATCAACATTCGCTTGTTGAACAGGCAGAAACGCAGCACTCATGGAACGAGCAGACAGAAGCGGAAGTGATCTTCAACCATGGCTCCGTAACACCCAATATCAAAAAAACAGACAAAATGTCGCATATTTTCAGAACGCATAGCAAAACATAAAACCCAAACCTTTCCAGACTTCTTAAACCTTCATGCAACTGCTGAATCAGCTCGCTTTCAAGCGAGAAGAATCAACCCCAAAGAGTCTCCACTTAGACAATCTCGCACCCAGAGTGGCTTGTCACTCAGGCTATGCTCAGCTCAAGCCTCTAAGCCAAAAATGATATCGTTTCTAACAAAATACGAAGACAAGATCCTCCTCTTCTTGATTGAAAGAAGGGAACATGATTTTCCTCATCTGGAAATCGAACCTTCCAATCATATGCCGGGGATTAGCCAGCGAAGGGGTCTAGCGGGGTCACCCCAATACAGCTAGACCAGCCGTGCTAGAGCTCTGGATTGCTGATTAAGGGCATTTGTCAGATGGCATCATCCATTTGGCACTGGGCGAACTTTGTCTTGAAGCTCAAAGCATCAGGTCAGCCTCTCCAATCCTCTACAAACACCACCACCAAACTCCACTAGTAGCCACGAGAAGCGCTAGGTAGGTAGGTAATAAATTCCCAAGCCTCATGTAATTGTACATTCTCCTCATTCTCCAATCATCTCCAATGTTCTGGTCCATCGCGGCCTATCTATAAATGAAGCTCCTCTTCATTTCCAGCTCGATTTTTGTTCTTTCAATCAGCATCTTCTACAGTTCGCAACTCAGAGATATCTTCTACAGCTTCAAAGCCGTCAAGAATACAAACATCAATACCGATACAATCAACCAAACACCAATTCAACCCATCACGACGACTTCAATTCCAGCAGAGACGACCTCTATGACCGCAGCAAACACAGTCAAAGCAACCATGTCCAAAGCCCTCTCCCACGCAAAGATCGTCCCTCGCCGGTCCGCAGACCGCGGACACGCAAACCACGGCTGGCTGAACACATACCACACCTTCTCGTTCGCCAACTACTACGACGCGCGATACCAGAACTTCGGGTCTTTGCGCGTGCTGAACGAGGATCGTGTTGATGGCGGCAGTGGATTCCCAACCCACCCTCACCGAGATGCCGAGATCTTCAGCTATATTCTGAGCGGAGAGTTGACGCATAGGGATAGCATGATTAAGAAGGGCGCGGAGGGATCGCAGGGTGATGATTTCTACAGGATGAAGAGGGGAGATGTGCAGTTTACTACAGGTGGAAGTGGTATGTCTTTCTTTCCTTCACTAGGGTCCCCATACCCTTGCAATACTTAGTTCTTTTTATTAGCAAATACTGACTGAAAATCCACAGGCATCGCCCACTCCGAACAAAACGAATCATCTGAACAAGTCCACTTCCTCCAAATCTGGGCCCTCCCCTGGTCCCGCGGCCTCACCCCCCGCTACCACACAAAAACCTTCTCCGAATCCGCAAAACGGGAAGCCTTCCTCCCAATCCTCTCGCCTCTCAAGGGCGGAAAATCCGCAACCCCAGCTCAGGAGAAGGCAGCTGAGGCAATCCTCCCTGACACTATTCCTATACATGCGGATCTGGTCATGGCAGCGGGTATCATTCCTGTTGACAAGAGGTTCAAGTGGACTATTGGAGGTGGTGATGGTGTGGTTACCAAGAAGGCGGGGAGACATGTGTATGTGCATTTGCCGATGACGAAGGGTGGTGCGTCGAAGGTTAGGATTGATGGTAGGGAGGAGGTGGTGTTGAGTGAGGGGGATGGAGCATTTATTAGCGATGTTAATGTGGGGGATGTGTTGAGTGTGGAGAGTGTAGGCGAGGCAGAGGCGGAGGTTGTTGTGCTGGATAGTGATTAGATGGTCTAGGACTCTTCTTTGACCTAACTTTTGTATTCTCGCTCAAAATACCAATTCATTGATCTGTACTCATCTCGGTTATCTCTGTTTACACTTCTCCTCTCTCTTGTCTGATTTTAATTGCCTTCTCCCCAAAGCCCTCACGTTCCTCTCCTTTCCCTTCACCTACCTCTCCCAACCCATCTTCCTTTCTCAACACCTCACCTATCTCCCATTTCTACATCCAGAAGCGAATCGGGATTGACAACAAGTATTTCAGCGACAACACTCTCCCATTATCCATTACCGAAGGAGAACGATGGGCGAGTATCATCGCACCAGACAGTGAGATTCTTGACTTTTGACTTGCCATCTTAGAGTATTTCTGCACTTGCAAACCAAACCAGAACAAGGCACCTTCGCCGTAGTTTGCATATTTCATCGCGTCATTTGCTTCTTGCTTTCGAAGAAACGTGCGTACGCTTCCTTTTTATATCCCACTTACCTTCCCTGCCCAGTCTTTCGCCCTTTCCCTCCCTCCTATTCGGCGGGCCGCTGGGGTCTCTTCAATGGCATTGATTTTTTCTACGGATTGTTATTCACTTACCACTATTGATTCGCTCTGCTATTCATTCTCATCTACGTTACGCAGTCCACTGTGGGTGACTTGGAGATCTCGTTTCTATTGTTATGGGAGTATTTATTTACGAGTATGTGTGAGAGAGGGTAAGGAGAGGAGGAGGTATTTAAATCGCAGTGGAACGTCTTTCGTTCTTCCTGGTCAAATCAAGGTACGGTGTGTCAGATAATTGACACTTATGCTGTTCTATGGGAAACAAGCCCTTTACTCGGAACGAAACGAAATGAGTAGTTCGGGATGGTGGGATTGTTGTGGTCAACTTGTAGAAGATGATCTTGATGAGTCTTTTCTGGGGAGTGTTGAGATCTCAGTATGTACAAGGATAGGAGGGAGGGGGGACTGACAGCAATCTCGCTGATGACAATAACATGTCAAGGTTGAGATGAAAGAAAAGCTGCCTATCTACAGTATCTCTTCGTCTCAGACATTTCAGCTTTCTGTCAAAAGAAAAAGAATGGAACATGCTTATACTCTCACTCCTCCTGCTTGCATGGATAAGTCTTCCCCAGACATCGATCGACACACAGGCATGTAGTTCATTGTCGTCTTTGACTATGGGCTTGTCCGGCGTATTCTTGAGAAGAGGGATGTTTATATACCTGTTTGACAACTAGGAGGTCGAAATACAGCAAGTGATTTGGTTCCAACCTCACTACTAAGAGATTGATTTGGTAGATTCACTTCACCCATGGTTGCTTGGATACGTGAATGTTCGATTGTATTGACTTCGCTTCTCTGGATGAAGGGAATTGCCGTGTTGGGAGCAGTATGGTCAGGGAAAGTGTGGAGTGCTTGGTCGGGAATGCAGCATGCTTTTCGAATAGGTAAGTGTGGTCTGGGAGTATATATTAGATTCGCTTCTGTTCTCTCTACTCGGTAAGAGAATTCGTTGAACCTCCTCGTGTGGGTGTAGTGGTGAGCCTGATTCCACTTGTGTCTTGATTTCGAGCCAACATTCAAGTTACATAGAAAGATTATGCCTTTAAGGCAAGTTTTCTCCTCGTCTATTGCAAGAACCCTTATCTCTCGTGTACAAAGAAAATGACAAGTCTGCGCGGTTTAGGTGACAATGGATAATCTATTGACAGCGGAAAGTAGCTAAGATTCATCGCAAAGCGATATATCTTCATCCCAGTACTTAGATATGCTATACTTATCAGTTCTCATTTCCCCAGCAGGCTTGACATGGAGGACTTGAGAAAATAAAATACAGATATTGGTGTGGAGCAAGGCCAGCCACTATGGCGTTGATAAGTTCTTCATTGACTATGAGATTACTGATTCGGAGTTAGGTCCTTATCATGCATGTAAAGATGTAGCATTGCTGGTTACTGGGAGAGGGAGGGTGGTACGATGGAGGTAGGAACGATGTTGAGGTGGTGAATGAGCTTTCTGCCTGAAGACTCTGGACTGTCAGAACTTGAGAAGCATGAGGGGGATAGTTCGGAGTGGTGAAAGCTTCTCTGCCTACCTCATATGGGGAGAGAATTACGAAAACCATACTTGGGGAAAGGCATATGTTGACATAGGTGATCTATCTGACGAGTTTCATCACTAGCAAGGATCCGCTTTACAGAACACCGATAGTCAATTGGACTCCTGAGACATCAGATTTGATATCCTCTAATCCTTGCCCTCAGAGCACAGTTTATGTTGAAAAGGATTCGTGCAATAGTTTATCGCGTCTCATTGAGGGAATTCTGATTTCCGAGCCTTCTCCATCTCGCTGTCATTAGCGTTCTTCGCTGCCATTTTCGAGAGCACGCTGTCCTTTGTGGCATGAGTACTTGAAAGCTAGTACGCAAACACAGCTTCCATTGAGTTCTACCAATCAATGAAAGTCTGTATTTGTTTTCGGAATGTCTTCATGTTTTGGTACTATCCAATACGACATGAGTGATTCCGTTCCCATTACAGTTTATCGTGTAGATTTAAACTTTACTGTCATAGCCCGTCTTGCACACGATAGCACACATATAGCCTTCTACAAAGCAAGAATAGCAAGCAATATGGCGAAAACGTTTATTGGCTATGGACTAAAGGCTTCCCACTATCCCTGCTCTGGTTTTGCGAAGACTACACGCAGCAAAGCAGCCACTAAGAAATACAAGCATGCGCCCAATTGATATCCCAGCTCCGATGGGCGAGCACTTCAATTATCTCACCCTCTTCTGCGCCGCATGAACTTCCCTCTTATGGCGAGGCAACTTGTCCTTGCGAGAGAATGTTTGATAACACTCATCGCACATGACACTTTGAGAAGGATACCCGCTCTCTTTGGCCCAGACCTTGTGGTTGCTCCAAACATGTCGATCCTTTTGGCTTTGGCTCTTTGCCTCAGCCCAGCCACAGTCTTCTTTGGGGCATTGTCGGTGGACGGAGGCGTGACTTCTGAGGGACGTTAGATAGAATGCCCTTCAGATATATGCGAACTTACTTCGCGTCTTCGGTATTACATCCACGATACTGACAATCTTTCCATGTACAAAGGGAGCGAGCCCTGGAAGTTGTCTTGCGTGGAGTAGGTGGCATAGAGTCTAAAGACCCCTTGCTTGCCTCTCCTCTGGGCTGATCGCCTTCATTGAGATGTGACGAGACTTGTCCCGCCACGCCAACGTCAAATGCCCCTGCGTGGGGTGGAGACAGCATGCCATCACCTCAGAAATGATGGATGGGCGCGGCGTCACTCGAATAGTTCTCCAAATCTTGATGCTGGGTTAGCAGCAGTGCCGGATCGATGGTAGCGTCAAGACCCCACACAGGAGTTGGCGCGGATGTTGATACTTCAGATTGAAGCAATGCCGAGTCCGTGTTGGAGATAAACCATGTCATGGTGTTGTCGTAGCCTGCAGAAGCTGAGTAGCTCTCGTCGACATGAGAAACAGCTGGGCTATGTGAGAAAGCCATGGTGTAAATTAAGGCTGTAGCGAGCCTCTGGGCGAAAGGACTATATTGCTGTACATGGAGCGACACTTTTCCACGAAAGGGCTGAGGTTGAAATATCAGGAGAATACGGGGCTGTCGGGCGTAATTTTGGTCCTTTTGATCATTGGTTGGACCTGGGGTAGGCCAAGATTGGCAACACTATATGGATGCTGCATCTCTGATTACGTGGTCCAATAAGATGTGTATGACCCCCCATGAGCTCTGTGTTGCCCCCAATGAGATATGTACTGCCTCTTGTGACATCATCAGGCAATATCTAAGGCTGACTCCATGGTGCTACGTAGAGTTGAGAGCCTTCAGTTCTATTGTGCCTATCCTCTCCATCATATCGTCCTAGACACGCTATGGTAATGGTCTCATCCCAAGATTTCCATATGGTCACCGACAAAGTAGCATCGACTCGAGAACGTGGCGAGGCTCGCAAACAATTTTTGATCAATTCGGCTTTACTGAGCCTGATCGAACCTGTTCGTGGAGAACCAACAGAATGCCTTCTCGAGTGTCACCCCGATGCCGATGTTCTGAAAAGTAGTCAGCTAAAGGAAAAATTCCTTTACTCATTCGCGCTTATCTGCTCAACTTCAAGCTCCGGCAAGGAGACCGCTTCGGCCGTCTGTATGGAGCAGAAAAGGCCGTCTGGAACCATTCTACGTATTGCTCGCAATCGTGGTCTATCACAGCAAGACCGTATTGGGCTTGAAAAGGTGCTAAAGATTCTTATCGCTGCTGCAAATGGAGGTATGTAATCATTTATGGCCTACCATGCAGAGCTACTCACACTTCGCCTAATGCAGAGAAGCTATCAAGGCAGGCGGAAAATGAAATTCTTGAGGAGGTGGTTCTTTTAGACCAAAGCCGCATATTGTCGCTGGTACAAAAGCTTGAGAAAGCTGGAATAAGGCGTGTCTTTCAATTGGCAATGTCCGAGATGCCCAGTTGCGAATCCAACCAAGAATTACTTAGGGAACCAGGTTTTGGCCAGTGGATGAAGACATGCCCTTTCATAGCTACACCTAAAAGCTCCTCCGAGACTTCTCAGCTGAGCTGTCTGGTGGAATGGGCATCGCAGGCTCGATGGGTATATCAAAAACATTTGCGGATCTTGCTCGCTTACGGCTCAACGCCGAATCCGCCCTGTATGGAAACTCTTTACAAACTTGCTCGCTATTGGGGAGCCATCAAGTCCATGGTCAAACTTGCCGTGAAACAGCCTGAGCTCTTTGCTGGTATTCACATTCAGGATGTTGATGCCCCCATGCCGGAGAAATTCGCACTTCACCAGGAGAAAACACCACTCCGGAAAGCTCTCAAGCGGCTACTCAAGAATGATTGCGAGATGACGTTGGATAAGTTGGCCCAGCGCTGGGATTCAAATGATGTAGAGGTCGATTTGCGCAGAGCGTGTCGCTTAACGCTTACACTCCATGCCGAAATGCAGCTTCTCGACTTCTATGACCGCAACCCAGCTTTGGTGCCCCAGCTACGTTTCATGGGTACGAGTAAAAAGGCCTGCTATCTTTGTCACGAATTTCTACTTCGACATCCACTCCACATCAGAGTATCAGCTTGTCATCAAAAGGTTTACCCTTCATGGATGCCGCCATCCTCCCGTGATATTCCTGGAGTGGTCCGGAGCAAGGTTTTTTGGAAATTCAGTAAACATATTGAAGATGTGACTGTAGAGGCGCTGAGGACAGGTCTAGCGGCTTCACGGCGGCGTATGAGCAAGGATTCGACTGCAGGTCCGTCTTTAACAGCAACAGCGACTGCACCTACCGAGGTTTTGGGCACAGCAGCTACTACAGCGATACATTCCGTCTACGGGCGATAGCTCAACGGACGGAGGAGCTGAGACAACAATGGCTGGGCTATGAGAAGGGTAAATTGTTCACACAAGAGAGGCATGAAATGCTAGTATACTCCGAGATCAAGTTGGCACGCCACGATGGAAAAAAATACAAATGACTCGACTTTCCAGTGTCTACTAACACGTCCCATATATGACTCTGGGCAGCAGGACTCAGCTGTGAGACTTAGTTGCGAATCGTCACTTCAGACTCAGCGTCACAATGATACTTTACATAGCCGCTTGGTGCATAATATGTCGAAAGGGGGCTGACCTTTGTTGAGAAAGACTTGTTATGGCGATTTCTTTCACGGCAGATATGACATTAAACCTGATTGAATTAAGCTTTGTTACGAGAGTAACTTGAATTTCAATTTTGAAAGAAATCAATCAGACATTAAAGCGTACACAACTATTGAGGTTGATAGGTCTAGGTTGCAGTACGTTAAGCGAGTGGACGAAATGAGCGAATCGAAGGTTAACGATGTACGTTCGATATGTCACATACAGACTTTGACCGGGCGAACACAGCCTGCCTAACTGCTAGCAACTCGGCTGAACCAGAGCCAATCAACATGGAAAAGGGCCACGATTGCTTGCTGCCAACAGCTGTGGGGGGCCATCCACATACTACTCGGCCTCATCAAGATTTGAGATCGCACCGCAACTTGTTGCTGCCAACGGCTGCGGGGGGGCATCCACATGCTACTCGGTCTCATCAAGATTGAGACCGCGCCGGATCTGAAATGAAGTATAGAGAGGGAGTTTTGGATATTAATCCTTCATACAATCTTTATTCTACCATCACTCATACCATCACTCATACCATCAAATATGACGGCCGCAGACATCCCAATGGGAGACTATCGAAGCCTTTTAGATATCATCGACAGCCTCCGTGCGCAAGGAGTCGGCCGGTATGTGGACCTTCCCGAGATCATAGTCTGTGGTGATCAGTCTGCGGGCAAGAGCTCCGTCCTTGAAGCTATTTCTGGCAGGCGATTCCCTACAAAGGACGGGCTTTGCACTCGTTTCGTGACAGAATTGGTCCTGCGCCGAGGCCAGAACGCCAGCACTAAGGTATTCATCATACCCGGCGAAGCTCGATACGACAAAGAAAAGGAGGATCTCGAGCATTGGCAACCCCGATCCAATGTAAATAGTGACGGTCTCGAAGCAGTGACAGAGGAGGCAATGGAAGCCATGGGGAATTCGGATGCTCGAAAGTTTTACGACGATATCCTTCGCATCGAGCTCACTGGCCCCGACCAGCCGCATCTAACCATGGTAGACCTCCCTGGTCTCTTCAGGACTGGTAACAAGGAGCAATCAGACACAGATGTCGACACAGTCCACGGCATGGTTCAGAAGTATATGGCTCGGCCTAGGAGCATTATTCTAGCTGTAGTTTCGGCAAAAAATGAGTATGTCCTCCAGGAAGTGACATCAATGGCCAAACACGCCGACCCAGAGGGACTACGTACTATGGGGCTTATCACCAAGCCCGATACACTGGATACTGGCTCCGATTCTGAGGCGTACTGGGTGCGCCTCGCGCAGAACACTGAAGTGGAGCTCCGTCTCGGGTGGCATGTTCTTAGGAACCGCAACTTCGAGCAGCGGGGCTCGACTTCAGCCCAACGTGATGCCACCGAGAATGATTTTTTTTCCAGAGGCATCTGGACTAGCGTCATCAGAGAGCACTGTGGTGTGGAAGCTCTGAAGAATAGACTCAGCTCTGTCCTCAATGACCAGATCCTGTCTCAGCTGCCAAGCCTAGTTCAAGATGTGGAGAATGGCATCCACGAGTGCACGGAAAAGCTTGAACGACTTGGCCCTGTCCGGGGAACTCCGACGGAGCAGCTGAAGTATCTCCTTCATCTGAGTGAAGAATATACATCCCTGACGAGGCAGGCGATTGATGGCACGTACGGGGACCGCTTCTTCGGCTCTCGAAAGAAGCATGATGGATATCCTAGGAGGCTCAGGGCTGTGGTGCAGAATCTTCTGCATGAATTCAAACAGGAAATGTTCTCGAACGGACAGAGCCAGAGAATCGCCGATTCGGAGAGTGAAAGTGAGGACGAAGACGAAATCAGCGAGTCGCCCCGTATCCTTAGGTCTCGATACGTTAAGCAGGTCGCCTCTCACTTGAAGTTTAGCAGGGGACGCGAACTACCAGGCCTTTTCAACCCGCTTATTGTTGGCGATCTCTTCGAAGAGCAATGCGAACCGTGGCGAAACATTGCGAAAGCGCTGGTCGAGGATATCGTGGAAGCTGCACATCAGACGACGGAGCTCGTGATCCGACACGTTGCTGCCAATGATATCGTTATTCAGGTGCTTAAGTTTGTCCACGACATGGTAGAAGAACTCAAAATCGGACTGCACGCTAAGGTTGACGAGTTACTGGTTTCTGCCACGCAGCATCCCATTACATACAATCGGCAGTTGACGGACAACGCTCAGAAGGCCCAACAGGCACGGCACAAGCGTGCTATCAGACAGCTCATTCGAAAAGTATTTGGCTCACAACATTTCGATGACGTGGACAGAAAGATCAATCTCAATCCGGTACATTTCGTGGACCTTCTGGCACAGGGTCTCGAACCCAATATGGAGCTATTCGGAAGCTCCACAGCGGTTGACTATATGGAGGCATATTACAAGGCAAGTTGCACCTGGATTGACAGTGTCCGGAATACTGACTGTAGTCCTACTATTCTAGGTTGCACTGAACAGATTTATCGACGACGTTAGCGTGCTGGCAGTTGAAGACTGCCTCATCGGAAAGCTTGCTGAGCTCTTCCGATCGGACAAGGTCTTGGACATGAGCTCGGATGATATCTCTCGCCTCGCAGGTGAGACCGCAGAGTCTTCTGTCGAGAGGAAGCGTCTGGTGGATAAGCGCAAGATGCTCGATGATGGATTACGGGGTCTCAAGTGCTTACCAAAGCAAAAGAAATTCACCCGCCCTGCTGACTGGGATCCGGTGTCATCAGGAGATGTGAAAGAACAGCTGGAAAAGACTACATCCGATTCAGAGAGTGCATCAGTCGTCAGCTTCGATAGATCGCCATCCCCTAAGAGGTATTCTTAGGACAGAATACACCTACCCCATCATGGAAACTTTCAATTCGATGATGTCAAGTCTACAAAGATCAGGATCTATAAGGTTATCCAGCGTCCAAGAAAGGGTTTCCATAACGGCCGCTTTGGTATTTTGGGACTGATAATTTGGTAGCCATTTGTTGATTTTGATTTCAATTCTGCAATACATACTCTCAAGTGCACCATGTCCATATATACCAAGTTCTTGCCAAATGGCATGCACAAGCAGCGCGCAAAAATTATCCAATAACAAGTAATCATCTGGCGGTCTCATTGGGGTCGAAGATTGAGAAGTTGGCCTTTGATCTGATCAACCACTTGAGTCAGAAATGTTATTAGAGATTCTGATAGGAGAATGAATTTGCCCAACATGGTTTAGGTTTTAGGAAATATGCTGTCAATAATACTGCTTTGCAAGCTTTCGCCGGGCGCTGGTTTGAATTCACTTCATTCTTTCTTGGTCCTAGAGAATCACCACTTCTTGGATATAGCACAGATTAACGCCAGTAGCAATCGGCTTGAAATGAATTGATGTCGAAAATACAGGTTCCTTCCTCTCAGATCCCTCATTAATGAGGCTATTTCTTCTTGGGAGTGTCATGAATTGAGGAACGGAGCCGCACATCTTAATTTGGGCTTACCTTATACCCTCCTTATTTTCGATGTATGTTAGACAAGAACAATATCTGGAAAATCCGAAATCAATTCTGCCATGTCCCCCTCCAAACTGTTAGGATGACTCAAGAGACGAGTCACACGGGTGTTAGCTCAAAACCTGGGCTTGGTAATCCAACGACGGTGGTGCTCTCCACGCGCCGACGTGTTATCGCTGAAAAACTGCACCAACTGCTGGTCGTTGTTGAGTGAATCAGAAGCAGTGTCACTGAGTTTTCAAAATGGTAGCTTGATCTTTTCGCTAACTGCTTGTTGTTTTGAAGGTCGTTCTCGCCTCAGCTAAGCGAGCCGCTAGAAGCCAAGCAACGATGAAGCTCTTCATAATCAGCTATACGTACAATGTGTAACGACAAAATAGCTCAGGGTGTATATTAAGCCTAGCACTTTGAAGATACCTTCTGTTACTTTCTCCCTTGGTCATTTCCTTCGGTGCCGTAGGAAAACTCAGGTTTCTCTCCACGAGGTTTATCTCGACCAGGTTTATCTCAATAATATGTTTGTAAAGACTGGCTCCAAGATCTTCCACTAAGCTGCTGAAATATATTCATCTTGGATCATCTGTGTTCACCTGAATGTTTGATTTCTTGTTCAATATCCAAAATAGGAAACTGGACCCAGCCCCACACCTCTTCACGCCCAGATCTCTCAAGTCCTCAATTTCGCATGATGCATACAGAACTTCAAATTAAGATCATTAAGACTAGAAAACAGAAGTTTCGGGTGGATTTATCATTTACAGACGTCATTGATGAAGGGAACGAGTCAAATCACTGTTCGACCATTGCGCGCGCCAAGCAAACACACCCCTCCATGAGGAAAGATTTGGGCATACACATCCAGATCCAACCAAACGAAGCTACTAAGTAAGGAGAAGATAAATTAAGGGTGAACCGCTCATACAAGTACAGTACATTCTTCACTGTTCGGAACAACTGTGTACGTCGACTGAATGCTGCTGTTAGCGAACACTACCAGCCTCGAGAGTCAGGAAAAGAGTAATCAGTTCGACGGGACATGGATCAGTCAGCACCTGTCGATCATGCACTACGACATGATGTCTACAGAGTCCCTAGTAATCATCAAATTTCTTGATCGGAGGTTTTCTAACGCCAGAAAGTTTATCTCTTGACCTTTCGGATCTGTAAATCCGCAGACATGGTAATGTTGAATGAAGTCTGTTTATCTTCGCCACTATAATT